GAGGTCGAAGTTAACAGCCAGGGGGAGACTGACGTTGAGACTTCGTCTGAGACGTCCTTTGACCTCGTGGCAAGCAATGGGCCTGCGTCGTTTCTCAGTTCTGAGAATGGTAGTGCTGTTGCTACTGGTGGTAGGGTTGGTGGTGCTTCAGACAACTGGTCATTATTAGATTAGTACTCGGAATAGAAACTCATTGCAACCTAATCGAGGTAAGCCTCATTCCATGCCCAACGGTCTTACGGTCTATCTGTCTCTCCCAAAACCAGATGTTCCCTGGTGCGAACCGCCGCCGTTGATTGTGGAGGACCACATAGTTGTTCCGCAGCCACTGACTCAGTATTTCTATCCCGACGATGGCGATGCGGAAAGAATGCTTATTGCCAGGAGAGGACTTACTTCTCTAAACCAAATTGGGTTAGGCAATTTAAATTTTAGGACGCCGGTACCCGCACTATCGACATGCCTCGACTTGAAGCCGATGACCCACTACAGAACTCTCAGGTGTGACGAGGTATTTTCGGAATCAACTAAAAAGGGACAGTGCATGGATGTCGAACTTTATGAGACACGTCCTCCCTGAGATGGTAGTGGAGACGATCAAGTCACTCGACGGAAGAACAGACCGCACCGAATGCGAGAATTCAAAATGCTGAAAACGCAACATTTTGATGCGTGAGCTCAGACCCTCCTGCTGAGTGCGCGGGTCTGAGCTAGATGCTAGCCGTGATCTCTTTGCTCCAATGCGTTGATCCTTCCTACTGCGTTGCTTCGATGGAAATTCTTTTTTGCTGTTGCTACCTCACCCTTCTGACGAGGTTTCCGCGTAGAAGTGCTAAGTACAAATCACCACTTGCTTTGTTACCACCTGCTTGCGCCATGACTCTTTCCCTTAGCTCTTCGCATGGTTGGTTGTCTTGTTGTAGCTACTTTCGCCCTTCCGACGTTGGTAGCCGTGTGGTTGAAGCTTTGGCTGACTTCCAAGAGCTACTCGAGTTCCATCTTGTCTTCGTCCCTCTTTCCCAAAAACACAGCCAACGACTAGGGGCCAAATAGATACTAAAGCCCGGCTGCTCACTGGCCCGCGCTGTCTCACTGACTCCTACGCATATTGCATAGGCCTCATGCGTAGCCGTTTACCCACATAGTTTGCCGCCTTCCGTAGCGCACCATCGTGAACGACGTACTCTCTCCAGTCATACATAGAAACTAGCCCGCCTATCGTTGTCAGCGCCTGACTTCCATCGAGTGCTCTACTTTTTTGATCGCAGGCGGCTTCCTTGCTCTACCGCTTGCTAAATAGGCCTTGCGGAGAGGTCCCTCCGTCCTCCACCTCGTCGATATTCATTTATTGAGCCTGTATGTGCGTGCGTGCTGGCTTTGTAGCTCGAGACGCCGGCCTTTGCGTGTCTCTCGCTTTGTTGATGTCGGACCTAGATGCCTGCTGCACTTGCTCGCTGGCGTTCCCTCCACATATAAAGTCCTTCATGTCTCGCAATGCGCATCCCCTGCGTTTGATTTTATAGAGGTTGGCCTTCGCGCCTTTCAGGTAGTATTTTTTGGCCTTGGTTGCTTTCAAGTTGAACGGCGCACGACCCCCGGTGCACTTGCATCTTGCCAAATTTCCCGCAGACTTGTGCATATGTTTAAAGACTGTCGTCGACCTCTGCGGCGCAGGGACTTGCAAGGCCATCTCGCTCTCTCATCTCAAGTCGCTCGCTGGGATTGGTTACAGCGACTTGTGGCGTGCAGCCGTCGCTCCGCTTTCTTTTGTCTCTGAGTAAAGAGCGAGGCCCCAACTTCCGTCGAGCGATCTCACCCAAAACTTCAGAGGCGCGGCTGCTTATACTTCCCCGAGTCGTGGAGAGCAGGGCGGTGCGAAGGCTCAAGGGGTTCGGCACAGTTTGTATCTGTGGGACAGATTTAATAAAGACTGACAGCGAGATGGCTGAGTGTCTTCGAGGTGCCCTGGCGTCCGCTCGATCCTCGTAGGAGCCGTTTATCCCTAGCCTCCGTAACGATAAAGGCCACGCACTGAGTCGGGTGTCTGCCTGTTGCTGCTGGCCATAGTTGGGACATTTTGGACCCTCGGCCGGGTGCCATTGCTTCTCGCGCTTTTATTGGCGGCCAGGGCTACCGGTGTCGGCATGTGTATCCTTGGGCGTTTCCATCGCGTTAGTTCCCAGCCACGGGATAAGGGTCCTCGCCTCCTCCTTATAAGGGGCCTCGGGTATCCTCCTGGGTGTGATGCTCTTGCCTACTCCTTAGTGGGGGGCCTCTTCTTGCCTCCTCCTTATAGAGGGCCTCCCCCACGTCACCGCTAACGCTGAGAGAGTCTCTACGGGCTGCAAATACCGACAGGCTCGATCTGCGCTGAGTTGTGTCCTTCGTTCTTCGTGGTTGTCTGCTTTCGCGGACCTAAGATGCGTGGGAGTGCGGACTCCACGGCGGTAAGTAGACTAGGGCTAGTACGTAAAGGAGCTGCGCGTGCTGTAGGTATGTCGGACCAGGTTGCTCGCGTTGGAACTTCTTGCGAGGAGACAGTGGCAAGGCTTGCCCCTTTCTCGGGCGGGGTCCGCTTTCGGGTTTGCAGGTTGTTGGGGTACAGGGCTAGGCGGGTTGCCCCTGGGTTCTGGGACCTGACTGCCGGCGCGCGTTGTCGTTGGGTTAGTCGTGGCGCTGCGCTCACTCGGTACTTGGCGGAGCGTAATTGGGCAGGGCGGGCGTAGCTTCACTAGCGAGGTAGCCCCATTTTGTTGGCTTGAAGAAGTTCGAGTTGGGTACGGATGTGCTTACTGGGCCAGTTTTGTTGCCGGGCGGCGGCGTCCGGGTCCAAGAGGTGAGCCGCGTCGCGGTCTCCTCTCGGTGCCGAAACCGCGCGGGCCCTTCTTAAGTGGTTCAGCGGTATGAAAGTAAACGGGCCGCAAGTGAGAAGCGGACTCGCTAGCAGTAGTTGCACGCAAAGAGGACGGGGGCCGCACGTTACTCGGGGGACCTGACTCCTGTGAGGGGTATAGTCGTCGAAGTTGGGCTGTTCCATAGCTTTGCTGAAGTATCCAGCGGGGGGCCCGTAGATATCGCCGAAGGCTATAGTGGAGCTGGGCACTTAGTTGGCGGCAAATACTACACCCCCTCCTACCCAGCGTAGGGGGGGGTACCGGTAGCCCCGGACCCCTTTGGGAGGCGTCTGCCGGGGGTGGAAGGCCTCAAAAGGGGGCCAGGTGGCCTCCTTCGCTCCCTTGCAGGTGCTTGGCTCTCCCCTAGAGGCCTCCGACGTAAGGAGGTGGAAGGCCTCGGAAGGCGGCAAAGGCCGCGGGGCTGTTCCCTCCGGGCCCTTGGTCATTGGCTTGCCTGCTCTTGCGACCGTGGCCGCCCTCGGCGGCCTTTAACCCCGGAGGCCTCCCGCCTGCGAGGGTCAGCAGAGGCCAGGAGGTCCCTGAGGAACCCGCTGAGAGGCCCAAGCAAGGAGAGGCCCGCGCCAAGTTTGGACGCCTTCCCCCACTAGATTCCGCGCGGAAAAGCGCGCGCGCCACCACAGACCAGACCACAGGGGGGGCACCTTTCAGCCCTAAATCATATATAGAGACCTTCAGATCTCGCGTCGCGCATCCTGTAGATTAGCGGCTTCGCGGCTGCTGTGGTGGAAGAGCAAGCTTTTGCCTATAGCTTAGAGGCCGGCCCTCGCACTTCTCAGGCGGTATTAATGTGCCGCCCTTGCTCTCAAGTTGAACGACGCGCGAACCTCTTTGCACCTTTCCAAATTTCCCGCAGGCTTGTGCATTATATTTTATAAGACTGTCCCCGGCCTCTGCGGCGCAGGGGCTTGCAGCATTATCGCGCTCTCCCATCTCAAGTCGCTCGTTGAGATTAGTGTTAGCAATTTGTGGCCTGCTGCCGTTGTTCCACTGTCTTCTGTCTCTGAGTAGACAGCGAGATCCCAGCTTCTGTCGAGCGATCCCACTCAAAACCACTCAGAGCCGACGTTGCTCTTACTTCTTCTCCACTATGTATCAAGGCTTTTGCCCGGGTAATTCGGAAAAGCTTACTCGTGTTGCTTGGGCGAAAATGCCGGAGGCTGACGCGGGCGGAGAATTTTGGAGGACAACAGGCCGCTGCAATGGGGTCGCTCCGTCGCTTAGGCATAGGCTCAATTTCAGTTGTGGTTATATTTCCATGTGCATGTCTCTTGCAAACGTTTACTCTGAGTCGCAAAGTTTGTCGCGTCTTTTCATCGTAGATTTGGAAGGGTCCGTCGCATGGTAGTCCTCTGAATGTCTGAGCTCTAACCATTGCGAAGAAGCATTGCAAATCAACATTGGCGTCGCAGGTGGTGTCAGAGCCGCTGAAAATCCGGAGGAGTTTTTCAATTGGATAGCCGCAGGGCATCCGGCAAAAGAGAACTTCGTACCAGGGTTTTGCAAAGAGCAGGTCGTGGAAATAGTAGGCGGCACGAAGTGCAAGAAAGCGGTTTGCGAAGAAAGTCGGGACATAGTCGTAACATAATTCTTGATAGATCAATAGATCATGCAGCTAGTATTTACTTGGGTGCTTGTGTATCTAAGTCGACACTTGAAGATGTGAAGATACTCAAGAAGAACAACAAGACGAAGTTGCGTTTTAGGTGATCACGATTCACATGTACGACGAGAACCTGTTTACTCTTGTTGATTTCCATACACACCAACCCCCACAAGGGTGACGCATGGTGGAATTGGAAGCCGCAGAACACTGCAACAGCAACGACCACGGCAGCTGCGGCGCCTTCGCCGCCGTAATCAGACTGAAGTGAGGTAACAACCACCTGATAAGGAAAGCTCTATACGATTGATGTTTTGATAATTACAAACAGAGATAGTGCATGACTCATCTGTTTCGGCACTTCTAGCAAGGATTTTCAAGAACAAGATGAAATAAAATAGTTCGTCGCTGATGTCTACCTGTACGATTACAAGCTCTATACGATAGATTCTCTAATATGCCAACCCCTACAGGTATGATAGGAGATGGTGATAGGGGAGGCGGTTGCTTACGGAGTTCGAGGATTTTTGGTGGAGGGAAAGCAACCGGGAAGGGAAAGAGGAGCAGAAGGGCGCAAAGATATGGCATTAGACTGTACTAAGTCTAATTAAAACCTTTTGCTCTCGTGCATTTTGCAAGACATGACAAAATGAAGTGAACTTTACTAGAGAAAATGTTCATAAAACAGCGATCACGCTAATGACTATCTTTTCTACTGTCAATTTCCAAGCACACCAACCCTGACAGGTATAATAGGAGACGGTATTGTGGGAGATGGTCTGTGTGGAGGGAGACGGTTTTTTTTAGGCGGTCACGCGAGGGAAAAAACTATGGATGGAAAGATGCTGCTGTGGGGTTATGTTATCACTGTACTAATGTATGAGAACAAAGTAGTCTTCATTTCTTTTTCTCCTCACTTACTTTTCCAGACACAAATGAATTACTTAGGTAAGAATCGTGCCAATCCTGTAGAGACCCGTTAGTCGTATAAAGAAAAAATGCATGACCAAGAGAAGAGGCGAGTGCGCTTTCGTGCACGATGACAAAATGGTGAGGGGTGGTGAATTCAGTGAAGTAGGTGAGATACTTAATTGCCATTCAACAAGAGCTAGAATTTGATGCAGCACGATGTAGAAGAGCTGTACACTTTACAAGGGGAAGTGTTCATAAAACGGCGATCACGCTAATGATTTTCTTTTTATTGTGTATGAATTTCCATACACACCAACCCCGACAGGTATGATAGAAGATGGTATTGTGGGACACGCTTGTTGTGTAAAGTTGCAGGTTGCTTACTGAGGTCGAGGATTATTGTTGTATGGAAAACAGCAGCCGGGGATGGAAAAACGAGGTGGGTCGTGCAAAGATTTGTCACTACTGTAGCAAAATTTTGATTAGAGCTGATGAAGATGATGTTAAGTAGAACCTTGTTTCATGTTGAAACTTTCATCTTGCATCAATTTTTTACAGAACATTTCTTCAATCATCGATCATAATATGAACTGAACAAGGGACAGCTAGGAGATGGTAAGTGCGAAACTTTAAGAAGACGGGAGGCAGAAGAAAATATGTTGATTTTCAGATTTTCGAATCGGAAGCACGCTGTGTGGAATAAGGGAAGAAACAGTTTCGAATTTTCCAAATGCAGCGCCCAGACCTTCCTCTCAGGTGTATCCGTGTGTATTACATAGACTCCGTTCTTCTCATTATGTTGAGCTTCAATCTCTTCGAATGAATTAGTTGGACAGGCCTGGCGGTTGTCTTCAATGTGATCAATGATAGAAAGGTATTTAATGATCTCACTCATTGAGTGGAAGAAGACAGCACAATTACCAAGGCTACTCTAGTGGTCAATTTTTTCACAATGCACAGCCACGCACGTCGTGTGCGGGTGTGGTTCCTGAATGTTTATTGATTTTTTCTTATGCTTGTTTCTTGAGTCCAGCTATTCACTCTTGTCTATTGTGCGAGGTCAGTAGTTATTTACGTTTTGTATTTTTGTTGCTTGACTTCTGCTATGTTGCTTGGTGCCTGGAGTATCCAGCAATGGTGTGCAGAGATTTATTCGAGGCTTGGCTAGGGAGAGCTAGACAAATTGGGGCTGTGGGTCTTTTTTTCGCGGACCTTTTATTCTGCATGTGTATGCTGTTCAGGATTCATTGCAGTAATTTGGGTTCCATGAGAAGGATCGCTCACTGTTTGCCTCTTCTTGGCCTCAGGCTGTTCCTTTCTAGAGTCATGCAATATGGTCGCCGGATATCATATGTCTGGATACTAGCTTGGAGCGTCCGATAACATCCCTCCCACTAGGATCCCCCTCCTCCCCAAAATAAGAAACTAAGCAGGGCAAAGATGTAAGCGATACGCGTTTTCAAATTTCGAAAATTTTCCACGTTTTGCCATCGTTTGAGGATTGGACCTCGTGCGTTTGAAGTCAAGGGCTAAGATCCCAAAACTTTCCGACTTTCAGCCCTTTCGCTGCAATTCAGTTTCTTGGATCTGCATTTTTCAAATTTCGAAAATTCTCCACGTTTTGTTGTCGTTTTGGGATGGAATTTTGTGCGTTTGAAGCGCTAAAGTCCCTAAATTTTTGACTTTCAGCCCTTTCCCTGAGGTTCAGCCTCATGGATTTGCATTTTTCAAATTTCGAACATTTTCCACATTTTGTCGCCGTTTTGGGATTGAATTCTGTGCGTTTGAAGTGCTAAAGTCCCAAAGTTTTTGACTTTAAGCCCTTTCCCTGAGATTCAAGCTCTCGGCTTCGCGTTTTTCTAATTTCGATAATTTTCCACGTTTTTCGTCGTTTTGGGAGTGAATCCCGTGAGTTTGAAAGGCTAAGATCCCAAAATTTTTGATTTTAAGCCCTTTCGCTGAGATTGAATGCCTTGGCTTCGCGTTTTTCAAATTTCGAAAATTCCACATGTTGATGCCATTTGGGGGCTGAATTTTGTGCCTTTGAAGCCCTAAAGTCCCAAAATTTTTGATTTTAAGCCCTTTCCCTGGAATTTAATTCCTTGGATTCGCGTTTTTTCAAATTTCGAAAATTTTCCACATTTTTCGCCATTTTGTGAGTGAATTCCGTGCGTTTGGGGTGCTAAGATCCCAAAATTTTTGATTTTGAGCCCTTTGTCTGGAATTTAATTCCTTGGATTCGCGTTCTTTCAAATTTCGAAAATTTTCCACATTTTTCGCCATTTTGGGAGTGAATCCCGTGAGTCTGAAAGGCTAAGGTCCCAAAATTTTTGATTTTAAGCCCTTTCCCCCGAGATTCAATCCCATGGCTTCGCGGTTTCCTGGTTTCCTGGTTTCGTGGTTTCATGGTTTCGTGGTTTCGTGGTTTCGTGGTTTCGTGGTTTCGTGGTTTCGTGGTTTCGTGGTTTCGTGGTTTCGTGGTTTCGTGGTTTCATGGTTTCATGGTTTCATGGTTTCGTGGTTTCGTGGTTTCATGGTTTCATGGTTTCGTGGTTTCCTGGTTTCGTGGTTTCGTGGTTTCATGGTTTCCTGGTTTCCTGGTTTCCTGGTTTCNTGGGTTCAATGGGTTCAATGGGTTCAATGGGTTCAATGGGTTCAATGGGTTCAATGGGTTCAATGGGTTCAATGGGTTCAATGGGTTCAATGGGTTCAATGGGTTCAATGGGTTCAATGGGTTCAATGGGTTCAATGGGTTCAATGGGTTCAATGGGTTCAATGGGTTCAATGGGTTCAATGGGTTCAATGGGTTCAATGGGTTCAATGGGTTCAATGGGTTCAATGGGTTCATGGGTTCATGGGTTCATGGGTTCAATGGGTTCAATGGGTTCATGGGTTCATGGGTTTGGGGTTTGTTTGTTTTTGTGTCGGAGGTTTTGGGGTTGGAGGTTTTGGGTTTGGGTGTTGGAGGTTTTGGGTTTGGGTGTTGGAGGTTTTGGGTTTGGGTGTTTTGGGTTTGGGTGTTTTGGGTTTGGGTGTTGGAGGTTTTGGGTTTGGGTGTTGGAGGTTTTGGGTTTGGGTGTTGGAGGTTGAGGTTTCCGAAGGGATGTGTTTGCAAAGTTTTATTGCTCTTAATATTGACTAGCAAGTAGCACGATGTCAAAGCAAGAAGTCACGCCTTGTGCTTGGCAGCTATCTTATGCTTAAGTAGAACTAAATGCTTAGAGGTAGGGGAGCGCGTCTTTCTGTAATTGTAATAGCTACAGTTGCACTATGTGCTTATGGAGAGTGCGTCTTTCTATAGTGTTAGTATGATGCATTGGAAAACAAATGCAGCAGACGGTATAGGAGGCACTAGAAGCAATTGTAAAAACATACAAGGGAGCGCAGTGGTCATCTATTTGAAGGACCTTGCTGTAAGAGTTGGGACGTATAAATTTAAAACTTCTTGAAATCTGACCACTCGACCTGGGGGAGGTGCGGGTTCGTAACCAGGTAGTCTCTAAGAAGCTAGCGTCTTTGAGTCACTTCTAAGCTAGGTGCGCGACTGAAGTACGAGTGCAAGCAAGTCCGGGAAAGGTAGTTACAGGCTGCTGGAGATCTACGACGCAGAGACTTTCATCTCAGCGACACGGCCTGTCTCTAGTGTTTCTCGTATGCTTGTATCCCAGTCAGATTTGTTTAAGACGATAGCGAAAACTGTTAATAACGATGGCGAAAACTGTTGATAGATAAAATTCACTCTCGATTTACTTAGAAGTTGCCAAGTATGGAAGAGTCGCATCAAGTGGATCCAGGCGATTATCCTCATAGCTATCAAATATATTTGACACAGGTGGAGACCCCTGAGGCTGACAGCCCTACAATATCGAGGGCGCCTAGTTAGTAGCAGTGAGTAGTAGATGCGTTTGCGTAGTCTCTTCTTAGTGGATTCTTTCACACGCTCCTTCCTTTTTTCTTCTCGTTAAGGCTCTACCGGAACTATAAGTTTAGAAGTAGGGACTGACTGATGCCTAAGTAGCAGCGTATGGGCTATCTGCTCAGACGATCATTCTCCAAGAAAGATAGCTAATGCATGGCCACCTTTCACTATTCGCAATGTCTAGAGTTTGATGCGCATTGATGTTGTCCATGATGTCGTAAACTCTGCATAGTGTTCGTGATTTTAGTCATCCTGATGTTGTTCATTTTTGGTGGCCTTGTCTTGATTCAAAATATAACTTATGACTTTCGACGTCCACCAACTCTGTTGTAACAATTTAACTACGGAAGATGAAGAACAAGAAACAACTCTCAAAGCAAGAGATCTTTCGTCCTCGTGCCATAGAGCCACGGACTATTTTACTACCAATTTTCGTTTCCTAAAAAAATTGTACAAGTCAATTATTCAACAGAAAATAGAACTGAAGAACTAAGTTGTTGTAACAGATTCCAAAGCACTAGCAGGTATAACGCTACAGATCGCACTAACGCACTAAACTCGTTTTCACAAGAATTTGCGCAGTTTGTTGATGTCTGAACTGAATATATTTCAGAACTTTCAAAATTGTCGATGTAAAGAATGGATAGAAGTGATGAAGATTTTGTTCTACTACCATCTAGGATGTTCACGTTTACTACAAGACCAATTGTCTGTCAACAAATTCAAAGCATTTTTTTCAGAAGGCAGCATGGCTCGTCACAACACTTCCTATACACCGATATCGCTTATAACAAATAGTTACCCACCAAGGAAGAAATAGTACTAGAGGGTCCTCCTAGATGTGTGAAGGAAGAACTACCAGAGGTTCCTTCTAGATGTGCTAGGGAAGAGCACCCACAAGCTCGTCATAGATGTCTGTTAGATGGAATACTCGACTTTTATTAACAACAAAATACAAAGAACAAACAAATCAGACCGATGTTTTCGAACAACTAGGATTGATCGTTAGATGTCTTGCGCGTGATATTAATGTTTCGGTAGTAAAGCAAGTAGATCTAGAAACAGTACAAGAATGCGTTTCATTCGCCCAGGTAATGAATACACTGCGGGTGGATGACTAATGCAACCTCTGAGACTTGACAAGTCCATCAAATTGAAAATTCAAAATTCGAAAGCGAAAGGCAAGACTTCTCTGCGCCCACCCCAGCTGGTGCGCTGGGCCTTTGGCCGAAGACTATGAAAAAAATTGTACCCGCAATTACATGTTAAAAAAGTAGACAGCTCTTCACTAGAACAATGGAAAAGTGACGTGCTGCTTTTGAAAAAGATGGAGTCGTCATCAGAAGAGCACTGTTGGGAATTCGAGCGAAGCTGCCCTTGAAAAAGTAGATGGAGTATTCCTTGCATAGACTTTTGAAGTCTCGTTCCATTCCTCAATTGGACTTCTGATGTCTGTTTCTATTTCTCAAATGTGAAGCCTTTATAGAAGATGAGCAGAGTCCTTGACCTTGATTCGTCACTACATCGGTGAAGGCTTCTGATCTATAATCTTGCTGGATTGTGGCCTCCTTCGTAATTCTAGAGTGATCTTCACCATCGAGAGTTGACATATCTAAGCTCCTTTACTGAGCTTGCTGTCATCACGAATGAATCCTTGGAGCGATTGTGCTCGTTTTCCCCCGCCTCCCTTTTGTAGCTCCATTGAATTTGAAATATGTTTGACAATTTATCTTATATTTTTCAGCGAAGTCGAGGAAAAAGAAAAAGGTCTTAATGTGTCCTATTTGCTGCAGAAGAAAACTGCCCTGTTGTGCATTTCTGAAAAAGTCTATAGTCAGCAGGCTTTTGGTAGAGAAAACGACAGTCCAGGTTCATCTGGTAGAGAATTCCCGCTGAGAACTACATGTCTGAGAACTACACGTCAAGCTCTCATACTCAAAAAACAATGGCAGAATTGGAATTCAAGGGCTCGAGCCCAAGGCCCCCGCCCCGCGTTGCGCGTGAGTGTACTCCAACTCGGGCAGAGATGGAAATGACGGCTGGGCCGGACACGGTGGTCCGCAGGGCCGCCTACCACCCGTCTTCTAACGCGGTCCGAGGGACTTTTTGTTTTGTCGGAGGCTGCATTGCGGGAGCGAGATCATCCTAGGAGTCCCTAAGCAGACTCACTCCGCAAACTAGCCACTGACTAGGGCTTTCCTTGTAAATATTACTCACTTAGTACACGATCGACCTGTGATCTTCACAGAGAGTAAATTTCATTCGAAGTTGTTGATGGAAATAAGTTTGAGTTCTTCGTCTTGCAGTGTATACCATAGTGACGTATAATGTCACTTCGCAGGTTCTCGCTTCGACTCAGGAGAAACGCGTTTGCTTAATGCGGCGAAACTACACCCTGTTGCTCGGAAGAAACAAAAGATGCCCTTGGCATGCCACTCGAAAGATGACATTGGCATAACTCGTAAGAAGCAAAAGATGGCCCTCGAAAAGGTCTGTGAGCAGACGCAGACGTCCAGTGGCGAGAAAGCTGGGTAACATCTAGGAGAATATGATGATAGTGACACAAAAACTAATGTTATGATAGTAACACAAAAACTAGGAGATTATCATGATAGTAACACATCTAGGTGGAAGCACACAAAAACTAATTTGTACAAGCAATCAAAGATTAAGAGGTGTAAGTATTTTTGTCTATTTGTCGTGCCGAGGGTACGCCTGTACTTCACCAACCATGTCAACAGGTTGTTGGGCGAGGACAAAGGTACGGAGCGAGCTAGTTGCGAAATGACGGGCGAAAATATTGATGACGCACTGCGAGGCGGAAGCCGCCGAAGCCGCCGAAAGACAACAACTCTTACGGCTTACATTGAAACTCTTCTCAAGTATTTGTATGGATGCCCAAAACTGATGATTCCAATTATCGATGTTGCGGATTCCGTTACTGATGATTCCAATTGTCAATGTATCCCGCTAAGATGAGTCGGAAGCAGAACAGGGGCAATTACGTTTCTCGCGGCGTTATTGCGGAAAACTCAAGACGCTTCCGCTCATGCTCGCGACGCTCTTCGGTTGTTATGCAAAAAATTTCTGTAGACGTTTGGTGGACTTCGTATGTAATGTCAAGGCTTACCTCCTCAATGAGTGATGGTGAGTAATGTTTGATGGCGTTCCCGATGCGGTAGAGACTTTCAGTATTCAGGTCCTTGCGTTTGGTCTTCATTCCGTCTTTTTACACTTGGTATTAAGCAGCTGTTACATACTTCCCCAGCCTTACTTCCCCATCTCTAATTATGTCGCGGTTGGTTTTACGTCGCGTATTGCGTTAGCGTTACAGGAGCCAGACGTGAGAAAGAGTGGCAAACAGACGAGGATGGATGCCGACGCTGAGAGCGAGGGCGACACCGACACCTCTGACGTGGATGTTGCGGATGATGCATCTTGTGAGCTAGTGGACCACGGTAAAGGGTGTTTCCCGCATTCGTTTCTCGATGCCGCTAGCAGTGACGAGACGAGGGGAGCAGGGAGAGGCCCCCCTGCTGTGCATATTGCTGCTGCATGCTGCTCACCTTCCCCGCCTACGAACAGCGCAGGCACATTCTTTTTCATACTACCGTTTGACTTAAATTATAACTAGTAGTAGTAGAAGAAGTAGTATTATCGTGAGCCTCTCAGATTCTAAGTTTTGCAAACTGGATCTCCATCTTCGACGCAAATCCCTTTTGGACATTACAATTTGGAATTGGACTATGAAATGTGATATATCCCTCCCAATGATCATCTTCTATTTCCGATTCACAATCTAGGTCAAGCTGCATCTGCATCGCAGCCAACGACAGACGCAGGTGCATCCGATGCGCAGCGGTCAGCGGCAAATGCACAAGGTACAACCCAGTCAGCGAAAGGAGCGAGCGCGGCTCCACTCCCGTCAGCGGCACGAGTAGAACAGCAGCCGGTGCCCCAGTCAGCCGAAGAGAAAGCTGCATCCGAGGCAATGGCAAATACAGAAGAGAGTGGCGCACTCCCACTCGGCCCAGCGGCAGAAGCAACAGAGCAAAAGATCAAAGAGAAAGATGAAGACGGTAAGAAGATGTTGATGAAAGATCTTAGTATGCACTAGAGTTATCTTCCCTCGCATGTTGACTGTCCACATTTTCCTTCGTATGAAATCAGAGAGAAGAGCAAAAGAACTAGCATCCCCCATAGCGTTCTTCTTCACACAATTCTGTGCGCGCCTGCAGAGAGGGCTTCCTTCATGCGAGCGCACGCGGAATGGTGGACCTGATTAGGGTAAACTCTATACTCCATGTGTAAAGGACTTACTTTTTCATTCCTCTCTTCCTCAAAAACAAAATCAGGCTGGTGTGCTCCGCCAAATTACACAGTGTCTGAGCACACATCCGGTCGTGATGAGTATTACGACCGGGACGAACTTACTGATGATGAAAAATGGTCAATCGCCATGATTGGAGGAAATCACTTTGACGAGTACGGGTGGGGGCCGGCGTCGCCCGTACTATCAACATGCGTCAACTTCAATCCGGGGGTCAACTACGAAGCCCTCAAGTGCAATCAGGTGTTTCAGGGAGCAACAGAAGCCACAAATTGCGAAGACAAACCGTTGAAGGCCAATGTCAACGCGCTCGTGGTTACGGATCCTCACCGCGGTCCTACGCAGTTCCAACGGTTTGTTTGGAAAAAACAGGAGCAGCCTGGTGAGATGTTTTGGAGGGTAGGAGGAGCGTGCAATATTATGACAAGGATTGGCTCTTTGAATACACGCGCAGGACCTTAGAGCTGTCTTTTCGTTTTTTATCATTGTAACTGTATCAAATTGAGCTCTAATCATTCGGGAGCAAGTACGGAAACTGGTCGGGCTCGAGTGCATGAAACGGCCGTAACAGACCCGGAGCACTTTTTTGAAGGACTGGGGAGTCGCCCGGGCGTCAGTGTGGAGGCTTTTGAGCGAGGGATTTGCGTCGAAGATGGAGACAAGAGCAAGACGCCGGCATGCAAGATGGCGAAGTGCGTGCCCCTCTGCAAGCCACCGCAAGAAATTCTCAAAACGGATGTAGAGAAAGGAGATTCGCGCATAATGTGCGTGAACATCCGACATAGCTATGTGCCACGGGGACTATCTGACTGGACCGACGGTGGGATAAAAACGCTGAGCGAAAGTCATAAACCTGGGAACGTCTGGCTCATGGGTGACGACGTTGTCCAAGTTATGATAAGAATTCTCAGCAATTCAGTTTCAGACTACAACTACGTACAGGCTTTTGCTTTGAGTTTCGAGAGTTCTTTTATCATGATCTGCGTTTGATGAATCACGCAAGAAAAGCTTGTGTCCACCGTATCCATGATTGACATCCACAAGTACTACTGTTTGAAAACGCCTAGCAGCTCTAATCTGAAGGTAGGAAATAGAAGAGGAAAATGCGTTCCGAAGCTGGAAAAGGAAACGATAAAGAAGACGGATCCCACAACACGTGAGCAGGTCGAAGAGACGCGGACATGCATGACCATGAGCTTCGTCGAGGAGACACCAGGATCAGCGGGTGCTAACGGCCAGTCGACGCCAGCTGCAGCTGGACCCAGTTCATCGACACGAGAGCAAGCTCCATCCAGGTCACCAAGCGCTGGCGGTGATGGAGGTATTTACGTTAATCTTTCACAATTCAAGATTTTGTCCGTACACCTAGCTACTATCAAAGCAGTAATCAGTATAGCCATTGTAACCAGATTGAGGTGAACCTCTTCCCATGTTCAGAAGACTTACTATTCATTCCTTTCTCCCTCAAAACCAGGCGATTGTGAGACGCCGGGGACAGTAGTGTCTCAGCATGCAGGCGAGAAAGACCAGTTTTATTATCTGGACGGGGAATTTGAGAGCTTGTCCAAGGGCTGGAAAGCAGCAATCGCCACAAAAAGTGGACCAGGTCTTGATTATCTTAATACGGTGTTCAAAGTGGATCCGAGCCCCGTGCTATCGGGAGAGTTTGGATGCGTGGATTTGGGGAAATACGAATTCAAGAAATGTGAAGACATGGGTTCTGATAGTCAGAAGTCTCCTCACCTAGATGGATGCTTTGACGATGGCAAAGGGTTTCACGCTACGAGTGATGGTTTCTCATTCAGTAGGTTTGTTTGGGCAAAGCCAGAGCAGAGCACGAACGGGAACGCCGATTTTTGGAGAAAGGATGGCGCGCCCTGCAATGTTATGATGAGGATGCTCTCAGACTTCAATTGTTGCAAAATATGTCGCGGCTTCGCGTTGTAGTTGTGTCAGGCTTTCTCCCCAGAATTTATGGTAGATTCTGCACTATCTCTTTATGCATTTGCGCGGGGTAGCTAGGTGATAAGAAGTCCCACGATGTGACCTCTAACTTTCCAAACACGGACATGAAAACTAGCGTTGGTGTGCATAGAATACCTTTGGTTGCGAAAGAGCCGGATAATTTTTTTGAGGAGAAAGAAGCCAAGGACAAGATGGGCGCGGGGATTATTGCGCGAGGGGTTTGCAATCGCGTAGTTGTGCAAGACACCATGACGAAGGGGCACTGCACGAAATCAATTTGCCATCGCGTCTTGCCCTTCTGCGAGCCGCCGCTGGTCGTTTTCACAGTTAGCGGACACGGTCAACTTGGTCTGACGAGTGCAGAGGTCACAGTCGAGTGGAATGGGAGTCTTAGGCGGAACGAATACCAACTACGAGACCCTGTTGGGGCTAATGCACTCCAGGATCTCTTGACGAATGAGGCCGCGCTCAAGGATAGGGTCGAGAAATATTCTTCGCTGGAAAAGTGCCTCAAGATACCTGGAGAGAGATATTTCTCACAACCAGGGTTGAATAACCTCGACAGCGCGAAGATTGAAGGAATAGTGAGGCGACACAGCGGCCAATTTTTCGATGACGTCTGGCGACAAGGTGACGTCAGCTTTATGCCAAGAACTTTCAGCAGTCAAGTGACATACTACAGCTATAGGCTCTCTTTATTCTGAGTTTCTTGAGTCGTTGTATTATCCATTGCTTGCAAGAAGGCACGCAAGAAAAGTTCGCATCGTATCCATTTACGTCCCAAATTTTAAAAACCCACATGAGTTCTAATTATCTCACGAGGGACGGCACGGAAATCAAAGGCAAATGCGCATTCCAGGAGCGGAGGGAAACGGTAATGAAGAATATTAATGGAGATATGTGGGAGCCAAAAATGACAGCTGAGAATGTAGCAGAGACTAGGAAGTGCAGGGTCACGACCTTTCAAACGACATCTGACAGGTCGTCAGGGGAAGGGCCCTGATCAAATTGCAGCGAGGTAATATTGACATAACGAGACAACGATAACCTATTGATGTTCTTACAATTACAAGCATAGACTAGGCGGTATGGCTATGACTGATCTGATCCGGCGCTCGTAGTACGGATTCTCAAGAACATGATAAAACGAAGCTCAATATTGTTGATATACATGTACGATGAGAACTTCTCTACTGTAAATTCCCCGATCTACCAACCCTCACAGGTATAATAGTAGATGGTGGTAGGGGAGGCGGTTGCTTACGGAGTTCGAGAATTTTTGGGTGAGGGAAAGCAACCGGGAAAAATGGACAAAGGCGGAGGAGAAGGCGTTGTGGGACACGGACACGGTTTGTGTGGAGGGAGACGGTTTTTCTTACGCGGGATCGTGAATTTTTGGTCGAGGAAAAAAACTATGGATGAAAAGGTGCTGTCGTAGAGTTCTGTTATTTTTGCTGTACTAATTTATGAGAACAAATTCTTCGTTTCTTTTTCTCCTTACTTTTCGAGGCACCAATGCACTAGGTGAGAATCACACCAGCCTTGTCGATGATACCAGTCACTCGTATAAAGAAAAAAGTGCATGGCCAAGAGCTGGGTGCTCCTTCGTGCCCGACGACAATATGCTTGGGCGCAGTAAATTCAGTGAAGTAGGTGAGATACTTAATCTTCATTCAGCAAGAACTGGAATTTGATGCAGCACGTTGTAGGACTTTCCACTTTCGAAAAATGCAAAGGTTGACCTATTGGTAGACTTACTCATGAACAGAGACAGGATCATCATTGAAATTAAGCCGGATTTGTACAGATTCAGGAAGTTGTTCTCGAAAATTAGACGATCGTTTCCAAGAATATTGATTCCGAAGAAAAGGACACCTAAAAAAAGACAGGCAGTTTCGAACTAAGTCAGAGTATCTCAAGACAGGTGTTGAACATAAGTTGATCGATGAGTTTGTTGCTTGGCCAGATTGATATTTAGAAAACATGGTACGTAGAACTGAGTTACTGCGGCTGAAGATTTGACACAGTTTATCCGCGGTGAATGTTAACAAAATGCAGAGCTAGAGCACAAGACCCAGACGGATGAAAGCAAGGGGCCCTATCATCATGACTGGACGTTAATAGAACAAAAGAAACATTTCTACCTCTAATGAGCGCTCAAAAACACCAACTTGACTCATTCTTGATCCATTGTCTTTGAACTTCTACTACAGCAGGTGACTTGATTCTTGATGCATTATCTATCGATACCCTATGAAGGGGCAAACAACCACTACTACTGGTGACTTGATTTTTGATGAGTCGTCTCCCAACCTCTACGAATGTCACTCTCAGAGGGGAGAAGACTACTTTCTTCTACGCAGGAGCGGCCGTCGGTGTTGCTTTCTTCCACGCAGATTGAAGAAGTTTTTTTGAGATCTTTGAGTGAAGGAGTCAAGGTTCGCCTCTACCAGAACTCTACTCGACTGCATGCACTCTACTGTGAAACTTCTCTGCGCCCATCGCAGCTGGTGCGTTCGCGCTTTTGTCGAGGACTTTGAAAATGATCGGCAAAGCGGAACTTCTGGTGATGATCGTAGTACACTAAAAGTTACTTAGTAGTAGTAGTAGTAGTAAACCCATTCTAGGGGTACATCGTGCTTGAGCTTGAGGAAGGGTGGGGTTTATAAAACAAGAAGAAGCCAGTACTTGTACTGGTGGTAGTGAGCTATATGATCGTCTGCATATGGAGCTATATGAGCTTTTTTTATTTGAGTTTACACCAACAAGACTTCGATAGCAAACGATACCTATCTTGCTGGACGATCCTTCCAAGCTTGGTCAATTATTCAGTGCGCTGACAATTCATCATCGAGTAATGATTCATCTTGTGGTCGTTGAGTAGGTCATTTATTCGAGAGTTTGGATTTGAATATCAGAATTGATTATCATGCGGGTCTTAGATTAACGCCCGGCATCGGACCATACTAGCTCACTCAGCACGAATCTGCTGTGCCTTTTGAATGTAATCCCCAAAGAGACACTGCGATCAACAAGATGAGGAGTCCTGCCAGGTCAGTTGCGTCTTGCTCCACTGCAAGTGTAACGCCAGAACTGCTCGGCGTGGAAGCTGCTACTTCTTCTAAAAGAACTGTCGCGAAGAACAAAGACGCAACACCAGAATCGTTTCCCGTGGAGGCTGCCTTGGAAGATATTACAACAACCAGCACGAAGAACAAGGACGCAACAATCAGCACGAAGAAGGAAGATATTACAACAATCAGCACGAAGAAGGAAGATATTACAACAACCAGCACAAAGAAGGAAGACGCAACAACCAGCACGAAGAAGGAAGATATTACAACAATCAGCACGAAGAAGGAAGACGCAACAACCAGCGCGAAAAACAAAGACGCAACAAGCGTTAAGAGCAAGCAAGCTGTGCCTGACGCTTCGACTGCTACTGCAGTGGAGAAGGTGTTATGATGGGGTTTCGTACTCTCGTGGCCGTGAGGTGTCTATTCTTCAGTAATTCTATACAAGTTTTCTCACATTGTTTACAGCGTCTATTGCGTTTCTTACGATAAGGAGCTGCTATTGCGTTTCTTACGATAAGGAGCTGCTATAGCGTTTCTTAAAGAATAAGGAGCTACTATTGGGATTCTTAGGATAAGGAGCTACTATTGGGCTTCTTAGGATAAGGAGCTAGCATTGCGTTTCTTAGGTTAAGGAGCTAGCATTGCGTTTCTTAGGATAAAGAGTTCTCCCACCACCCTGCATCTCGTCGCAAGTTTGAAGATATTGACGAAATACAACTCCCCCTAATGCTGCTGAGAAAAGCGCGCAGTTCAACGCCAGGCATTGTCGGACGAACACTAGACGCTGAGGATCGCAAAAGCAAAAAAAAGGAGAAAAAAGCCGAAGACTCGAAAAAGACTGGGGACCCCGAGAAGAAGAAGAGCAAACCAACAAAGCATAAGGAGGGCGATCCGAAGTCTTCCTCTAACGTTTATGAGACGTAGAGATTAGAGGGGCAAAGAGTTGCTTTTGATGCTATAGCATTCCGACTTGAGTTGGGGAATCGAACAAAAGCCTGATCTGATTTACTTGACGGAAAACTCTAGTTAGATTTTTAGGGAGATAGCTGCAAGCCACTGTAGTAGAGCAATCTTGGTTCTGACGAGGATCTCCTAAGGAGTTGGGCGTGCACCTAAAGAGGATGGCTTGGAAACAACGTCGCGGGACCCGAGTCAAGTGCTGTTAAGGCACAGCAGTAAGTTCGTGTTTCAAGCAATTATACTAGAACTCAAAGTGACTACTTAGTCCCTTTGAGTTCTAGTATAATTACAGTTGCGGAGACTGGGGGACTCTAAGACTCTGCGACAACCATGATGGTGTCGTCTCACGTGCAGCAACAAAAGGGCTTCTGAAGGACGCCTCTTCTGGATCTGCAGATGCATGCGTGACTGACAGCACCTCTGTCGGTGGCGGTGGGGAAGGAGGAGCGGAAGGGAAGCCTGCTAAAAAAGAGAAAAGTAAAGCGAAAGAAGCAGTGAAGCAAAAAGTTAGGGAAGTGAGTTGCTCCGTGGGCTCAAAGGTTGATACATCCAGTAAGAAAACCCAAAAAAAAGCTAGTATAAACATTAAAGATCAAGATCATCAACCTATTGTTGCTGTTCCTAATGTTCCTGCCGATGTTTCTGGAGTTTCTAGTAGTGCTTTTGCTGTGTCTAGTCCTTGTGCTGCTACTGGTCCTTCTACTGGCGCTGAAGAGAATCAAAAGTCTATCTCTGGAGTACCTGAAAAAGTCCCGCCTTCTGGAGTACTAAGGGAGAAACCCGCTGTCGGAGGAGCAGCGCAGAAGCCGACGGCAGATGGGAAGGCTACACCAGAGCAGAAGACTGCTGCATCGAAGAGTGCTTCTACTGCGACAGCACAGGTGAGTAGCTTATCAGGAGAAAAGGCTGCTGCAGCACGGGACGCTAAAAAGGCTAGCAGCAGCACGGCAACGGGCGAGAGTAAAAAGGCTAGTAGTACGACAGCAAAGAGTAGTAAAATGGCTAGTAGTACGACAACGAGATCGGAGACTAAGAAAGCGACTGCCCCAAAGACAGATACTGATAAACCTGCGATCCCTTCCACATCCAAAAAAATCATCCAAAAGAAGTCCGAGAATGCAGCGACTGCTGCAGTAAAGGAGGAGCATCCGAAATCTACCCCTACTACGGCACCAGATCCGAAATCTACTCCTAATACGGTACTACATCCGAAATCTACTCCTACTACGGCACCAGATCCGAAATCTACTCCCAATACGGTACTACATCCGAAATCTACTCCTACAACGGTACCGCAGTCGAAGTCTACTCCTAGTACGGTACCGCAGTCGAACTCTTCTCCTAGTACGGCACCACATCCGAAATCTACTCCCACAACGGTACCGCAGTCGAAGTCTACTCCTAGTACGGTACCGCAGTCGAACTCTTCTCCTAGTACGGCACCACATCCGGAATCCACCCCTTGTGGAAATAAGCGTGCTACTCGAGGAGAAAAGCATCGGCCGCCACAGCCTTTGGATCGATCCCTGTATGATGTCGATGAAGAATATGGCAATGGCATATGTCTGAGGTCACTCGGCTAGAAGTTGGGTTTTTCAGCATTCATCCTATTTTCTTTTTATTTTTCAGTTGCAAAACAAGAGAAAGGGCTTGGGTAGATACTTTCAAGATAGGTACTTTCAAGATGGATACTTTCTTCAAAGGCAGTCGGATGATAAGAGTCACTACCTTATTTCTCGACCATGCTTCATGTTAAAGCAGAGAGCATGGACTCCTCTCGCGATTCTTCTCGCAAGGAAAGGACGGACAGCTCTAGTACGCGCACACGATTACACGAAACGAGATCTGAGACCACTGAAGGATGCCCAGTCCCTGAAGGGTACTCGAAAGTCATTTTATGGCGATCTAAAATATCTAGATGGATTGGGAACTTGTTATCTCAAGAGACTCATCGACGAAACACCTCCTAGAATTGAGGAATATCTTTAAAACTAGACTCTTTCTCTTGTTGACCTAAATCGCCGACTCCGGAGACTAAAAACTTTTTTTTTTAACAATCGTGAATATCTGTAAAAGTGAGGGAGTGCAATTGTTTTTTGTCTCTAAATTTTCAACGTACTGCATCTTCTGCCGAATATGTGCGAAATGACTATGACGCTGTCGTCTTCGAAGGCAAACGGAGAGCGCAAGTCGCCTGCGAAACAGTGCATCATAATTTAAGGCGAAAGATATCTGTGCATCATAATTTACCGAAGTATGTGCATCATAATTTGCATATACGTACTCCAATCGGAGCTACAGCTTCACTGAGCCTATAGATTGAGCTTGAGTTCTAATCGCCGCTAGTGGAGGGCCAGCGGTTTCGACACAGCGCGCAGAAAGTGTGATCGAGCATTCAGTGTCTTTTAACCTGCAAGACGTCGAGCAAATCCAGCGCGCAAGGAAGCTACAGCGACAATTGGAGGCAACGTTAAGGGCTAGGGTGTGATGAGGAAGTCGTAGTGGGCGAAGGATGATACTGTCATGGAATAGGAAGGTTTTGAGCTGTCCTCGTCTACATATAGGAGGTCGAGTCTATGTCATAGGAGGTTTTTGAGCTACCTATACTTCATTATTCACGTAGTGAAGCAGAGTCAGGGTCCATTCCTCCCAAGAGCGACAATTGGATGCAAAGTTAAGGGCTACAGGATGTGATGAGGAAGTTGTTGAGAATGGGTGTAGGACAGGGTCTGTTTCTTCTAAGAGATCGAAACCTCGCAAAGTGGCAAGATCGGATCAAACTCTGGGAGAAGATTCCAGACTGGGTTACGGATGACCCGGACGTCTATGAATTGAAGGTACTTCACAGAAGTGACGTCTCTGAATTGCTGCTAGTAGTACTTGCCCACAGTGTAAGTAAGAGTGACTAGATGAAGACCGTAGATAACGCATGTTGAGTAAAGAGTAGGCGAGTGCATCCCCATCTAGTGGGCTGGCGAATGCTTGTTACCTCTTGCTCAGATCGAAGGCTCGTTCACAGCAGATGTCTAAGACTTCAGATTTTTAAGACTTCACCGCTTGTAATTTTCCACTCGCGTACGCGTAGTTTTCACCTGAGATTCTGCCACCTTTCTTGAAGGTAATAGGACAAGGAAATGCGGCTTACTTCGTGGCACGTTGTAGACTTTGCGATAAGTTCGCTTTTCCCGAAGATAGCAGTCGTGGGTATAATAGTAACTAGTGAGTTGTAGCAACTACTAGCTCATACATTAGTGTTTACCAAATCGATTCTATGATTATCTCCTATCCTATCTTATCCTATGAAGGTTGTATTCGAAGGATCGCCTTGGGCGCATTTCGTGGCACATTGTAGACTCTGCAACAAAGAAGCTTTTCCAGAGCAGCATTTAGGGTAGTCTTATTTCACTGTGGTATTGATAATTTTCTGTTTGTTTCATCTACTTGTCTCCAATCCCTTTGCAGTCATCCTCAAGTGCGAGTAGGTTAGTGTTTAAAAGGATTAGCAGGTAATTGTTATCCACTAGGAGCAAAAAACCCAGTAGTGCCTTGCACGAGCAGTAGGTTGAAGATTTATCTCTATCGTTTGAGCTTTCCCTGTCTTTGTTGTCCAAATCTAGTGTTCTTACTTCAGCTCTTCAAGCGCTGCACTTTCCTTATTCATTCTCTTATTTCATTATAACTGCTAACAAACTAATGGTTGTTCCTTTACTTTGCGCCATTCTTCGCACCCACACAGCAATACACATCGCGAGAGCGCGCTGCACCAGAAAAAATGGAAACAATATGCTAAGGCTAGTCTTTCACTCTCCCATGTAGATTATGCTGAGGGAAGTGCCCCTCGAGCTAGAGGGGAAACCAGAGCGAAAGCGGGCAACTCATTCAACCACCGATAGTGAAAAACTAGCGCTAAATATGAAATCTATGGCGCGCATGGCATGGATTTAGTTCCTACGACGGGACCAGACCAGAATGGAGGCACAAACTTTATGTCGCCCCCGCCGATGGGGCCAAGGACTGTCACAGGAAGTACTGCTCTTTCAAGGACTGAGTGACTCTGCTTAGATTCTTGCTGGGTCCTCTCATTTTCTTTTCCAAATCAAACCCGCAATCTTTCTTGCGAAGACTTATCATGTGAGGCCCTAGTACCATCTGAAGACGTGCCAGTTGCATTTACGTACAACTACAGCACTAGTTCCGATCGCCACAAAGCCAATCAGTCTCCCTCAATCTTTTTTCCCACAAGGTAACTTCGACAATCACATGCCAGAGTTGGCAGAGTGCGCAAGGACTTTGACACGACTGCCACCAGATGAATGGAGGAGCATTGGTGAACACAGGAGTGGAATTTTACAAGTCGATGTGCAACAAAGCGAAAGGATTACGAGGAGGACTAGTAATCATAGTAATCATCTACATAGTAAGTCGGAGTAATCATCTATATAGTAATCGACTTTTTTAGTAAGTAGGAGTCAACACTCGTACATCAAGGGGAACAACTTATAACTATTAGTAAGTAGGAGTAGCAGGTGGAGCTAGATGGCTTGATAATGTTAACGGTAGTCCACACTACAAGAAGAGTACAGCTAGACTCTTCTAGAATTAGACTAGACCCTATGTCTGATGCAAGAAGAGTATGATGATACACTAGCTACAATTGTATGCTGATACTCATTTACAGGAGATGAAGCAAATGATTTACCTCTACTACGAGAACCAATCTCTTCTGGCTAGATTGTTCTCACTTTCAACCAACCTCAGGTGTCAGTCACGGGCAGCGTGATGGACCCCAACGGACGACTAGTGGCCCACGCGTTGGCGAAAGTGACCCCTTTGTGTGCCAACCTGTGCGACGACCGGCTCCCAGGCCGCCACGTGAGTCAAGAAATGTTACCACTCCTTTAAGGCAAGTAAGGATAACAACTCACGCTCTAGTCAGTCCTCGTAGGGTTGAGGCAGTAAAGCTCAGCACGATTCAGGGCTTCCCAGTATATCTTTGGGATGAAGTTGTCCTCAAAGTCTCCATGTTACAATGCTCCGGAGTGGTCAGAGTAACAGTTTCTCCTAGACTTGGATGCAGGCACAATCTTCGTAGCTAAGTAGTACTAGTACTTCTGACTTTGCCACCCCTAGAACCCTTTTCCTCTAACAAAAACCACGAATGAGCGCAGCTCTGCAGAGACGAGCGGCACGCCGAGTATTACGCAAGTCGCTCCGAGTACGATAGGTCGAGGCGCCAGTCCCTCCAATGACAATTTTTCACCCGCTGACAGAACGCTGGCCTCTTAGTACGGCTACAGGAAATCCATCTTGGTCCTTCCGTTCTTCAACAGGGAACAGGCAACAGGGACCCAAGAGGGGTCTGCAGACGGACACAAGATCATGAGTCTCAGTTCTAATCTTACGGAACGTTCGAGCAGCAAGGAGCGCAAGACGCAGACCAGTCCTCCATCATGGACCGATCGGCGATAAACCTAAGTCAAATTCATGAGTTACCTTCTGTCGCGATCGCAACCAGTTTTGAAGACAGGCCGCCGGGCGCTATTCTTAAGGGGAGCGGTTTTTTTAGAAAGTCGTAGTCTTCTTCTAAGTTTCATATCTAGAAGTTGAAGGATGAATTCAGTAGCTTACCCTTATTGACCTCAAGTAGCGCATGCTATTCCTAGAAGCACTGTCAAGAGTTCTTACATGCTACTTCTTGGGATGAATATCTTCTAATACCCAACTATCTGGGCATCAAATTGCGACACCTATGCTTTTTCAGCCGAATCCCGAGAACCAAGGACTGAGTGAGCAGCAAGTTTTTACCATCGCAAGACAAATTATGAAGGACAAGGATACACTCACACTCAAAAGAGTGGCTAAGAAGGGCCATATCAGGGCTACACATATGACAAATTCACTCACGCGCAAAAGGGAAATAGCGCCTATGACTTTCCACGAGGAAAAGAGCCCTCTATTTTTGAAGAGAAAAAGGTACTCTATTTCTGAGGAAAATAGAAAGAGTCCTCTTTTCCATCTGAGGAGTGTTAGTGTTTTCTTCTCTCTTCATACGCAAGCTGATTCGCGACGTGCCGCCCGAATGGGTTAGACAAGAGCCGGATGTGTACCAAGTTCGATACAAAGACTGCGTGACCTATGATATGGCGCAAAGAAGACACGCAGCATCATTTACTTCAAGTACAATCAGGCCCATCAAGGTTAAATCAGACACACCTGTTCGTGTTCAACTAGTACACCCACTTAAAGCGCAATGGGTTGAAGGGTTTATCTTAGTACTTTGTAGTGTAGGCAATCCGTGGTAAGAACGCAGCACTTGCTGGTGGAGATAGCTGGAGCGGAAAAAGAGGTGCAAAAATTGCTTAATAGAGTTCCAAATCGAAACCACATCTAACTATTGTATCACTTTTTGTTTTTTCTTTGTCTTCCCTAGAAAGATAGGTCTGCTCCACCGGGCATACTATGATGCCTTATCGAAGTACCCTCGGGTTTTCTAATCTCCGTTATTTCGAAGCTCGGTGTATCTTGTGCGACAGAATTTGCTGGCCTGAGGATCATCGTGGCAATACGCATCGCGAAAGCAGAGACCACAAAATTAAGAATTCATCTCTTAACAAGATCCATCTTGGAGGAGTTGAAGATACGGAGCTCGAAGATTTTGGAATTTTTCAAAATTCCGTCAGCGCCACCATTTTCTAAGTCGTAATTAGAGCTAAGGACTTACTACGTTTACACGTTTTTGCATCTTCTTCGAGAGTGCTACGTTTCTATCCTCAGGGGCTTCTACAAGAGCATTCAACATCATTGGCCTCTTTTTAAAGTAGAAGTAGAAAAACAGCGGCCGCAGAAGATGAATTAGTGTCCCCAAGAGGAAACAGTCGAAGCAACGGAGCTCGAAGATTTTGGAGTTGTTTGGAATTTGGAACTGGAGCCAGTTCTAAGGCCCTCCAATTGTCAAAATTTGAAAAATTTGAGTGGGGACGTCTTCTAACAGAAGGTTGTATGGGTATCACGTACAGCGCCGTCGAAGTTTGGAAGACCAGTACAGGACTATGGACTTTCTCAACATGATCCCTGAGGATGACGAGGACGCCGAACAGAGATCACGCCTACAACGTGGAGGGTTACACTTGGTGCATGAAAATCGTCCATCTGGTGGTGGAGGAGGAGGTGGAAGTGGGAATTTTGGAAGTGGGAATGTAGGTGGAGGAGGTGTTGCTGGAGGTGGTGGAAGTGGGAATTTTGGAAGTGGGAATGTAGGTGGTGGAAGTGGAAATGTAGGTGGTGGAAGTGGGAATGTAGGTGGAGGAGGTGTTGCTGGAGGTGGAGGAGGACATGTAGGTGGCACCGGAGAACGATCGGGAAACGTAGTTCCGGTAGGTGGAGGAGGACGCTCGCAACGACAAGCTCCTCTTCAACAGAAACGTGCTGTAGGGCTGGTTTTTGATCGGGTTTTTACATTGTTAGAAGTTTCGTCACTACAATCTCGTCACAGATTATGGATGTATTTTTTTGCTCTAATTCCTCATCCACGTCCTCAGCAGCAGCAGCAGCAGTCTCTGTATAGTTCCGAGACAGAGTCGATCGTCGACACTCTGAGTTCTACAGTGAATTAAGAGTAGAAGCACTTCATTTTTACAAGCCTTCTTTAGTTAAGAATGCCAGTGAAAAATGAATTGTTTCAACATTTAAGTGAATATCGACACTCTCAATAGTGGCACCACGAAAGCTCTGCATACGGGAGTTTTGACTAATTCGAAAATCAGGGACATGGATGCGCGTCAAGTTTTAAGACTGTACTAACCCATAGTGTCTAATTCTGGTTGATTAAGGCTTTTTTTTTGGTTCCTTTCTTTGAGCACAGCTTCCCTCTGATATATTTTTCTGTTATTAGCTCACTTGATGACGCTGTAGCTGTCCTGTCACGCTTCTTCCCCAACTTCAAGGGACGCGTGACCCTTCCGCCTTAGGACAACTGGGGAACAACTTTATAACATTACTTTTTAGAAGTTCATTTGAGCACAACTTCTGTCTATGGAGAGCAACGAACACGGGTAATTCATCGGTTAAACCATCCTGCCTTTCATCTAATCGAGGACAACATTAGTTGGGATGTAATGGCTGCGTGTATGCCTGCTGCACTCGGCACAGTGGAGGAGCTGGCGCAAAACCCTACACCCTTAGATGTAGTCATTAAGGCCGTCATCTTCCGCGTGCTGGTACTAGTACTTGCGAATGGGGGAGATGCCGAGAAAAAGCATTTTCTTGAATGAGCTTTCAGCTCAACCATCTTAATTCTAGGTGTTGTGCATCTTTTAGCAAGCTCTATTTAGTTCAAATCTCTCACTACAAAATCCTCTTTCCTCTAATTTCCATGGTTTCTCCGCTTTTAACCAGGCGAAGCGAACCTTTTTAGACAAGAGCAGCGCTGTTCTTGGGAGAGACATGGATATGACCGCGGCGCCGAACGGCTACGACCGATGTGGGCTGGGTGTCATTATGGGAAAAAGCTGTAAAGCTTCAGCATCTTGTTCATTCAATCCGCCACTAGCGCTTGTGGTTGTGTCTAGAAGGCGGGAAGCAGAAGAAAGCTTCGGCTTTTGTGGTATCATCACTCTGATAACTTCATCACTCTGATTGTAGTAAGTGTCTAAGAACGCCGGCACTTTCAACTTGGTCACCACGAAGTGTCCGGCTGGTGGCAAAGGACGTCACTCAAGTGGCCAGAGTAGCTACGCTTCGGGTCGTACCTATACCATGAGTAAATTATGGGTACATCATTATTAGTCTCTATGGGCACTACGGACAGTGTCATCAGGGGCATATACATGACATTATTACAAAAATTGATTCAGAATGGATTCCATTTGCAATTATTACAAAGGGACTCAAGGTTACAAAATTTAGCTCTGCTGAATGGATTCCCTGGATTTGAGACGCAATGATGACGATGTAAGGAATAGAAAGGATGAGCAGTCCACGCTACTACTGAGCCACGGAGATATAATGATTGCCTACTTCTACCTTTAAATCAAGACATGGGCGGCGCACTGTCGAAGAGGAAACTCTCTGCACTTCCATCCCACATCGTCGGTCCGCGGACGACCATGTCGCGTATCACCACAAGGGATGGGAGGAGCGTCTACCGTGACCAACTCTCGGGACGCGAGAGCTGCTATTCTTAAGGCGAGAGATGACTCACTACCTGCTCTAACTCTATCTGGTGTGCTCTGTGGCTTTGATTCTGAGTGAAGAAGTTGTTCTTTCCCTGGTGATTTGGAGGGGAGACGATGTTCGCCTTGTGATTTTTAGGAAAGAAGAGCAATAGGAAAGAACACAACTCACACAACTGTGAGAGTCTATCCCCAGATAGTAAGTGTCTATCAAACACAGACCATAGTGAGTCCTCGTTTCTAGCGTTAATATTCTACAGTAAGCATCTCGAAAAACTCGGTGATAAACAAGAGTTACGGCTTCCCCGAATCCCTCTCCAGAAGCATCTCGAAGCTGTCCCATAAGGGGTAACTAAATAGGTCCGAGATGGGTCTCAGGATCACCGAATAGGATGAGCTCTAAAAGAGCGGCCGCGTCTCAGTGACATGGCAGGATCACCAGAATGTCTGCCAGTTGGCGATGCAAGGTCCCAAAGAAACAGGAACAAGTCCGTATACTTTCACTTAAGGGCGGTTCGTTTACAGGGTACTATTTGTATTTGATTCAGCTTATAGCACTAAAGTAAAACAACCGGCTAGCTTTCCTTCTTATCCTTAGGATTATCCCTGCAAGCAATAACTACAACCCATATCCTTCCACAGGGCGACACTCTTGTTGGAAATTTCGACTTCCCATCTATTTCTCATTTTTCTTCAAGTCATCTTGCAGAGATTGAGAGTCACGATCTTGTAGTTCAAAATCAACTTGAAACTCTGCTTATTAGCCAAGTTCACGTTAGCATGGTTCACCTTATGAGTTTATTCTGCTTTTTCAAGCTTGTCTAAGCTTCTTGCAGCGGCAAGGGCATCTCAGGTCGTCAGCCACCTTTTGAATGGATTATACTGCGGCCATCGAAAAACAGCCTGAAGTGCGCGGAAGGTATGCAGTATTATTGCCTGTTGTGCGAGTGCTGGCCTTAAGGCTACTGCTGGAGCATGTTTCCTTATAGTATCATGATGATCCTTGGTAGTTCTTTTTCTACCCCAGAAAGAAGCCAAGGATGCTCGTTGCATGCGAAGACGATAGCTCTAATGGCCGCAAGACGATGAAAACCCTGGGATCAATCATACCGATGATATGGATGCTGTTTTTTCTTCCATCTTTCACAGACCATCATCTAGGCTAGTGCGCCTTTTTAGTCCCTTGAAAGTGTATACGTCCGCTTGATAAACCTGCATAAAAATTTTGAAGGGGAACCTCGATGGTCAGTTAAAGATGGGAGAAAAAACAACATCCATAGATTAAGGACCGGGATACCACGAAAAAAGGCTGGGGTATTATCTAAGGCTCTTTCTGACTATAGTTAGTGGGGATCATGTCGAGTCCCTGCCTAAATAGTACCTTTTATCTTTCTGGCTATAGTTAGTGGAGATCATGTCGAGTCCCTGCCTAAGTAGTCATCTTTCTGACTATAGTTAATGGGGATCATGTCGAGTCCCTGCCTAAGTAGTCATCTTTCTGGCTATAGTTGGTGGGGATCATGTCGAGTCCCTGCCTAAGTAGTCCCTGCCTAAGTTGAACCAGACGCACCTCTAATCAACGGCGGAGCAAGACGCGAAGAAGTACGACGAGCCCGATGGGAAGCGATCCGCAAGTTTTCTCCCAGAGTCTGGAACCAAGAATGGACAACCGACGAGATCGCAAACATGGTTGGTCTTAGGGATGAGTACGTTATTTAGTTTCCGTTACTTTAGTTACCCTGAGAAAGGCATGCCCATGCGAAGCCATGTCAGTACGTAACGGGACCGCTTGCATTGTCAATGAGCTTTTCACTTTGCTGCCTATAGTCGCTACTATCGCACAAGATATATCCTCATCTAAGAATCAAGGATTTTTTGCTATCTATCGTACACTATGGCCCGAGGAGCAATTTGCTGTCAGAAGGGCTTTGCACATGGGTCGTATGTTCGCAACGAATTACGTACAGGAAGGGCGTTGCACAATGCAGGACATCATCAGTAACAAATTCGATTATACGGAGAGGCACAAGGAAGAAATTATGACAATGGATGCTGGAAGTTCTCTTTGTACAACTCAGAGAACAAGTAAAGGCATGTGTATGAGACCCTTACTTAGGGTAGTAGTAGTACATTCAACAACAAGTAAAGGCATGTGTATGAGACCCTTACTTAGGGTAGTAGTAGTACATTCAACAACAAGTAAAGGCATGTGTATGAGACCCTTACTTAGGGTAGTAGTAGTACATTCAACAACAAGTAAAGGCATGTGTATGAGACCCTTACTTAGGGTAGTAGTAGTGGTACATCTGGATTCTTCAAGACATTGGCAGTGGTCATAAGTAAATGAATTATGCCAACATGATGCCCGCACCTTTTTGTCAGCACCGTGCGTGTAGACCTGGCACAGGCAACCAACCTATCCTATCCTATACCGCCTTTCGAAGAGCACTTCTCACACCCCTCGTCATGCTCTTGTTTCGTCTCTATCGCGATTTGACCTTTGGGGACGACGTGAACTACTGGGACCAATGCCGTCAGGAGAGCGATAAGATGACGGACGATGACAGCGGCACCCGCGCGGACAGCGATGTGGATGATATGGTGGCGCAAAGAGAAGTGATCAACGAGGACCAGCTGTTCGAAGAACGCCACAGTGCAAAGAGCAGTGCTAACAAGAGCGCAAACAGCAGTGCTAACAAGAGGGCAAACAGCAGTTTTAGTGCAAAGAACAGTTCTAGTGCACCTGCAAACACCAGTTCTTCTAACAAACGTGGTTCTCCTCATTCTCCTCTCAACAAGCATTCTTCCAAAAATACACCAAGCAGTACTAGCTTCACAAAGAGCACCAATGCTGCACAAAGCAGTAGCTTCAGAGAACTACAGCCTTCTAGTTCTTCTACAGATCACGACTATGATTCATCGTCTTTCTTTGCTGTGGGTGGAGGAGGAGCAGTGGAGAATACTAGTAGTACTAGGGACGAATACTAGTACTAGGAGAGGATTCTAGTCGTGCTGAAATGGTGGGCGATGGTGGCGAAGGTGCTGAAATGGTAGGCGACGAAAAAGAAGACGATGAAGAAGAAGACCTGGCACTCAGCAGCATCTTTGGCACTCAACAGCCAACAAACAGGGACGTCGTGAGCAACTCTTGAGTTCTGTATCAAGTGACATAAATACAGGCAGTACGAGACTCAAGGAGGCAAACTGTTTGCTTTCATGTACTGTAGGAAGACTCATTTAGTATGTGTGTGAATTTCATGAAGTAGGAAAATAAGATGAGCACCAAGATGTTTTACAACTTATATCGTACTGATGTCGTACAATGACTTGATTTGATTTGGAGCCCCGTTTTCGGGGTATATCCATGAAAACCCGTTGTATATCGATTGAAGATGTAACTGTTCTTGGTGAAGAATAAACTTTTCCTGCCCTCCATGAATGCAGTGTTGCTGTTGAAACAAGGCTCATTGTGAAAATGGCTGTTGTACTGACAAACAACTTATATACAAACTGGAGACTTAACCCCCGGGGATCCTAAATCTACTGGTGAGTTATACTTTTTAGTGCTGTGGCAGCACGGTAGGCTGGCTCGGCAGACCCAGGTCTTTGCCGGCGCCGGTCGTTGCACCTACGGCCCATAAATTTGCCACGGAGCGTGGCGGGAGGCCTTTACCTCCCCAGAGAGAGTTGCACACCAACGTCCGGGTGTCGTAACCCCTCTCGCGGCTCGGCCGGTGTTCGTGCACCGTCACCCTACGAGTCAATCAACCGGCACCCGCGAGGTTTCGGGTGCTCGCTCTTCGCGTCGGACGCTTTGGTCCGGGGCGCTTTGGCCCGGGTGCGCGGCTAATCCCTCGGCAGTAGCAGGCGTTGTCCCCCCGCTGGGGGACAAGGTCACTTTGAACCTCCAGCCCTTTGGGCCATCCTTTCTCGACGCCTCCTTGGTGCGCCTTCCATCCTTTTCCCGACGACTGGAGGTTCAGAACCGCCAGGTGCGTACGTTTTTTGTACCCGGTACTGCTTTGAGTGCCCCTGAGCCGCTGCTACTGGCGCTCTTTGGCGCTAGGGCCGTCACCTTTTTGGTAACGGTATTCTGTTGAATCCGCCCTTTCTTCTGTAGCTTCTGCTTGGGGGTGATCTTGATCGTCCGCTTGACCAAGGTGTCCTCTTGGACCGCCTTGGGCTGCACGAAGACGCGCGGGGGTGGACCCCCCCCCGAGGGCCACCGCCTGCGCAATCCGTGCAGCGGGATGAATTCCGAAGCCTCCCACGTTTTGTGGTCGGCTGTGTACTCGTCCCACATTTTGCTGGACTGTTCCCAGCCCATGTGGGTGAGGAATTCATCCTCCTTCACGGAGATTTTCCCTTGCTCCCACTCGCGTCGCGTTGCCAATGCGAGTCCTCTCCTGCAGCTGTGCAGCGTGCCGCTAATTCCCTTCGCCAAGCTACTTATCCTGGCCTTGCCTAATGGGAAATCAGATCTCATAACAGCGCCTTCGCCGTGCATCGGGCAAAAGCGACTTCGTGCACCAGCTGTTTTTGCGTTGGTGTCGCAATTGCAGTGGATTTCTATTATCCTACCGCGTTGTTTGCGGATTTTGTCTTCGGATATGTGGATGCGCCACACGTCTCCTTTTTTGGAGATGTCCGTGTCGTCCACCGCCGCGATGCTGTCGCCCCGCAATCCCGATAGCGCCCAAAGGAGGACCATTTTTTGGTCTTTTGCCTTTAGCGCCTCGAGCTTCGTACCCGGTAGGAAAGGCTTTGCTTTCCTCGGGTTGTGGTCTTGGATTGTTCGTTCAATTGCCTTTTCCACGTCCCCGATGTTTCGGAGAATGGCGGGGCTTTCGACTAGCCGCTGCGGGCCATCCGCGGGTGGCGGTTCTACCAGCCACATGATGATGCTGGATGTGTACTGCGCGACTGAGGTGTATTCATTGAACACTAGGAAGGCGGCGAATCTTTGCACCGCCTCCGGCCTCACGGGTAGCTTTTCACCCTTGGCCGCTAGCCAGTCGAGGAAGAAGGCGACTCGCGACTTTTTGTTTCTAGTCGTGGAGTCGGCTTCTCCCATGGCGCGCAGCTCGTCGTCGTTTAGATCGACAGCTTTGCGCAGTGCGTCCGCCCGCTTCGACATTTATTTAATGTTACTTTTTTATTTATCTCTCGCTGTTGTTCCCTCTAACGTTCTTTTTAGTTTTTATTTAGTTAGTTTGTTCTCTCGTCCTTACTTACTTTTTTGTCTAGGCTGGTTCGTGCGGCTGCTTAGGCGAACCTCCACCATGGATCTTGGCCTCCTGCCGTATCTCATGAAGTGGTCTCCCCAGCCTAGCTTCTTTACTTACTCGTAACTCCTTCCCACTCTGTTTTCCCTCTTTTTAGCTTGACGAGATGTAACACGTCACTCCCTCGAACACTGCGCCGCCGCCGCCGCGTTTTCCCTTTCGGCCACCAGTCGTCACTGGTGGTTTGATTTGTTTCCTCCCTCTCAACTAGAGTGTTTTTTACTCTGTCAAAAAGGACGAATTTATTGTTCCGCCACTAACTTAATAATGGTCCGGTGCCCCTGGTAATTTGACCAGAGGGCTTATGGCGAATGCTTTTGCATTCTGTTTTTCGAGGATTTGTTGTCCTCGAGGCCGGTAGCCTTTTTCTTCCAGCTAGTCGCGTTCTAGCTTGTGCGTGGCTCCTTCCACCACACCGCGAGGGAGCGTTTGCTCCCAACGTGCTCCTTCACGTCTCTCCCCAGGAGGATTTTTCCCTCCATCACTCTCGATTTATCGGCGTCGATCGCGTGAGCGGCTGTTTTTGCGCTCGTTCGATCGCTTCGATTTGTTGCGGCCACGATTGTCTTTTTCGCGACTGTCGTTGCGATGCCGTTGTCCCAGCGGAACCGCGTTTGCGTCGCTTCGCTGGGGTCCTTTCGGTTGGCGGCGTGTTCGGCCGTTTTTGGCCTTCATCGCCTTCATCGGCTGGACTTTCGGTTTTACGAAGTCTTTCGGGTGGCGGATTGCTTCCTTGTCCTTCGCTGCCGCTCGTTTTGCCGCTGTGCCGGTTGGCTGCTGGTTGATGTTTCGCCCTGCCAACCGGGCCGAGAAGAGGACTTCGGCCAGCTCTTTTTGCGAGCGGATCACTTCTGCCCACGTTCTCTTGGCGATAGTGATGTCTGGGGGAGGACGGTTGCGGTCGATGAGGTGGTGGTGTGTGCATTCCAGGTGTTGAGCGTCGTTGCGACAGCCTGACTGCACCGCATGCGCTTTGTGCGCGTGGAACCAGTGGCATACCGCCGGCGGAAGCATGAGTCCCATATTTTTCAGGGACTTCAATGCGGACGGCTCCACTAAGCCGGTTTGAGGGAAGTACACGTAGTATGTGGTGCGTGTTCCTCCCTTCGCGTTTCGGCGCTCGGCTAGCACCACGTCGACACGTTTGTCGAGGCGGCGGTTGTGGACTGGGTCCATGGCCGGGTTGAAATCTGTTTTTTCCAGATCCAAACTCTCCAACCAAGTGTCGCTCGGCATGGTTGTGCCCGTGTCGTCGTCCCCGCCGCTGTCGGCGTCGCTGCCGAACGGGTTTTGCGGGCCTTCGCTCGCCGATCGCTCTCGCGATTCGCTGCGGCGGCGGCTGTGGCTACGAGAGCGCAGTGTGACTGTCACACGTTCGCTTCTCGGCTTGCCTAAGCTCGCCTCGGCGTCTCGCATGGAGAACATTTCATTTTTGATTTCCTCCATGTTCTCCTTGAAGAACGCTTTTTGGACGGGCGGTTTGATTTTTCCCCCGTCTTCCTCGTCCGTGTAGCGCGCCTCGTCGATGAGGTGGAGACCGAAGTGGTTGTACCAGGCCAGCAGGTTGAACATGTATCTGTTCACCAGCCCGGTCTCCCAGCGCTTCATCTTCTGCTGGAGCGCGTCGAGGCTGCGGGAGCCTTCCTTCATGAATCCCAAGAACACCATCATTTTTTTGATGGCGATTTCTGGGAAGTTCTCGTTGAACTCGGTCATGAAGTCGAAGGGCTGCAGGTCGGTGGCGCCGTTGATGGCGCTTTCCACGCGGCGCAGCGTCTCCCAGCACTGGTCCAGGTTGCATCTGTCCCAGTAGTCAGCCGGGACGCTGGCGACGACCTGTTTCCGGACCAGGTTCTGGAACGCGCTGTTTGTGCGCTGCAGGTTGTCTCCGTTAAAGCCTGCGATGGCGCAGTTTGAGACCTTGGGTTGGTTTTTTCCCACCTGGGCTTCGCCCCAGATGCCTGCGGCCGCGTATGCTCCGAAGAGCAGCGCCAGCGCCTTTTGGTTGAGGCGTTGGCCTGCCGTCGTGTTCAGGACGCTGTTTTCGTCCACGTCGAAAACGGAGCGGAGGCCGTGCTTTTCCACGTGTTTTAATAACGCGGTGAGCACGTGGTTCGCCTGCTTAGAGGCTTTTTCTCCGTTCGTGAAGAAGCAGTTTTTATACTGCTCCTGTGCGTCTGCGACTTCCTCGCCCGGAGTTAAGACGGAAGGCCAGACGACTTTCACCTCTGTTTTCTTCTCGACGCCGTTTACGCGTCGGTAGACGAAGAATTTTTCTCCTTCGCTAGCCGGGCGCGTGTCGTCATAGGAGAGGATTTTGTCCTCTCCGCTGCTGTTCAAAGCCGTTGCGATGGCCTTTGCGGTCTTCTTCGCGAACGTTTTGAACAGAGCTGCCGTCTCCGGCGGCTCCTCGGAGGACTCTTCGCTTTTGTCGGCGAAGTCCACGGAGTCCTCCTCCTCTTTCTTTTTGGCTTCGAGCTCCGCCTTGCGCTGCTTCTCCTCTTCTTCGAGGAGCTTTCGGTCCTCCTCCTCGTGCGCCTTGCGGACCGACGTCCACGGCGTCTTGGCCGGCTTCGCGTCCCAGTCGTTGAGCACCTCTTTGTTGGTGCGCTCGATCAGGTAGCGGACTATCACCTCCTTTTTGGCGGTCTGCGCCGGGACTTCCGCCAGGTTCAGCTGCGGGTTTTCCTCCCGAAACTTTCGTTTTTCGGCGAGCTTCGCGCCGGCTTCAAAAGTCTCTTTTTTAATCAGAGACTTCGAGGCCCAGGGTTCGGCCGTTAGTTCCTCGTGGTATGCGCCCAACCACAAGTGGAACCACATCAAGGTGGTGCCCTGTTCGGTTAGGGTTCCACCTTCCCCCACGAAGCGCGGGTCCTCCAGGTCTTTTTTGACCGTGTCGATGAATTCCGTTTCCGGAAGTTCACCGACCATCTGTCGGAGTGCTGCAATCCAGTCCTGGATGTTTGCGCAGAAGATGAGTTTATCCTCATACTGCGTCTTCTCCTCCAGCTGCTTTTGCAGCGCCTCCATGGCCTCCGCCATGGAGGGGTGAAACAGTGATCCGTCGATCAGTTTCAGAAGGGCTTTGCCCTTCTCGTCGACGTCCTCGCTCCCCACAGGATTTTTGCCTGTGTGGATGACGAGGTCTCCGACGCTTTTCAGGGAGGTCATTTTGTTTTTTGTTTTGCTGAAAACCAGAGTGCGGGGGCACTACTAGTCACTAGTTTCTAGATTGCGATTATACGCGCACAGAAAGTCCCTGGATTTTTGGGAAAAAGAAAAGTTTTTTGACCTGCCCAAGCTAGCTTTCAGCTTGAGGTTACGAAAATGTGCTGCCACAAGCGCCAAACCCTCGCGGCGATTTTTGCCCCGCGAGGGGATGGCGCGCCGCGCGCGCGGCGGAACTCGATTTTTACGAGCTCCCCAGCACCCCCCACTGGGCGCCACGCGCCTGCCCACCGCACCGCCGGAGGGCGCGTTGGCCCTCCCGCGGCCTACGCACGAGCGCTTTGGCCCGTGCGCCGGCAGCCCGCTCCGCTCCGCTCCGCTCTGCTCCGCTCTGCATGTGAACTCCGCCCCGTGGGTGTAGCATTAACGCTCTCACCCGACCGCACCCGAGCCTCCGCGGAGGCGCGAACCGTGGTTCGCCTTCGCCGAGATGCGCCATTGCATCGACCGGCGGCGTCGCGCGTGAGTGCATTTTTTGCACCGCACACGACGGGGTTCGCGGGGCCCGTTGCCCCCAACCCTCTCCCTAGTTGGTCCCTCAGCCGACATTTTTTGTCGACTGTCGTCCAGGAACCTTCCAGAGAGCGTATCTTTTCTCTCACCTAAGTTAACTCACCAGTTAGTATAATCACTTCCCCCGCAAGCTCCTCCAGTGCATAAATATATATCATCTAATAAACTTATATCATGTAGTACTAAACTTACAGCAGCATTTTCTACCGTAACTAGTTCTGGTATTGGCTATATAGCTGATTGGTAGTCTCATAATCCCCATTATTTCTCCGGTAGTTCCACCATTAGGATGGCATATGCTTTATCCCTCGCATTCCGATTATTATCGATTGATAAAACTGATATCAAACAAATAGTTCTTCTTTTGAAATCCTACATATGAGACCTCTTCAAAACAGCTACGGAGGTTACTTGATACCCCATGAATAACATCCAAGATTTTCACAGTGTAGGTCGCAGCTCTAATTGACGTAATTTGATAGATGGCCCAGTAGATGGCTCATAGCCATCTCCTTCTCCGCCATGTATCTCTTTTTCCGAGCTTGTGTTCTGTTAAAAAAATCCGGGTGAAACGGGTCGCCCTTCGCAGATGAGTCTATTCTAACGACTGCTATAGTCGGTGGATATTCCGAGGTGGATATTCCGTCTCTATACACTAGTCACACCATGGGTATTATGCGTTACGATGTCTACTCTGTATGTCAATCCCGAGTGTCAGGTCCCGATACTTGTTCTGTGGATCACGCCCATGCAAGGTGTAAGATACAGCTGTGAAGAAAAGGCCAAGGAAAACGAAAAAGTCGGTCGAAAAAAATTTCTAAATTTGGTCGAGCTAAGAATCCGTACTAGCTACAAGACCTTCAGGTGTAGCTCTTTGCGTGAGATCCATCGTGTAGACCATCTATGACGCCCTTATGGCAGTCTGCACTGAACTTTGTGCGAGATTAGTTGTATTGTACACGCAGGTAGGTTTGGATATATCGGAACTCGCCCGCGATACAAAAAAAAAAAAATGTATTGTATTGTATTGTATTGTAATAAGCTTCCCGCTGCCCCCAACTTTCTTGTTTCATCTTGATTTGAAATGCCAGACCACTTTTAGGACCTAGCCGCTACCGATACAACGAATTCATCTTGAGAGTTTGCGTTCGTCTGCTGTTAGCATTTTCCTAGAGCATTGCTGCATGATTGTACACTTGCTCAGAGTCGACAGTTTCGTCTACTAAGTAGAATTCAGAAGTATTTGCGACTTTGTTTGTCTATCTCTTGTCTCCAACTCCATATCGTTGATGCAACGTACCTGCCGATTATTCCTATTTTCTTTTCACAACAATTAAGGGTTACCACATTGCATCCTTCACTACCATCCTTGACTTTTTTTCCAGTAGGAGGGATGATCTGAAGAATGCAATGTCGCAACCTCTAAAACAAGTACTAGTACAACTCTAGTATCTCTTGTACTACAGTACAACTCATCTATCTCTTGTGATGACATATCTTTGATCGAATCGGCAGGTACGTTGCATCAACTCATCTATCTACTAGTACAACTCCATATCGTTGATGCAACGTACCTGCCGATTCGATCAAAAAAATGGGCCAGAAGTTGTTGAAGTGCAAGCAGGCGGACAACCACTCTGCCTTCGTTGCCACCATGGACCGACTGTCTGAACCAACAGGCAACATGGTCACTGCCCTTCGCGCGTTGGAGGAGAATCAGGAAGCGCTGACCCTTTTATGCTCAGCTTTTATCCATCTCTTTGAGCATCTCTTCGCGGAGCTGCACAATATTGTTTTATTCCTCATATTAAGTAGACGAAGGAATACTACTCTCACGTGTGAGGCGGTAGGGTCGCGCGCGAACATCATAATAATAAAGAATACTACAAGGCAAAGCAGTTGTCCTCTAGAAGATGAAATGAAGCGGCCGAGATGGATTCGAGCACACCCTAAGGCGGCTGTTACAGCGACTGTTAGCTGAAGAACCGAGACGAGGAGAAGGAGTGTCAATGTCTCCCCAGGAAGGAAACGAGAGGATATCTTCTCAGTCTGGTGTAGGACATGATGCAGGTGGTGGAAGTGTTATGGCTTGAAACTACGTTGTCACTAAGTCCCACTCCTCGTTGTAAAGGTGCCGACTCGTGTAAACTACGTTGTCACTAAGTCCCACTCCTCGTTGTAAAGATGCCGACTCGTGTAAACTACGTTGTCACTAAGTCCCACTCCTCGTTGTAAAGATGACATTTCTAATCCTACAACAAGTCAACTCCAACAATCTCAAGTCAAGTCCACTCAGTGACTTGTGTCAAGGAAATTTGTATCTCTTCTCTTCATCACTTCCTTTCTTTATGCCTTTCTTCCATGTGTCCTACGTTTCTGTCTGAATTAGGCCTTCCTCTCAATACTCTACGAGTACCTATTCTACAACTTAGTAATTGCTGTGGTTAATGTACTTACTAAGTTAGAAATGTCATACAATGTAGCACAAGTCACTAAGTCCCACTTCTTAACTTACTGTAAACTACTTAGTAAGTGTAAACTACGTTGTCACTATAAGTTCGACTCCTCATTTCTAAGCCTCCAACTGCCCCGCCTAATCCTGCACACACTAGTATAACAAGCGAGACAAGCAACAGAAGTAGCAACAGAATATGTTATACCAATGCAGAGATAGTAGGGGATGCACTGCGAGTTGTCCTGTGGACATTGCCTGGCGTCTTTTCATGGACCGCCAGAGAAACGCTAGAATTCTTCGCTGGGAAAACACCACAAGAGAGGTAATTACAGCCTAGTACCTAGTAGTCCTAGCGCTGCCTATAGCACATCATCATAACAAATTGATTGTGATCGTTTAGATCATTTATGTTCTAATCTAGAGGAGTTGTACTCTGTAACCTTGTTTCAGAGTCGATTTGTAACCACTGTAATCTAGAGGAGTTGTACTCTATAACCTTGTTTCAGAACAAGTTGTACTCTGTAAGGATTCTAATCTAGACCTAAAGGAAAACTGCTCTAGACCACCACTAATCTAGATGATTTCTAGATTAGTACTCTCTGGTGTAACCATTGATCTCTCTCATCAGACTGTGTACTAGTACTGTAAAAATTGGATGAATTCCTATTGTTTCAAACATACCAACTTATCATGAAATGATCTTCTTATTTCAGAGTCGATCTCCTACTACGGCAACGACTCGTCGCATGCACGGGTGCAGCTCAGGTTTGTCGGAGTCGGGTTTTGCCACGATTGCGTGAACTGCAATATATACCGGGAATATTATGGCATTGCTTTTTTTGGCATCTCTTCGTATTTGATCTGGTTTTAACACTTCGTTCTTGAGTATTTGTTGCCTGGTTGTTCTCCGGGGCGGACAACTATTATCGGTCTTTTAGAGCAGGTGGAAGCTGTCATAATTTCTTTGCGTGTTATATTTGGTTACTGTCGAAGAAGGAGGTTGAAAGGACCAACATAGTACAACAAGAGGAGGCTTGTATCTTCTCTAAAGTGCGCACCATAGTACAACAAGAGGAGGCTTGTATCTCTAAGTCTAATCTGCGCCCCCCTCCGCGACTACCTTGTTGCTGCAGTGGAGTGCATATTGATTTACGACAAGCTGGAGTTCCAACTGACCACACTAGGGGAAGGAGAGCGACAAATGGTCTACGGCACAGCGGTCTCGGATCAATTAGCGTTGTGGACAGTTACTAATTGAACAGGAGTTCGTTGTTGCCTTTTTTATGCGCATACACATGGAAATACGGATGAGCCAGCAGCTACTAATATGCTAATTAGCATCAGTGCTGTAGTTGTTGGATGTGGATTTTATGCGCATAGGCACAAGAAGATACGGATGTACCAAAAGCCAATGACGCCAAAGCAAATGAAAATCTTTGCATGCTGTGTGTGAAACAAGAATATCGCTGATAAGAAATGACGCTGAAGAGTATCCCACGCGATGAGGATAATGGAAGATGAAATGGTCCAACAATGGTCACCGCAATTTTATGCGATGTGCTGTCTCTCTCTCCCCATCATCCAAATTGATCAATTTTTCATACTAGGCATGAGAGGAGACTTGAGTTCTTGCCTTTTTCTTAGCACCTGTGGAAGGGGAGTTGAGCAACATACAATTGACAGGAGTGGGATTTCTTCTATACAAGAGAGCAAACTCGTAAATCTAGATGACACGACCACCTCTTTCTCTAGCATTTGGGTTCAAAGATTAGGATTTCTGTACTACCCGGTTTACGCCAGCTGTGAGTTTCTTCTCTTCCGAACGCACCCCTGATCAAATAACGCTTAATTCATTGATTAGACACTTCTTGAATATTTCGTTTCAACGAAAGCTACAAGAACTCGGAATATCGACACGCACCTTTGTTTTGTTTCATCCTATTACGGATAAAACAAAACGGATATCTAAAGATGGACGACTTGCCTCCTTTGCCCGCACCTTGGCGTGCTCGTGTTGTTTCGGCTCTGGGGAACGAAGCTAGCCAGGTGGTGGAGTATTATTATCGAGAAGAGGTTTTGCGGAGAAAACGTACTTCTACTATACGAAGTTCTTGTACTGCTTCTACAACAACAACAGCAGCAGCATTGTCGTCTTCATTTTCGTCGAAGTCTTCTTCGTCTTCGGTCACTTCTTCTTCGTCGAAGAAAGTGCCACAACAAGGGCATAAGGTTCCTGCACAAGTACGCGATGACCAGGTACTACCAAAGCCGAACAGCAGCGGATCAATAATTTCTAGATCAACTACAGCCGGTACGTCATCTTCAAGTTCAAGATCAAGTACAGCAAGTACAGCGGCCGCATATGGAGAGCTACAAGAGGAACAAACAAATTCAGAAATAATAGAGCACATTTCTCTTATCCGACCCCCCGGTCCTGCTCAGTTTTCCCCTTCTTTCTTCGGCGGGAACAGTGTCGCTCGAGTCTTGGACGCAAACGGCGCAGCATGGCGGGTTCGGATACTAGATGTGGACCCACTCTTAGGCAGCTATGAATGCACTGTACTAGACTCGAAGCGCTCGCACGTGCACTTGTTCGAAGCAGATTTGGTTCCTTTTGATTCCGTCGCAGTAAAGAAGCCAGGGTACTATGCTGGTTACGGCATTACTAGTACGCTATTGGAAGATCATTGCGATCATTCCCTTGGACAGAGGAGTAAACCCTGTAGAACCATCAAGGGTAATACGACCAGCGGTGAACTACCTACTAGAAAGTCCTTTTCATCTAGGAGAAGTACTTCTTGTAGGTTGAAGACAAAAGACGACCCTAGGACCAAAACCACGACGCATGATTGTGGTGATGTGATTTCATCAAGTAGTACTTTTATCACCAACTGCGTTCGCTCTGCCTCGGGCTTCGGCTCTCTTCAATCCAAGGCACCAAACACCAGTAGCGCTGAGCAATCTAGTCCTCAACCCTCATCCGCGCGTTTATATAGACGGATAGAAAAACCAGTCAGAAGTGGATCCCGACGAACGAAGGACTGTAAACACGTCAGCACGGCCTCCTCGAAAGCGGCACTCTCAACTACGACCACTGCAGATAATACTGCAACCTTGTTGACAGGAAGCTCCTCTTCAAGTTGTACCTCTACTAGTACGGCATTGATGATACGAGGGTTTGGTGTGGCACAAGATTTTTTAGGCCTTTGCTCGTGGAGTGCTGCGCTACTCCAAGACTTGCCAAGGAAATGGGCTAGTGATGCTGTGGCGAACTGAAGCCCTGTTTCTTTTAGCGATTCGCCTAACTTACGAAGCTGTTGTTCAAGAATTTTTCCTGTGCTAGTGCTAGGCAAACGATTAAGATCTTCCGCCTCAGTCTTGCTCGACATATGATCGAATTGACCGACTTTTCGGCCCGAAAAGCTACTGCGTCTCGTCGTGGACATATTTCTGCGGTCGAACCTGCACTTCTTGCAAAAGTTGCAGGCGAAGCTGGTCTCCTTGAAACTACCTAAGTATGAGGGAGGCCTGAAAAAGAAAAGCAAAAAGGGTGCAGAGAAAACATGATTCGTCTATGTTTCTCGAGGAGCAGCTAGTTGTACAGGAGATGATCAAGATCCTAAAAATGAAGAATTGTTCCAGCAGATGGCAAAAAAGCTTCTGGGCGTCGAGTCAAACGCGTGGCATTACAAAAAGAACTTGGTCTTTCTTGTCGAAGGTTGTCGACAACCTCAACAGGATCAAGGAGAAGGAGTTGAAGTGAGGGCAACAACATCGGCACCATGTGGACCATCTGGCCCGAGCAAGAAATTGGATGCGGCCTATGCATATGTGGACATGAAAACAAACGAGGGAGGTTTTTTCGCAAACCTTGGACTCAGGACCATACTGGTGAATGCAAACCCACTTGTAGTTCTAGAGAGAACTCTTGTCAAAGAGCAAAAACAAAATGTCAAGACCTGTTTGAGTTGCAACAAGGCGATCACATGTTTGCACTGAGAGGTGTTGATCTTCACGTCAAACAGGAGCGATCCCAAACTTCTGTCAGAGATACAATATACTGGTCTGTCCATGATGAGGGACAGCTAAAGTGAATTCAAATTTGGTTACGATGTAGCTCATCTCAATGTCTGATATTCTCGGTCTGCAGAGAAATTGTGAGTCTTGCTTTATTTCTTGGCGAGAGATTTATGAAGAGGATCTATTTGCTGAAGGTGAACCCTGCTAAGTAATGCCCCTTGTGGTTTTTGCTAGATTACACGTTTTAATTGAATTCTTGCCCCAACTTATAATTGTCATCAGGAACGATGCAGATATGTTTTGTAGGACTGGAGTGTCATTGTTTGGTGAGAACCCTGTCGCATGCTTTGAATGTTTGCATCTCTTTCGTTTGTACTTATGATTTTTTGAAAAATTTTACTTCTGTCAGATCAGTGTTGACAAAAATCTTTGAAGAATATCGATGCAATAACATCTCCTCCTCACTTGGAATTGTTACGAGGTACGTAGCACTTTGAGTTTGAAGTGAAGAGAGTGACGACAAAATGAACACCAAGAAGCTCCATCTAGAGTGGTCGCACCTCTGTTTCGAGGTTAACGGGCGGCAAGTGCTACAAGAATGTTACGGCCGTGTATATCCCGGCGAGGTGACTGCCCTCCTCGGCCCCAGTGGAGCGGGAAAAAGCACTCTGATGAACTTGTTAGCCGCCAGACAAGCTTGGAGCGGACCCGGTCGGAAGATGAGTGGCGTAGTTCGGTATGGAGGCAAGCGTGTAGGGTTTGATGAATTGAAGTCCAGTGTGAGCTATGTAATGCAGAATGAAGCTCTTTTATCTTCTCAGACAGTGGAGGAGACTTTGCGATTCGCGGCAGCGCTGAGAACGCCTTTGTTGTCGTTACCGCGGGATGCTTCTAGTAAGGGAGGAGGGAAAAAGATAAAGAGGGACGATCTTGACCACAAGGAGAAGGATGCTTGTTGCGTAGGTACTTCTAGAGATGCTCATACTGATACCACTGAAGGCGAAGAACAAGCAGGCTTGGATACAGACGTAAAAGAACTTGGTGACGATGATAACCATGAAGAAGACGCCCAAGACCCTGAGGTGGTCGCATCCAATCCTCGTGCTTGCGCGCTTACTAAATTTTCGGAAGCTAATGCTGAGGAAGTTCTACAGGCTCTCGGCCTCCAAGATGTCCGCCACAGCCAAGTCGGAAACCTTTCTGGCGGTCAGGCTAGACGATTATCAGTCGGCGTAGAATTGGTTACGCGGCCGAGCCTCATTTTCCTAGATGAGTGCACTACCGGGTTAGACAGTTTCTCGACTGTGAAACTATTAACGCATTTGCGCGAATACGCGGTCCAGCAGAACGCTATAGTCGTAGCAACGCTGCATCAGCCGAGTTCGGAAGTATTCGAGCATTTTGACCGAGTGTTAGTGATGCGGAAAGGCAAAGTTCTCTTCCAGGGTTTGAATGGACATAAAGCACGAGCTTATTTAGAAGAATGGAATGTTGAAAAGAAAAAGATTCATCCTCCTGTGCGTGCTGCCATGGAACACCCTATTAAACTATCTGGAGCTCATTTAGAAAATGTTGAACAACGACCAATAGAGGAGGTAGGAGGGGAGTTTGACGCTACAAACGAGGCGAACAGCACGACCAGAGACATGAGAAGTCGTCCAGTTGTACCGGGAGGAGCATCCTCTTCTACATCAGGGACACCTAGTCGTGCCTCTTCGCCTTCGGGTGCCAACACTAGCGGAGCAGCAGTGCCGTCCAGTGTGTCTCCACCTCATCCATCTAGACTAGATGTGCGAGACCCTGAAAGTTCGGCCTCTGAAGGGCTTCACTATCGTGGCGGAAGTAGTGACGATAAAAACGCCTATTTTGCAACACTAAACTCCTCATCTCAACAAATATTTGCAACCAAGCCCCGAACTATTACAGAAGCAACCTTGGACTTCAGTCCTCTCATGGGTTACTCTTCGTCTCGGGGCGCACGGTTATCGAGTTCATTTCAGAGTAATAGAAGTGGCGAACGTGGTGGAGGTGAAGCTGGTAGTTCTAGGATGGTTCTTTCTGGTCTAGGAGGATATGGTGCTCGTGGACAGTCAGAGTCGTCGACGCAAGGAGCGGCCATGCTATCCGGGCAAGTCTCTTCTTCGAGCTTGTTAGAAGCAACCAGAAATAGAAGTTTGAGTACCTCCTGTAGCGCGCTACTCTTGAATCCCGAATTCGATCCGAAGGTGTGCAAGATGGACCAACTAGTCGTGCCTCACTTCGGTTCGGGGCTAGGTGGTCCAAGTAGTCCAAGTCCGGGTAGCGACGAACCTGCGTCTTCGTCACCAGGTGCCAACTACTCCGACAAAAACAACCTCTATTCATCCTCTGAACAACAACAGGTTGTGGACGACCTCATGGTCGCTGAGGCACACGACAGGCCCACTTCTATGCAAGAATACCAAATCTTCCAACAGGGGACTACCTCTTCTATGAACGTTCTCGAAGTTCTTCATGAAGCGCATACTATCGTCGGCTTTCTGAATTTGGTCTGCCGTGGCCTACCAGAAGGCATGAATGTGGCTTCTTGGTTGCTTTTTATAGCTCAGATGATGGACGACGCAGATTGTGAAGTGGTGCATATGTCGACAGCCAGAGTCTATGAAATCGTGGAAAAACCTATCTTAGAACGTGACCCAGTAAGTCAGTTGCGGTTGCCGTTATTGCCGGAACTTTGTAACGAACATGAAAGAAAAATGCTACAAGAGTGGGAACAGAGACAAATGGGGATCATGCACAGAGACAAATGGGAACAGAGACCTTCTCAACATACTACAGGAGACGCAGATCATGCTGGAAATACTAGGCAGGGAAGTGCTCTCGCGAAGAACGATGCGTATACAGCTGAGGAGGACACCTTCACGACAACTCAGATGACCCTGACCCGATCTGCGATCAACACTAGGGACATCAACATATCTTCAAACAATCATCTGAGCAGTACAACTAAGGATACAACAAGTACAACGAACTATAGTCTGCTTCAAGGCAGAACTCTATTGGAGACGATCGACGAAGACGGCGTATCCTCTCTGGATAGTTCTGAAGCGACACCCAGTGTGGATCTGATGCTTTCGAGGAGTGAGATAAAGTGCAATCTAAATGTGGGTCTAGTGCCCAACTTGCTCAGACAGCGACACATGCAACGAGTGTACTTGGAGGAAATCCTGCCTGAGCATTTGCTACAAGACGCTAAGAACGGCGGCAAGAAGGCGAAGCTTTTTGCAACGCCACCCCCGTCTAGTGGGCGAAACTTTTCGAACTTCTTTTGTCAATTTCGCATCCTACTAAAGCGTGAGATGCGTCACTTATGGCGGTCGCCGCACCTGCTTCTGGCGAGAATCTTCGTCCCAGTGGTTCAGATCTCCTTCTACGGCATCATTTTCTTCGGCGCTGGCCGACAATTCTATGCGGGGAAGAAAGGAGGAGTCTATCCTGGATTTGAAGGGTGCTGTGGAAGTGGATCCTCGACGTCCACTGACGGAAGAAACAGACTGAGTCAACAGGCTCAAAAACAACGGCAAAGCCTCAACTCAGAAGGCGATTGGCAAGGAAAAATGTTTGAGTATTTCGGAGCTATGGGCCAACCCTTCTACACTTTGAACACGCAATCTGCGACCCAGTTTATCCAGAACATCCCGAGTGAGCGCGAAATCTTTTTGCGGGAATACAGTGCAGGATTGTACTCGATTCCGTGTTATCTATTGGCGAAGCTAATCCCTGAACTGCTCGTTATATCACTGCAAGCTGTTCTTTTGCTCACGATTCAGTGGCTATTCGTCGGTTTTCCATTAACTACAGATCCAGCAGTTGCTTTTGGCCTCTTAGGTTTGTTGATTGCGAACTCATTGGCAGCTGGCAGTGTTGGGCAATTTATTGGCTGTGCAGCTGCGGACCGACCCGAAATTGCAGCCTACGTTCATTACGGGTAAACTCGACCCATCTCCAACAGCATCTTTTGGCCTTTTTCCACTTGAAAACAGCTAAAAGATATTCTATTAAGAGATGGGTAGTTGTCGGTACCTCTAACTTCAGCCGATTTTCTTCCTCACCCTTTCCGCTGCGCTCAGTGGCAACTTCCGTCCCTTGCCGCAGATCCCGTGGGCTCTTCGGTGGGCCGCTTACGTGTTCCCCACCGCCTTTATGACAAGGAGCTATGATTATATGCTGTTCTCCAATGCCGAGGATAATTTCTGGCCAGGAGAAGTTAGTCCCGAAAACTTGGAGACTTTTCGGAAAGTGCGGGATATACGATTCGAGAAGAGGCAATTATCTTCACAAATGCTCTTGCAGAATTTCTTAGGGTTATTGGGGATTTTTTTGGCGTATCGGATTTTGGCAGGAGTGGTGTTATGGAAGAATAGTAGGTCGATCTATGCGTGAGAGATCTATAGTCCGCATAGGAGAGAAGACCCGAAGTTGGACGTAGAATGAAATAGGGGATGACATCAAAAACACGCATGCGAAGTGCGATAAATACTCACTATTCAAGATAGCAGTGCTTACCTCACCTGATTAATATTAGTGATCAATTCATGATAATATCGATGACTCTTCTCCATTGAGTTGAGTAACCCCGTTTGTTGATAAGATTATTTGACAACTTCTTCTCCAACCTGATGTCTTAACTTTGTTAAAATCATACCTATCAAGGGATCTCGTTACATTGGCGTAGTTGTGTCTCCCAAAAAACGGCATATTTACCTACAATCAGCATCTTCTATATCGGGTCATTTGAGTGCCACACCAAGCACGTCTGCTCATTTAGATCAATCTGTACTGTACTGAGAGATACGCTTTTTAAAGCATTTCTAGTCTGTTTTCGAGCAACGATGTTACAGTTCTTCCGCTCTGTGAGATGATGAGAGTGTGGTCGCGATCAATGCCCAACTTCATAAACCCCACGGCTCTTGTCCCGCCATCTATATTTCTACACCCCCCAAAAAATGACGTCCAACAATTAAATTCAGCATGCTGCTTGTCGTATCGAAGGAGTATTAGCTTTTGTTCCCTCTACCACCCACCCGAAAGTATGATGTGATGTTTTTGGAATTAAATCGTAGGCTGGCGAATGCAAAGTGTTAATTCCTAAATCAGATAATGGCGCATGCGCTTCTTTCTTGTGATACAACTTGCATAAAAGTTTATGTAGACTTTGATCCATGTAGTACTTGCCTTCTATCTCTCCTCGCCTTGCAATATGAATTCTGGCACTTAATATTTCAAACAGGTCCTTCGAGTTCGTGGGTATCTATTTCTTTGGTGGTAATATTCTAGCGTAATGACCTTGTCTGATCATTTTGATTACTCAAGTCGCCCATCATCCTCGGAGTTGAGCTAGGAGTCCGGGGGGTTCAATGTGAAGGATCCCCAGCCTAGCCTAAGCTTCGAACTGTCGCACACGTCTCCGACGACGCAATGATGAAGATCCTTTGTATGTACTGCCTTGAATACTAACAAAGATACAAAGGATCTTCAACGCCCTAGTGACTTCCGCTTAAGGGGGTAAATCTAAAGCTAGGAAGCACCAGATAATCAAACAAGATGGACGGCAGCGGTGCTGGCGTTCCCCTCCTCTTGGGAACAACTGCAGACGGAGAGAACCTTTCAGAAAAGAGACCCACTGGTGGTGTGCGCGACTTCTTACACGAGAAAGATTCAGCAGTGGAAGATGAGAAACTCGCTCTTCAAACGGTATTATCAGAGCTCCAACTTTCTCCTGTCATAAGGCCAGGGGAATCTACTGGGACGAGGGGTGCCGGAGCTTTGTCAAGCGACACTTTGTTACACACTTTTGGAGGAGAGGACTTTTCATTTTTTCTAGGAGATGATGACCAAGAACAAAGGACTAGGTCATCATTATTAGGAGGAGGTAAAAATATCGTGGAAGGAGCAGGAGCTGAAGAAGATACTGCTGAGGTAGCTGGAAATTTGGATCTACCTGAAGAATCCTGTCCATCACTCGCGTTTCGGCATCTCTCGTTTGGTAATATTCTGGAAGATTGCTACGGTCATTTCGGAGCAGGCGAAGTCACTGCTCTCATCGGGCCCTCTGGAGCAGGCAAAAGTACTTTGATGAACATCCTTGCAGGACGATTCAAGGTCGACAAAGGCATGTTGGAACATACAGCTGGGAAGACACAAAATCGGCAGGGAACATTCAGTATCCAGTATGGTGGACGTAGGATAAAGAGCTTAGGGGAAATGTGCGTCGGCTATGTCTACCAAAGGGACGTGATGCTACCCTTTCAGACAGTACGCGAAACGGTTACTTTTCATGCAAAGTTGAAAAATGTAGTGCAACTACATCAAGCAGGTGGGACTGGATTTACGGGTAGTAATAAAGTGCAGAATACATCAGGGGAGGCAGTTGAGAAGAATGCCAGTGGTACTGCACCAAATAAAGCTCCTGACAACCACCTGCATCGTCTCGTTTCCGACACTTTGGCCTTACTCCACATCGACCACATTGCTGACCTCTACGTCGGTGATTCTGGTAGCAAGACCATCTCAGGCGGAGAGCGAAAGCGCGTTGCCATTGCCTGTGAATTAGTTGCCAGACCCAGGATCTTGTTCCTGGATGAACCGACCAGTGGCTTAGATTCCTTATCGAGCTTACGATTGATGGTCAACTTGAGACGCATCGCCAGGGAAGAACGAAGCATAATGATATGCACGATTCATCAGCCTGAACCATTGTTGTGGGAACAGTTTGATCGGGTTCTTTGTATGCGTTCCGGCAGAATTTTGTTTCATGGATGGTCCCACGCTCAACATGGGGATCTTTTTAGTGGGATGGACGGGTCGCAAGTAGGAATGCAAATGGACACAAGTAGTAGGAGTGAACAAATGCAAGACGCTGTACTTGAGGGACGAATCGAAGCGGCTTCGACATCACCATCTTCAAATTTGCGATATATTAGCCATTTTCTGAAGCATATTGACCGCCCATTACCTCCAGCTCACGGATGCTCGGACTGGCTCATATACCTTGCACAGACGGTATCAGAATCGGAGGCACGGGCAATCGAGCGGGAAACGAAGAAAGTCTTTGATTCGGCACACGGTGCTGATTTTAACGGAGAAAGTACGGCTGGGAGAGGCGCAGGAAATAGCACAAAGACTGAGACTGGTGGTGACACGGAGATGAAAAGTACAGGAAGTAATCCTGGTGTAGAGAAAGGTGAACTACAGCCCCTGCTTGAGGATTCCGATAAGCCTGCTGCTGAGCACCAAGACCGTGACGCTGATCAAGATCCTAGCCAACCTGCAACACTTCATCCTTCTTCTTCAGACAGGATGCTGGAGGAATCCAAAAAAAAGCCCTTACCTCCGTTTTTCTCGGTTCAAATTCCCGTGCTTTTCCGAAGACACGCGTTGGAAGACTTGAGACAAGTCGTCCCCTTTTCTATGCGACTCCTGACTCCCGCTCTCCAGGTGTTGCTCATGGGCATCGCGTTTTGGCAAATCGGGACAGAATTTTATGCAGAGCCAGGCATGATTAATGGCACACCACTGCTGGAGAAGCAGAATTTCCTAGAGGGATTCCGCAATCTCTCTGGTGCGACCTTGAATATGTACACGGTGTTGATGTTTACGAATGCAGGGCTGCAAACGACGAGTTTGATGCGTGAACGGAAAGTATTTTTGCGAGAATACAGTGGTGGTATGTATTCAGTACCCGCTTACCTCTTGGCCAAAATGTTGTTTGAGTTGTGCGTCACGCCAGTGCAAGTTGGGTTAGTATATGGCATCGCCCATGGCATGCTGGGACTCTTCCCGTCTGGACCGTCTAATGCAACTCAGCCCTTTTTAATAATGTTCAATTTGCTACTGACGGGATTAGCAGGGGGATCGTTGGGTCTGATGCTGGCTGCAATATTTGCGAATGCGCCGGGTGCGGCACTCGTTTGGGGACCATTTCTTTATGAAGGGTGTGAAATTGTCATTGTCCATGTCACATGGTATTTGATTTGTCTTTCCGGTATACGACCTAAAGACCACTTGAAGCATGTCTAGAGAATAAGGGACTTTGTTGAATCAATGTCTCAAAAAATCCCCTCCAGCACCTCTCTGTCCACCTCTTCCCTCACGACCCTCTCTCTATGTGTCCCTCTCTAATCTGCATTGACTACCTTGCCTAACGCATTTGCCAACCCTTTTAGGCCTATGTCGCAGATTCCTGGGTTTGTACGTTGGCTGCGGTGGATCATTCCGATTAGTTATTCCTACGAACTCATGCCCTGGTTCCTGTTTCGCTTTGCAGAAAGAGATGCAGCTTATTTACAGCATGTTCCTGGTTCTTCTAGATCTACAACAGGACAAGGACAACAGCCACGACAAGGACAACTACAGAATACTTTGAACCCTTCAACTGCTACGTCTAATATTCCTGGTAGAAGTACTACAACATCAGCTTTTACACAAGTGATGATACAAGCAGCTGCACCTTTGCAGCACTCTGGTCCGCTTTCGACAAGTCAAGCTCCACCCACAAGTCAACAGGCCGGTAGTGTACTTCCTCCACCCATAACTACGGCTAGTAGAATAGCGGCATTGAAGGATGCACAGGGTCAATTTTTTGAGGAGGAAGCGGAGACCCAAAGAGTCGCCTTGTGGCTGGGTCTCGTAGCGGGTTTGGTCCTGTTGTATCGGATTATTGCGGGATTCGCGTTATTCGCGAATAGCCGGAACATGGTGAAGCGACATTTACTGGAGTAAATGTTGACCCTTAATATTAGCCAATTTAGCAGAAACCTGCGGGTGATTGAAGAGACATTTATATTACTGGAATAAGAGGAGTGGTACGAGTAATATCCGCGGATTTTATCAGGACGAGGACCATGGTACTAGTTCTGAACCTTCTGGAGACTCACATATTCCCCCTTGCTCTTACTTCTACGAATGAGTGTTGCAGCTGTGCTAAACTGTTTGCGACATCGTATGTGGTTCATCATATGTTATTGCTGTAACGAAGGATGTGTTCACGTGGTTCTTGCTTTGACCAGAGAAGGTTTAGCCTTGCATTAATGCAGGTTTAGACACAATCTTCAACACTACTCCTGTGAGTGAGCCAAACAAGTTTACTCTCTGTCTGTGAGTGAGAGTGACTTCGAATTACTGAGTGAGAGTGGCTTTTGATTCCTACCTCCAACGCTAATGCTGAGCGTCACCTATGTTGAGAGACTGAAAAATCGCCGAGAGAATAGAGAGCGTGATCGGGCAGATGAAGACTTAGGCCTGAAACACTTGTTGGCAGGGTTGTTGAGGGTTCGCATTCAAGATCTTCTGCGATAAGAGTGATGCTGCGATCATAAGAATGATGCAGCAGGCTAGTTCATCAACAACAACATGGTATGAGCTGTTTTTGCACCAGAAGCCGCGCACCATTGAGTGCTGGCGTTCACGACTTGCGTGGCGTGGACTTGTGTCCCTGCCCCAATGTTGTCGCAGCGATATTGGCCCTCAGCCGCGTGCCTCTTCTTGGCGGCGAATTACCTTCTCTTCCATGGAATCAGTTGCGAGAAGGAGAAGAGGGTCGTCCTCGAGTGGGACGGAGACCGCTTCGAGTGGGACTCGAGAAGGAGAAGAGGGTCGTCCTCGAGTGGGACTAAATTTCTAAGATCGTTCTATACATCTTCAGAGGCTCTTGAAGGGAATAATACGATCTCCACAAGGGGATCTTATCCTTGAAGTGGAAAACCTTTTTGTACTTATAGATACTTCCACGGGGGGAAACAAAAGGTTTATAAGAATAAGAGGCTCTTGAAGGGACGCGGCTAAGTCTCAAGCAGCATTTCCAAGAAATAACTAGGTACTTTTCGGACGATGGCTCTTTGTTGTTCTCCGTGACGCTCCAAATTTACGAGGCCCCGTTCAGTTCTCTTGTTCAGTTCTCTCTCTCTCTGGCATGCACATCTAAGAAAATACCTCGTAAAAGATGAGCATCTTTATCATCGTATCATAGTAGTGTAGTAGTCTTCTATACTCCTGGAGTGGGTGCATTCATTCATTCACTCTCCTGAGGGCGTGAAACGTGCGAGGCGGTCGGGTCGCGCGCGAAATAATAATAATAATAATAATAATAATAATAATAATAATAATAATAATAATAATAATATTTTCCGCACAAGAAGGCCATCACTCCTTTTTCGTCTCGTGGCAAATACTATCATCCTTTCTCTTTCCATCACTCTGTTCCATCACTCTGTTCCATCACTCTGTTCCAGTACAAATGGCCTTATAAATATATGTTCCAGTACTTTCATTTGTAGAGCACTCATTTCCTCGATTTTCTTCAACCTTTCTGCTCTGTTTGAAACATCTTCTAGATCATGGCTTTCTTCTATCTCTTTCATCCACCTGACTGTCTCTGTGCCACGTATCTGTAGATGACCGTCCTCTTTCACTTACTCGTCATTAATGCTGCGATATCTGTTTGCGTTCTTCTACAGCGCACGAATCGGCCATGCAGCCCTTTAGGGGATAGAGGGCGTTATAGATTGTAGACATTTAGGTAAGCCGTAAGTAAAGTTCGTAGTCCTTCTCCGGCTACGCTAATCCGCTTGACAAGGCAGGTAAAACTGCGGACGGCGGACACCCTCCTAATCCTAATCTTTTCTGCTCCTCTCATGTTCACAACCAACTACCATCTTCCAAATAGTTTCTCCAGAAATTACAGGTCTTGTTTGTATAGGAGTCGATTGTGATCAGAGTTGTTGCCTCATAGTACAGCTGCTTAGGTAACCAAGGACGCAGAGTTGAATCAACTTCCCTCAGCATAGTTGTACTTTACCTATCAATTATCTGTTGGTGATGTAGTCAGCAACATACTGCTTTATTTATTTGATGATGATGATGATGATGATCTATTGATGCCTAAGGGCGCCGCGAGCGCGTGTGAGGCGATAGGGTCTCGCGCGAACACAGTAATGATAAGGTTACTACTTCACAACAACACGAAATCTTTACCCCGTCGTTTGTGAAGTAGATGATACTGGGTGGCCTCAAAGGTAGACAATGATAGCTACAAAAGAGGCGCCATGACATGACTTATCGCCTGTGAATTTGCTGAGGAGAGACGGCACGTGTACTACCTTTCATCCTTCATGCCTACACTACTACTATCTTTCATTCTTAATGTCTTGCAGAGAGACGGCACGTGTACTATCTTAGTAAAAAAAACAACACCAACTTAAACATCATGCAACCTGGCGACATAGGACAAATCAGTGCTACGTAGTAGTACAAAGAATGTCTTATTCTTTTGATTGCTTTTTGATGCAAGAGCAACGTGCTTCCATTCTGCAATTCTATGCATTATGTGGAAGTTGGAACCTCATGATGATCATCTTCTCATGAAACAAGTTCACTATTTTGCTTCATAATATTTATATTATAAGATGAAAAAATATGTCCTCTTTGTCGTTTCTTTCTCGTCTTGTTAACGTTAAAGAGATAGGATAGAAATAGCCCGCGGCTTCTGCTTCTTGGTCGTCCTCCTCTCGAATCCTGTTGGTCGTAATCCTGCAGTGGTAAAAGCCTGGACCATAGCAAATTCGGGCGCCGAGATGAAGAACAAGATTATTATACTAGATCAAGAAGACGTGGCACTTTTACGCTCTTGTATTTTTACATCTGCATGAAGAATTGGACGTCGACAGCGAGCGAGAGGCTTGTTCCGAACAGCAGGCTCGTCTTGCTCTTCGTCATCTGGCGCGACTGTTGAAGATAGATACAACTTCTGCAAGGCTCTTGCTCTTGCTCTACATTGACTGAAGATAGATACCTACAAGGCTCTTGTTGAAGATAGATACAACTACAGTAGTGCTCTTGCTCTACTCCAGCACTGAAGATTTTTGTGGGAGGTTGTCGTGTTGGACTTGGCCAATATGATGGCCGCGATGAAGACTGGTTACAATTTATTGTTGCTTGCGATGCAACTATTCTCCTGCCTGTCCTTGACCTCAGTCACGATGACGCCCTCATTCTTCTCTATGATTCTAGTCACGACGCAGCTCAGCACGGTCGCCTGTACTAGTCGTTCGAGAGGTGGCGGACAACTACCTCAGCAACTACACCATGGTGGTGGTCGTCCTCCAGACCGTGATGTTATGCAGTTCCTGCGAATGTCAATTTTTTTTGAGCAAGTGAATTGTTCAAATTGCGTGAAAGGCAAGCGTCAAAGGTAGTTGTCGAAGTGCTGACGACTGTCGCCGCGATGGTCGTCGTAACTAATCATGATCTTCTACAATAGTTAGTAAATGACATGCAGATCATGATATCACAAGACTTTTATCTTCTAGTCACCTAGAAGATCCTCATCACAATCACTCTAAGACAACCAGCACGAGCCACCATCATGAGGATAAAAGACGAAAGAATTCTTCACGAGGAAGTGGAGAACAGCATCAAACTAGTGGGGGTGGTTTTCTTACGGCCTTCCCTAGTCCATCATCGGAAGCATTACTAAACAATTGCTTAACTGTTTGATTATAGAATTATTTGATTCATTAGAACGGAGGCAGCTCCCTCTAGTTGTCCTAGCGAAAAAGAAAAAAACACATAAGAGGCTCTTCAAGGGAAACGAAGAGGCACACTCGAGATGGATGAGGGCGAGTTCTAATTTTTACCTTCCACCTGCTCCTGGGTCTACGAGTGCAACATCTTCTGCCGATTCGCAGAGCAAACACAAATCCAAATCGAAAAAGACATCAACCACAACTGTGCCAGTGACCTCAACTGCAATAATTAAGGCTTCCCCTACTTATCCATCTTGATAAGTGAACAGGCCAACGCCTAAACCACTAAGCCAACTGCGCAGTTGGCTTAGTGGTTTAGGCGTTGGCCTGTTCACTTATCACATCTCATGGAGCATCCTAGCGAGGCTTTTCAAGGGGAAAAGAGCCCTAGGATGAGCCTCAAGATGGACTGGGGTAAGCCCTAATTTAATGACGAATTGCCCGAGTGGTCCGGAGTGTCAAGAGCGTGGCCAAGAAGAACGTAGTAAAGAGCAAGACATCGGGAGGCATCATCCCGGCTCATCGTCTTCAGGCACGCGACCGCCTTCTGCTGTAAAAAAAGCATCAGGCAACACAGGCAAGACGGCCTCATCATTTTTAAGGGTTGAAGCATTTCATTTTTACAAGCCTTCTTTACTTGAGATTGCTACTAAAAATGGAATGCTGCAAACTTTATTAACATCACATAGGACAAACAACGCAAACGCAAATGCCACTCTTCCTAGTTTTTCCAAATCCTCGAACGGCGTAGAAGAGCCTGCAACTAGTAGTGGGGCAGGCAGAGCTCTGGTTCCCATCCGTTCACCACCCTTGTTCTCGAAGAACAAGGAGGACGACAAGGATCATACTAGAGTAGAGGACGATACTCGTCAGCAGCATCTTCGAGTGATACTGATGGAACAACAACAACAACAAGAAGACTCTCATCAACAACTACAAAATCAACGCCAATTGCAAGAACATCACCTTAAAATGAAACCATCTTCGATAAAGCCCCTCCAAGAACTACAGCATCTTCACGCACAGACTCCTGGCCATATTGTGCAACAACAACAATCATTAAAAAACCCTGTTGCTGGTGGCATAGATGAAGTAACTTCATCTCAGTCGCGCAGAGAAAAGAAAGACGTTGTCAAACCGCCAAAATTTATCGCCCAGCCGGTTTCTGAGCATTAAGAAAAACATTCTGCAAAATTGTGACGTTTATTTCAGCTTCAGATGATAGATGGAAAAAAAAAAGTTCACGACTGACTGTGATGCATCACAGACTTATAGGGTAGTCTAAGTAAGTCAAAGTCGGCTAACAAGACGAATTCTGGAGGTTAGTTTCTATTTTACTAGCTTCTGGGCTGCCTAAGGGAGGGCGGACCTTTCAAAGCACTGTACTACTGGAATATCTGATGTTAAGGTCGTCTCAACATCAAACTACATTCTCGAAGAGGTGTAATGTGAAAGGTATAGTCAATTACTTAATTGGGTGAGAGCATTCTTCTTCTTGGTAGAGGTTCATTCAAGTTTGAACAAACTAGACATTCTCTGTTCTCATTCTCTCTCTAACGCCTACTGGTTCTTCCACATTCTGACTCTCCTGAGGCTGCCACCAACGCTCCTCCGCCAGATGGGATTCCAGATGGTGCTGAATGCCTCTCGCCTGCAAGCAATGCAGGAGGACCAGCGGTGCAAGTAATGCAGTCTCATGCAGGTAAGTACTGTAGCGAACCTGCCGGCTCGGCTTGTTCCGTTTATGGGACTGGAGGGTCGTCAGTCTGTGGAGGCTCCAGAATAGATGATTCGGCGTGGATGGCAGAGCTAAATTTAAGGCGACTCTTTCACTATCCGAACATGTGGACTATTCTATTCTATTCCCCTTGTGATTTGCAGGGGAAGCTAAGTACAGGGAAAAGAGGGGAACTTGAACTCACTCTATAAGCGATCGATGGATCGCTTACAGACTCAATCAGGCTTAGAATGAAACAAGACTAGCTCTACTAAGTGAAAATCTGAATAAATCGGCACAATGAAGAAACAAAACTAAGAAATCTGAAAATCTAACAAATCACCTGCAGCAGAGTCAGAGAGGTGAGCTGTCAACTTCCGACACACGTACGTCGAGCCAGCCATCGAATCTGCTATTGACGGCGCAAAATGCCGTCTCCGCTGGAGCAGCGTCTTCGGGACAATTACCTGACTGCCGAGAATGTGAATTAGAAGGACCTCCCTGTTCTGAAGTGTCTATTACGGGTTATTTCCATGAAATTCCATCCCCCAGCACTACACTATGATCCTTGGCAGGCTCTTTTCCAGTACGTAAAAAAAAGCCAGGGATGTGTCTCCGCACGACCATCCTTGGCTTCTATTTTCCTTCTAATTCTAGAAGAGAATATTATGAAGCCAAGGAAGATGTAGTTCTGAGAAATGGAGTTCCGAAGTTTCTAAGTCTAGCAGGGCCAGAGATGACAACAAAAAGGTTGAAGGACGAATGGAAAGGGTATTATGACTTTAATATTTTATGCTTCTTGAAGTTGAATTTGAAATGATAAGGAATGTACCCTTACAAAAATCTTAGCTGTTCCATCTTGTCACAAGAATTTACAGTAGCAACCAACCACAAGCACCTTCATAGAAGTAATTTCATTTCCAATTCCTCCTCTTCAAAGCTTCTAGTGATGGACAGTAATCATTTGAGATGCACACATGATGATGAAAGCACTTCTAAGCAGAAAATAGCCGGTTAATTTTCCTTCGACTATCGTATCGACAAGCTATGTATCTCCATGTCAAAACTCTCAGTTGCTCCATCTGATCTGTACAAGTCGGGACTCTTTTGGCGATCCTGCAGCAGCTGCCACCAGTAGGGTCCCAACTACAGGATTAGACCTGCTTATCGAAGGTTCTGGCTCGGCAGACTTGATTAGGGCAGCTATTGTAGCAGGACTGATTAGGATGTCTATCAATCTAAGTACTTTATATCAAATCTAGTAAAAGAGGACGACCGTATAATTTTAATTGATATATTAATCTTCTATGAGCATGAGGACGTTACATATTGTGTGACAAACGGACAACACATGTAGTTGAAATTGATAAGTGTACAGGCTGGCGGTTAGGCGTTACGACTGCAGCACTGCGCAGTTGGCTTAGTGGTTTAGGTCTCGGAGGTTCCTAATATGACAGCTCTCATCCTAGGTTAATCCCTCCATCCAGCGATTAATCGACCTGATTAAGTGATTGAATGGGAGGCAGCATATTTATCGTCCTAACGAAAGAAATCTAATATGACAGCTCTCCACCAACAAGAAAGTCAAGCGGAAGATGACTCCTGCTCATCAGCTTCCTCTGATGACGATCAGTCTTCAGATATTTCTGCTCAAACGCCAATTAAAAGTATGAGTCGTAGTTCGAGTTTTGCAAATCGGAGCTCGAGCGGCATCGCGAACGCCCTCTCGGTAGCTGCTAGCATTAAGGCCTCGGAAAATTATATTGGCCCATCTTTGTATAATGCATTGTCATTGTCTGTGAAATGCATTGTCTCCTAATCCCAAGTCGCAAGCCATTTAATCTTAATCTTAGTGCATCTTGAAGCTGTCATCCATCAAGATGCGCGTAACGGCCCATCTTCGGATAGTGCATCTTGAAGCGGTCATCCATCATGAGTGCTCTGAAGATGCGCCCCTTCCGGGTGAGCTCTAATAGCAGTGTCTATTCAGGCGGCCGAGCAGCGAGAGCGTCAAAGTATCAAGTTTCCACCACCGCGGACCGTGATCTTGGCGCCGTTCTTGCAGGCTCTGATCAAGAAACTGAAGGGCGAGGACAGCCCCCAGCGCCACGTTCCCAAGCACCTGTTGAAAGAGGAACGACTCCAACTGGTGGCATGACTGCCAGTGGCCAAACTGCTAGAACTGAAAAGGGCTCACGGCGAGGGCTTCCACCCAGTCTGCCTTCCAGACCAAAAATTATGAGTTCTTTGATGAAGTCGACCTACCTGTAAAAGAATTTCCATAGCCTTTGGAGCCGGGAAAAAGGACACGTACGCAAGACAGATAGGTCAATCTGAAATCCCTAACAAAAAGTCTGACATTCAGTCTGCCAACAAGAAAATTGCGGCTGGTCCTGTTCCTGGGGATAAAAAACCTTGCTCTGCTGCAAGATCCAATACCTCAGAGACCACAAGACCACCATCTGCGTCTTCCAACAAGTTGGGCTTTTCTGCTGCAGATGGCACCAGTTGTGTACCAGCGAGCAGCTCGTATGGAGGACAGCCTCCTCGAAGCTTCTCTTCCCAAAGCCTTTTAGAGTCTACTGGGGGAGGAGCCCTAAGTCTTGCGTCTTTAAGACCACTCCTTAATAATTAATATTTTAGTTAGAATAAACGCATATCTTGAGTAGAGATAGCGTTTTCTTTTTCGCTGCATGTGTGGGTGGATCATAGAATTAATATAGTCATGAGTTGTCTACAACTCATTAAGAAGTTTACTGCCAACATCAAAGGACAAAGGACTCATTCAAGAGTCACTGTGGTCACAGAATAATTCCTAATTTATGAAAATCACAATCATGAAGTAGTCCTTTCGAACTTTCTAAAAAGTGTCCTACTAAAACTAAAACTAGGTATAACACCCTCTAGGTACTCACGACATCTCTAACTTTCTCACTCCCAACAAGGCCACCGAGTGGCAGTGCGCAAGGAATGAGCACTCCCGCAACAGAGCGTCACTTCCGGAATTGTGTTGAAGACACGACGGGTAGGGCAATGACGTCGACTTTTTAAGGCTTACCCTAATGGTCCATCTTCAGAAGATACTCAAAAGTACATCTTCAGAAGATTAGAAGCATCTTGGAGCTGTCGCTGTCCCATTATAAGCATAGGGGGAGAAGAGGATGTACACAAATGAGCAGTTGTCTCAAGAAGTAGGTGGATTGGGGTGTGCTAAATTGGGTCCCCCCCCGACGCCGACCTGCAAGTAGGATACAACTGCTCCGAGTGTGGTGGATGCTCCAGAGATCCTTCGGGGAAAAAAGATTGCTCAACAGAACACTTAAGGTTGACGATTATCAGATAATTCATCTTCACATGTTAGTTATCCCATCTCTTTGTTTTCTTCTTAGGATCTTCTGAAGCGATCACCCCAGAAGTTGAATTACTTTGAGCTCCTCTAAAACAACAACAACAACAACAACAACAACAGCACCAAAACAAGGGCCGCTCGGAAGACGACTTCGCGGCTGGAAGCTCAACTACATCTCCAACGACTGCTAAGTCCTGCCATGAACAGGGTGTTGTAGCTCATACTGGCACTTCAACATCGCTGTTTGACCAAAAGGCAGGGTTCCTTCGTCAAAATTCTGGTGAGTCCTCTGCCTGTGCTGCCTCGTCCGAAGCAGTTCCTTGCTCAGACCCTTCGTGTGTGCTGAAAAAGAGCCAACGCAGTAGCGGCGTTGCTTATAGGGATAGAGGTCTGGGATATGAAGACGAAAAAAATGATATGGCAGGAAAAAAGTGTACTCAACATAAGCAGGCCCCATCCGAATTGACCAACATCATCATCATGACAGGAAAAAGTGCACTCAAGAAAAGAGGCCGACTTCTTCTTTTTTCATCTCTCCGATAGAGATAGTAGATTATGCCCATTATTCTTTGAGACGAATGATGATGATGATGATGAGGCAGCTTCCTAGTAACTTAAGGATCTTCTATGATGGCTAATTATTTCTTGAGGATGGATGAGTACGCTACTTTTTGTTCCTTTCATAGATGATGATCTGGCCGCGCCTCCTCGTAGTGGTAGTTGTACTAGTAGTTCCTGCTCAAAGGAAAAGCAACATCCATCCAAAGCAACATCCCTGCAACTCCAGACTGACTCACGTACTGGCTCCAAGCAAGAAAAAGACTTAAACGACACTAGACATCGAAATCATGAGAATAGTGAAGTAGAACTACATCAAGATCACCACCGCAACAGGGACGATTAAGGCCACCGCTGGAGCATCCTTAGCATCATCGATCCCTGGCTGTTTTTCTACTTGAAAAAGAAGCCAGGAGGCTCTCAGGGATGCGAACGCGAAAGCTCTAAGACGAACAACAACACGATGGTCGTGCTCGGGATGAAGATGAGTATATTAAGGTTGAAGGAAATGCATGATCGCCAAAGCTACTTATAAGTATCTGGAATAGGAATGAAGACAAGAAGAAAAAAGTACTTATCCATTTGTTTCCAGAAATATCGAGTCTTTGGTATTCCTCTGTGCAAAAAGAAAAACATTATCCAGAAGATGATGCTTCAGGTTCAGATGGATTTCCTTCCCGTCTAAGTATAGCGCCTGCGGGTATCGTAAGAACTTGCGACAGAGAAGCTACAACTCTACAGAAGATGAGTGTCTTGATTCCAATCCCGCTTTGCACACTCTGGCGAAAAAGCTACAAAGTCTCTCGTTGGCGGAGGACGAGGAAGAAAATACAAAATCATCGAAATTTCAGGGAGTTGTAGAAGGCCAAGGCCAACGACTGACCGAAAGTGCGTTGAAGTTAAGAGAACAAGATGTTGAAATGTATTATCCCGCCGATGGCCGAGTATGGTCGTCAGGGATGCGAAAAATAGGTAGGAGCTCGATTCTACTTCTACATTTTAACGAGGACTACAAATGAATGATTGACGAAGATGAGGCCATGATCTCCCAGTTTGTTTCATTAATAAATATTGATAGATTGTTTCTTCACTTCGTTCTAATGAAAAGCGTCGAAGGTGGTACGCCCACGTCGAGGCATGACACTCACCGGGGAACAGAGAGGCAGGAGCGACCTACCTTTCAACAGGAGCAACAGGTTAGACTAAGTAGTTGGAAAGCACGGGAAAAAGATGCTTATGCCACACTGGTGCAGGAGGCGCAAAACATGTTAAGGCTAACGCTAAGTACTTGTAAGTACCAACGAACAATGGTTGATCCTACTACATGGTTCGCTCTTCAAGTATTTGGACGAAATACAGAGGTTGCCATAGCTTCTATTTGCTACTCACGTAGAACAAGTAAGACGCACATTATGCGGTAGCTCTAACAATGGAGGTGGAACTTGAGAGGCAAAGTCTGGAGGCGATCAGGAGACAGAAAGATGCAGAAAAAGCAAAGGAGCAAAAGATGGAGAGTCAAGAAGATCGATCTCATCCGGCTGTTGACTTCCGTGTAGCTGCGTCTCCAGAAAGAGGAATCTTCATGACTGCTAATTGTACGCCAGCTGCAACAGGAGCTGCTGCCTCGTCGAGTAATACGCATGTCGATCAAGCTACACTAGCCTCGTCGTCGGGTAAAAATATTCATGCAGCTCAACAAGAAGGTCGTATTACTGCAACATCAAGTGCACCAGCACAACCAGTGCTTCTAGGACCAGACCCAGTTCTTGCACGAGGAGTTTCAGGAGTACCTTCAGGAGGATCCTCCCGAGGAGCATATGTAGCCTCCTCTCGTGTTCCCTCTGTTGCTGGGAAAAGCTCCATTCAAGGTTCAGCCAAACGATTTCGAGTCCAGGACCACAACAAGGCTGACCTTCATTTAAGGCTCGCACAGCATTTAAGGCTTGAGGGGTCTCTTCCCCTTGGTCATGATGATCACTATCAAAACTGAACAGCGGGACATGACTACACGGGAAACATCCATGACATAGACACTCAAGATGAGTTTGTATTTGGAGAAGATCGAATTCATTTTCATCGCAAAATTCTAACTCTAACGCTTTCGTCGAGTCTGGTCAGAGAGCGTTTTTCCAGAGAAAAAAGTGTCTCCCGAGTGTCTGATGACGCCCGTAGTGTAGGACCGAACTACAGTGAGACCAGCTACGACGACCGCATGCGCGATTCCGTCACTTTGTTACAGGCCTCACAAGACCTCCCGAAATTCAAAGAAGATCATGCTGGTTCTAACGTGGTTAAGGCTTTCTCATCCTCCATTCGAAAACTGAAAATAACCGAGTTACTAACTGAAATAAGGGAGGCAGCTTTGACAGGGCTACTCTTCCTTGTTCAGACAGTAACTCGCTTATTTTAAGTGGTTACTCGCTTATTTCAGTTTTTCGAATATAAGCAAGTAAGTTCAAGCGTACTGTTCTAAGTTAGTAGCTCTGGTGCTCTTAGATCACTTCGGTTATTTCAGTTTATTTATCGAATATTAATCTAACTTTAGGCTTCCATCCCTTCTTGCAAAGAACATTTTGATTATATATCGAATAATCCATCTTGAAACTGAGCGACGTCCTAGAAGAGAGTGTCTTATTTTTTTCCCAGGGAGAAGTAAGGCACCTCCCTCTCCCTGGATGTTGTATCCTGAGATGGATTTAGCTTCAGCTGAGCAGCTCGAATAATTGCACTGGCGCAGCAGGTGAAGACGGAGCAGAGCCTCGTTTGAGTCCTATCTGGCGCGATACCTATAAAAGCTCTTCCCAGGTGGAAGAACAAGGTGGTAGCAGTATACTCGATGAGGTTTCTCTGTCTAGTTATGGGTTCTTGCAACATTTCATTTTTGCAAGCCTTCTTCAGTTGAGATTGCTACTAGAAAATGAATTGTTTGCTCAGCCTTTAATCTAGAGAAGGGCCGCAGAGTACAACTAGGACCACTGACGGTAGCTGGATGGCAGAGAGCCGAAAGCACAGCATGGCAACGCGAGAATTCCACCGATCAAGTTCGATCAATGAGCAGCAAGCATCGCCTCCAAGCGCGTTTGGAGGAGCTGGCTCAAGTGGAAGTGGAGGAGCGGCACCAGATGGAAGTGGAAGAAGTGGAAGTGGAAGTGGAGGAAGCGGAGATCCCACTAGAAGTGGTCCCCGACGTTCCTTTGATGTGGCAGCACATGCGTTTGGGGATCATCCTTTTGTTAAGGCTAGGCATTCTCTCTCTCTCTCAGTATCTCTGTCATCTTCTGAGGTATTCATCCTGAGTTAGTGGGTTCCTCTCCGTTGCAATTTTTCAAGAGAAATTTTTCAAGGGAAACACGAAGGGAAGAATCCCCCACTCAATGACAATCAGAGATGATACCTAGCGACAGTGTCCCCGTCTAGCGTTAATTTTGGTGTGGCACCTCTTCCGGAAGATGAAAGAAACGGGGATCCGTGGCGAATATTCGACGACCCGTTCAATATCCTTTCCGGTCAATCTGAAGCCGAAGATCATGAAGACAGACCTGTGCGACCGAGCTTTGTAGATGAGAGCGAAGATACACTTCACGCACATGATCAGGAGGATTTGCCGCGTGGCTATTTTATGGCTAACATTTAGTGTCCTCTGTCGTGTCTATCTTTCTCCACCTTCTCAGCATCGCAGTCTCTCTGCTGGTAGTATCCTTCTATACTGTTGCCATAGACAATGTGAATAGCAGGGAAACCGAGGTAGCAACTCCCATGGAAGAATACAACTTCTTTCATTTTTGGAGCCTCACTATATTTCTTGAAAAAATTCTAAGGATATCTTCTTATTCTTTCTTATAGCAGCCCTAACTCTTTTCTAATTACACTTTTGGTCATGATCTGGGCGATGTTGATGACGATTCTCGACTTGATCCGATCGTAGGTGGTGCACGTGGAGGAGCAGGTCTTCAGGGGCGACTTGAAGCTCGTCTTACTGTTAAGGGTACAAGAAAGATGCCCCCATTATCAGAGGCAACATCTTGGTCCCGTTTTTAAAGGGACCCAAGGAGACCCAAGATGCTGCTGAAGATGGATTTACTCCAAATTAGTTCTAATACTGGTGTCCGTGATTATCAACATGACGAGGACGATCTTCGTAATGCCCGTAATGCCACACGCCAGTATCAAGGCGATGCTCCTCACCGGTTGCCCGAACGTGTGTTGTCTCCATCTTCTTTCGCGTCCAGATTTGAGGAGATGGAAAGAACTGCAGTGTTGAGACGACGCCGATTGGAGGGCGAGCAGAAGGTTCATAATCATGATCCTCTGACGCAGCAGTTCACTCCGGATGGACAGCGATTGACGTACGTGAGCCAACGCAGAAGTTGGAAATCCATGAAGAAAAGGAGCGTGGAGGAAATCCTCGGTAGCGGCGTATTTCCTGGACCAGGCGGCGAGGACGATTTTCTGGATCTTCCTCTTGATCATGGTCCTGGTGATTGTGTACCACGCGGAGGTTATCAAAGTGGGAAACTGTGCTCTACTTCCTCCTCCTCGAGACATCATGATCGTTCAGAGGATTTTTAAGGGTACTTAGTTGTTCACCATCCCAAATGGGGAGGGACTATGCTAAGCTAAGTGGCGCCCCCCTTGATTATTTAAAGGTCTAAGTAGAATAAGGGGGACGCAGGGCATCCCGCTCGACTCGGTATGGTGAAAAACTACCGCTAAGACCTGGACAAATTCGGCCACAAGAATTTACTAGATCACGACGATTTCTATGATGGAGGCGAAGCAGATGATGACGAAGACGACTATTTTTATCGAAGGAGGCCTGGAGCTGGATCAGGCGGAAAATTTTCCACGGCTGGCACAACTACAACTACAAAGAGAGCTACAACAGGGGATCTATCTACAAAGGGCTCATCGTCGTGTAGTACGACTACGAGCAAGCCGAAACGTCCTGCACTGAAGGTTCTAAGTGAAGAAGAACTTGCTCATTGGACACGAGGCTTCAATACGACTGGCGTGATTTTTGGGCATCACTTTGGTGTAGGCCATGAAGACGGCGGGCGGTTCGACGACGACTTCCCTCAAGAAGAGAGACTTCCTACGTTTGGTAAGTACAGGAGCAGGAATAGTTTTGGGGACGGAGAGAGACTCACATATAACAAGTACGGGGACATCAACCTTCACAGCAAAGATGGACCTCTGCGCAGACGCAAGGGCTGCCCTTTGCCGAGTGAGGACGACTTTGCCGATTTTTTCGAGGATCCGTTATTGCCTTCACACGACAGAGACAGAAACAGCTTCATGAATCGAACAGGCTTGAAAACAGGATCTACTGCAGCTGGTGGATCTAGTTCGCCGTTTCAGCGAGGAATCAGTGCCGATGCTGCTGAACAAGGTTACGGCAGCTCACGATAATATCCATTTTAATTAAGGGTTTCCGAATTACATCCCTCACTACCATCCTTGGATCCTTTTCAAGAAGAAAATAGGCCAAGGATGTTCTGAAGAATGCAACTCGGCAACCTCTAATTGAAGTAGACACGCCTGGTTCATCTTCCTCAAAAAATGCTTTTCTGAATAACAAGAAGGAAAAACTCAATTCTACTAAACTTGAAGCGAGGAACTTGCCTGAGTTAATATCGCGCGTTCCTCTAACATGAATCTCGGAGATTGAAACTGTTTGGGATTGATGATTTCGGTTGTTGTCTGGACGATGATCCGTTTGACGAAGACGCTCCGCGTCCGTCTGTCAGACCGTCGCCGAGGAGTCGTGGACTTAATCAGGGTTTATTTGATGACCCGTTTGCACCTTTAGGTATCGACGACGCTCCCAGGCCTTCTATTATTATGGTCACAGTTTTTGTTTCTCTTATTCATCTGCATCTCTCATTCTCAGAGCATCTCTGCTGCTCCCAATTTGAGTTTCAAAGAAACCGTAGGTACTACGGAGATCTGTAGGGGAAAAGATCGAGATGAATCATTCATCGTACTACGCGCTAATTATACGAGAAGCAGACAGGAGTCAAGTGCGAAGATGGGCATGCGTCGGGATCTTCCCTCTGCTTTCAGCGACTTCGCTCCAGTTGAGGATGAGGATGCCCCTCGTCCGTCTATCAGACCGTCGCTGAGGAGTCGTGGACTTAATCAGGGTTTATTTGCTCGTGGAGATCCAGGACCACCTGGTGCTCGTGGAGATTTCATTAAGGCTTACTAGACTCATATTCCTTTTCCTCTCGAGAGGCTGGCATCCATCTTTATAACGTGCTTATTTCAAGGAGGACCAACTTGGGTCGTCAAAGGTGCATTTCAAGAAGACTTGGAATTCTCGCCTGAGAAGTCGAAGTCGTGGCGCCAGCCATAGTCCCGCGTTCGCTTGGGCGTGTGTCATTTTTGGCCGCTCTGTCTGTGTAGGTTGTCGTCGATTCGTCTGGTTCTGGTTCAGCGGCTCCCCTTGTCTGAAATCTTCGCCACCTGTGAACTGGGAGCGAGAACGAACCAGCGACAGCAAGGAAGCCATAGCCTGAAAACGCCACCGGCAAGGCCGAGGTCAGCTCTAACTTCAGCCGAGGTCGAGGTGGAAGCATGAGTCGTGGGAGTAGCGTATCATCCGTGAATCGACGGGGAGGAGGCCTCCGAGGGCGTGGTGTTAGGGCTCACTACATACTTCATTTCTGCAAGCCATTTCTCCCTATTTCCTTCTTATAGGATTGGGAGTAGGAGTAAGTAGTTGGGAGTACTAGTAGGCAAGAAGTGAACTATTTTGGGCTCTAACATGCGCAACAGAGATGAAGTCCAAGATGTTCTAGACAGGTACTTCCGCGAGCCTCGCAATTACGGGGACCAAGACGATGACGATGATAGTGATCCGCCTCCACGCAGGAGAATTGGTTCAATTATGGACTTTCATACTGTCACTACTCACTAGAAGGAGTTGCGATAATATATTTGCTAGCATATTATGTTAACATCTCAGTGTCGTGATTGGTATTCCGGTTGCAAAGAGAAATATTGCTATAAATTTAGACAGTGAGAAGTTTCATATAGTACTACTAGGTACTGTACTATCCAAGTACCACAACTTCTACTTCTAGGGAAAAGAAACTCAATTGTAGATCCCTAGTGACTCGATCATGAAATCCCGCTAATGCTAGCCGTGCCTGTTCCCCCTCCCGTGGCTTTTGCAACCCTCTGCCTGATCCTGAGGAGGATGCCAATGATTACTCTTTCCGGGATGATGTATTTTTAAACGATCAAAACATTAAGGCAGAACAGTTTATTATAGCACGCATGGTGCATGGAGTAGCATGGAGTGCATGGAGCACAGACCTCTAAGGGACGCAAGAAGCGCCCCCTTTAGCTCCATGCGATCCATGGACTCCATGCCATGCGAGCTGGCAAACCTTATAAATTACTCTGCCAAGGGTTACCGAACAATTACATCCCACGTCATACCATCCTTCCCCAACTATCAAGGGAGAACTTCTTGGAGTACTTCTCAATCTACTTACATAGATACTTGAGAAAGGCTCTGCGGAATGTATCTCTGTGGAATGTAAAAATTCTGCAGCCTCTAAAAACAGTACTCATCATCCCGCTTCGGGTTCTGGTGACACAACACGACATCGTGTGATGCGTAGGGGACTGCTCTCGTCGAAAAAAGACAGAGTCGTGCCAACGGATACAGTCGAAGTACGTCCACAATCAAGTTCGAGATCCCGCTTTGACGAAGATGAGGACTCCTCGAGAGATAGGGGTTCGTTGCAAGCTTGGGATGGCGATACTTAAGGCTCAATACATGTCTCATGACTCTTGTTCCTATTGCATTGCTTCAGCGGAAAAACTTCAGTCGGGTGCACTGGGGGGGCCTATTTTCTCTGTTCCCTTCGGAGGATCGTTCTCAAGAAATGGACTCCCAAAGAAATGAATTGTTTTGAGATCTAAGATAGTATGACTCATCTAAGATAGAAGTATGACTCCTGGCGGTGGTCCGGGTCCCTCTACTACTGTTGCTGGCGCAGGAAGCAGTGCCATCGCGCCCGGCCCTGGTATGGGAGGTTGTATTCCTCCAGGCGGAAGTCGTATTAATATGGCTTAATATGATCCTGATTCATCCTAAGCCGCGACGTCAATATCCTCATTTTTTTCTCTAAGCGACATGATCTTTTAAGACATGATCTTGTAAGACTAAGCACATTCCAAATATGCAGGCGAAGATGAATTTGTAGAAGCTCTAATAGCAGCAGTTTCGCCACTGTTGGCGGTGCCGGCAGTTTCACCACGCCGCCTGTTTCGGAGTCGTTTGCTAGTGTGATGTCTACTCCCTCTGCTGGCGCAGGCTCCTGGCAGAGAATTCCTTTTATGGCTTCAGGTAATTTCCATCTCCAGAAGACTTTCTCCAGAAGTCTTCCTGTGACTCGGAGGGCCCTTACTGCTCTTTAGTACAGGAAGGCGACTAGTAGCAGTTCTTTAAGTAGGAAAGCCATACATATGCGAGCTAGAGACGCCAACTCTCAGCCTCTAAATATACTTGCAAAACTGAAATAACCGAATAACTGTTGAAAATAAGGGAGATTGATACTGAAAGAAGCGGAATGAGTAGTCAAGCCTCGCTTATTCTCGTCTGTTACTCGCTTATTTCAGTTTTTCGAGTACTTATAGTTCAACTTCCTTCGTTGTAGTTACTAGTTGGCTCCTAAAACGCGGCCATAAAAATATTGAAGGAAAGGCACAGGATGACAGACTTCCATCAAGTTTGAAACCGGGAACGTGTCTAATCCTTCTACAGATCAAACTCTGGGAGCAGGAGACCCAACAGCTCCGAGTCGTGGAGGAGGACGACAGTCGAAAGGTTCTCTAGCTAGAAGAACATCGATTTCTCTGGCTAGTCGAGGCTTCTTCGGATCGATTCGGGGTTGGTGCAGAGGGCGTGGGAGTTAAGGGTTCTTTCCCGGAAATTAATTCGCTCACTACCATCCTTGGCTCCTTATTTTCTTTTCAAGGGGGGGAGTCTTTGAAAAGGCTTGGCTCCTTATTTTCTAGAAGGGGGGGGAAAATCCTTTATTTTGAAAAGGAGCCAAGGATCATGTTCATCTGAAGAATGCAACTCGGCAACCTGCTCTAAGGGAAGGAATCAACGAACCTAGAAGTCTTCCGAAATGATGAGGAAGAGGAAGAGGAAGAACGGCCTAAAGAGCAAGATAGAGAGTAAGAAGAGAGAGTATGCAGTAAGGCGATACGAACACGTAGAGGGTTGAGCTATGAAGATAGAAGGTGATCTCAACTAAATACCATACTGGCCAACTTCTGTAAAGTGGCCTCAACTATAATGGCAAGGTAAAAAGAAGTACAAGGATAGTTGTGAAGACAGGTGACATGGAGGTGGCGGTAGGAAAAGCGAAAAATAAAAGGTACTTATCCCGAAAGTCCTTGAGCCGATCGATTCTTTCCGTCCTTTTATCATTTGAAGGTAGAAAGCATCCATGTACAAGTAGTAGCAGGTAAAAGTCCTCTATTTTCCTTGTGTGAAGGCGATACAACTTCTACGTGGTTTCTCTATCTACTGTTTCAGTAAAGCGATAAAGCGATGCAGTTTCTAGCACAACATTCATAAGAAATGATGGGCCTACCGTCATACTGATGACCATAGTCGTAGCAATGAGTAAAAAGGGTTCAACCTCTATCAGCGTCTTTCTCCACGCTCTTAGTGTGGAGAAAGTAATATTCTCTTCGTCTTCAGGAGGAACAACTAATTAGAATAGCACTTATACCCCACGATGGGGTATACTACTACTAACACTACTCTCTTTGGCTCTCTTTTTTTTTTACTCTATTCGAATTAGAAATTTACAAACGATTCGACTAGAACAACGAGATAAACATGGGATGGGAGCATGCTTGCACGATCTCAAAGTACTGCATGGGATACCATGATGATGGCCCCGCCGTTGGGCTCGCTATACTGTAATTGAGACACCATGATGCTGGTGCTATTCTTGCTAGTCTGTACAACTGAAAAACGTGGTTGTACTAACTAAGTATGATTGTTCTGAAATTGACAGTCTTATAGGCTATACTGTACTGTACAACTGAAGCTCCTAGTTCTATTAAGTGTAACCTGTGCATTCATTCATTGCGGGAGGCTCACAGCAGATATTTATATATGTTCCAGGGCTCAGGGCGGGAGGCCCCCCCCGATCTAACTTTTGGGGGGGGGGGGGGGGCCCCCCCCGCCCCGGCCCCTCTTTTCGAGGGGCTGCCGGGCGGGAAGGCCTCAAAGCGCCCACTTCTGACCCCTTCCCGCTTCCTGCATGTACCCTACAGACCTGGCAAAGGTGGCAAAGGCTGGGCCCTCTTGTCGTGTTGCGTGTACCCGACAGAGCTGGCAGAGGAGGCAAGGCGGGGCCCACCCCCTTGGCGTGCTGCATGTACCCGACAGACCTGGCAAAGCTGGCAAGGCTGGAACCCTCTGGCGTGTTGCATGTGCCTAACCCTAAGCCAAGGGGGTGGGTTCCCGCCTTGCCTCGCCTGCCAGGTCTGTAGGGTACAGGCAAGAAGCGGGAAGGGGTCAGAAGTGGGCGCTTTGAGGCCTTCCCGCCCGGCAGCCCCTCGACAGACCTGGCAAAGGTGGCAAGGCTGGACCCCTCTGGCGTGGTCCATCCCAGATCCATCCACAGGGGGGGGGCCTCCCTCCCTGGTACATATATAGGTTCCTCCGCTGCCGCTTCGGCGCCTAGTTGGCGGACTTCTTCCTATGAATTTCTTCCTTGAGGCTTACTGAATAGCGGTTGCCGTCGTGCTTAACCTTTTGGTAGATTTTTTTAGGCGCATGGCCGTCGTGCTTCAGGCTTCCCGCGGGGTAATTGAATGGAACTATTGCGGGAAACTGTCGACACAGGTAAAAAAAAATAATTTCTTCCCTGAGGCGTACTGAATGAGTGAGCGCTTGTATGTGTGTTATGTGTAGTAGGGCTATCAGCTTCCAAAAAATTATTATTATTATTAGGTCGCGCGCGACCCTATCGCCGCACGCGTTCTGCGCTCTCAGCGCAAAGGCCACCTGTCGCTACGGACGCTGGTGTAAGGGCTCTAGGGGCCTTCCTGACGACCCGGTGGCTGTTTTGATTTAATGGGGAAGCTACGCGTCGGTCTCTACGCGCTGCAGTCATCTACTATTTCTACTATTTCTAAGATATTGATATTTTTTACATGCATAACTTGATGTTTTGACGTGTGAGCAAAGTGTCCTCCACGTGTAGTTTTCATACCATAGTGTTGTCTCACTCTAGAAATTGATAGAACTCTTCAACTCTTCGTAACCGAATGGGCGCCATAATCAATCTTCGATTGGCTCCGTCTCTAACAACTCTCGAAGAAGACGCTCGTCTTTCTCTCTTCTGTGGTCAACATTGGCGTTCTTGTCAATACGAGATCATAGTAGATGAGGTGGCGAGCGTAAGGGGTGAATACTAGGTTTTACATAATCAATCTGAGTCTGAGAGTTAAGCACCATAATTGCGGGATTGTGTTAGTGTTGTAATTGAAAGTTGCGTCACCTCATGCCAGGGAAATTCAGTCATTTTGAAAGTTTCTTTCACATCCATCTTGAGAAAACAACTACAGAAAACATCAGAGATAACATCTTTCAGATTAATTTCTTGATTTTGAACAGGGTACTGCAACACTTTTGATCATGACAGTACTGTTTACCATTGATACCTCGACCTCCATAAGAATTCGTGCTTTTTGATTTTGCTACGTTCAGCTGATGCATAGAAGAAGAGAGGGATACTTAGTTATCTGATCGGATTGATTTTGATATCATATGTTTTACTCAACTAAACGTCGACTTTGTTTCTTGAAAGAAGAGAATTATGGTCACTGAAATAGTCGTCGTACTAGTCTTTTTTACGGTTACTCCTGACCAACACATTCATGTCTGGCTGACGTCGACATTCATTGTTGAACATACCTAGTATTATATATAGATATTTTTTGCTATTTGTTGTATAAATAGAGGGTGCTTTTATACTCGTTCAGAACGAAGAGCAAGATTAGGGCACTTGATCTTGTACTTCAGAGTTCATCATGATTCATGGTCACTGATATAGTTACTAACTCTTATAGCTAGTAGGTTTGGTCCACTCATTTTTTTTTTTGCCAGCTTGTTGTAGTTTCTGGAATAGAGAAGTTTCCATTTTCATAGTAGATTTTGCCAAGTATGAATAGACCGGAAAAATTGAGGCATTCTGACATGACATGTCATGATGACGTTAAATAAGTACTAAGTATGAACAAGAACAAATACGAAAGGCGCTTCTTCTCCGACAGGATGAATATGTATGACTTCTGTTGACTGTCAAAACATTCAAAAGTCCTTCTGTGAAACTCCAAGATTCCGCTGATTTTCAAAAATCACAACCATTACAACTGCATCCGTAGCGGCGCTTGTGTGGAGATACCCGTGTCTAGAAAAAGTCAGTGTCGTGGTTGCTTTATACCGCCAGCAATTTTTCATGCTTGTTTCTTTGCAGTACGTAGCAGGATCGATGCCACAAACATGTCACAGGATTGATGTACCGATGCATTCATAGACTTGTGAAATAACAAGGCTCCCTCTACTAACAGATAGTACCTCTCCACGAAATAAAAATTCCTGAAAAACAAGAGCACTCTTTAAGATAGGTTCCTTGCCCTATTTGAGATCCACCAGAAGACAACACATTCATAACAAGATCCCATATCCCAGTACGAGAAGGAACAACATCAATATGGCATCCTCGGAGTTGTCTCCACATCAGCCTGGTCTAGTAGACACGGCTGAGGGTCGCACAACGGGTGCAGGAGATGGTGACAGAGATAGTGCTACAACTACCCAAGAAGAATCTCCACTGTTAGCCCGCGTTATCGTGCGGCAAGGTATCAGCGACGACATCACGCATGTGCCCCTGTTCGACAAGACTTGAAAAAGACAACCTTAAACGAGCTGCGAGAAGCGGTCGCGGCTAGCGTTTTTTCTGGTGGGAGAAAGCGGCACTTACTCAGATGGAACTTGGCAGATGTGCACGAAAAAGGGCATAGTGTTGCTGTCCTGGGAAGTACAGGAGGCGGAGGTCAGGGGAAGATACTGCGAAGTCAGCACTGCTGGGAACTACTGACCTTGGCTGACCTACTACGAGAAAACCTCACGAAGGACGAGGCCAACGTCCTCACGAACCAGACGCCCATCACGGCCGCCCTGCGCTATGCGATCAAAGCGCTTCGGAGCTACGAGACAATCAACACTCGACAAGAATTCGACGACGCTCTGCATCCGTATTGGTATTATTTTTCGGATAGCACTTCCTCATCCTGACCTCAGGGCCGCCTATATTTGCGCCAAGAGCATTGGATATGAGAAAGAGGAGGACGCAGGTGGAAGGAAACTATGTTAAGGCTAGCCTTTTACCTTTACTATATCATGTGGACTATGCTTGATTTAAATTCGGGATCTTTCACCAGTTCCAGTGCCTGACCTTTCGAAGCTTTTTTATGCTTTCACGAATTTCAACCTCGACATCAGCGGTTGGGATGTGTCCGGCGCAGTCGATGTCTCCGAGATGTTTTCCGGCGCAAAGAAATTCGACCAGCCAGTCGGAGATTGGGATATGGGCAACGTGGTGAATATGCAGGAAATGTTCCGTGGAGCGAGGCGCTTCAATCAACCGATCGGGAAATGGAACGTGAGCCGCGTGGGAAACATGGAATTAGGGGTTACACCATGACTATTGCATTTCGTACAAGTAAATGGACCTTCGCTTTATATACCTAGAAAATAAGTCAAGAATGTTCTCAAGCAGTCCCCCGAAAGTTGGAGACCACTCTTCAATGAGCGACTCACAGCAAACATGGCTGATTCTCATGAACGATGGACGACAGGCGGTGTGAGCACGCGTTTACGAGATGAGCAAGATGAGATGCGGTTGAAGATAGTGATGAGTGATGATGTGGCTTGTTCTCATTTCTTTGGAACCGATTGCCAATATGCCAATGGCTACCTATAAGCTGATTATCGCTTCGTAGGTGAGGACTAGGCACACTTATTGATATGTGGCGGGCGCGTAGACAGTAGGACACCAAAAAAAAGAGTTGCATCAGCCGAACTAACATGACATAACGACTACCATGAAGCGCCCACTCAAACTTTGTGTGAGCTTACCAAGCAAAGCCAAAAACTAAAACAGCGGATATGATAACATTGTGGATGAATAAGGTAAAAGTTCTTGTGCTTTATCAAGAAGAAAATTCAAATTGTTTATGACCACTTCTAAGAAGTGCTTCAAGAAATGCAAATTCGAACCCTTGTTCGTTCCTCTAAATTTCAGCACTAATTATGCTAATGCTAATGAATTGAAGAATCTCAATCTGTTCTCGAGCATTATGCGATCATATTGTCTCTGCAAGCGAACTGTCCTTCTGAAGACAATAGTCATGACTCCTGAACAAGAAGATGGTCATCACGCTGTCTTGTTAATACGCAGATCGTGGTTCCTTCTACTGTCTTCTTGGCGTTCCCTCTACTCCCTTGGCGGGGTTCCCTCTACTCTCTTGGCGTCTTTCCTTGGTATTGTGCTGCGGTACCGCTGCGATCATGATTACGATCAAAATTATCCTGTCTGGAGAATGAAAATGAAATCTAACGACCTCTGAATAAAATCTTTCCGACAAGAACAAAACGAATGAACCACCTGTAGAAAATGGTTACCAGAGCATTGCTTCCTGATTACCATCGCGTCAAATTCCTTATGGCAGTTTGCACTGAACTTCGTAGGGGCAGTAGCGTAGTTTGTTAAGGAGATTAAGAACTCCCCCCTACGCCGGTAGCTACGCGGAAAATATGTAGGCAGGTTCTTCACGGAACTCGCTCGCACTACAAAAAAAAAAGCGAGATCAATTGTATTGTATTGTATTGTATTGTACTACACAGCTTGGGACAAGTGGGGCAGACGCATATTCTCTACCTGTAAGTATAAGTCTTCTGGATGTAGATGTAGATATACTTGCGAGTAGAAGGACATTATGGCCGCGAAAAGGTTGTTGTTCGAGGAGTTTCAGAGTATTGCATAGCGTTACAGCTTGAACATCCCCAAGTGGTGCTAGAGCAAGAAGATGTCCGCTATCGTCTTACGTGAGCAGCTGGAGCTGGACTGCAGCCCGGTCGATAGCGTAGTTTCTGCGCATCTTCCCTTCCTGGACACTTTGGTCAACTCGCTCACCTCCGAGAAGCTCGCTTTTGTGCCGAGACACGACGATCCAGAGAGGGTGAAGAATGTCGTCAATGCTAGCAAAAATGTTGGAGTTGCAGGAGCAAGTGGAAGCACAGCAACTACAGTTAAGGCTGCACCTAATACATCTTTGGACATCTTCACATCCTTGATGAAATGTATAGACGTATGGAGTATCCTAAGGGAATACTCCCCCATTATACTTTTCAAGGATGTACTTGAAAGATGAATTACGGACAGCTCTAAGACAGCAACGAAGGTAGACGTCTTATCCGATCTACGCCAATTCCTACGACTCGAATCCGAAGAAGCAGTGGCGCACTTGTTTTGCACCTATCAGAGCCACAAACTTGCCAAGAAATTCCATGTAGACGTACAAACTCAATCCACGTCGACGTTGTACGATGCCAGCGTGCTGCTGTGTGAAGATGCAGCTATCCAGGAACAACTGCGAAAAGAGTTGCGGGAATACCTGCATTTGGAAAGACTAGCTGTTTTGCAAGTGTTGGCGCTGTTGGCAAAAAGAGGATTGGACTGCTCCTCAGGAGAGTCTCCGAGTGGGGACAAGAATAAGAACAGTAGCTCCTCGACTGCTGCGTCTTCTTCTTCATCGAGTAGTTCATTTGGTGCTGTTGCACAACAAAGATCAATACCGGCATTGACATCATGGTTAGAGCAGAAAGGCTCAGCTGCTGTAATGGCAGTCTTCGAGGCCTATGGAGCGGTCGACCGTTGGGACCCTCTACAGCCAGAAGAACTACGCTTCGGACTAGAATTGCAACTCGCATGCTTAGAGACTCTAGTGGTTTTTGCAAACGCTTCACACGCAAAAAATTTAAGGGTTGTAGCTTAATAAGGTGTTCCCCCTGTTGCTGTTTGTTATGGCTCTCCTAAGGGTGGAGACTGGCATAACAAACGGGATAAACGAACACCAAAAGCCTACCTCTAACAAATGCAGCAAGTCCAAGCTCACAGCTACAATCTTCCACATCTCCACCTTCGAGTCCGACGCAACCAATTTTCCCGTTGTCTCTCTTGGATTTGTGTCGAACCTTTTCTGGCGAAAAATTCCTAGGTTGTCTGCATTTCCTACGGCCAAAGCTGTGTGGCGAGATGTTTACACAGCAAATAGTGAGTATGTCAATGTCTGGAAATGTTAATATTATCAATGGGATGAATAGTGCAGCTGGTGCTTCTACTGCCAATACAAGAAAAAACGCGGAGAAAATGGAGGACAGTGCACCCTTCTTTTTCCGGCTGGCGCAGCATGTAGGAGATTTGCAAGTTGTGTTGGTGCTGACATTGATCCAGGGAAGAGAGCTAGGACAGCAACATCAACAGGGTTCTTCCTCTACCAACCTAGACCGCAAGGACATTCATGCGGAACTCACAGAGTGGAGTGGCCTTTTGGACCGACTGCCTTTCGAAGCTTCTCTCAGTGGAAAAGGCCTGCTACCGCAAGTCCGGACGAGACACAAAGCGGCTGAAGACCAACATATTAAGGCTTGGGAGTTGACCTATCATCTAAGGGCGTCTCTATGTCTTCTTCAAGTAGGAAAGCCACAGATATGCGAGCTAGAGATGCCAACTTTCAACCCCTAAACATAGGCTTAAAGTGATCAGTATTATCACGATGGCTTGGTTTGTGCACATTGCAGGCATAAGTGCTGGCGCAGCTGGAAGTGGAGGAGTACAGCTAGATTCAGTATTGGGCAGATATCGCGTAGCGCAAGGACATCCGAGGTTGTGGCCGGTAGCGTTGCAGGAAATTGTAACGAGAGGGAGGCTTTTTGAAACGGACTCATTGGTATCTACTTCTAGATTTATGATTTCTCCAGCACGTCCTTGTGATTTTCATTCTGTTGTTTAATCTTTAGCATCTCCCTGGACTTGTAAAAGGACTTAAAAACGATCGAAAATGTAAAGAGTGAGAGTGCAGTTTAAGTGATGTTTCAAGGATAATATCCAGATCATTACCGATGAATTACCTCTCTAAATTCACAGGTTTCACCCCTCATCCAGGAGGACATCCTAGAGGGTTCTCATGGATCATCCGACAACTTCGTGTCTAGCGTTTTCTCGCAGTTTCATCATTTGCATCGCGAGACGCTCGTCGAGTACTGTGGCCTCGTGGCGGAAAGATTAGAACTTCGCGAATGCAGCGGCAAATTACCACAGAGTTTGAGCTTGGTGCTGAGACTGAGCTTGACAAGTGCTTCTACAACGACGTCAACGGGGAAGAGAAGTTCGCCTCTCAAGCGAGAAGCCTTGAAGCAAAAGATCTGGTCGACCCAGATCGCAGCTAGAAGACGACTCCAGTTTCTGCTAGCCCATTGCGTAAACGACCTCGCTTCCCATCTCCCGACTTGCTTGGACATCCTTAGTGCTTTGTTACCAGACAGTTGTTCTTTAGGCAGTGAAGAAGAGGAAAAGAAATCGACAGGTCGTGAAGAAGAGATCTACGAGCAATTGATGTTACTTCTTCGGGAAACGAAAATTCCGACGTTTTTGACACCTATGTCAACAGTCCAAGACTGTGCTTCTCGGACGGTGCCACCGTCTGGAGGTATGATGTCTTCCATGTCGGCAGACCAGCATTACTCTTCTTGTATGACGACCTCGAGTGCTGGAGGTGGCTCACTAGATGCAGCGGGTCCTTCTCAGCATGAGATGTCTTTGACAAGGGGAGTTTTCGCCGAACAGCTGTTTTTGAGACAATTTGGCATTGCAGTAGCTCAGAGATACGACGCAGTGGCCTTGACACGTGAGAATTCCAGTGGAAAGATTGTACGGGTGAAGCAAAGTAGCAAGGGAGTAGTGACGTCTACGCAGCATCAAGAACAGGTAGAACATGCTGTGTTGTGGCGAGTGTTGGGTGCCACGAAACAGGGTTCTTCCTCGTCTGCAAGTGGTCCCACTCCTTCAGGTCCTCGCGGCTTGACTCTGTTGCCATTGATTATGATCGTCTTCGACAGCTTCTTGGAACAGGTCGCGGATCTTCACAGCGGGTCAGCGATGGAAGGTTTGATGGGTGAAAGTAGAAATCCTTATAGTGCTGCTGACTACAGTTCCAGTTCCTCTCTTCTACTGGGAGGACTGGTAGACGATACAACAACGGCGTCTTCTGCCTCTCCCAAGACAGTGCTTGTTTCAGCAGTCATTCGTTTCGTTTGCCGACTCGTCTCTGCTTACCCAAAACGTTTTCAACAGAATGACATCTTTTTACCCCGTGAAGGCAACCGTGAAGCCCTGTCGATTTCCCTAGTGCCAAGACTACACAGTCTCTTTCTCTGTTGCATCCGAAAACCGCAATGGCGACCGCTGCTGCCGAATGTTTTAGAAGCAATGAAAGCGTTTTTCGCAGTGCAGGATTTGAACTTCCAAGCATTGTGTGCTAGAAGAACAGGCACTTCTAGGAGGACGGCATATGAAATCGCATGCGAACAAGAGGACTCTGCCCATTCACCTAGTTCGAATACTGGTCATGTGGACCACGACAACCAGGAGCAACAGCAGTTCCAAGACGACACAACATTTGCAGCGCGCAATAGAAGGCATTTTGAGAAGATGGCAGCAGCGCATGTTGACGCACATCGTGATGATCATCTACGAGATCAAGATCTCGACAACAACGCAACCGCCAGAGGAACATTATCATCTACTTCTTCTTGTAGTACGAACGTAGCCAACACGGGGGTTTCCGCGAAGGCGTTTCAGTTGCTGACTTTGATCTCGCGCAATCGAGTGGAGGTTTTAGAGGGGTTTCATCTCGTCTTAGCTTCGGAGAAGAGTCTGAAACGATACCCGCATTTGCTGTGTCTTTTGGACTTTGTGCAAATGCTCTTTCAGCGAATCCCGGCTTGTAATTGGGCACTGAGCTGGCCTCTGCTGGCGAGAGCTGGAGCTGCTCAGAAGATGAATGCGGGAAATGATACTAGTAGTCATGACCACGCATTCATGATGGGTCGTGGCGTTGGTAACGGAACAAGTAGTTTCTTGCACCCTTCAAGCAGTTACGGAAAGAATAGTGTCTACTTGCCTTACAATTCAGACCTTGCTTCAGAACTACCACTATCTCCAGAGCTCAGGGCTAGAGGTTTAGTTGGTCTTGGTGGGGTCGATGGCTTCCAACTGCAGTCCTCTAGCATTGTGGAGTATCAGGGACACCCCCAAGGACAACTTCTGGGTAGATTTGGTGACTTCGATCCATCACAAGGAGAGGACACCTTCGAGGAACCCACTCGCGACTCGCAGCAAATCCTGTTAGAGGAACTAGTACGATTTGTCTTCGCCTCAGTATATGCGCAACACTCTGGCTGGGGCTACGCTGGGACGCGAGATCTTGCAGAGAGTCCAGTGAAATTCGAGATCTCGAGTCGCTGTTTAGCAATCGGCAGCTCGATTTTCGGAGCTTTGTTCTCGTGTTCGAAATTCTTGCCAGCAACTGGAGGATCGACTTCGACGGCAGCTACTGGTTCGACATCTCATGCTGCAACCGGTTCAACAGCTGCGGCAACTAATTCTTCTGGTGCTGGAGTTGAAGGTGGTTTCGCCTCTGGATCATCTGGCAATGTTCATATCATGTCAGCTCTGGCGACACGTCGAGACTTGGAACTAGCGAGAAATCTCGCGACAAGTATTCGACGTCTGCAACTTTCGCTGTTGCAAATCTTCTCCGAAAACGCTGTGATCGTTCGATTGTTAGAAGCTCTCACGTGCTCTTTGGTAGTTCTCAGTTCTTCCAGCGGTGGTTCTAGCACAAATTCTGCTTGTTCTCCTACTAGTAAAGCGAACGGGACTTCTTCTGGAGGTGGTCCTCAACTTCTCGGCTTTGCGGACAACATTGCAGGTGGAGGCTCCCCTTCCTCTTTAGCAGTTGTAGTTGACGACGATGCGACGGTCGAAAAAGTCGCCGGTCGATTTCTCTACCTAGGCGGTGCATTGCTGCAAGGACAACGTGTGCAAGTACAACGTGATCACCATCGCATTGAGCATCTCGAATTCCTGCAGTTGTTGCTGCAACAAGTCGTGATGTCACCAGATCATGGAGGTCAATTTCTAGCTGAAGAATTGAGGCAACTCCGAGACCACCTATTAGCGCAGCTTTCCCAAGTGCGATGTGAACGAGAGTTTTCGATAGAAACCGGTGGCGTACAGTGCGAAGTATTCGGGGTGGACGTGGTCAAATCATTGGTGCACTTTGTCAAATACAGCGTTAGCGGTCTTTCGGGTGCAGCATTGCCGATTCATGTACCTCAAAGTACTGGTACTGCCTCTGACGATCAGACTGTCTTGAGCACAGACGATACAGCCTCAAGAGTCTCATTGTTGGCAAGCAACGTCCTGAGAAAACTTTGCCTCTGCTGGGAACAACATCAAGGACACACGAGACCGTTGTCCGACTTTTTGATCGTGAACTGTGCACCAGCCTATCATCCTGACACGGCAAGGCAAATGCTGATGGCGGAAGTAGCTGATGCTCAGAAGAAACCGGCGGAAGCTGCTGAAAATGCAGCAAAAGATGAAGGGGAAAAGAAATGTCTTGCGGCTGAAGGAGGAGCATTTGCGATTACGAATGGGACTACTTCTTCCGCGCCAGGTAAGAAACCTCGTGGACACGATAGTATTTCCTTGAGCCACTTGCTAGTGGAGCACATCCTGAAATCCATGGGCGACTGGAATAATCCCTTGAGACTCGAGCTCAGAGAAGCATTGATGGCCTTAGCTGCTGTGGGCGTTCGCACACAGACGAGCGCTTTCTCTATGGATTTAGGACGCCCGCTGCTTCGCCGATCAATAGAGGTGATCCAAGAATGCCTGAGGAAATTCGAAAAGGCGAAAGCGACTTCGAATTCCGGTAGTAGTGCTAAGAATGTAGTTGGCAGTGATGCTAAAGGAGCTGCAACATCCAGTAAGCAGATGCGGGTATGGTTGTGCACGTATGTGCCGCAACTCTGGCATGCCATGCAGGTACTTGGTGAAGTCGTCAACACCTTGTTTGTCGATTTTGCCAGTCTCTCGCAAGTTTGGCTGTTATTAATCGCGGTACAGAGAAGCTCAGCGGTTGCCTTGCGGTTTTTGAGGGCGTCGTCGAAGAGTAGTAGCCAGCAGGGGTCTTCTTCCAACTCCAAGAAGGACAAAACAAAGACGGCAACCAGCGACACTTACGAGCAAGAAGAGCGGGATGAGCAGTACATATTTTACCTACTGCAGACGTTGAAGGAAGTGACGTTTTTAGCTTATACAGGTGTCGCAAAGGCATCCCAATTGCTGGACAGCAACGCCTTAGAACTGTCCACCAAGACACCAAAAACCGACAACGATGAGAGTTTTGGAAGCCTACGGATATTGTTAGCGACGTTGGTCGCAGATGAGTATGATTTATGGTTGATGGACCAACCAGTGAGTGAAGGTGCTGATATGGACGTTGAACAAGATGAAGAAGGAGACGGCATCCTATCTTCAAGCACTAAAACTTCTAGTTCTCGAGCAACCGACGCCTCCATTTTCGTCCCAAGTGGAGACTATACGAGATCGCGGGATCGACTTTTTGCGTTGGCTTCGAAGTCCTGCATAAGTGAAGACGTGTGCGCGTCACTGCTGCTAGGGGATGAAGCTGCAGCGACGACGCGGGCTTCAGGTGGAGCACCCGGAACTGCTTCTCAACAGATGGCGAATGGCGGAGGTGATGGCCCTTTCAAGATGAAGGTCGGGGAAAAGCAAGACCAAAATAGAACTACAACTAAGAGTCCGGTACTATCAGGTGGAAGGACAACATCCTCGTCGTCGTCTTCTAGTACCGTTTCTTATCGGCGCATGTTGAATGAGGAGGTTGCGGAGGATTTGTGGGATCTGACGAATGTCTACTTCACGTCGCTAGGTGGTACGCATAATGTAAATGCAGCTTCACAACAAGCGACAAGGGCGCTCGTAGCTTACAACAGCGCAAATGGAGTAGGAGCAGGAGGACTTCTACATCAACATCAGCACCAAACTGGACTCGCAAATGGCGCCTCTAGGAGGAACTATACTACTGCTGGCGGACCGCGGTCAAACAACTACAATGGGTATTTTTCCTCTTCTCTTGCAGCCGCACAATCCTCCCTCTTAGGCGCTGGCGACTTTAATCCAAACACGAGTTTTTCTGGAACATCGACTCTGCGGGACAGCGGCATGAGCAGTATGAACCAGTCAGTCTACGGCGTTGTCTCGCGCGGTATGCGAGCATCGAGAGGACTCAGCAACGTCTCCGTAGTCCGTTCGGAAAACATGCGCAGATTTGTAGCCGCGTTGGATCGCATCGAAAGAAGCCGCTATAAAAGAAGATTTAGAGCAGGAGATCATGTTCTTGGAACTGTTGGAGGTCAGCTAGACGCTTTGACAGAACCTTCGTGGACCTCGACTTTGAAGCTGCTATCTTTGCACTGTAACGCAAGCAAGATGTTCTTCGATCTCAATGTGAATGCAAATGGTCGTGCTTCTAGTATGTTGACTAGTATGAGGAGAACTCCTGGCTCCGGCGCAGGCGGTCTCTCCGCAGCCTCTGCTAACACTCCTGCAAGAACACTTCTATCTTCAACCGGGCATCTTAAAGATCATGTTTCTCAAGGGCACATGGATCATTTTGAAACCGAGTTGTCGCGATTCTCGCACCTCTCAGCTAAAGTGAACTTGCAACACGAGTCTTTTGCAACCTTCACGGAGCTGTTGTTAGCAGTAGCAGAGCTGGCAACGGCCTTCGCAAACCGTGGAGACCAGGAATTGCCCAACGACCTCGTCAGCCCCTTATTGCCGAGACTGATTCCCTTTTTGAGCTTGCTGTTGCATGAGCGAACAACGTCGAGCAGCACGACTTTATCATCGCAGAGTCAAGAAGGAGCACAACTGGAGGCACAAGAATATCAGCAACTTCTGCAGCAGAACTACTATGCGAAGAACTCTAAGAACACCTGCTTAGACCCAGCTTTGCTGCCGACACTGTCGATGGCATCGATGCTTGTGAGCAGACTCCTCCACTTCCCAATGTACAGCTCTCCCTCGTACCAGTTCCCACCTATCCTAAAATACTTCCACCTGCGGAATAACGCTGTCGTACGGCTGCCAGACGCGATGCTAGCCGTCTTGGGTGTCACCGCTTCCGCGACGCCTCAGGGAACCCAGTTCTTGAAACAATTAGCCTCATTTTTGGGGCAGTGCAGTGCGCAGTTGACATCGTCTACTTCCAGCAGTGCGAGGCCTAGTACTTCTGGGAGAGGTCGAGGCCTAGATCGGCAAACCTCGATGAAGATGATCTTCGGTAGCGACAAGGGAGTGCTTCTAGACAGCATTACCGCGGTTTTGAGTCTCATTTTCCAACTGTTGCCTGGGATTTCACCCGACAACAATCCCGAAGAAGTTCCTGAATCTGCGGAAATCGAAGCCATTGCCCTCAGCTTGCTTCATAGCGTGACTTCTTTGTTGCAATATCATCAGGAATTTGGCGTAGTGATGGTGCAGACGAATGATGCTGGTGTTTCTGGCAGGATTAACGAGGTGCTGGATCATGTCGAGCAAAACGGAGGAAGAGGCGCTAAACGACAAAAGACTACCGCAAGGACGACTGTAGGAGGTCTTCCTACTTCATCTTTCTCCTTCTCCACAAGTTCATCCGAAGACTCCTCCTCCTATCGAAATTGGTTCACCTCGGCAGATACGAACGCTGGTTACGCATGTAGTCTCCTCGCACTTGCGGAGCGCCTCGTTCACATACTGCAGCCTCTAGAACGCTACTTGGAGGATTTTTCTGCTTTTCTTTCCGTTTTAGCGTCTCCGGCACCCAATGGAATGTTCCTCAACACCGCATTTTTGACGAGTAATTTAAGGGTAGGTTAAAGGTGCTTTTCTTAACGCTTTTTATGCCTCTCCTAAGGGAGAAAGGCATAAAAAGCGGGGTAAGCGAGCACCAAAAACCTACCTCTAAGTAATGTCACAGAAGAGGTCTTCGAAACGTTGAACAATGTAGACCCAAAGCTGCAGTTCCCACTGGCTCGTCGATTCGATGCCTGCCTGAGTTTCTTCTCGTCTTTAGCGGCGAGTGACGCTGCGGGAGCAACCTTGTTGGTGGAACATGGAGTTTTGGACTCTTTAACGTCGCACATATTGCTCCAAACGTTCTATGGGAACGGACGAGTTGAGCAGTCTCCGTATATGCTGTATACGGACCAACTAGTGCGAAGACCGCTGCACGCAACGTGGTGCCACACACTAGCGTTGGTCACGCAAGTCGCTGCAGTCGGAGCACCGTAAATTTCAGATTTTGTTTTGATGTTCTCTGAACTAGAGGCACTTCATCAATAATTACTTTGCTACGGGTACAATGGATTCATTAGGTGCAGTATTACGAGTACTAGCACTAGTTGCAATCGCAACATCATCCCTTCATGCAATACATCATGGCTCAATCATGATTTACATTGCCAATACTTACGTTATTGAGGACCAAAAAACATAATTAATCCATCTCCACAGTCTCGACTGCACTACGAGTTTTATGAATGCGTATGAGGATCGATTTGTCTATGTGCTGGAGGAGAGGGAAATGATTTCGGAGCTGGCGATAGTCGAAGAATTTTCTCTCATCTCCCGGTTACTCGGAAACATCCCAGTCCACGACACGAAAACCATCTACTTCACCGCAATGGCTCTTCGTGCGCAGAATTTCCTCGCGAGCGTTGTGCTGCTGGATCGTACTCTTGCTTACTAATCCATCTAAATTTTGGATGAGTACATAAAAAATTCTTCAGGGGTTGTAACGGCAAGTCGATTTAGACAAGGAGCTATCGTTTTCCTCGAAAAAAACATTTATGCGTCTGCTCTATGATGATCCAAAATGTCCGTAAAAAATTCCAAAACAGCAAAAGTTTCGTATTCATCGATGTCATCGGACGTGGTGCGGCCGCTGTCAGTAGCGGAAAAAGCTGCCGCTGGAATGGACGATGCTCTGTATCTGCATTCCTCCGCATCGATTCCGTCGATCTACCACCAGAGGATACAGTATTGATTGCATTGAGATTTGTCTGAGAAGGAATGATGGCGATAAATGACATCAGTGGGTCTGTAAGCGCAAGTACAACAAAAACATTGTGCAAGAGTCGATTAGTGTCGCGTGCAAGCAACCACAAGGACAATTTTGGTTATAACTTGTCAAGAGAAAAATTCTGAACCACAACTGGCCCGAGGACATGATCAAAGGACAACTAGGACAACTTAAACCTCCCTAATTTTTTTATAACTTAACAAGATCAAGAGAAAAAACTTCATTAATTTTGATGTCTTTAGGTATCTCGTGTTCGATGCGTGTCGTAGTTTGCTGATGGCCCTCTTGAGGGTGATCACACAGTCGCCGTCGCTGCTCACCCAGCAGACTTTTGAGGTTGACACTATCAAAGGACGAGGAGTTGCGCATGGGATTTTTGATGGCGTCTCAGCTACGAACATGACGACCTCAAGAACTTTCGCGCAGGAACAGGGAATGTCCTCTCTAGGACATCGTGGTATGGAATCTTCCGCACTACCGTATCAAGATCATTTCGTAGAAGATCCAGCAGGCATGGGCATGGGCACCAATACAACAGGAGGAGCTTCGACAAGGTTGTTCGCCGAACCAGGGTTGTTGCAAGGCATGCATCAGAGAGGAAGCGTTGATCGTATCTTGTATTTTGGTGGGGCACCTGGGACGCAGCCTTACGTCGCAGATCGTGCCAAATTCACTAAACGTGTCCACTGGAGCGTCATTTTCGAGTACCTAGTGGAGGCCAGTCGGAGATGCGCCACGTTTTTGACCACGGACCTGCTAGCAGGTGCTGGAAAGTTGGGCAATGAATTCGATGCGTCGAGGATGAACGGCGGCGTTTTTTCTGGAACAAGGGGAAGTGTGGTAAGCGCACGAGGTCCTGCCACGACCCGTACTAGAGATATTAATAACCTTCAAGAAGGAACCTTGGCTACATTCACCAGTAAAGACTCGTCCAGTTTTGAGTACAACGGAGAACAAGGTCTATTGTTGTTTGCTAAGCGGAACCCGGACGCACGACCTGATGTTGTAGGCGCGCAATGCGAGGCTCCAGAACACACTCCAGAGCCGTCCGATGCCTTTCTCCATTCCCTTTTTGGTGATGACGAAATGAATTTGGGATACTCTTTAGATCATTTAGATGCGGAGGGTGCTGGAGAGAACCCTAACCCTAATGGTACTATGGGGGGAGAGGAACATGCGAATGGCGGTACCGCGTTTCATCTCCCCACGAGTCAAGTTCGGGAACAACAGGGAGGTTTACTGGATCCACTGGCATCTAAAAATGGTCTTGCGAAGGGTCCTAAACGAATGCAGGCGAGAAAGAAGAACTTCTTGAACAATTTGAGTGCGGCGCAACGGCGACTGCTAGCAGCCACGCAGAAGACGAAGGGACAGAATCAAAACACGTTGACAGCAACGAATTTGCAAGTGAAAAACCAGGAAGACGCGAGAAGAGAGGCTGACCTCTGTATCCCGTTAGCACTGCACCTGATTGAAAACCCATTTCACGACAAGGGGTCGGAAGCACCGGCAATTATGTGTGCAGCAGCACTTGGTATTTTCTAAATTTCCATTATGATAAATGCATTTAGAGGTACAGATACACGACGTACTTGTGTGGCTGCATCCATAGGCATACTCCTATATGATAAATAATCATACAACTACTCGAATAATTTAGGTTCATGCGGAGGACAATTACCACTCGGGGTGTTACCAGAGGCAGTGTCTTTGGAGGAGTACAGAAGCCTCGTTTCAACATGCTTGGAGCTCTCAGCGTCATGCGTCTACCAATACTGCTCTCTGCCACGTACTTTTTTTCAGAAATAATTTAGATTTAGATTTTCTGTCAAACTTTTGTCAATTAGCGGGAACATGAACAAGATGAGACCATTCACAATTATTTCGAAAAAAAAATCAGACCTGTGCAATGAGTCGGTGCTGTACGCGACACTGAATTTGTTTCACGAGATATCAATACACGGTGCAGTCGAGCATTTAGACGAGCCAACAAGGGTTCTTCTCAATGGCATTGAAGACGCGTTGCGACAGCGGAGTGTCCTACAGCAACGGGAGTAAAGCAACGACGCGAAGAAATCTAAAGACACGATCTACATTGACATTGGAGACGGCTCTATTTCTTGTTAGCGGGAGAGGATGGTTGGTCCCCGCAAGCGATTGTAGAAGATCCCGTGGTCCCCGCAAGCGACTACTGAAACTCCAAAAAAATTTCAACTAATCGAATCAGCAACAACGCCTTCAGTTTATAGAAGTACTCAGAATTTGCAAGTTAGTACCGCCCACGTGCCACCGGCGAAGTCAAAAACAGAGAATGAGAAAAGAAGAGAATCTAGACATGATACAGTGTTCCTATTTCCATCCTCACTTTGTTTTTTCTAGAAACAGGCAGAGAAACAGAGTGTTCCGTGAAAGAAGGGCTGTTAGCAAGCAGCAAAGAATGCTAAATCGGGTTGAGAGTGATCTGTTCTTGTTGAGAGAAACGGTTTTTGTTATACTGGATGTTCCTCCAATAAAACCGGGACAGTGCTGAAGGAATGGAACAAGTAGACGAAAGTTTCGAAAAGAACCTTGATGACAAAATAAACGTATAAGTATCTCTTCTTTGTAACAACGAGTGCGTATCTGTGCAGAATCTGAGTTCCTTTGTTTCCATGCGTAAACGTAACCACGAGGAGACAGTATGAGGGACGAGAGCGAGCATGCAGATGGGCAAATGGAGCGACAAAGTGATATTTTTATGGAGAGATTTTGTTCCTGGCAACAAATTGTCAGGCAGGAGGATTGCGTGTTGTATTTGCTTCCCCTCCGACGCGGCAATGATCATTCTTTAGATTTGCTTCCGTATCATAAGCGAAAAGCACAAGCAAGAAAACGTTTTTTTTTCCAAACTGGTCAACTAAAAAAAGTCATGTATTGTTTCAAATCGCGAAATAAACAACTACATTAATATCCATCGAGCTATCCTGAATCCCCATCTTATCGTGTGAAGAAAAGACTTGATTATAGAGTCAAGCGGACGTTGCTTATTTGTAGTTTAGAGAAGTACCTTAGACATTTAGGTTAAGAAGATGGCGGCTTCCGTCGCGCAGCAGCAGATGGCTTCGGCCAGCAACCTGATCGAGTTGACCCACGAAAGTGGAAACGTCCTCGGTGAACACGATGTTGTCGGAAGCACTTTCTTTATGGCAAGACACGATGAAATGAATAACACAGCACAAACAACTAAAAGGGACGTACTGGAAATATGAAAGAGTCGCTGCTACACACGTCGTCTCTGACTGCAGTGTATGTTAGAAGTCGCACTTTTTTGTGATGGCATGGTTCTTCTGAAAAGTAACAAAAAAGTGTGACAAATTATCCTTATACACGAGAGTGAGGGAGACGTCCACTGTTCTTACCCTTCGACCTCAACTTCCTCAACTTGCACGCATATCAGGTTCATTAGATGGACTTAGAAGCGCTAAATTATATACTTATACACGAATTGGAATTTTTTTTCCATTGTTTGTTCCAGGAGTCACTGCACGTGTAGCTTTCTGGCTGTCTAGCTCTCAACCTGCATTGATCGCCATTCGATTATAGCCTATTTAAATACCACATCTTCAGTTTTCCTTTTCGATAGCCACATCCCTCGTCTAATCTCCACATCGCATTGAACGCGATGTTCGCGTGCACAATCTTCTTCTTTTTGGAGCGAGATGGAGTCCCAAAGCAGTGGAAGAAGAGCATTACCGTTGCCATGCTCGTCACGGGAGTCGCAACCTGGAACTACATGTATAATCTGATATTTATTGTGATGATGATGAGACTTTTTTAGTTTTTCCCAGTGCGTAGGCAACTGTTGTTGAGCTAGAAGTACTTGGAATTACCACCGAATTGAAGAGTGAGGTCTTGCATCTTCCAGCAGGTTAACTATTGACGTTGTCGGGTGAAACGATCATTGGAGGTAGAAGTATAGGTGGAAAATCTGGTAGAAAGTGTAAAAATGTCATGATGGTTCTGCAAAATTCAGATTGGATGTCTTCTTCGCCCGGTACAACTACAAGTCTACTTAAAACTACTCCTAACAAGAACAGCTAAATTCTAATCTTCCACGAAAAACCCTCACCTCAAAAACAGCTTCATGAAGACCACTTGGGTCCGCACGCAGAACAGCCCAACTGTGTACCGATACACCGATTGGCTCATCACCGTGCCCCTCCAGATTGTCGAATTCTACCTTATCCTCGCAGCCACCACCAAGGTCTCAGCAGGACTCTTCTGGAAACTCCTCATCACCTCCATCATCATGCTTGTCGGAGGATACCTCGGTGAAGTCGGCGCAGTGTCCGTCCTCTGCGGATTCGTCATCGGTACTTAAACTGTAGACGGATGTCATTTAGATAATTTAGGTCCCCGCCCGATTCAACATACTTTATTCGTCGTAGGCCCTAGGATGGGGGTCACACAACAGATGTAGAATCCAACCTTCGCTCCAAACATGATCGAAAATGACGAACTCGTATTAGAATACACACAAAAATTAGTACATCCTCGTAATCCCTTTCCCTACTACTAAATCTAAAACCAAGGTATGCTCGGATGGTTGTACATCTTGTACGAGGTTTTCGCGGGTGAGGCTGCCGCCACCTCTGGTGCATCTGGCAACAAGGCTTCCCAGTCCGCCTTCAACACCTTGCGTATGATCGTCTCGGTCGGATGGTAATATAGATTTTTTTAAGCATGTGTCTGCACCAAAAGGTTGTTATTGAATAATCTGAGAAGGTCTGAGAAGAACATTGGTTTTCTTATAATCTAAAAAATCTAAATTATCTGGAAGCAAGGTCTGATAGCGGTTCTAATATGCTCACAGCTAGAAGTTGTGGTTCGCTACAAACTTTACCTTTCCTTTTCTACTTCCAGCCAAGTTCATTCTCCGCCTACTCAAACCAAAAATGCAGGTCCATCTACCCCATCGGATACTACTTGGTCTACCTTGGCCCGACCTTCTCCTACCACAGCCAGAGCTGTGTCAACGTCGTTTACAACTTGGCTGATGTGGTCAACAAGGGTGCCTTCGGTCTCTCCATCTGGGCCGCTGCCAAGTCTGACACCAAGGCCGCTTTGTTGAAGTAAATCTTTACTTGTTCTAAATCGGTCGTAGTTACTTAGACACTTACTTAGACTCCCGTTTTTAGTGGAAGTGGTCTAAAGGAGTAGTCTTTGGTATGCAAACAGCAGTTACTTACTCTTACGACCCATAGAGAACGGAGACAGCAGTGTTAGTGTGACAGAAGAGGAATTGACACGAAGCACTGGCTGTTCTTACAGTAGACTTCTCTCGTAAAAAAACCCTGAGGTCTTTTGGGGGAGAGAGTTGTCTCTGACAGGGATACTTTGTTACGATTAGGTTACAGACACAAGAGTCAGGTTTTTAGACAAATCTTCAGGTTATATATAGCACAAGAGAGTCAGGTTAATACAGCAACAAGAATGATGAACAACAACAGTTCACTGTTACCACGACTTCCTATCTATGAGAACTCTGAGCACACAAAGAAATAAGGCAGGTTCGTGCGGCTGTAGGTGGTGACAGTTCGTTCCTGCCTTAGCAGCAAAGTAAGGGCAGATAGTAGTGGTAGTAGTGGTTCTAGGATGAAGGTAGTAGATTTAGTCAACAACAACAACATCATGCAATTACTACACAGTTTCAAGGGAAATTAGACGCAGGTATAGGAGAGGAGAGATTCATCGTCGTCTATGATATGTTACTAGGTCGCAGCTACAGCAAAACTTTGGACACTAGGTAGATGCTTCTAGTGGTGGAAAATCGACAGTGTTTTCTCTTAGAAGATAAGAGGAAGACACCCCAAGAAATGCACTTCCGATCGCGAGCGGACTCAGGGTCGTGCTGCACAACTACAACATGAAATAATACGAAGGAATACTCACCAGTGGCAGCATTGCAGTATTATTCATCAGGAGCGGGGTACTAGAATTAGTGTCGATCCGAGGATGCAAAGTTTTGACTCAAAGAAACTAGAAATGTGGCATTTCAAGAACACGTGGCATGTTGGACCGTTCTGAGACTCGAGTACTATGGTCTCAAGTCTCAGTAGGGAGGAGCATGCACCGTCGAGGCTCTTAGAGTCGAAGTGACAAAATAGTCGACAAAAGTCAACAAAGTTAGGCAGGAACATAGAAGTGGATGTACACGAGTCGCAACCTACGGTTCGTGTGCTAACTCAAAGGACAGTGATATTTTGGATTTGTGTTCCGTCGTAGCGTTGACGCGCGAGGACGTTTTGGAGCATTGTGCTGCTTGCGCTTGGTAGACCTCCTCAAGAGAAAGTACACTTTCCGAATCTGTCTTTACTACGGCGCGCACGAGAAATTGGAGCGACCAGAGTTAGGCTTGAAAGCTGCGATGAATATATTTGCATCACGAGCAAGTTCGGTAGGTGTGATCTGCTAAGTCATCCATCCTTGCGTTTGACAAGTGATACTTGGAAGATCTTTCTCTAGAAAAATTGAGAGAAGTTTGATTTCTAAAGGTCGTTGAGAATTCTACCGTGCGTTTCCTGTTCTGTCTTGTCGGTTGTCTTTTCTGGTCTACCAATCTATGACGTGACGATGTTGAAATTTCTGTTTTCTGTCACGATTCAAGCCGATCGTACTTACTCAAGCATCTGTTGATCGATTCTGTCATTTTTGTTATTCTTTGGATTTGAAACCCCGCAATTAGACAACGAAACTGTTATCCGTAAATTTTGACTAGCAAAGGCAAACACAATTTTACCTACTGAAGTTAATGAACGCGTGAGTTGAATGATATGATTGGGCACATAGGTTTTTCAAGCAAATATCCTGTTACATGAAATGGAAGTAAATTTTGCATCTAAGTGTTGATCTTCTTGTTCTTGATGTGTTCTCACGACCACTAGAAAATGTCTGGTGCGGCTTTTGGTTTGTCGTCAGTGCGTGCAATGGAGGAGCAGGTAGCAATTGCACAAGCAGAGACAATAGCAGCGCCTGGCACTGATGTCCTAACTACAAGCCGAGGATATGTCCAATCACTCGAGGCATGGTTAGCCGGAATTGACAATTCATTGGCATCGCAGGCTCTGGAAGGACTAAAAGGTGTTGAAGCTTCCTTTCGTGAGGTGGACTTGGTTCCAACCGACGTGGAAGTGTGGTCCTCAGAAGTGGAGGCTCTTGCGAAAGACGTCGGAGCACACTTTTCTGAGCAAGTGAATTCCCTCTCGGAAACCGTCGGAGCAGAGCTGCCCGAGATGGATTTCCTGCCCAAAGATTTAGAGTCGTGGTTAGAAGCAACGTACTTGCTCTGGATGCTGGTTCTGATGACGCCAATTTATGTGAAGAAAGCATGCTTGATACATGATAAATATACGCTTCGAAAACTCAAAATAACCGAGTTACTGACTGAAATAAGGGAGGTAGCTTGACATCAAGGCTACTCTTCCTTCTCGTCAGTATCTCGGTTATTCTGCTCAGTTACTTGCTTATTTCAGTTTTTCGAATACTTGCAAGGTGTTTCACATTTCTTCTTCGTGGACAAACACAGACCTTCCCATTTTCGTTGTGCGAGCTCTAACATCGCCTCTACAACGTTTTTCTTGTGGGTAATTCGAAACGGCTGGACCGACTTGGGAAGAGGCTAAAATACATCCAATGGACGCATGGCCCGTTGGTATTCTGTGCCATGCACGTGTTGGAGCCTGGGAGAGCGCTGGAGCTATTTCGACAAATTCAGTTAAGGTTGTTACTGCTAGTGCTGTTTGGTTGATATGATTCTGTCGTGATTCTGCGTTCTTAGGCAGAATATTCCCTCTGGTACCTGAATCTGTCGCTAGCACTACAATATTAAACCCGAATGAGGTCGTGCACAGAAAAAGAAGTGCTACCTGGCTTTTATGCCTCTTCCAATAGTCGCATTTCTAGCGGAACATGGTTTCGATGCGAGGATATCCGCGTTTTTAGCAGAGCATGGCCTCGCGCAGGCATGCGACCAAGAGACGGGACGACTCTGCGTGCTTGTATTATGGTCGATCATTCGTGGCGGATTGTTATTCCGTGATGGTTCTATGGAAGTCCTCCTTTGCAGGAATTATATGGGAAAATGTAACCTGAAAGTAGCTTTGCTCTTCTTGTCAGTGTAAGTAGGTGAATTTTTCACTTGTCTAATCAGATCCAAGTACCTATTGCAGATGTTTTTGGCACTGGTATTGTGGGATTTTGGAATGCAGTTCCAGCCAGGCAACTGGTTGATGATCGCAATGTACAACACGCATCACGTCGGAGTCTTCATTGCGCTGCAGTTTCGAAATGAAGTGGAGTTATGCATTTTATTCAAGAAAGGTCTTCAACTTTTTAGTTGATCTTCAATGGAGGATGAATTTAGTTGCAACAGTAGCGTGTTGGCCCTTCTGAATGGAACACAGCAGTTTTACTTATAAAGTTTTTTTACTTTGGCTTCTACATTCATACTGAATCCCATCCAATATCTAACTCACCAAGCCTTTCAAGACTCGTGCTTCTTTGCGTGGTTATGGGCGATTCACTCCTTCGGCTTGGTGTTGGAGGTACTTTCACTTGTCACCTTTCTCTTACCTGCCTCCACAATGCAACAACCCTAGTATCACCTGCCATCACCCAATCATAACCATCCAAGAACATGAACATCCTCATTTTCCCTTTTTTCCACTCAACCGACCGCATTCCCATTCAGGTCTTTTTCCCCCTTATCGGCATTCGAGCCAAAGAAGGTCGTCACTCCTACGAATTGGACTTCGTGAAGCACCTCTACTCGATGGTCACCGTAAGGCAGTTTTACCTCTACCTAAACGGACACGGACAACCCGGTTTGGCTTGTGACAACTACCAGTCGTGGGCATTGGGGATTATGATTGCTTCCCGATACTTGCTGCACGATAACTGGCGACATCGAGAATTTTTCCGCAGGATCGAAATTCCGGGATTTTGTATTTAAGACCAATGAAAAGCGTTTCAGTTCTATGATAGGTGAAGTGTATCCCTGTGTCTCGTCACATCATGGAAAGCTACCTTTCGAAAGTGGTTACTGCAACGTCTTCAACAAGAGAATACAACTTCCTTCACAGCTAATCATGGTATTCTACTAGGAGGACGCGACCAGTATTATGATTGGAGTCTTCGACAACTGAAAGTGCAGTGCTGGTTGTGGTTACTGTAGCGGCTTCAACCACAAGTAAGGTATCTCTACAAAAAACCCACACTTCTAACACCAAGTCTGCGTGGATCATTTCTTCGGCTGTGACGTCTATATGCATCGAGCCTTCGGACTTTTCTTCGGTTTGTTGTTCACTTACATCACGCACGCAGTCTTTTTTGGAAATGTGCGCTCAATGCCTGCCAATTACGACTTAGAAGAGTCGTCGAAATTGCAGAGGTTCTTGGAACAAGAAGCTGAGAAAACAGGAGACCACCTAGAGAAGCTGCCGACTGACTACCTGTCTTTCATGGTGCAATGGTTCGAGACCAAAACTTGTAAGCAGTTATGGAGAAATGAAAAAAATGTGACTGATGCACTTAGACTTACTAACTTAGATGAAGACCTCACGTGAACCAGAGCAAATTGTTCGGGCTTTCGACTTCAATTTCTGAATTCTGAGTGAAAATATGTTCAGAACATGAGTGAAAATAGAAATATGTTCAGGGCATTGTGCTAGTTCACAGGGAAACCAAATCCTGTCTTCTAACACAGAGTAAACTGGAGCGTGCTGAAGGGAAGCCAGTGCAACTGTGGAAAGAAAAGTGGCCTTTGCATTGCTTAGCGGCTACAGGTGCTAAAAACGCAATTACTCTGTCCAAGATGTTGGAGGACAGAGCGGTCACGACAGCAGATCTAAATGCCCAGATGACTGACTGGCATAACTCAGCACCTCTGCAATGGTCGGTCAATCTGCGGAATCATGCGGTCACATTGGTGCTGTTGCAGAATGTTATGAAGACTAGTCGTTTTTTATTTTGTACCAAGCGGACAAGGACAACTTTGGATTGAATTGTCCGGTCCCGCTACTTCCCGGCCATACCGGCATCAGAGGATTCATAAGATAGACAAGCACCTCTCTCGTCTCAAAACCACCTTAACGCCTTCGAGTAAACCGAGGACAGGTAAAATCTTCTGCTAGTAGCCGTGATAAAGGACAAGGTGCCAGCATAGTTCTAAGACATGCGCAAACCCCTACCAGAGTGCGACATCGGCATCGAGCGCGAAGACGGCAGTGGACTTAGCCTTCGCGAAAGGAGGAGGATTAGTTATGATTAGTTGCACAAGATGAGCTTTATAATAATCTGCGAATGCTCTAGAAAGATGTGGTAACAACTGGTCGTCTAGAAAGATGTGGTAACAACTGGTTTTTACTCGTTTCCGTCTACATTTTAGTCCTTTGACGCATAGATAATGGGTACATGCTGATCAATCATAGTCCCCAAGGAACTCACACGTTTTCCATGACTCTTCTAAACCTTGAAATTGTCGGAACTTTTGGTCTCGCTTTCACGCACTCTGCTTGGAAGAGTGGCCTCCTCTTGATGTGCCCTGGGGAGAACGGCCGGTTCATGTCCGGTTTTTACAAGTGGTGAAAGCCTTTTGAGGGAGTATTTTGTTTCAGGAGATGATAATATCGATTCACTGATTCAGTACCTTGTACAGTTTGTTGAAAGCTACATTCATGATACAGAAAAACAAAAAAGTTAATTCATGATACATAAAAAAGTTACATTCATGATACATATTTATAAATATTTATAGAAGTTACATTCATAAACACGTAGAGATTCCGCATTGTCTTTGTTCATAACGTTTTATGATCGCACATGCACCACAGAATCACGGCGGTCAGCGACTCTTCACATTCAGTCTGATTTCGTATTTACTCTTGGATTTTTTAGATTACGGCATATATGGTGCAAGTAGCACAACGAGCAAAGTAAAAGTCGGTATAAGTACACGTGTGGATTCAAAAAAGTGAAAAAAATTTACAGGTAGAAGTGCCGTTAGATTTAATTGCAGTGAGTACGAAGGAATAGGCATCAGCACAGTCATGATTGAGTTTGAGGACCCAGCATGGTGAAGCAGGATGCAGCAGAGAATTTGCGTGTTACTTGTCCAAGCAGAAAAACCAAGCAAGCGCATGACCGCCAAGCCTTGTAAACTTGTGCGAATTTCTGGACGAGAGACAAAAAGAAAGTCCGAAGAACATTTCTTGAATTTCTAGAGGGCTGATATTTCTTTATCAAAATCATCCACGACAAATAATCTGCCTCTTCTTCTCTCTAGAACCAAGAGGGATTGCTTTTTTAGAAGTGCTAGAATCTTCGTAGAAATTTTCATAGATACGGATTTGGATTATAGCATCTTAGCTATCACATCTCGAAACCACACAAGATGCGTCTTCGTTGCGTCGCTGCGGGTGCAACTCTGGTTGCAGCAGACCCAGGACTCTTCGGAGGGGTATTCCTATCTACTTTCATACTCCAGTGTTGTAAGTGTGACGAATGAATGAAGAAATGTGGGGAACACAGAGAGTATACCATAAGCGTCACGCGTGAGGCGGCAGGGTCGCGCGCGAGCATAATAATATATAATAATGATAATAGGTGAACATTATTTCCTATTTAGAAGGTAGAACATCCTCTATTATTGCACGTCAATTGATACTCGTTCTCCTTCCTAATTCCAAGAAAACCCTCTCGTCTCAATCGAAAATCTCAGTTGTTCGGTGGAGATGTAGCTGCGCCGCCACCGCCTGCGCACAAAGAGGAGGCCAAGCAGGCTCCTCCAGCGGCCCCTGTGGTAGAGAAGCCGGTCAGCAAGGCCGTGCAGAAACCACCTCCACCTCCTGCTACCGAAGAGAAGAAGGCTGCTTCTGAGAGTACGGCTGTCTCGGCTGCTACAGAGGAAAAAGCCGCTGCTGTTGCTCCTCCAGCGGCGGAGGAGCAAAAGGCTGAATCTACGACTGCTGCTACAGAGCAACAAGCCACTAGTGCAGCTTCTTCTGCCTCTCAAGAACAGTCTAGTGGCATTAGTACCGCCACATCTCAGTCTAAACAGAAGTCTTCTGCCACAGCCACTGGGAAGGCTGTGAAGCAATCAGCCTCCGAAGCCCTCGCAGCTGCCCAGTCGCGTCTGCAGGCTGCCCAGACAGGTCTCAAGAACGCCCGCGAGACTGAGAAGGAAGCGAAGAAGGCAGCCGTGGAAGCCGAAAAGCAAGCTTTTGCTACAGCGAAAAGCGCATATGCTGTTGCGCAGAAGAAGTTTGCTTAGGACATGGAAGATACTGAAAGTAATATATTACTACAACATGTAGTAGTACTCCTCCTAAGGCCTATTGGGCTAATGCTAAGGTCTATCAACTATGCAGAGTCTCATCCTCTAATAGTCGGCAGAGACAGGCGCCGGCAAAGCAGGCAAAAGCAGTAGCATCGAATTGCTTCAGGAAAACCCAGGATACCAACTTATGACGGTGAACATTATGTTCATAATTTTGTAATGTTTCTGGATGGATGAATGGCTCTGGTTTTTGGTAGCCTGATTTTGTTCAGAAGGAAAACAAGAAGAGAATCCTTGGGATCAAATTCAGGTTACCAAATACCAGAGCCATTCAATGGATCCCGTTCATCATGTCAACCGGTAGCCACTTGGTGTACTTATTTTTTCCTTCACTTCGCCTCTAACACTCTATTGGACCAAGCCGAGCCCGAAAAAGGAGGTGGCGCTTTGTCCCATATTCCGGACTTCGCCAAGGCATACATCCCTAAGGATGTGCTGAAGAAGATCAAGCAGAAAGAGGAAGCTATTGCCGCCAAGATCAAGGCTGAGAAGACAGCTGCCGCGGCCGCGAAGGATGCTCCGAAAGTGCCGGCTGGTGGGGAAGCAGCGGGTAAAGCAGGACAGTTAAGGCTACAAGAACAAGTTTGTTTGTAAATCCTAAAAAGATGGGCGTCTCTTCTCTCTCCGGCATTCAGATGCTGAGATGATGATGAACTGGTCCGAGGACATCAAACTGGGACATCTAGGACAACTTTCAAAGTAATGTAAATACTAGCTCATCCTCAACATCATCAGCTTTTTCTCTCAACATTTTCTTTCCCACTTCTAAATTCTCCAGCAGCTGCTCCCGCTACAGGACCAAAGCCGTTAGTGTTATGGCATGGCTCATGAATCTACAAAAATTTCTTTCTACAGAGAGAAGATTGATGCTAGAGTAGTAGCACTTCTCATATTCCCTGGCCGAAGCGTCAGATGCTGTTCGCGCGAAGGCTACGGCGGAGCTCGACGCTGCTGAGAGGAAGTATGACGCGGCCCGTGGGAAGGCAGAACGCGCTAAGGACGTTGCGGAGAGAAAAGCAGAAGAAATCTGGGATGCTGCAGAGCAGAAGTTTGATTATGGATCACGTCAAAAGTAAAGCTGCTTAAATGATGCTGGTGATATGTTGATGTAAAAATATGGCGAGAGATCACTCCATGCAACTCGATATGTTCTAGCAGATAATGACTCACATGCTGTAATATCGGTCTCTCCTCCTGGCTCTACTCGAGCCTGTGTCGTCCCAGACGTCGGCGCGGCCTGGCCGCAGGACCGCGGACCTTCAACCTTGAAAGCCTTATAGTCACGACGTGACTACAGGAGTACAACTAGAAGAGATGATCTTCTAACCTCTACGCGAACGCGACATCGCTCGCGACCAAGTGGAGGGGCTCAAGCAGAAAGTTGCGGCAGAGAAGGAGGCAGGATCCTCAACATCTACAACTGCGGCAAAGACTCCATCCTCCACGACCACGTCAGCAACAGGCTCCAAGGCCACCGTCTTGCTTGAGACCTCAGGAAAGGACTCGATCGCGACTGCGGTTTCGGATGGAGTTACTGGTAAGTACTTCAGAATTTACTTACGAGTGTGTGTGTGAGACAGCAGCACTTACTAGTGTGTGTGTGTGAGACAGCAGCTTTTGCACACCTACTTCTAAGAGACAACTCCTTGAATTTATCTCGTTATGAATACAAATATGTACTGTAATTCAAAGCTCCCTGACTTACAAGCTTCTTTGACACCATTATGATCCTTTCTCAGCAGGCATCATCAACAACGAGGCTTCTATGCCATCCATTGTTTCGGAGCATCTGCCAACGATCGTCCCTGGTTTGGGGAAGTTGAAGACTGAGCCCGCTGGCATGCCTTCCCTAGTCTCCAGAGCTGTTTCCAGAGTGCCACTCGTCGGCTCCGCTGCACAAGGGGTCGTCTCTGGCGGTGCACTTGGCCCTCAACATGCTGCGGAGGTACTTATTGTTGTTGGGGAGGTACTTATTTTTGTTGGTCATGCGATGTCCTGTTAGGAGGGTCCTCATAGTTCAGCCGCACGTTCGAGGTCTTCTTTTCATAACTTCTGCAAGACGAGATGGATCGAGAGAAACACGACTACCCTCAGATTGTCGAGTTACTCATCTACCAATTTACATAAACATAGGAGAGACTATATAGATCATTCTTACCTCCACTCCCACACTATCGGTCTCGCTTCCTCCACTCCTACACTAATATCAGACACCACTTTATTCATATACACCTCTCTTCAGGAACAACAAGCTCTCAAGTTGGAACCGATCACGAACTTACTTCAACGATTTGATGCTCAAGAATTGGCTGAGCAGACTGGCGCCACCGACGAGACTGCCACAGACAAGACCAAGACCGACAACGCAGAGTACCAAGAAGCAGCCCAGAAGAAGTTGAAAGACACTGCGAGCGATGTTCTCAGCCAGCTGGGGTTGATTATGGATGGTTTAACTCAGAGACAGAGACTCGTCCCATCACGTTCTGCATATACACTTGGTTATAAAACGTACTCAATACAACTGAATAGGACGAGTTTGAAAGCTATACTAGCTTTCGAAAGTGCTTCTCTAACCCCAACGGCCTCATCGACACAGCTTCTGACGAGATCCACGATATTGCCAAGGAGGAAAAGAAGGGTCAAGATGCCGAAAAGCGCACCAGCATCGCTAAGAAGGCTACAGCTGCTGCTAACGCACGAAAGGCTGAGGCCGAGAAGAAGCTTGCTGCCTTGGCTGGTAGTCAGGCATCGAAGGCTCCAGGAGGAGCGTCGGTGGCGTTGGATGAGAAGGTAAAAATATATTTATATGTCTCGTTCTTGACGTCTACAGTTCTTGCTGTTGGTACTACTTGGAGTCGACGTATCCATACTTATACAAGTCGTTAGAACTGGTGTAGGGTCGTCGTAAACGTGTTGAAACAACAAAATCCTCACTCAAGCCCTTTATTCAGGACGACTTCGTATTCCTGCCGGTGGCCCAGCTGCGCACGATGATGGCGGAAGAAGTAGCCACAGAGGACGATGATACGAGCAAAGTGGACCAGAACGCGCCGTTCTCCAGGATGAAAGACCTCGTTGGCTCCGTTTCTGGCGCTTTTTCTCAGGGCGGAAACTTGAAAGTTAAGACAAGGAATGTACTGACGAGAAAGTAGGTCGTGTGATGTTTGTGGTCTTTTTGAATTCATACTATCAAGTCATAGTGTTTTATTGCTTAGATACTCAGCGTCAGCAATTTCGAGGAAGGTCCCTGTCGGTTTCTATCTTTAAGAAACACGTCGTCTCCAAGGGCGGATCCTCTATCCTGAAAGCGGCTCAGCAGCAAACAGTGTGGGAACGGGAGAGAGCCGATAAGGCCGAAAAAGCACTAAAGGCCGCTGAAGCTGAAGCAGACGCTGCGGAAGAAAAGTTGAATTAGGGACTTATTTGATGTAATTCGTAAGCAATAACCTTTGATAGGGAAGAACTACAACCGCAAAGTGAGATCATCTTATCTGTGAAACAATTCGTTGAAAAACAATTTTTCCTCTAACTCAAGCAAGCCCAGAGTGCTATGCCAGCTACAACCACTCCTCCAGCTAGAGCCATTCCTCCAGCTACAGCCACTTCCTCTAGCACCGCTACAACAGATTCATCTTCTTCCGGCTTCTCCCTTTTCGGTGGAGGCGGTGGTCTCCAGATGCTCGTAGAAGAACCAGCTTCTAAGAAAGATGAAAAGAAGGCTGATGCTGCTCCTGCAAAGAAAGAAGAGGCTAAGAAGGAACCTACTCCAAAAATTGCAGTCGTGAAGAAAGAAGACACCGCCAAGTCCAACGCGGCTAAGAAGGAAGAAAAGGCTGGTCCCGCCGACGACTTCCTGAACAAGTTGCCAGGCTTCTTGCAGCCCTTGAAGCAGTTTTTGACGCCAGGAGTTGGTATCGTGAACCAAGCCGCTGCGAAGATCGAAGGCTTCGCTGCTCCGCCGAAAGACGAAGCAAAGAAGGCAAAGCAATCCACCTATGGCATCCCGCAAGCAGTGAAGAACCAGCTGAGCAGTCTGCCGTTCACAGCGATGAAAGGAGTAGGTGGTGGAGACTCTGGCAAGACCGGGGACAACACCATCCAACTTTATGGACTTCGATGATACGTGTGCGTGTGTGTGTGCGTGTGCGTCTGTGTGATTGTTCTTTACAAGACAAGGTATTATAGTTTGTGTTTTTGCTGATTATTCTGTCAATTGTCTCATGCCCAAAAATGTTTCCCTCTCTAACTCCGATTCCAGCTGGGCAGTTTCGTGCCTGACGGTGTAGGCCAGTTCCTGCCATCTGGCCTTGCGGAAGATGGCCCTCTCAGACGCCGAGAATACCAGAATAACTTCGTAGTGCCAGGTGCTGCTGTGCCGGACTACATGTGGGAACCAGCTGAGGAATCGACTGCGCACAGTCGCGTATTGAGCCTGTACCAACCAAGCAGTTCGGATGTCATCTCGCTCAAAGCAGGAGCTCCTGCAAAGGGCGCTGAAGGAACGGGAGGTATTTCTTTATAAGTAATTTGTTTGACGTTGAGCGTGCCTCTGCCACTGCCTGGTTATGATATTGAGACAATAGGGGAACAGACGTTGAACTTCGTTTGGCAACAATAGGAACAGGTCAGTTAGTACATGCTCAACCATTGTGATTTCTTTGTACATCTTCATCACTTTCACCCACTTCACACTCCATACCATTCTCTGCACCTTCAGCTCCCTTCCGTGTCGATCTGAAGAGTGACTTCTTGCGCGTCCCGTCAGCGCAATTTTTGCCTTTGGTGACCTATTTGGTTGGCGACGAAGGCCTCAAGCACTGCTTCGCATCAGCGAATTCGATCTGGTTCTGCCGTGACAACCAGGACATGAATTTATGAGATGATGGGGTCAATCAACCATGGTAGATGAATTATCTTCAAAGATTCAATACTTCTTGCGCGTGCATCTACTTCACAAAGCAACCTTTTACTTTTACGAAAAACAGCAGAAAATTTGAAGATGCTCTTCCCTCCACTCCTGCTCGAAACTCCTGTTCTTCCTGTTCTGCTAATCACAACCGCTCTCCAGAAGAAGCACATCCAGATGACTATCCAGAGCGATAACACGAATTTTAACATTCGCGTCACTGGCTCGCAACTCTTTTTTTCCTTATCGGATGCAGATGGGCACTCCATTGGCTGGAACATGGTCTTGATCCGAGGATCTAAGTCTGGCTTCTTGGTAGTGCCAGCAAGCGTCTTCATGGCCAAATACATTGTAGGAGCCGCGTCCGACAGGACATTGTACGTTGATGCCGCAGCAGGAACCTTGCGAATGACGGGAGCTGGAAGCGTGTCGAAATCGGGAGTATCGGTAGTATAAATATGTGTTTTTCATCACTTGGGCAATGTATCTAAATCTATATTGACTACCATCAAGAGGAAGTGTGAATACCTCTTCACGTACATTAGAGAGTCTAACATCCTTCACAATGTTGTGAAGTAAGATGGATCTCGAACAACTTCAACCTCTATCCTTCTCCCATCTCACAACACACTGTCTACAACCAGGTCTTGTTCGTAGTGATCCCGACACTCACGGTGTTAATGTGTCTCTATCAGTTGGTGGTATCGATGAACGAGAAGGTAGTCATGCCAGAACCGGAGAGCAAGGACTTGCACTACGTGCGATTTTAAGAAGTGGAAGAAAGAAACACGCTTTTTTTTAACTTTCGTTCTTGTGTAGTAATGGAGAAATTTTTGTAGATTCTCGAAGTTGTACCCTTTCCAAAACTCATATTTCTTTTGTAGAAGGTTGGGAGACCGAACTCTAAAGACAAGTCGACTAAGATTTTCTTATAGATTTTTTCATAATAAGAAAGTTTGTTGAGCCTAGATGTAGATCCGATCATCGCTTGCATCTTCACTACGACAACCACATTAGGGTTTAGGGTTCAAGCACCACTTCCAGGTTTATAAACTTCCGAAAACACGATAGGAAAGTAGTACACATCTGCGATGGTGGCGTCTACAGTGAGCATCACTGAATCCTACGTGTGGTATGTGGTAGAAAGACCGAGTGGAACATGAATCATCGCCATACTAGAGAGTTTAGGGCACATCCATGTAGAAGTTGTTCTCTCAACATATTTATTCGTGGAGAATTCTTGATACGCCGACATAGAAGAATGTTGTTAAATAACGCTAATACCCATTATACGCAATGTCCTTAGACTTACATCTTAGTCTTACATTCAACTATGAGTACTTTCTTATTCTCTGAGTATCACCTATACCTCGTGGTGTGGGTAGTGTGCGTTTTGTGTAGAAAAGGCCAGTCTCATGGTAACGAAAAGTCATTTTTTTCGACACAGACAGACTCCCAAGTGTACGCATGATTACTAGGGGATCAACTATAACAACACACATACTATATCGACCCTACCCTTGAACTTGAACTATACCAAGACACCGACCATTACTTACTTGATTTTCATCATTCATCTATTCTTAGTCTTTTCACGACTGATGTGTAATCATAAGTCATTTTCATTTTCCGGGATTTTTAAGATACGTGATACGCCAGGATTCGCGCAAATAGCATCTATCAAGAAAATAAACGATTCATCATCGTACGCATGATATTTCTCGCCACAAACACGTGATGAAGGACTGATGATGTCAGCGTCACCCCACGAAGACCAACATTGTTGTGTTTTCAAAAAAACAAAATGGAGAGTGGTCTCACAAATAGGAAGAAAACCAAACAACATTTTTGCTACAAGAAGGTTCTTTACAGATACTCTATATGCCACGAGCACGAAACAGCATCATTCGAAACTTGGGCTTCCGTCAGAGGAACTGAAAGGCGTTAAAACTAGGTCTCACAACATAAAAGAACATTGAAACAATAAAGCAAGACACGACAAAAATGATTCCCATCAAGCGTGCTCTAGTCTCGGTCTCTGACAAAACTGGCGTTCTCGAGTTTTGCCAGACGCTCAGGGAAACATGCGGCCCAGACCTGGAGATTCTGTCGACAGGAGGTACTGCGGCATTGCTGCGGAAGAATGACATTGCAGTGACTTATGGCAGCACATGCACAATGTTGCACAGTTGTCTAATCAATGCTTGTTACTTGCCGTTACTGCGGATCGATCATCGCTTGCCTCCTCAACTACGAGTCTATCCACGTGACCTGATTTCTGAGGCATCTCTAACACCCAGAAGTATCTGATTACACCGGTTTTCCGGAGATGATGAGCGGTCGCCTCAAGACACTCCATCCCAAAGTGCATGGTGGAATTTTGGCTAGGCGTACAGAAGCAGGAGATCTATCGGCGTTAGAGGCTCATGGCATGCGCGAGATCGACCTTGTGGTGGTGAATCTGTATCCGTTTGAGGCCACAATATCCAAACCCGATTGCACCCTAGAGGAAGCCGTCGAGAACATCGATATTGGCGGTCCTACTATGCTCCGCGCAGCTGCTAAGAACTGGGAACACGTCGCTGTGGTTTCTTCCGCTGCTTTTTATCCGCGCATTATGTTAAGATGGGTAGACTACCACTACTACTACTACTACCTCAGGCGTAAGTATACGGGTCAACCGTATCCACGTAACATCCTTTAGGAACAAACCCCAATAGATACGGGGAAGATAGATTATCTTCTTCTTACTGTGGTACGTAGTAGTTCGTTCACGTTCTCTAATCACTGGCGAACTGAAAGAGCATGGTGGAAAGCTGTCTCGTGGGTTGCGGTTTCTGCTGAGTCGAAGCACGTATGAGGAGACGAGTAAATATGACGGAATGATTGCCAATTACTTCGGCAAAGTCGCTAGTAAGGACTTGTTGTGTGCTGGTGAAGCAGGTGATGGAGGTCGTGCTGACGTCGAAGATGCTGTTCCGGCTAGAGGGAACAAGCTTGAATTAACGAAATTCTCTGACTTCTTCTACACGGGTTTGAAGAAGAAACAAGCACTGCGTTACGGAGAGAACCCACATCAAGGAGCTGCGTTGTTATGCTTCTTGGTTTTGGAGATGTTTTTCGCAATTTCACAATGCTAGGCTTCTTACTTACCGATCCGAGTTCCTTCACGCATTTCTAATTCGTGCAAAAATCAATCCCCACCAACGTAGACCACTTCCACATCTCTAATTCTGTACGTGGAGCCCAACGCTGCTTTCGCCTCAGTGGCGAATGCGAAACAGCTACAAGGAAAGGAGTTGAGTTATAACAACATCGCTGATGCGGATGCTGCGCTCGACTGCTGTCTGGCTTTTGGGGAAGAAGAGTAACAGTAATCTGGGTTGGAGTTGTCGATGTTCTTCTGATTGATGTTGTGTATCCTTTGTCATTTGAACAACTAACGAAAGCTTTCACTAACGACTGAAATAAATGACACTATTCACTATACACTACTTCTACTTACTCATTAACGAATAACTATAACACCAAAACAAGATTTTGCTGCGTAATCGTGAAGCACGCGAATCCTTGTGGTGTTGCGGTGTCGTCTTCTTCCCTCCTCCACGCCTATGAAAAGGCTTTCCAAACCGATCCGACCTCTGCTTTCGGAGGTATCATAGCAGTCAACAAAGTTTTAGACGTCGCTACAGCGGAGAAAATAGTTCAAAACCAGTTCGTGGAGGTCATTCTGGCACCAAGTGCAGCGCTGGAGGCTGTAAGTGTAGTGGGGAAGAAGAAGAACGTGCGGTTGTTGGAGTACATGACAGCAGAGAGCGGAGAGACGGAGAAGAAAAAACCAATGATGGAGTATAAAAAGATTCGCGGAGGCCTTCTCGTACAAGACCGTGATGAGGAGCCTGAGACGATGGAATTGCGTGTGGTAACAAAACGAGCACCAACAGAGGAGGAAATTATGATGCCGGACGAAAAATATTTTTTTTTTTCACTTACACTTTCGTCCCATTCTAATTCCGTGAAAGACCTGAAATTCGCTTGGAAGGTGTGCCAGTTCGTCAAGTCAAATGCTATCGTCTATGCCAAAGACGGAATGACGTACGGTGTGGGCGCAGGCCAAATGTCTAGGGTTTTTAGCTCTAGGATCGCCTGCGATAAGGCAAAGGAGGCGACGCTGGAATTGAAAGGGTATTTCATATGGAGTTGTCTTTTTCTTTTTGGTTTAGGTTGTGAGTCTGGGACTGAATTTTCCAAGAGCACTTCTGGCTTGCTGAAGTACTGTTTTTAATACTTTCAGTTTAGTGGCTTCCCAGATCAACGACCTTTCCATCTCCCTCACTTCAGGTCAGCCATGGCATCTGACGCTTTCTTCCCCTTCCGCGATGGCATTGACACAGCTGCCGGCACTGGCGTTAGCTGCATCATTCAGCCAGGAGGTAGTATCCGCGATCAGGAAGTGATTGACGCGGCTAATGAACACGGCATAGCCATGTTGTTTACGGGAGTGAGACATTTTAAACATTAGTTCTTCCTTGTGGAACTAAGTGTACAGGAACTAGCTAGCTGCACAAGGAAGAAGATTGCAGAACCAGAAGTGGGATGGTAGTTTTGCGTGGGAGAATTCATCAAAGGAGCACGTCGGGGTGGTGAAAGATTTTTAGATTTTGAGGGTACAGGTACAGTACACACTCATAGTATTTGTCACTGAGGTGGAGATCCTGATCAGACACTATACAGAATTAGTATGATCTGAAAAAATACACTGGCATGGCCATGGGCTTAATGATGAAGTTGCTTCGAAGAACATCAAGAAGATATGAATGGCAAAATGTAAGTTTTGCAGTTTTGCTTGTGGGCGTGCATTAATGCTTTTGAGTTGGTGATGACGAAAGATACTTAGACACTCAAGAGGATGGACGTGCAGTGCGACTTCCGCTTGGTGGTGGTTTAGTGTTTGCAACGCCGAGATGTCTCGTACCATGAGAGAGGATGGGATCCATTGCATATAATGATCACGGTCTTATGATTTAGGAGGAGATTGATCAAAAAAAAGGAGAAAAGAACTGCGGGCGTCAGGAATTGAGTCGGAGTAGTGACTTTGGAATAAATTAAAGATAAACAGCACTTTGATATCCGCCTCTTATTCAGAGATCATCAAAATGAAAGGCTTTGTCGAATTAGTGCTTGCTTTCTTGCGCATCCAGTGCGTCCTTTTGTGTAGTGGCTTCATCCAGGTCGTTTTCGCCGCAAACCTCCTTGCGGCTGAGGATGGTCGGCGATCTTCTTCTTCTTCCTCGCCCTCGCTTGCCAGCCTTGACAGAGATCCAGAATACAGCGTTCGAAAGCGATGCGTAAGCGACCCCTCAGGTGCGCGTTCGGGCAAGACCTGTCTTTCCCGCTCAGACGTCCAAGGCTCAGATTGCGAAGAGGGCGTTTGCACAGACCCGGACTCGATTTTAGATGGAGGGAAAGAGGAGTTACGCTGACACACACCAGAAATATTTGTATTTGAAGCAGATAATTTCACCACTACACTCCAGAGAGTAATGTAGTTGAGGTGGATCATTAGCGATTGGTAGTCCCTCTGCGGCTACACATATTCGCTCGAGGATACAGGTCAAACTGTGGACGGCGAGTCAACTCCTATCCTATCCTAACAGTAAAAGACTACTCACGTCCTCCTCCACGCTTCATTCAGATAGACAACCTAATCTTCACTTTTTCTAAGACCCAGCCGACCTCGACACTTACGAGGACTCGATCATAGTGCTTGCGACGACAGTGGTTTTCTAGCCTCTTCTAGTGGTGCAACGACGGCTTTGGGCAGATCCTCTGAATGCGAAAGCAGAGCACGCAGATCATCCAAGTCTACTGATGAAGGGGATGTTATAGACAATATAGTAGAAGAACAAGATCATCCTAGAGTTGTCGGAGAAGTCGTGGGTCTACACGCTAGGGCTAGACGAGAACAAGACCTAGACGATTATGATTTCCCAGGACTAAGAAATGTTGGTGCGTCGTCTAGTACAACGGGGTTTTTCTACAATAGAAGCGGTCCTGAGGAGGAAGATGAACTGGACGATAGTGGATCCCCTGCCAACATTGTTAAGGGAAACATTGAGTAGCAAAAGCAATGATCACAGGTTAGTTGAGTAGCAATGATCTACGGCCATCATGAACGATGGAAACAGGGACAACAGGGATCATGCCGATGGACCGACAACAGCATGCATTATGTCTTTGCGCATAAGGGGGGGGCGCTTACTACACATACACGTCGCCAGCGCTACAAATTCACGACTCTAATCCAAGACACCTGCGTCTCCACAGAAGTGTGGACGGGTTTTTCGACACCAGGAAGGTTATGGACAGGCCGAGTCTGCTTAGCGATGAAGAAGAAGACCAGGCAGAGGAGCAGGAAGAGGAAGATCAACATGCATTCGATGGCAACAAGTCAGCAGAAACGCTGTATGCGTCTTGGAATTCCTTAAATGTGTCTAGACGAACACCGTCGCCAAGAACGAGATCGATTTTAAGGCTGATGGACGATCGACATCAGGGCTTGCCGCAGGAAGTGTATTTTTGTTATCACGTTGAAGATCATATCTATGGAAATTATATCCTAGTGCAACAGATTTGGAGCAGCTTTCTAAAAAACAATACAGATTCGACCCTAATGCTAGCACGGCAGCAGAACCTGAACAAAGCCGTACGGAGGTACCAGAGCAGGAATTTCTTTCTCCAGCAGGGACAATGGGTGTTCGGCCTGTAGTACCTGTACCAGAGCAGGAACTTCTTCCTCCAGGCACAATGCCTGTTCGGCCTGGAGTACCTGTACCGAGTGAATCTAGGGTCACCCCAGAGGACCTCGAGATCTGTGATGACTTGCGCGCACAACTAGAAAAAACTGCTGGCCTGCTGAAGACGTTAGAAACGGTCGGAAATGATGCTCCTGAGCACTTGGATCAGTCTGCATTCGTGGAATGTCTGCGAAAGAACACGGACCTAGCGCTGCGGCTGAAGAAGGTACAGTATTGCTTCCTTCCTGTAATCTGTTTGTGTTTCTTTTTTTGCCTTGAAGTTCTTTTTCTTATTTGTGCTTTATAATTATAGGGGCAATGCAGCTGTCGTGAAGAACGCAAAGCAACATAAGCCTTAATATTCCTGAAAAATCATACAGGGCGGCCGCCTACCGGAAGAGCATGCTCGCTTACTGTCGACAGAGAGAACCCTTACTGGCCCATCGGGATCGTCTGCAGACTCTTCAAGGAGGGCTCTGCTTTCTCGAGATGCTCAGCCTTTTGTACCAGGACAATCGAGTTATCTTGCTGGTACTCCTGTACCAGGAGCTGGTAGTGGTCCTGTGAATAATGGTCCTAATCCTTCAACAAACATGCTCGGAGCGGGATGTGCTTTTCCTCCTGGATCATCTTCGACTTGTGGCGGAAGTCCAAGTATGCTCGGAGGGGGATGTGCTTTTCCTCCTGGATCATCTTCGACTTGTGGTGGAAGTCCAAGTAGTTCACCTCTAGCGGGAGCAAGCATGCTCGGAGGCAGTCCAAGTAGTCCACCAACAGCACTGCTGCCCCCATTTCCCACTACAGCGCCGTTCTTTCCCTTAGTAGCTTGGCCACCTAATATGGCTCTAGCGGTTCCTCCCTTACTCTCTGCTAACAAAGGTCCTCCGTTTCTATTCCCGCCTCCGCCACCGAGACAACTAGCACCAAACCATCCGCCTATCAGTTTTCAAGAAGCAAGTGGTGGTGGAACAAAAGATGAATCAAGATCAAGAAGAAGCCCTACTACTGGTTCTAGTCCAGGACCAGGAGACAGCATGCAGCAAAAAGCAGCCACGAGAACGATCTCTGAAACCGTGACTCATCCGAATGGGACTACTGTGACAAGGATCGTCACAGAGGTAGCCAATGCGACAACCGGAGAACTACGGCGCGTTTTTGAATCGGTCAACAGACCACAAATTCAAATGCTGGCGCAACAGCTCCCTCAACAAGAGCAACGTAGTCGTGGCGCTGTTGGTTCGATGCCTGCAGTCGGACCGAACGCGATGACGGCAGTTGGTGGCATTGGTACTAGTGGTAGTACGAGTTCTGCTTCTGCTTCTGCTTGTTATGAGAAGGTGGGAAGAAATCCTAGTACTAGCAGTGGTAGTACTAGCTACGTTGCTCCCGTTCCTCCTGTTCTGCGCTTAGCGGAGAGACTTGAGGAGTACCAGGAGAATTCTCTTAATAAGGGATCCTCTGGTTCCAGGAGTAGTGATATCGAGGAGGGAGAAGCACTGAAACTGGCATGGAGACCACATAAAATAAGGGATCTTCCTCACGACCTCGAAAAAAAACGACATCACAAGCCAGCACCAATTGAGCATCGAGTATCATCAGGACAACATCAGAACAAGCAACGGTCCACTAAGAACATTTCAGCAATGGACCCAGAAGACGTCGATTCTATGAAATGGAAGTATCAAAACTACCACAATACAACTAGAGTCGACTTTGGGCTTGGAACACAGAGTGAAGGCCACATATGTAAGATACCAAAGCAGGCTGACCGTGTAAAGAGACAATCACGACAAGAACATGAGCAAGGCCATGCTACAAGAGGATCTCGACATCAGCAGTATGTGCCAACAACGCCAACGTTTCAAGCCTATTTATCCCGAACGCAGTTTGATTTTTCGCAGTATCTTGGTAGTGGCGCTACGATTCCGCGAAAATCGTACAGATACATCGATGCTTTGATTAAGAGACGAGGTTTATATTCTCTAGTTGTAGCAGGTGGTCGTAGAATTACATTTACATCGATGCGTTGATTAAGATTTTGAGGCTGTGTATTGTCTCATAGTAGAAAGATAAGAGTTCGTCTCGTACGTGTCAACAAAAAAGTCAGTGACCTGCTACAACTAGTTGATAGTGTCTAGGTGGTACTAGTTGTAGCAGGTCACTGACTTTTTTGTTGACACGACTCTTGACAACTTACTATTTCTGTGCTCTCTGCATCTGCTCTAACTTATGGATGATGGAAGCAGAAGCCGAAGCGGGGTGTGTTCCCATGAGGACCAACGTAAGACAAGGAAAAATGAAAGCCAGTTCCGTGATTCCTAGCTGTCCGGGGCCTCCGTGGCCTGCGAAGGACATGAAGGTCGTGGGAAGGAGCAGAGCGTCTTTCGATCATTCGGGATCGGGAATACCAACAATTATGGCTTAATATACATAGATTTTTCTTTTGGAGATAATGAAGTACATAGATTTTTCTTTTGAAGTACTTTTTAGTGTCGATTTGAAACTGTTATATGGTAGTGGTACTGACTAGCAGCGTCACTCCTCAGTCTTAACCTTCGCAAGAGCATCAAGCAAGTGGTGAAATCTTCTCTCAGTCTTATATAAAAACTTACTGCGACGTGTGCGTGTGCGTCCATTATACAGAGCTCTAAAATGAGACTCGAGCTTGTCCAGGATTGTGAGATTACACGTTATCCTGACCACAGGAGACGGCCACCTGTAGAAAAGGTGACTGCAGCTGATGAGACGCCAAAAGAAGAGGAACAACGACAAGAAGTAGATTCTCTCTTTTTAAACGACCCTTGGATGAATCCGGGAAAAGCCCCTTCATCTATGACAGGACAAGTAGTAGAGGTAGCAGGACCAGTACAGGTAGCAGGACCAGTACAGGTAGCGTTTGACAGGGCCACGACGTCCACAACATCATCTTCTGGGGCTACAGGACAAGAAGCTAGGGCATCAATCTGTGTAGGAGATGATAAGAGATTCATAGCTGCATCACAGAGTAGACTCATAGCCAAGGAGACGGAAGCAAAAACTCCATCATCTGGTTCGGGAGATACTACACATGCACCTACACCTAAGAGAAAAACATTATGGTCAGATCTCTCTGTAGAAGACGAAGCTGCTGCTGGGCGCGAGGAGATAAGCGCCGATCCTCTTGATGATGAGGACACTACAGTTATGGAGAGGTGTTGTGCCGCAATGAGTGGACTCAGATTAGAAGGCGGCGAAGACATACAACTTGGAGAAGACAACGCAGGCACAGCATCAGGAGTATCCTCAACGCAGCATAGAAGAAGTAATGAAATTATGGCTCAACTTTCATTGGTCATTGGAGTTGGTCTCTGACATCATTCAAAGAGGAGACCCACTGAGAGGACAGGGCAAAACTAAGGGAAAACAAGGGGAGAGGCATGGGGCGTTTTTCTTTCAGAATCAGTGACCACTGACTGCTGGCCTTTAATAAAACTGCTGTCCTCGTCCCTGTCACAGCTGCCACTGAACATCAAGATGAAGATGGTTGTGAATCTTCGTTGCCCCTAGGCTTAGTGGCGCAACCTTCGCTAGAGGAGGCACTGGGTCTAGTAGCGCCTTCGCTTGAACATGCACATGCAGAGGACAGGGAGACCAATGTGCAATTAGAGAAGCCTCCATGTGCTCATGCGAAAGCCAAAGAAGCTGCTGAAGCAGCGGAACGGGGACATCAAAAGGACACGAAAGGCTCGCACCGTGAGGATCAATTAAGGCGGATGATGGATTATAGGATTTCTTCATCTGCCACGACTGTTTGAGAATACAAGAGCTTACCACCTTTTGCTTCGAATAGAGAATGCGCAAAACAAATGGAAAAGGGCTTATTCGCTCCAGATTATTTGGGGCTTTACATGAGCTAGAACTCAAATTTACTGCCGCGATCCTTCACGTAAAAAGCTCTCAGAATGATCTTGTTACATGCCATTTTCTTCCACGTTTCACAAGAACTATATATCCGCGACTCCACCTTTCACCTTACTTGTTCCACTCACCTTCCTCGGTGCAGCGATCTGCCTTTCGCTATTTTTCCTTGAATCCACTCCTCGTGAATCCACTTCGGCCTCCTCGTCAATCCACTTCGGCAATTTTTACTTTCCCCTACACTTCTAACACCCGTCCGGACCGTACCTACTGGCAGAAAGGCCTCTGAATGCTTTGCAGCGATGGGGCTGGTTTCGCACGTCTTCGATCAGATAGAGGATGAGGAAGAGCGTGAGACTTGGCGACGACGGGTGTTTGCGAGAACGAGACAAATCGTTATTGGAATGTCGAGACCGGAATTTCACTACTTGATGGTATGGCAGGACGAATAGGCTCCTTTTAGTTAGGGGTCCACCACTATTATTTGATGGTATAATAATGGCAGGAAGAATAGAAGGAAGAATAAATAGTGTAGCTACTCTTAATTATCACCTACTGATGTGATACGTTCCTTGAGTATGTATCTTCGCGATCCTCACCGGCTTCTGCCCCTCATTCATCCTTCGACTATTTTCCCAATATCTGTCCGCGTCCACCAAACTGTGTCTACAATATGGGACAGAGTAAGCGCGGGTTTGATAAGGCGCTGGCGTTGTGGCGACGGCGGTTGCACTTCTACGCAGACAACATCCACGACTTGGAACATTTAACGGAGAGAGAGTTATGATGATGGGGCTGCAGTCTTAACCTCATAAATAGCTCCTCAACAAGACTCAAGGCAACTTGTGCTCCCACTTCAAGTACAGGGTCAATAGTGAAGCTAGCACTTATTTATTTGATAGACGCTTCTAGTTCTATTTGCTGGAGACATAACGAGTTAGATGCTACGAGAAAATGCGCCTCTTTGTACTACTCTGTTCGTTGCAAAAGAAGTCCGTCTGTGATACATGCGCGCACGAGCTCTCCTCGATCCCTATGGCTATCCTCTAAGGATCCGTGAAGAGCTCTTTCTAGTCTCCGAGCTACGGCGAGCCGACGCCGAGCGTAAAGACAGGATGTTGATGGAGGTTTAGTACTAGAAAACTGTGGATCTACGTTGTATCTCGTGATGAAATTTGAATTTGTGAATCTAAGATAGCTTACGTAGTGATTTGATCGACGTAAAAACTAATTTCATTAAGCATAAAAAAAGATACGAAAGAAATCAATTCAACAGAAATGTGAACAGATGTGACATTTTGCTATTTCATTTGTAGCCCGAAGGTACTAAAGAACATCAGGGCAATTTTTGCGACTGGCTACTTAGATGCTATTGTGTCTTTTTCATTGAAAAAAACTGAATGCCGCACAAGTTCGTAGAAGAAATTTGTCAAAAGAATTAGAGGATACATAGTTGTTGAGCGATAGTTGTTTGTGAACACTTAGTACTGCGTTTTCTGAGAATATAGTTAGAAGTTCTAGCATGTTGTGAATTTTCGGTCTAAAAAAACATGTCTATATGATTTTCGAGAATATAGGAGCCTATAGCTACTTACTGCTCGTATTCAGTCAAGCCCCTACTACTAACTTACGACATCAAGAATCTTTTGTGAATACCTTTTTGCGAACACCTAACACACGAGTTAGTACTGGATCGAAGTCGAATGCAATCAATAGTACCGCGAACAACGCGGGAGATCCTTATTCGTCATACAACTTCGGTCCTACTTTCCACATCAGTACACAAGTAGGGAAAGCGATAGAGATAGGAGAGATGAAGTTAGACTCTGAGTGAAGAGAGAGTCCGAGCATGAGTGGAACAGAGATGAAGCTCAACACAGAATCATGATCACAAACCAAGAAGAAGAACCCCCTCCTTTACCCTGAGTGGTATTCGAACATTGATGAAAAGGGACTACTTTTTAGGATAGCGATAGTGAAAATAGAAGGATTAAGAACTGACCACCATCTACTTCAATCCTTCTCGGGAAAAGAAGAAAAATGAAATCTGCTTGCTCTTCCTCGTCTAGTACGATGAGGAGGCTAAGTGGGGCTGCGCCACGTTCGGGGTGGCTCCGAGGATCGCAGATACGGTATAAGGTTCCAGTAGCCGCCTTGTACGACAAACTAGCTGCTAAAGGACTCGACTTCTACGCAGGCGTTCCGGATTCTCTCCTAAAGGACTTTTGCGCCTACGTCTCAGACACGAGTAGAAATCACGTAATAGCAGCGAATGTTATGGACGGAATTCTAACCTCCATGTATTCATCAGGGGAATCTTCTAGTTCTATCCTTCAGACATTCCAACCGGCAGTGTAAGTACATGATCAAACGAGAGTCTTGTCTGGTCTGGTGAGGGGGCTTTGAAGATTTATGTGCAATTTAAAGTATGCTTTATTGGTGTTTAAATACGAGTGCGCGTAGTGCGCGCTCCCCGGGGGGCAACGCCGGGTAAACAAGGTTCCACCTGTTTAGTGTTTATGAGGAGCGCCTTCCAGCGAGGGCGAGGCACTCCGGAAGCAAAAAGTTTCCATCGATCACTAGCAGGTAGCAATCAGAGTCCACTCAAAACGAGTCGACAACTAAGAGGCCAATAAATGGCAATGAGACGCGTCAAAGCACGCTAGGCCAATAAATGGCAAGAAGAGTTAATCAAGGGACTCGCGTAAAGAAACCAACGCTCAGCCGAGGCAATAAGCCGGCCACTCGGCCCACCGAGATCCTAGTAAGACACAACAACATCGAGGGAGCAACACCGACATCTTTTCACTCGAGCTAACCACGCTCGTTGGCGATTAGGGTCAGAGCCGGCGTTTGTTCACTCAGCTCCAAACCCGCACTAACCATGTGTGGAGGAGGAGCAGCCTCGGCTATCGAGGACAGATTCGTCTAGAGGCTTTAAGCGCCACACACATTGGGAATTCTGGCGCACCTTGAATTTTTGTTGGATCCTCGTGGGGGTCACGCAAAAATCAAGGAATTTGCGTGACCCCCACGACAATCCAACAAAAAACTGGGGTCAGCTTGACATAGCTTGCCCGGGTCTCCAACGATGGAGTTAAGAAATAGCCACATCGTGCGCACAAAACGTGCTAGATCAAATGAGACGCTAAGGCGACCGAAAAAGATCGGGTTTATTTTCGATCATTCTCGAAGAGATGCCCAAGTCAAGGCGCAAAAGCGTGTCAGATCAACTGAAGCGTTAAGGCGACCGAAAGAGATCGAGTATATGCCAAGTTAAGGCGCAAAATCAAATGAAGCGTTAAGGCGACCGAAAAAGATCAGGCAACTTTCGATCATTTTCGGAGAGAGTTCAAGTTAGACAGAGTTCAAGTTAAGCGTTAAGGCGCGCACAAAATTTGTGCCAGATCAAATGACCGAAAATGACCGAAAATAAAAGATCATGCATATTTTCGATCATTTTCGAAGAGACATCAAGTTAAGCGTTAAGGCGCGCACAAAACGTGCCAGATCAAGCGTTCGAAATTTATCAGGTAGAATTTCGACCAGGGACGATCGCGCGCACAAATCGTGCCAGACCAAGATCTACGGAAAGTTAAGGATAAGACAGGTAAAAGTCGCGGCTCATCTCCAGTGCCCCATCGATTTTAATCACTATGGTGCAATCAGTCACTCACTTCGTCTTACTTCCACAGGGAAACAAAAGGCAAATCACGCCGCCCGTTACTGAGGGCCCTACTATCAATCAACGCCTCCCACCGTCAAAAATGCCGCCAAAAGCAAAAGCTAAGGCCGTAGCAGGAGGAAAAGCGAAAGCGCCGGTTGTGGTCAAAGCCCAGCCGAAGCACAAAGCCGTGGCTGCAGGAGCAGTTGCGAAAGCCAAGGCAGCTCTGATGAAAGCGGGCGCGCCTCCCATCGGGCCACCTGGAGTAGGTGGCGCCGGAGGTGTCATCGCAGGCCCCCCTGTGTACGCTGGGCCTCCCCCTAAAGCGGTTCCGAAAGGCAATCAAGCCCACGCCGCGCCGCCCGCCCAGGACGGTGCAGCAGGAGCAAATGTTGCGGGTGTACAGCAGGCCAATGACAACGGTCTGGGCGTCCAGTGGTCGCGCGACCAGTGGTCGTGGGGGTGGACTATCGACCGCCCAGCCGGCATCCCGGCGTACCCTCAGGACCACGAGCTGCGCCTAGTCGAGAAAGACACGTCGGACGCAGTTATCCACCTGCTCGTGTTACAACGCTTTGCCAGCGCGCTGGCATTGAAAGAGATGCGAGGCATCTGGGACCTCTACCTCTACACCGACATGAAGGACGGAGAGGAGGAGCAAGTCCGTGGACTGTTGGAAAGTGCAAAGACAGTCGACCTCAAACCACTGAAGACTAAGAGGCTTCTCTCCGGCATCACTACTGTGCACGGCCCAAAGTTCTTCGTGGAGATCGACTTCGCCACAGTCGCGAAGGTGCGCAAGGTCGTAGGAACTCGTGTGACAAGCATGCGGATCGAAACCTCCAACATCATCACCGGCAAGGAGGCCGATTACATGCCATTCGAACTCAATCGGGCCTGGATCCGCTTCGCAATCGCTTGCGGCGTGTGCCAGCCGTTACGGTCAGATGAGATGATCCGCGCCTGCGAAAAACTGGCCAAGGAATTCACAGGTGTGCTCATCCCGAAGGCGTTGCGCGAGTTCTTCAACGATTTTCTTCTGGCATCCACAGATCATTGCGCAGAGAAGTTCTTCCGTGACTTCGAATCCAGATTCGCAAGCCTAGTCTCCGTCGCGTCCGCAGTAGCAGGCAAGAGAGCCGGCAAAGGAGCCGGGAAAGGAGGCAAAGGCGACCAACGAGACGGAAAGAAAGGCTCCGGCAAAGGCAAAGGGCGTGGCCGTGACGGATGGGGAGGTGGCAAAGGCCCCGGCAAGGACAACAAGGAGAAAGATAAACAGAATGAGTCGGAGGACACAGGCAACAACAATAATGGAGCCTAAAGTGCACGGCTGTGAAGACGACTGTCTTTGGTGAGCCCGGCCAAAGGCTCGATGTTCATACTCACACGACACCAGGTGGTGCCACCAGTAAAAGGCTAAAGTCGTCGCATGTCAGATAACCCCCCACGAGGACACTGACCTCGATCATTTTATGCGCCCCGGGCGTCAGTTGTGTTCGTCCACGACGGCGGCGGCCACTAATCAGGCCGTGCCGCCAAAGCAATGTTTCTGATGCCTTACAGAATTTGAAAATCTGTTTCCTATCACAATCAGACCTGTCCGCCGGCCCCTTCGATTCTAAGCGGCCACTCCCAATTAAGGCCAGGCTGTCAGCCGATTTATTATTGGCTATGACGAAGGGAGCGGTGCGCTCGTGATGTCTGTAATCAGTCGACGTAAGCTCTAACTTCGGCCTCAGGCCTCTAGGCAGTAGTTGTCGTTTACTCGTTTTCCGCGTGTGATCGCAGTAGCAAACTAATATAAAAAAAGATGGTAGAGCCAGGTGCCCCGAGCACAGTAGGCTTGCGGTCAAACGTATCGCTGGCACCAACCGATGCCGTGAGTCAGTCCAAGCACAAGAAGTGGGAGTGCTTCCTCGCCAGCTTCGACGTGCTCGATCAATTCGGGGGTGCCGTCGTCCCTCACGTATTTCTGCTGTACGGGCTCTGGCTGCTTGACTCAGGCCTTGTGAGCAGCAAGCTGTACGTCAGCGCGGCGCATACATTTGAGAAGGCGAAGCTCGCGCTCTATCGCCTTCAGGGGTGCACAAATCAACGCATGAACCTCGTCTATCGGCGGCTCGACGAAGAGCTGACCCACGTTCGCAAAAAAGCGACCCCGCTTCGCAACCTAGTGGGGGTTCACTGCTTCGACAAGTATTGGCATTCAGTAGCAGCAGTTCTGGCCGGTACCGGTGTAAGGCCGATTGCCGCCAGCCACTTCGCGCCGACAGTTGTGCCGTTGAAGACACGAAAAGAGGGGTGGCTCGTTGGGTACCGGCTACAGGTCATCCACGACAAGATCAATAAAATCGCCGCGCGGAGCGTGCAGCTGCTTTGCACGTGTGAACATTGCGCGATATGCGTGATCCACTCGCTTGGGCTACCAGCGCTCCCGATCAGTAGAGACCACATCGAGACCGCAGTGAGGTACTTCGGACTGGAGCTGCAGTCATATTCAACCAGGCGGGCGCATTGCATTGCAGTCGCGCACTGTCATGAGCGACGCTCCTCGTTGGCGGTGTTGCTCAAGGACGTGGGCTTTGTCGCCCGCATCACCTCCCAGTTGAACTGGGTCCCAGACAGCAAGATGTTCTTGGAGTATACCAAGGACTGGGAGGCGCACCAGTTTACAGAAAATGAGTTGTCCTTTTATCGCGCCTACTACCATTATTACACTACGGGAGCCTTCCCATTCTCAGGCCAATAGGTCGGCGCGCACTCCTCGCCCGCTCTTCATGCTCACTCACTGCCACTGAAACTCTATAGCTGTGCAGCTACGTCAGTAATCGGCCTACTTTTAACACAGCGGAACGCAGTGTTCAGCCCCAGAGAGAAGTCAAGAAACGTCGTTTCGGTTTCAAGAGCGCGAGAGAAACGCGTCACCAGGTGACTTCGGTATGAGCGCGAAGAGCTGACCACTCAGGATAGTGTTCGCTATTGTGCGTTGTTCTGTAAGACGAGGTTAGATCTGTCCAGAGGAGACAGATTCAGACCGGCCTGGCCCAATCTGTTTAGAGAGGTGCGTAGGTTTTTCATGACTCTTAGTGACGTCAACTCGACAGTCCGTTCACAATCTAGACAGCAGAGGCCGCCACTTAGTCTTTTCCCTTCGGAACCCAGCTCTCACTGTCGTCCCGAGTCGCCCCCACACGACCAGGATCGTTTGTTTCAGAAAGCTGCGCTTTTGAGCAGCCTAAATTCTACTTGTTTCGGCCGCCGTTACGAGCGGACTCCATTCTACTCGATTAAAATGATGTCCCGACTCCTAAACACGGCGCTCCGCGCTCAAGCGGACAGCGCCGCAAGCGCGCCTCAGGGAAACCCCCTCTGGGAGCAAACGCTCCGCTCCACAGGCGAGCACGACGGGGGCCAGTTGTACCCCGATCCCCTCCCGAAGGAGGAGCGCGAATTCTTGAAGTGGTACCTCGACACGCCCGAGGGCGATATAGAGCAACTCCGACAAGAAGACGGAGCGCGCATTCGGTCAGAAGCGCAGCAGGCCCGTCTGCGTTCGCGCGAAACATGGCAGGAGCGGAGCACAGCCACCATCTCAGGTCACATCAACGTCGAGTATTTGCGCATGTTGTGCGCGCGGCACAAGTATCCCGACGCGGGCCTGATAGACGAGATAGCCAGTGGCTTCAATCTGGTGGGGGAGACCCCAATAACGGGCCTGCTCAGCCAGAACCCTACTGCCAGTCATCTCCAAGGCGCAGCTGATGTTGACGAGGCGCGCTCGCCACATATCCGGGCCAACGAGAGGCCAACGGGGCGGCCCAAGTACCTTGTTCGAGCCGCGTGGAGCAACGCGCAGGCCGAAGTTGCCAAAGGGTGGCTCGAGGAAGTCTCAGTGAAGGACCTAAGGGCCCGGCAAGTACAGGAGAAGGTCTATGTCAATTACAGCTTCGCGATCGATCAGTCGACCGAAGACAAAGAGAAGCTGCGCACGGTGGTGCACTTTAAGGAGGTAAACCAAGACAGCTACCTGACCGAAAAGATTCGGCTGCCATCGCACAAGAAGTACATCGCCTGGATGAGTACACTCATCTCAGACGGTGGAGACTGTTCGGCGCTTTTCGCCTCGAAGCAGGACATCTTCAACGCCCTCGAGGAGGCGCGCAAAGCACGCAGCAGTGCAGCACAGGGTGGAAAGACGAGCGACAGATCTCAGCCCGGGCCGGGCTCGACTTCGCAGAGCTTCGCCCAAGTTTACGCCGCCATCTGTGGCGACGGCGATGACAGCGACGGGTCGCACGGCCAGCAGCCGAGGAGACGCAGCTCCCGTCACGCCAGAAAGGTCAACGGAGTCACAATCATTGCGCGCGATTTTCGTGACGCGTACAAGCAGTTGGCAGCTTGCAACCCTTGGCACTCCGTAGTGGGGGTTTTCGACCCCGACGCGGACGACGGCGCCGGCAGGTGGCGCTACTTCTTAGCGAAATACATGGCACTTGGTTCCCTATGGGCAATTATGTCTTGGGTGCGTGTGTCGTTGATGCTTCAGTGGTTGTTGCTTCGCGAGGCTCACACCTACGTGAACATTTACATTGACGATCTCGCTGGATGCGAGAAAGACGCGTTAGCCGAGCAGGCCGCAGCGCTAATCGACAGCTTTATCGAGGCCACGGGCTTCAGGCAGAGCCCAGAGAAGGCCGAAGCCGGAAAGGCTGTGCGGCTCCTCGGTGTAGACTACGTAGTGGCAGGCCATATGTTGTCTACAGACCTGCGCTCGGAAAAGAGAGTGAAGATTCAGCGCGACATCGACCGCGCGATAGGAGCGGCAAAGGCCGGCGTGGTGCCAGTAAAACTTGTGCAAGCCATCGCAGGGAAGTGCAACTTCGCTCTTACGGCCACAAAATTTAGTGGCATCACCTCCGCACTCACTCCTCTTTACGACTCCTTGAAGAACGTTGTCGCCGACCCCACCAAGGCGATCGATACGATCGGCAACCCGGGCGACCTGATAGGCCCTCTGTGCCACTTGCGCGAGGTTATCATCGCCGCTCCGCCTTTCGTCTTGGACTGCAGCTCCATTGGAGACTCGCCCGCCACCCTGTGGACCGACGCCTCCGAGTCCAATTCGGAAAGTCGTCTGTCCTTCGTCTGCCATGTTGGCAACCGACTGATATGCGGCTCCACGGAGGTCCCAGATAACGTGTTGCAGAAGCTCCGCGCCAGGCGGGATAAGGTCATCAATGTTCTCGAGCTCATGGCCGTTCTGTGGTCATTGCAGGTGCTGCAGCAGCAGCTACGAGGACAGCGCGTTCGCGCGTTCGTCGATAACTCGGCCGCAATCTTCAGCGCGTGGAAGGGCACCTCGCGCGACCTGCTTTTGAGGGTCTTCGCGCAGAAGATCCACATGCAGCCTCTAGCGGCAGGCACTATGTGGACGCTGCACTACGTGCCCTCGGAGTTGAACCCCGCCGACGGTGGCACGAGAAGAGCGCTCTTCGAATCGTTCTGCCACACCGTCGCGCGCATCAAGCAGCAACTCCCCGACTTAGTCGTGAGAGTCCACCAGGGTGGAATAACGTTTGGTGTCAGCGAGGCAGTTGCGCAGATCTGCGACCTCGCGCCCACGCCTCTGAAAGACGACGAAGAGGCCACTAAAGTGACCACAAAACGGAGAAGACCCAAGTAGACTAGCTTCATGGGGCTAGCATTAGCGTGAGGTCAGAACGTAGCGCATATGATCTACTGAGTTCGCTAATTATTCCCTTAGCAAGAGAGGCGCAGCGTGTGGCCTATTTAGGCGTGCAGCCCTCCTGCGCGCGGCGCGAAGACAACATCTTCAGTTGTGGCAGCTGGCGCGACGCCCCTGCATGTGCCCTGGGTCGAACGTTTGGCCCGGAGTGTCTTGCCAGCTTGGAGTAGCTTTGCTACAGGCCAAACACGCCACGTCCACATGCGGGAGCCAATACTGGCTCGCGGTGATGGCGAGGTCGTGCCCGCGAGCTTGCGCGCGAACGTACGGCAACCTCCCGACCTGCGTCTGGGAGTGTCGTGGTGGCGTTCGGGATCCTCCTTCGATTAGTCCCTACCTGAGCCACGCTTGTCCGCCGCCGTAGGCGCCTGCCTCGCCTCGCTGCCACGTAGCGCGCTTAGTATTTAAGTGCAATTTAAAGTATGCTTTATTGGTGTTTAAATACGAGTGCGCGTAGTGCGCGCTCCCCGGGGGGCAACGCCGGGTAAACAAGGTTCCACCTGTTTAGTGTTTATGAGGAGCGCCTTCCAGCGAGGGCGAGGCACTCCGGAAGCAAAAAGTTTTCCCGCCCCCCCCACACCCAGGCGTTGTTAGCATCCCTCGCGCTCAGCACGCGTCGACACGCCACGTCCACATGCGGGAGCCAATACTGGCTCGCGGTGATGGCGAGGTCGTGCCCGCGAGCTTGCGCGCGAACGTACGGCAACCTCCCGACCTGCGTCTGGGAGTGTCGTGGTGGCGTTCGGGATCCTCCTTCGATTAGTCCCTACCTGAGCCACGCTTGTCCGCCGCCGTAGGCGCCTGCCTCGCCTCGCTGCCACGTAGCGCGCTTAGTATTTAAATGGTCTCTAGTAATATGTTTACAGGTTTTTACTTATACTTCGTTCACTATCTTCGAACTACAGCTAAACTTTCCACAGTATTTGGTCGCTATCCTCTTGGTCTCTATGTATCTTCTTGGTCTCTATCTTGGTCTCTATCTTGAGCCCCTCCATCGCGATCTTCTAACCTTCAAGGCACAGCGATGGCTACGGCTTGTGGATACCATCTAGCAACTGGGAAGATACCGATTGTCTACCTCCAAAATAGTGGGTTTGGCAATATCGTGAATCCACTACTTTCATTGGTTTCTCCTGAGGTTTACAGGTTAAGGCTCGTGCGGTATTTGATTTGCTTTGGTTTATTTTGGTAAAGATTAGAAAGATGAAAAGGAAACATTGATTTTAATTAGAATGAAAGAAGAACAAGAGGATGGGCTTGAGAGCATTCAAGGAAAGCTTTGGTTGAAATTTGTTCACTGTGAGTGCAACGAGTCGTGTTAATCGTGAGTGACAGGACAGGTAGGTTCCATTAAACTCGACAGTGCAAGTGTTGTAATCGATAATTCTTTCTAAATCGAGTACCAATGCTGGTCTTACTCGGGTGGCGTGGCGAACCAGGAGTCAAAGACGAGCCGCAGCATCAAGTCATGGTTCATCGAAATTTTTTTTGCATGAGATAACTCACCTTCACTTTGCTTCTACGTGTATCCAAATCTAATGATAAGCACTAAATAGTATATGTTCAGCTTACACTAATATCGCTATCGTCCATTCAATCAACAAAGCCGTCACTCTAAGCATTTCCCTTCTTACCTTCCTCAAACTAACAGGGCCGCCTCCAAGAAGGTCTTTTAGACGCAGTGGAGCTTCCATACTCCGTTCTGCCCACTGAAGACGGTCCCGAACTAGATGCTTGCCTTGGTAGAGCCATGGAAGTTTTGCAGGGCGGCAATGCTCCTTACGCCTTGCTTGTTCGCAAAAATGGGTTCGAGAGCTACAAGCTGAAATCTAGTCCCTTCGTCCCGCATGTGGCAGACAAGTGGACGAACACGGTGTTGAATTATGGTTTATTGAAAAGAGATAAGCAGTCCTCACAGAAATTTTGCTTGAAACTACTTCTCGGCTTGCAATTTGGACTTTTCCTCTTAGATTGACTACGTCGCTTTCATGCCCCACGCGAGGAGGTCCTTCAGCTGTTGATTCCTCATTTGCGAGGCTGGTCTATCGTCTCCACGACTGGTGTCCTATCGCGGGAGCTTTATGAAGTGCGCGAAGGACTTGGTGATCCTATTGTTAAGGCTCCTTCCCCTAAAAATGGTCCTATCTTCAGAAAAGTCCTCCTAGGCGAGTAGAGGCTTCTCAAGGGGAATTCGGGACATCCCGGAAAGGCTTCGCAGGATCTCACGATGGAGGATCGTTAGGGCGAGCTCTAATATCGGCAATGACTTCATGTGTGTGGGTAGTATGGGCCATGCCTCAGCTATCGCTCACGGCATCGCTTGCGGGGCCAACAATCGGGGGAAAGCGGTTGACGCAAAGGGAGTCATTTGCTTAGATGGGGACGGAGCAGCACTAATGCACCTGGGTCAGATGGCAATTAATGTTATGGCTTCTGGAGATTTTGTGAAGATTTTTCTTGGTCTTCGATACGCAGATATTTTTGTAGACTGGTCTCCGTCTTCTATTAATCATGACCGTACTAGTACTTTTCTTGTAACGCCGCCGCGTCCCTCCACCTCTCTTCTTCGTACTGCAAGCATCCTTTTCTCGTCTTCTTCCCGTGTGGTAAGACCTCTTTCCTCTCTTCTAAGTCCCGTTGCTATCGTGGAGGAACGAAGATGTTGCACATTTTGATCAACAACGGATTGCACGAATCAGTCGGAGGACAACCGACTGTTGGTCAAGAGATCAACTTCTGCGAGATCGCTAGAGGATGCGGGTAGATTGATATTTTGCCATTATTTCAATTGCATGTTTATTATAGATACATAGTTTGATAAATACTTGTGCTTGTCCTCTGTACATTTCAACTGGAGGGCACACTACACTACACGGAGAAGTGAATCTTTTCTTCGTGTCATCGTTTCTTCCCATTCCAAATCCCCCGAATGTACAAACAATGACCCTTCTCGTCTCATCCTCAACCCTAATTCAACTAGGTACGAGTACGCCAAGTCAGCGACAACAACGGAGGATATTGTAAGGTGCGTAACAGAGATGCAGAATGCTGCTTCTTCGAGCTCCATGTTCCTCGAAATCCGCGTGAAGCCAGGCGTGAGGAAGGACCTGGGACGACCGAAGTCCTCCCCAGAACAGAACAAGGATGCCTTCATCGCAAAAAATTTTGCGTGTGCGAAATGAAGACCATGCTGCTGTCATTAGGATTTCGATTTACTAAACGGTCATGAGTACGTAGTTGTGGTGTACGTAATTAAACGTACGACAGAGCAGTACGAATATCAGAGCTATTTGTTTCAGTCAGTGTTGGAGTCTGAAAAAGAAAGTGTCATGGTTTTAGATGAGAAGTTTAGCCGAACGAAATAGAGGAGGTCTAAGGACCTAATCGATGTATGTAGTCATCAGTGGACGACTTAATCAGGAAATTGTATGATGAAGGAGGTAGTAGGACAATAAAAGACATCCCGCTAGTACAAGAACAATTTGCATCCTTCTATGGACGCGCCCTTCTCGGCGGCTCTACTCCTGCGCAAGTAAGTACGTGGTGTTCATCTACTTTCAGTCACCATCCGGGTTTTTTAAGCGGCGCTCATGCCACTGCTCGATCAATCCAAGGAGGTTTGGAGTGCTCGGCTTGATCACATCATGTAGGGAGACCTAACCGGTAGGGAGACCCAACCGGTTAGTTTTTACCTCTAGAGATCTAGCCCTTTCAACACCACATCACGTAAGGAGACAAAGGCTCTAAACGAAGAATTCTGCTTGGTAAAAATTGAAGAAATGAAACTCCAGCTTGTGATATTCAGCTTGACATCATCATTTCGTCCGTTCCATCATCATCGTATATAACAAGAACTACAGTACAGCAATCATACAAAGGATGGTCTCCGCGACGTTTCTGCTCTACGTCGTTCGAGAAAGTGAGGCTTTGTACGAGATAGACCTCTCAGGTCCTGGCAAACGTGAAGACTCACCACATTTGGCGCAATTCATCGTATTAGCTGCCTTAGATTAAGGCTTATTCTAGTCCATCTCCAGAAGCTTCCATCCTGCAGAGACTGACAGAGTTCTCGAGGGAAAAAGGGGCCACCAGGATCGATACTTCTTAAAAAGACGGATTAGGGTATTTGAGCGCTAATTAGACGAGCTCCAATTACGATTGAAGAAAAACACTGGTGGTGCTGTGGCTGGTCCCGGCGAAGTAGGGTTCTTGAAAACGATAGACCAATTTAACGACTTCGCTGTGTCAGCGTATACGACGGCTGCCGGACTCCACTTTCTTTTGTTGCATAAACTGACGAACAACAGCAACAATTCGTTGCTCAAATCTTCAACGACGTCGTCCGCGCCTCCGTCGCCTTACTTAAGACATCAGAAATTGGATAGGATCTTCATGAATCTTAAGTGACTTTAACTCTTTGTTTCCTTCCTCTCCTCACAGCATGACTCGCTGCTCCTAAGCCTAACATGGTGAGTTCTACTGCAGAAAGTAAGTAGTTGCCCCCTCTCTTCCAGAGGGACCCGGTACAGGTCTGACTCACCATCCTCTCACGTAGGGTAAATAGTCCCGAGGCCGTTTTCATAGACACGCTGTTCGTTAGACTATCTTGTCTTGCTGGCAGTGGAGTAGTACTGTCTAAGACGCAAATGAATGAAAATCGGTTTTTCCCTCGTCTCTACCTTCATCTCCACAAGTAGACAGAAAGGCTTCATTTCCCTCGTCTCTACCTTCATCTCCACAAGTAAGTAGTTTCACCTTAAATCGATTTTTCCCTCGTCTCTACCTTCATCTCCACAAGTAGCAGTCATTCTCTTTCTCTCTCGTTTCCCTACTCTCTACTTAGAAATCTACCTCACTCCCTAAACCCTAAACCCTACTCTCTACTTATAGTAACACTCCCTCATTTATTGATCTAACTCCTGGTCCCTTTTTCCAAGAGGTACACGAGGTTTTCGCGAGCACGGTTTTGGTGAACCCTTTCTATCACCCGTTCCAGCACGTGCAGGGTGGCTTGAAAACGTTGCTAGATGTGAGATTGCAAGCAGTAGGGAAAAAACATTTGATCTAGTGAAGATTTGCTTTTCCGCACCGAGTGGACCCTTCTAGGACGTCGCCATTCTTGCGCCGCTGGCAGTGACACTGCAGTGTTCACAACACTAGTAGATACTCAAGTACATTGGGCTGTTGCTCTGTTTATCTTCGAAAAGAGCTTCTTCCGAGAAGTGTATTGACCGCAATTGAGGCACCGTGAACACACTGAGCTTTCTTGATGTTGCTCGCTAAAAAGGTCCGCAAGGAAGGCTTGGCCCTGTGGCTGGGGATCCTTACACAAAGAGCTGCTGAGCTAGGAACCAAGTGGCTCTTGAACGCACGACTAAGTACATTGCCGAGCTGTCTAGTCACTTGTTGTACTTTCTAGTTTTGGTACAGCATCAAAAGGAAATTTAGTGTTAACGTCGTTGAGTAATCCAAATGCAAATCTTTGATCCTCGTGTTTCAGTATATGTATCTATAATGTTGTAGATCACTCAAATAAAAGAAGATGGCGGCGACAAGCGAACTCTTTGCAAAATTAAACAAATGGAAGAACAAGGCAGAGGAGGAGGGCCTCAATTTCGAAGCGCAAGGGACAAGCACAGATGACCGGTATAAAAGATTTTTATTTTGATTTATTTGATTATGTTGGTCAATGGTCATTACTGGCTCAAGATCCAACGAACGAACCTGATTTCAATGTCAAATGACTGCTCTCACTCGTCACCTTGATCATGATCAATGCCGTTCCTTGTCTTGAACTCTTGTTAGTTCCTCCTATGATCATCGTTTGAACTCAATGAATTCCAACATGAATTAGCAGCAAGATCTCCCAGATCTTTAACTGCACTATGACCCTTCATGATATCCCAATGACATTGAACCCATTTTGATACCATTTCAGGGCCTTAAACAGTCAGTGATCATTCGGCACGTCCGTTCTGATCGTCTTTCTGTTACATTGCAACGATAATCATTCCATTTACTCTCAAGAGCCTCATATTGCGCTTGGACGTGTTCGGGTGTTCCAACACTGTTTCAAGCCCTTGAGCCTTACCTTATTAAAGAAATTGCTAGTCAATACTTTGTAGAAGTAGAGAAAACAAAGTCGCATTATTTGCGCCACAAAATGCCCGATATGAGTCTTGGAGAGATTTCACCCAAACTGGGACAGAAATCTGACTGGCGTGACTGGCTTCGAGCGGTAACGCAAGAAGCGGACCGCCTGGACCTAGTCCAATACTTCAACAACGTGCTGAACGGCAATGCGGCAGGGATTCCGAACCAACCCAACAACAACGACCGCAAGCTCCAGCAGAATTGGCGAGATTTGAAGAACGTGATCATCAAGTCGCTCAAAGGTGCAGCCGCAGCACATATGAAGGATCAGGATACCACTGTAATGAACGCTGGTGAAGTGGTAACAAACCTCCGTGACGCTGGTTTCAGTCAAAATGACCGCACAGAGCAGCGAATCTCTGCTAAAGCGTTGGAAGGGATGCATTTCACGAACAGTGATTCTCCTCCAGACGTTCCAACATTCTTGGCGAAGGTTAGAGATGTCATGAACCAATCTCCGACCGTATACCCGCCGGAAGTTGGTGTGGCTGTTGCTGATCAACAAAACGGAGCAATCCTCGACATTCTGCCAAAAATGTTTTCCAAAGCATTTCGACAGACAATCGAGAGGATGCAAGAAGATGAACATCTAACGTTCGTCCAAATCGGTGACAGACTCACGAAACGGCTTCAAAGTTTGATTGACTCTGGTGAGTACAAGATCGAGAATCCATCTTTCGGCAAAGCTTTTCCAGCTGTCGAAGATTCCGATGATGAAAACCAGAACAATAACAAAACCAAGAAGCGTAAACGTCAAGATGAGAGTGATGACGATGGTAACGCGTTTGCCGCTCTCAAGAAAACAACGATCAAACGACTTCGCAAGAAGATTCGCAAAGAAATCAAGAACGAGGTCTACGCAACAAAAGGAAGTGGAAAGAGTAGTAGTAGTAGTTCTAGTAGTAAGAAGAACAAAGGAAATGGCAAAGGTAAAGGTGCTAAGAACTCAAATCCTAATGAGGGCATCCAGTGCAACTATTGTCACAAATATGGACATAAGGCGCACAAATGCTGGCTAAACCCGATGAGTCAAAGCTACCAACCTAACAAAGCCATGGGCAGCAACTTCTTCAACAATTCATACAACTGTTGGCCGCAAGGTAACACTATCCCTCCGTGGCACCAGAACAACTATCCACCGCAACAAAGTGGAGGAAAAGGATTCGACAACGGTAACCCACAGCAGCAATGGGGTGGACAACAACCACAACGCTGAGTCGAAACCAATCCGGAATGGAATGGATATGGGAGACGAGATGGACAGTCCCAAGATGAAGAAGAATTGGAAGAAGATTTCCAAAATGAGGATGGAAAATGTTCGCTGAACTTGGAAGAAAACTTTGAGAATAAAGAATATAGAAGTGAACTGCTTAGGGATGAAAGCTATATGATTGACAATCACTCAGGTTGCTATCTTAGTGCAAATCAAAGCAAAACAGTTTCACTTGTTGACAGTTGTGCAAATAAGTATTTGTCTAGCCATCGTTCCGATTTCAAGAAAATTAGCCACCGGCTTTGTCATATTAGTGGCACTGCTGGAAAGCGAAGTGGGAACCTAGGTAGACTAAAAGAAAACAAACTAGGATTAAAATATGGCGTACACTTTGAACACTTACCAAAAGCCATAGATCGCATTATACCGTGGTTAGGTGAAGGAAACTGTCATGAAAAGGGTTGGCAAATGAATTTCACAGAAAGTGGCGGAACGTTGTACAATACTCGCTCCGGCCGCTCTCTACCCATAACAAATTGCCCCCAGATGCAGTTACCTATTCTAGGCTGTGACATGTTTAGCAAAGAAGAAAATGAAACTGAGGAGGATATAGTATGCACTAGTATAGAAGAAGCTAGACTTCATTCACAAGCTTCAAGATTAGACATACATCGTAGACTTGGTCACTTTCACGTTGATGGCCTTAGTGTATCTTGTCCAGAATGTGATCGAACCAAAGGTCAAAGACGCTCTCATGCAAAAGTGAGACCCCCTGGACATATACCTTCTCCATTGAAAACACTTGCAATTGATTTCGCAGTTGGTATTAGACCAGTATCTATAAGAAGCAAAAGATGTGCTTTAGTCATTATTTGTGATTCGATTAAAATGTGTTTCGTTCGTCCTCTTTGCCTCAAGTCGGACTGCGTAGAGGTGATTGAAGAAGTAATAAAAGGCATTCGCCAGGACTACTCATTGTCACTCGACGACAAGGTGGTGTGGTTCATCCGTAGAGATAACGAACCCGTCCTAAGTAGTGACCATATGACCAAAGTCATGCAATCGCTACTGGTTTCGGAAATTCCTGGAGTTCCTTACAACCCAGAAATGAACGGAACTTGCGAACGTTTCATGCGGACCATTTTCGGTGCTGTACGTACCATGTTGGTCAAAGTCGACCGACGTCTTTGGTGTTACTGCTTACAGTATGCCGGAGATTGTTGGAATCGCTTACCGCATCGTTATGCAAAAATGCCAGAACGTGATGGAATGAGTCCTGTCGAGATACTAGAAAAGAGGATAGGAAAGAAGTCCTCGAAAAGTGGTCTAGGTATGTTAAGAAGATTTGGTTGCTTGGTGTACTTTCGTGAACAGGTCGTAGACACCACCAACAAGAAAGAAGCAAAGCTTGCGTCACCTTATCGGCGTGGTGTGTTTCTCGGTCTGTGTCCAGTTTCGTCTGGTTGGCTAGTAGGTACATATCACAACGATGGGAGAACGAAAGCTGGCTTCAAGTGGAGTGAGTATTCCACACTAGACGTAAAATTTCGAGAGTCGATATTAGTCAAGAACATTGATTGGCTATTGCCTACGTCGAAGGGCATTTATGTTGATTATGACCCGCTGGAAAACCTGCAGTCTGGCACGCCGTCGCTGGGTCCCGTCCTGCACAGACATGCGCTGCAACGTATGGCCTGTCAGCCGCGCTTCTCTGGCACGGAGTACAGCTCAGGCGATCCAACCGGCATGGAAATGATACTAGATAACAATGACATTGGTGAGTTTTTCTGTGAATCTTTGGACAAAGAGGAAGATCCAAAGACCGGTGATGATTCCAACTCTGACGCGCAACGCGTTGAGGAGGGGAATATCTCATCGGAGCGTGTGTCGCCTGACTCTAATCCTGAAGCAAGGGATCCGAGGACCTTACCCATTCCACCATCTCAACCAGGCAAAGTTGAGGAGGGGAAGAAAGGCCGAGGAAGACCTAAAGGGAGCAAGGATAAGAATCCAGGACAACGCAAAAGAAGAACAAAAGCCGAGCTAGAAGCATTAAGAAAAGACATGCATAAATTTGCCATGCTAGCAGGCGGGCATGAGCTGGAAGAAGGGGAGACCTTTCTCGAAGCACATGTCATGCTGTCAGTTTCCCAAGCCTTGAAAAGCCCTGACGCCGAGAAATGGCGTGCAGCTATCACCAAGGAGGAAGCTAGACTACTTGCCTTTGAGACTTGGGCGCCAGCTACTGACGAGGAGCTGCGAACCTCTTCTCAGGTAATGCCTATAGCAATCGTTCTCACGGTAAAACGTGATGGAACTTTCAAAGCTCGTGCTTGTGTGCTCGGGAATCTTGATCGTTCGGGGAATATCGACACCTACGCCCCTGTAGTGTCACATGCTGCGAATAGACTTTTACTCGTTTCAGCAGCGACGGACTCTGACTTCGTCATCCCATTCGACCTTGATTCTGCGTTCCTTAATGCTGAACTCGATCGTGACGTCTTCTGCCGTCTTCCACCAGTGTGGGCGGAGAAGCATGGAGCGGATATCGTCAAGCTTAAGAAAGCTCTCTATGGGCTCAAGGACGCTCCACGAGCCTGGTTCAAGAAGTATTGCGTGCTATTGTCCGAACTCGGATGGGAGCCGTGTCCTTCTGCTCCAGGATTGTGGCGGAAAAAGAGCAAAACGCACCCAGGAAAGTATATGAAGATGTCAGTCTATGTTGATGATAACTTAGCTACTGGACCTGACTATCACGAGTTACGGTCTGAGCTCGACCGGATCTTTAGTCGCGCCCCTGGCCGACCTATTGAGATGGCAAAGCGAGTCGATTCTCTTACGGGTTTCGAATGGCTAGAGTTCGACTTTCTTGGTGCGATTGTGCACTATTGTCGGGAAGCACGTTCAGTGAAAATCCTGATGAATGTGTACATAGAGAAGACTATACAGAAGTATAAAATAACATTAGGTAAGCCGGTGTGGTCTCCAAATTTCGACGAGTCTGCTTTGCTTGAGGAGGGGCTTAAGCTAGCAGCCGGGTTTCCATTGCGTGAGATTGTTGGCGCACTGCTTTGGATATCGACAACCGCAAGGCCAGATATTTGCGTCCCTGTGGCGACATTGGCTCGGTATGTCAGTAAGCCCGTTACAGAAAGAATTGCAAAAGCCTGTAGAAAAGTATTAAAGTATCTAGCTACGACAAAAGACCAAGGACTCTATTATTCTCCAGAAAGTGAGGAAGAATTCAACGGAATTTACAAGAAGCTCCTACCAGAAGGAAGAGAGCTACCGTATACTAACTGGTTCTCAGATGCAGGATTCGCAAACTGCATAAAGAGCATGCGCTCGACCAGTGGTTCGATTATGTACTATCGGGGCTTTCCAATCTGTTGGAAACGCAATACACAAACCGTGCGTGCATATTCAACTGCAGAGTCAGAGTATATAGCCGCGTCGGACACTATTGTCATGAGCGAGCTGCATGATTTTACAGATTTCTTCAATCCCTTACCCACTCAATTAGTGGAAACGCGGTTTGGTATATCGCCATCCCTCGATGATGCCATATTGTGGATAGACAACCAGTCTGCAATCTCGACAGCAAAGAGTGAAGACACGAAGCCTAAGAGTAGACACTATGCGTTACGTTATTTACGAGTTAGAGACGCAGCTGAGAAAGTAGTTTTCTGTCCTACTCACCTCATGAAAGCTGATGGACTAACGAAACTTTCATGCTCATCTACTCAACGCAGATTATTATTACATCACATAGAGAATCCAGTCATTAGCCGTAACCATGATGAAGATGATAGTGACTCGGAAACGGAAGATGATGAGTCTGGTTCAAGTTCTGCTTCCGTGGCGGTGCTTACCTATTCTATCTTCTTAGGGTGTTAGGTCGTTGGTCAAGTGGTGACGTCAGTGGATATAGAGAATCGTGATGGTTCTGGGTCAGAGCAGGTAACACCAGACCGTTTGTGACTTTCGTCATTTCCTCACCTAGCGATTGAGGAGGGGTGTTGGTCAATGGTCATTACTGGCTCAAGATCCAACGAACGAACCTGATTTCAATGTCAAATGACTGCTCTCACTCGTCACCTTGATCATGATCAATGCCGTTCCTTGTCTTGAACTCTTGTTAGTTCCTCCTATGATCATCGTTTGAACTCAATGAATTCCAACATGAATTAGCAGCAAGATCTCCCAGATCTTTAACTGCACTATGACCCTTCATGATATCCCAATGACATTGAACCCATTTTGATACCATTTCAGGGCCTTAAACAGTCAGTGATCATTCGGCACGTCCGTTCTGATCGTCTTTCTGTTACATTGCAACGATAATCATTCCATTTACTCTCAAGAGCCTCATATTGCGCTTGGACGTGTTCGGGTGTTCCAACAGATTACGACCTACTTTTCTTGTTGATCAGGCAAAGATCGATCTCGGTTTCTGGTAAAACTTTCGGCCTCGTTGGGAATGCTTTTCATTTTAGAAGCACAAGCTTCTAGTTATATTCTTGATGTAATAATGTTGGAATCTTACTCATGAGTCAATGTCAACTGTTATATTTCCATAATTACCACTTACAACAGAGCAAAGACGTCCCGGAGTTCTCAAGCTTATTCTTCTTCGAGTTCTTCATTAACGACGACAAGAACTACAAGTAGCATTTTTAGAGCAAATGGGCCTGGAGAGGTACCCAAAATACTGCAAGTAGGTGGGTCAACAAAGTCTTCTAGTTCTTCTACCTGTTCCGCTGGAGCTGATGAACTAAAAAAGAAACTCGGAAAGTGGAAGACCCAAGCTGACGAAACAGCGCTAGAGAATGAGGTTGAGGAGACGCGAGCTGACGCAGTAACCTCTAGTCAATTTACAACTTTCATAGGAGAGGGTGCGTCATCTTCTTCATCGAAAGGCGATCAGATAAAGCGGATATCAGCGTCGTCATCGACATCTTATGACTATAGTGCAGGAAGTATATTAGCTATGATCATGTTTCCTTGGTACAACAAGAAGTGCTCTACCGCAAACTCGAGCATCATCCGACTCATCATCATTGGGTCAAAAGTTAGTGTAAGGTACTCTTTTCTTTTCGTAGCTATATTTTCGTGCTGGTTCTAATACAAACTGGACGGTGCAAGCAGCAGCTCATCAACAAATTGTGAAGATTTATCGGCTTCACCGAGCTCTTCGAAAACCTCAAGTCCTGTGGAGCAAGAGCTGAAGCAAAGACTGTCAAAGTGGCGCGATAAGGCCGAAAACGAGGGGGAAAAGTAGTAATTATATCTTCTGTCATCTTGCTCATCTTGCACGAAGAAACAAACTATAGTGTCCACATCAGGTTTAATGGAACAGGTTATGTGTTGTTGAAGAATGGATTTAGACGAGCTTGTATCTCAAAATACGAAATTGATATCTCTATCGAAATCGTCTCCAACATCGAAGGTTCGAGTCCGTGCCTCAGCGTAGCATCGTTGACCGACGGTCAGACGATAACAAGCTCAAATCCGATGCAGCAGAGTTTGTACCTGGTGGACTCAGCGATATGCTAGGGAATGACGTGGCTGTAACAATCGAAACGGTTACGAATACTGGCGCTGCGGGAGCTGCAACGTGGACGCTAGCCAAAGTTCTGGATGGAACAGACGTCAAGAGCAGGGGCTTTACACTGTACTGCTTAATAAGTGACTTGCCTTTTTTTTTGTAGGAGCCAGACCAAGGGCCACACCGTCGACAAGGGACCCTACACCGGCCTCGGTGACGACAACAGCGGCGGCCAGACAGACGGGAAGAGCGGCAACAAGAGCGATAGCGCTGGGAAAATCGGCCGCATCGGAAAGGGTGGCTGCACAGGAAAGAGCGGCGCCACAGGCACCGGAAAGAGCGACTGCACCGGAAAGAGTGATAGCGGAAGCGGCGCCACAGGAAAGAGCGGCGACACCAGCAAAAACGGGGCGCGCCCCGGAAAAAGTGCCACAGGAAAGAGCGACGCCACCGGCTGCGCCGGAAAGGGCGACGGCAGTAGCGAGGGCACCGGCAAGAGCGGGGCCACAGGAAAGAGCGGAGACACCAGCAAAAGCGGGCACCCCGGAAAAAATGCCACAGGGAAGAGCGATGGCAGCGGCTACGCCGGAAAGAGCGACGGCAGTAGCGAGGGCACCAGCAAGAGCGGCGCCCCAGGTGGAAAGAGCGGGGACACCAGCGCGAGCAGTTACGCCGGAAAGAGTGCCACAGGAAAGAGCGACGGCAGCGGCGGCACCACAGGAAAGAGCCACGGCATTGGCTACGCCGGGCAGAGTGGTGGCACCGGCAAGAGCGGCGGCGGCGCCACAGGAAAGAGCAAGAGCGGCTCCACAGGAACGGCGGCGCCCACCAAGAGTGGCCGCACAGGGCAGAGCGATGGGGCAGGCTCAAGCGGTTGCGCGGAACAGAGTGATGGAAAGGGTGCCGGCACCGGCATCACGAGCGGCGCCACAGGAAAGGGCGACGGCACCAGCAAGAGCGGCAGCAAGACAGGCAAAGAGGGCGACGCGGCGGCGGCAGCTCTCCACGTCGTGAACGGTGGCAAGACCGGCGAGGAGAGTGGCGCGGTGACGGCAGCCGACGGCAATGCGCAGCCGAGTGGTGGCAAGACCTGCAAAGAGCGCGCCGCTACGGCAACCGACGGCGTTGCGCAGTCACCTGCCACGACGGTGAAAGCGCCGGTGGTCTCGAAGACCGGCGACACCAGCACGGTGCCAGGCAGCTCCGGTGAGCGGCAGGGGGACTCCCCTCCGACGGCAACCAAGGTGGCGCAAGCGTTGAAGCGCTTGGTCGGAGACGGGGAGACGAAAGGAGGAACGCTAAAAGCGCTCGGCTTGAAGCGGCAGCAGCAGCGGCAGCGGCAATGCACCACGAAGCGACGTCGCCAGACCTTGAAGCAGGCGTGGCCGCTGTACGCAATCGCTGAGGACGCAGGGGAGGAGGAAGGCGAAGGTGTGGCCTTCTTCGCTGGTGGATTGGTGGCGGCGTTGCGTCTCCGTGCTTCGCCTTTCGTACTGCGGGGGAAGTCTGAGGCCGGTCCAGCGGGTGGCCACGTAGCCTTTTAGGGGCACGCGGCCAGTCAGCGTGGGGGATTTTTGGGCGGCGGGCGGGTGGCGGCAGGCGATGTGCTGGGGGATTTCTGCGGACGGGCCTACTTCACAGCTTGCGACATCTTTAAAGAAACTTGCAAAGGAGTAGTGAAAGAACTATCGGCGTCAGGCTTCTTGACGTCTTTGCTGCCTGCTCCGCACACGAGCATGGTCGGCCGTGATTGATTCCGGGAGCATTTGCTGGGCCGGGGGTATTTGGTGCCCCGGCCCGCCTGCGGGGCTGTGGGGAGTCTTAGGAGATGAGCGCCGCCACTGTCAAGAAGCTGGCCACCATTCCAGGGCATTGGTGGCGAGTCTGAATGCGGGCAGTCGGCCCGCGCGGTAAAGCAAGGGGGCGGCTGGGCTTCTCTTGAGGGGTGTCCGTGGAACCTGCGACGCGGGCCCGGTAGGTTGGTGGGGGCCTTTCATTCTTGCAGGGCTTTGGTTCACTTAGCACGGCCCTGCACGTCGCTAGCGCTGTGCTTGCTTTCGCAGTGGGCTCCGCTCTTGTGTCAGTGGGTGGGCGTGGTGCGGATGCGGTGCGGCCGGGGGGTGGGCGCCTAGGTGTTCCAGGTTTGTACTTTTTTGCGCCGTTCAATTGGTCAGGACGAGAATAAATTAGTGAGTTGTGCCCTCTGTTGTCGGCAGCACTCTTCATCTGACACTCCCCAGTCGTTATTGGCATATTAATTTAGATCAAAAATTATGATCTACAGTGGCGGAGCAGCTGTGGGTGACGCGGAATGGCATTTGGAGTTGATAAATTCTGATGAAAAGTGGACCTTTTTGCGCCTCACGAGTAACTATGGAACTCCTGCGGCGGCTGTAGAGAAGGTGGACTCGACGGAGCAGGCGGACTCGTCTACGACGTTATGGGAATTTGTAAGGTCACTATATCATGGATTTCGTCGTGCAATCTTCGGCGAGTCGACTTTCTCCATCATAGTATTCAACTTGACTTCTGCAGCACCGTGTGTTTTCTGATCACTTCATAAACAGCGCTGCTCTCGTACATTATAAAGATAAAATATACTTCATTCGACCTGCATACCACTGACTTCTAACACCTCTAACCGCCGACGCCAATGCTGAACCACAAGCACAGCAACCACCAGCACAACCTCCACTGGCGCAGCCGATGCCTGATTTGCGCTTCAGTTTTTTTGCTGATAAGCAAATGTCGGTAGCTGACAACTGGACTGCTGATAAGAACGGCGAACTGGTGAAGTATTTCCGAAAGATCATCTCACCCGAGAGTCCAGTAGAAGTTGGAGTCAGATGGAAGGTACGAAATAGGTGAGGTTGAGGATGTTGGTTGATGATAAAACGCCATAGCCTCAAGTCGTATGGTATACAATTCTAACTCTAATGATTGTCGAGTATTGCTCGTCTCTAGCTCCACGAAATAAAATCGCTTTGTGTTGAAGATACTCCTGATTTGTGTCATCCTTGTTACGAAAATGCTAGATGTTGATACAGTCAGAAGAAGCCTAAGATAGCTTCGCGCATCAACTGACCTACTGTGAATATGAGTCATACAATCCCAACCACTTACTTTTGCCGCTCTTCATTTGTCAATAGAGAATCCGTCTCGACTGTAATCTATGATATCTTTCCTACACGAGTAACAGAAAGCAGTAACCGATAAGCAAGAGAAATATCTTAATGTTAATCCGTCTCTCGTTGCCGTTCCGTCTGAAGAGAACTGTAGTGACAAGATGAATGCAGCCAACCCGATATTAAGTACCGACTATCATGCCACCACAAAGTCGTCCTGTTTCCTCAATGCCCTAGATCTTCTGATTCAACATTCTACTCAGCTGACTGTAATATCTCCTACACCTCCTACAAACCGATTAGAACTACCAACCTACCGTTCAGCCATAGCTCATCATGACTGTGGACTTGCCTCATCAATCTTCAAGTAATCTCCAAAGTTCAGTAGTCTGTCCATCATGTTGCCTACAACACATACCTCTAAGGAAATCAGTTTCACCTATACTACTTTCGCCTACTTGATGTACAAATGAATCACTCCAAGACTACGTGAGAACGCCGCTGTTTCAGAAAATACAACGCGTCTCTGTCTAGGACTTCGCCAAAGTCATGACAAATGTACGAAAAAGAAAGAAGCTACCTTTCGAGGACGAACATAGCGTCTTCACACTCGGAGTGTGTTCTGCGTACTGTACAGATATTAGTGGCGGAAGAATGGATTGTGTCTGCCATGACAGCAATGCTAAAACACACGGGGTCCACTTTTGTGCAGTCCTTTAACAAGGTAAGTACATATCAGAGCTAATCGGAGTTGAGTACCAAAAACAGTCGCTATAGGTCTCAGAAAGAGCACCGCTTTGCAGATTCTCTGGTTCGATAGAACTACAAGTAAGCTTGTCTTTTTGTGCCAAGGAGTGAATCAATACTAGCTACTGGGGTTGTTCTGGATTTCAGCGTACTACGTCAGAGACAGAGTAATTTAAAAGAAACATTCTTTGAAAAGAAGATGAAGAGCATCATGCTCCTGGAGAAACGACCCACTGGTCCACCACGGAAAAGGAGACGCTAGCCACGATGCACTTCGCTACACGCTGCGTGAGAGGCGCGCCTTCTCCTGTAGTATCGTCTGAGAGACGAGCTGCTACAGGAGCTGGATTCGGATGAAAGGTTGTGCATGGAAATGGCCTGCAGTGGTTTACAGATGCGGTGCGCGGGATATCGAATCTCGAGTTTTTCTTTTTCAGTCTTCCAAGAAACTCTCTGTTTCCCTTGCTCTTTCGTCCGCGCAATTCGACGGATGTGGCTACACCAGCGACGTCAGAGGGAGTGTGGGCACCGTTACAGGTACGGACGCCAGGGCGTAGCGCATCGGAGCTGTTCGACGGTGACTACAAAGACAGGCTTCTTTGCGACACACGCAAGACGACGTTTGACGAATGGTTTCACATGCCGCTGCTAATAACATCACAGGCCACTAATTCGTTTTACCTGTTACCGAATCAATTTCGGCGACGCTTCACTGCCGATCGCGTAGCACAGTTCCGAGTCATAGCATCAGAGCCTCATCATTTGCAAACGGATTTGGAGTCTAGAAATGCAGAAGACGAATCTGGATGCGCTGCTCGTGATGATGAGCGTGGAGCTGAGGCGGAATTAACATCAACATGTAGCGTTCCCCTGAGTAGCGCTTGTGGCAGATTTTCATCTGAAGCTGCGTGCGCATTATCGGATCGCTTGAACTCCGTCTGGGCATCTTCGTATTGTTCGGTGAGGAATGGCGCCAGAGCCAGAAGCGAAGGTGGTGAAGTCGACATCGCTAGGGCAACGCTTGTGAGGCCGTTTCTTGAATGGATGGAGATTGCCGGGGGCACGACGGAAGCCTACAAGAGAAATAGAAAGCTGCTTGCGCGCGCTATGAGCCTACCTGTCCTTGACTCCATGACTTTTCCTGTGGAGACGCATCTAGCTGGACGTCACTACAACGCTAAGCTGTGTGGTCAGCGCGTGTTGTGCCGTTCTTTCAATCGCTTCAAACCCGAAGATCCTCGATCTGGGGCTCAATTGTCGCTGTACAAATACAAGAACGGCCAAAAATATCCCTTCGACATCGATGAAGACGCTGTCGATTTGTTTATTTTTCTCCTTGGTGACCGGGAAGACGAAGATATTCTTAGATATGTCGCGGTGTTCCCGCAGCACGTGCTTTATCGACATGGCCTGTTGGCCGGCCCACAACACAGAGGCATTAGGCAGCCGTACCTAACGTGGGCGATTGGAACTGATCAGGCCAACTCCTCCTCTTTTCCCAGTAGCCGTGGGTTCGAATTCTTTCGCGCCACCGGAAAGCGTTTCGGTGGTTTATCATCCTACTTTTTCGAAGTGAACAGACGAGGCATAGACAAGATAAATCGTGACTCTGAGCTCGGAGGTAAATTTGAACAGTTCTTCCACAGAATCCTAGATGAGCATCTGAAGCAGACCAGAGTTTCGCACTCAGCATGATTACTTTTTTTGAATTTTTTTTGCCTGAAGAACTTGTACAGTGTACAGCAGAGCACTTTTCTCTTCAAGAATTAATTTTGATGACAAAGAAAAGGGGACCACTAAGCAGGAACAGAGCGCTGACCAGATGTTGCTAGAGTATCAGCTCTTCGGTGTTCGCGGTGCAAGCTGTAGCTGCTTCAAGAGAACTTTGCTGCCGCCTGCTTGCGAGGGAGGCGCATCCGCTTTAAGGCTCAACTTTCATTGGTCATAGAGGTTGGTCACTGAAATCGAAGTGGGCCCCCTTGAGAGAACAGGGGAAAAGTGAGGGAAAACCAGTAGAGAGATGTGGGGCCCCTCCCGTTCAATGTCAGTGACCAATGACTGCTGACCTTTAACTGCTACAGTCGATTTTCTTCTAGATCCTACGGTGTGATCTGAGTGTGGAAGACAACAACCACATGATTACAACAGCTGACTAAGAAACTTTTCGCTATCATAATTTTAAAGTTGTAACTCGAAAGTCAATCAAAAGCAAAACCAGCACCAGCAAACGAAAAATATGCCTTCGCCCGCCTTTGCTTTTGCAGAACTGATAGGTTCTGTTATCTGCTACGGTGTCATGTATGCTCCAGCTCGCAAGTACCGGCAAACCGATGGTGTCATATTTCAGTTCATCATGTCTTTGGGGATTTTGGGTGGAGGAGTGGTTCTACAAGCAGCTGTCACTTTGTGGTACAACTCTGTGGATCCTGGCTGCAGTAGTCTTGATGTTCCCCATCAAGGACAACATGCTGACCAACCAGGAGCACAATCTTCGACTTTTTTATCCGCATCAAGTGCAAGCGGACCTCCACCTTTTCCACTACTGCCACTAACCTCTACGACGTCAAGTTCTTGTTCGGCTCCGATGCGACATCTGTTTTTCATCGTGCCTTCGGGAGTACTCGGCGGGTTTTTCTGGAGCGTCAGCAACCTTTGCGTCCTCGTTTCGGTAGGCACTAGTGGTACTTAGTATCCATAGTGTGGTAGTGGTACTTCTTAGTTAGTATGAATACAATAAGTATCCATAGTGCTCCTGTCTGCACTTATGTGTTTTCGTCTCAGTAGCACACGATGTCGGGACTTGTTTTTTTTTTGGGTGTGCTTAAGCCTACTTTTGCCATTTGAACAATTTTTATGTTTCTTCAGCTTTGTTGATGTTGGACTCCGATACATTTAAGTGATAAAGTAAATATTACAACATGTTGGTGCATGTCGTGCATCCGCTGCACTACTATGTCATACGGATACGTGTGATCTCCATTCAACACGACAGGTAAAGCTCCTCGGTCTCGGTGTTGGTTTCACTTTATATCATGCCATAAATCTGCTTATCGGGTATGGGACTGGCCGGTTCGGCTGGTTCGGAATTCCTAGGGAAGAGCGGACAACAGTGCAAGACGTAGCGCAGCTAGTCAACGTCGTGGCGTTTGTGTTGATAGTGTTCTTATGATTATATGGTCACATTGTATAGTTATTTCTAAGTAGTCACATTTATTATAGCCATGTCTAGTGGTGGTCAATTATGTATTGCCACCGGGTGTAGCTAGCCATGCACATGCTCCTAATAGAGCGCATTTAGTGCACCGAGGAATTTCCACTACACGACATTTCCTTATCTCCTTTCATACCCTGTGGAAACTACGTCGACTGAGGCAGAACGACGACTTAGCCAGCAAAGTGGTGGATTACCTTCTCCAGCTGCTTCGCAGACCACTGACACCGAGCACGCCTGCCGCATCCCGGTGCATGAAGGCACAAAGGGAAAGGGCACAACGACTTCGCCTCTGCTGTCACCGGCGAGTCAGGGAAATGTAGGGTTGAAGAAAGAAGATGCTAAGACCAGAAGTGCTAAAGACCATGGTAGTTGTACTTCCGGAGTAGAGCTCACGAATAAGAGCAAAATCATGAAAACTACTGGAACTCCTGGCGCCTCAGCGTCGACTTTTTCTTCGTCGGCTCCTTCTTCCTCAGCATCAGCGATCACAAGCCTTCCTGCACGTTCCTCCGCATCTTCTTCGCTTAGTACAACTAGTAGAGATCATACTGATAGTGATACCCGTGATAGAAGGGTCGTACGAAAGACCCTCGGTGCTGGAATAGGCATTCTGGCAGGCCTCTTTTGTGGTGTGAATCAAGTGCCGTTCTCATTGTGGAACCACAGAAATCCCGAAATTCCAGTCCACTTGTTCACTTTGTCTCAGGCCTTGGGAATCACACTGACAGGGACAATAGCCATGCTGTGTTACTATTTGCTGCTGACATATGTCGCGCCGGATCCGGGGATGGGGAAAGTACTAGTCTTGAAATACGTGTGTGCGTCTACGGGGAACGGGAAAGTGCTATTCTTGAAATACGTGTGTGCGTCTAGTACAATTAGACTATCTATTCGCAGGGTAGTGACATGAATACAACCTACAATCTAGTCCCGTCATCCTCATCATATTCACTGCCGATACCACAAGCACAACTTGGAACCATCAGCTCCCCTCGTCATATTCACTGCCGATACCACAATCACAACCTGGAACCACCACCTCCCAGGTTCTCGGCTTAGTCAAGCCTTCGCAATTATCCAAAGTTCCACCTATCCAAGTCGCCGTCGTGCCTGGACTTCTATGGGTGAGTGGTTTTTTCCTTTCGCTAGATGGCGTTGCGGAGTTCGGATTGGGTGTTGGTTACGTCCTAACCGCAGTCGGGCCTGTGGCTGTGTCGGGTCTAGTGGCCACGTTGGTTTTTGACGAAATTCAGGGCACACACGCAAAAGCCTACTTTTGGACTGCAATAGCTTTGATGACGTGCAGTCAGATTGCTTTGGTGGCTGGGGGAAGTTGATAAGATGAGAAGGACGAGGAGTCTTATAAGATTCATGTGATTTTTGAAGAAAGCTTGCTATGTATCATCAACTTTTTTTGAAAATGTAAAATGGTCCGACTACGCTAGTCTAATGAATGTATTATTAGTAAACCAAGTAGTACAAGAGCACCGTGCGCTCGTTTCGAGGTTCAGGAAATTTCAATGAATAACGCAAAGAATGGAAGTCTTTAAAACATCTTCAAGTTCTTGTAACATATGTCTAGATAACGGAGAATTCTTACGCCATGGGGGTTGACGTTGATTTACGCGAAGAAGTACGCATTTTGGTATGCCCAAAAACCTGTGCAGTCGCATGCCTAGAGACCGATTTGAAAATTGTTTAGTACTTCTAAAAACCCTCCCACGAAGCCTACTTTTTAATATGATGTGCATTTTCATACGCCATAGTGTGGGGCTCGTTGAGAAGGATCCACAACCCAACCTGACCTAGTGCTGCCACGAGCGGGGTGTGGCTTTGTTGTGATGACCTGACGGTCCTCGCAGTGTTGCTTTTAGCATGCTGGTAACATTCGGTGTAGCCACTGATGTTGTGTTAAGTGATGGCTCTTTCGAAGCGGCTTGTTGGAAAAATGGAAAAAGAGTTCCGGCGTTTCTCAGATCAGCTAATGTGACTGAAGGATGCTGAAGATCGTGCTTACAAATAGCGATCACGACTACTACGGCAAAGCTGCCTGCAGGATCCAAAAAAGAAAAATATGATTCGTATTCGTGTCTGACCTTTTTGTTAACAAAGACCGTCAAAAATGAGTGCGACCCACCTCAGGACGACTGCTGCAACGAGCAGCGCTTCTGTGCTGCACCGAGCGGCGAGACTCGCGATGCCAGCTGTGGAAGCTGTGGCGTCCTTTAAACCAGCGTTTTCGGTATATGGAAAAGCTAACGTGGATTCCGAAGTGGATGCTATCATAGAGAAAAATGGTGTGTTTGAACTGCTAGGCCACGGTTGGGCTCGGGCAAGTAGTTCAAGCACTACCATCAAGCGCCGTGACCACGATGTTTTTGAGGGGACGAGGGGTAAGATGGCAGCACCTTCACGAGGGCCACGAGAGAGCAAGGACTTCTACTTGCGTGCTAGTACAACAGAGGAGAGCAAGTCCACAGAAACTTTACAGCAACAGGAGAGACCAATTATATTGCGAGCACAAAGCCTAAGCCCGTACTATGAGTCAGTACGGGAGTTAGCGGCAGATGTGGAGCTCTTTCGTAGAAGCAGGACGAGCGAGTATCTTCAACGTGTTGAAGCAGAAGATCACTTCGGACAACAACAAGGTCAAGAATGTAATCCATCATACACAGTAGACCCACAAGCATTAGCCCGCTGGGCAGAGGAGGCCTGTCGCTTACGTTTCCGAGATGTTGCTTTTTGGGATTCTATGTTGAAGGAAGTGAGGAAATTAGAAGTGGGAGGCTCTGAGAACCTAGAAGTGGACTCAAAGCAGTCTACCGAGGGAACGGTATCTCTGGAAGATCAGCCTCACGAGTCCGAATATCTTAGACTCCCTGGAGGAGGTAGACGGACTTCGACATCAACAGATGTGGAGGATTATACAGCAAATTATCCGAAAATAAACAGCACATCCACATCATCTACATTCACATCTTCCGGCTCGTCTACGTGGTCAAGAAGAAGGACCACTACAACTACAACATCGAGTTTAAAAGCTACCGAGCTAGTTCGAATCTTGTGGGCTTGTCATCGAGTTGGCTTTCTACACATACGAATCCTAGAGATTCTAGCTGCAAGATTGGGCGATAGACATGCGTTTTTTCGGGAACTGGATTTTCGAGAACTCGCAAGGCTGTGTCTGGTAGTCGCAAGGACCCGAGACGAGTGTCTTCTACAGGGGAAAAGCACATTGGATCTTGCAGAGATGATTGCAAGTTTAGTTGGAGGAGGAGGTGCTGGGATGAAAGCGAAGAAGGACAATCCTTCTGTAGGAGCTAGAGGTGCATTGGATTATGGAAGGCCTTCGAGTTCGGCGTCCGCCTCCACCACGTCTGCAAGCATAAGCACGACAAGAAGTGGAGTACAAACTTGCGAAAGAAGTGGTAGCAGTAGTCGTGAGCAGCCATGTGGCTCAAAATCGACATCGTCCTCCTCTTCATCGCCATTTTTGCAGACTCCTTCTCTGGCGTCCTTGGTTCGATCCACCACGAATACATCAGCTGTAGGAGAGATTGAAGGAGGAGCAGGTGTGAGCAGACAGTTCTCAACTTTTACAACTTCGTGGAGTAGAGGAATGACAAGGAAAGGCTACAACTATAAGCCCTTGATGACAATGACATCTTGGCCAATAACTTGGAAGAGCCTCGTTGTTCGCGCTTTCACCACCATCACGATATCCGACAAAAAACAGAAAGCGGAACCAACAGACGACCAAGTGGCCGACCATGTACTGTCAAATAGAGGAAAAGGCAAGATGAACGGAGAAGGATCTGGCCCCTTTGCTCTTGGGGCTTCAGCTAGGGATGGGAAATTGAAAAAAATGAGGATGGAAAAGAATTTCTTAGCGCAAGAATTGAAAGACGAAGGAAATCAAGTTTTGACGCGGATGTTCGAGAAAAAGAACCAATTACGGGCTTTGTCTGAGGAGATACTTGCTGCTGTGGTGGAGACACTGCGTAGGAGGGAATTGCCTAGTGGTAGTGCTGTTCAGATGGAGTCAGCTAGTGGGCAAGAGCAATCTTCATCTTCGAATCGAAGATCGCGATTGCGACCGTTGTTTGCAAGCTCTTCCGACGTTGGTGAGGAAAGTCGAAATCCCTCTTCACGAATGTTGCCGTCAGATATTTCTTCTAGTGCGCGCAGCTCTACATCACTCACATTCTCCACGACGCAGTTACAACCTACTAAAAAAAGCGAGGAACAAATAGATGAACTACGCACAATTATGCTTGGTCAAGCTCGAGATTGGATACACCTGCTGACTGGTCTCACATTAGTAGACGGTCTGGCTAACGATTCGCAGGATCTTTTTCATCGTGGAGGTCGTTTTCTTGCTGTTTTTTTCCGGAGATCAACTTCTCACCGCTTACCACCCGGGGCAACTTCGCTGCTTCCCGAAGTAGTCTCAATCTATGCCCGTGCACGCATGAGACACACTGAGCTACTCGATTCAGTGTGTGATGCAGTGGTTTGTGGCTCGGTGCCAGTGACAAATATGCAACTAGACATGTTACGGATTCAATTAGGCCAACTGCAGTACAAGGACGAACGCATTGAAGAACTTTGGAGTTGTAGGGTCCTGCCAAATAATTGAGCACGCTGCTCGTTGATAGTCTACTTCGCATCTTTCGTCCATCTGTGGAGGCATGACTCAGCCTCCAGTTCAAGAACTGAAGACCGAGTATCTATCTTCAGGAAAGAAGCAAGATTTTCGATCAGACGGATGAGTCTCGTCTCCAGTCGCAGAGTGACGAAGTACAGTAGAGGCAACTCTGAGAATCAATCTGTTGAGTCTTCATCTTCTAGATTTTCTGTGGAGCAGTTAAGGAGAGAAACACTCGTAAAGAGAATGTGGCTTCTGTAGAGAGCATTCGGATCTGTTGGAGAGGATGAAGAAGGAGAGTCTTCGATGTTATTGGAATTGGACCCAAGATTTATCTGTAGGCGGAAGAGCAGTGTACATAATCTGTTGCATGGGTAGAAGCATGTATTGCGGTTGAGATGAGGTGAGATTTATAATATCATGCGGATCACCAAGAGTCGTTCTCACATATTATCAGTCATTCCATCAACCTTCTATCACAGCACCATCAACCTTCCATCGCCATCCAATACCCACCAGTCAGGTTAATCATGTCCAAACATCCCGTATGGACCTGATCTCTCTTGATTTACCAAACTAAAACCCTGTATTTCATCTTTCTTGAATTTCGAACAAGACCACCAAGACCTAGGTAGGAGTGAAGAAGAGGATCTGGCTTACTCATCTTTATCAACATTCTTGAGCGGTAGAGCAGAAGATGTCGGACACCAGGATCCAGATCAAGGATGACGGCCCTCTCAGAGGGTCAGGCGACTCGATTGGCATGACCGTTTTGAAGGTCTTTCCCTACGTCACTTAAGGCTCCCCGGAATCTTCTCCCATTTTGAAAAGCACCCATCTTGGGGCACGCACCCCTCTCAGGGATAATCTATCTCTCTTGGGGCGCCCCTCTCAGGGATAGTCTCAGGGTCCCCAAGATGACTTTCAAGATGGAAGATGCGAGGAAGATCTAAGTCACGTTTACCTACCTCACCGTGATGGGGGTCTTCGAGATTATCAATCATGTACCGTTAAGGCAACGAAACATATCCAGAAGTAGTAGAAGTAGATCATGCAACTCTGTCACCACTCCATCCTGTTTTGAAATGATTATTTAATTGTCGAGATGAAAAGATTATGCACACGACTCTCTCTCGCCCTAAGCATTCTGGCACTTATCTCACGCTTAACCCGTTTTGCATAGGTGGCGTGTTTTGATTTTTTGTATTTCCAGTCCGACGTGTTCTCTTGTGGTCTCGAACTCCACCACTTCGTTGGAACCCAGCAAACGAGTCACTTTTTCTCTAATGTGAGCCTTCGAGTGTCGTGCGCACAAAGTCAGAGTTACCAAGGCAGCTGAAGGGGTTAGCATCCCAGCAAAAGCGAGAGTGGTGGACCTGCACAAGTACTCCTCTGCTTTTAAGAGTAAGTAAGCTTTACTAGGTGTTCCTCCTTCGCTCGGCCGTTAGTTTTCTTGCTTCTCTCCAACGAAATTAGAGGGACGAAACTCTTCTGTGGAGCCTTGTCACATCGATTCATCCTGCAGGTAGAGGCAATAGATCTATCAAGGGTGCACAGAATAGGGAGTAGAGCAAAGGCATAACATTTATAGGAATAACTTACGGGGTAAGTAGCAGCGAATGCGAACACCAAATATAAAACCCTACCACCTCTAACTCCTCTTCGGGGTATCAAAAAGCGACCCACCAAGTTGGGACTCTGACTCCGACGTGGTGCCTGGCCGATGGAATCATGACCCGCAACGCCTTCTTGAGCATGTTCGTTCATAACGGCTTTGTCATTAAGGTCACAGAAGGTAACTCCTCTTCAGCAAAACATTCTCAACACAAATACAAAAACACATTATCTGCACTGAAGACGTATATGACAAGCCCTTCAAAGTGTTGGGTCTGAAGAGTATTTTTAGTGTTCTCCTACGTGAATCAATAATTTTTATTGAATCATGTTACTCGTCTTAAACTGAAGAATGTTGCAGACCATCAAATTCAAAGAGGAAAAATACTGGTCTTAGATGAAAGTCCTAGGTTCATCTTATTATTGAACAACAGCTCGTCTACGTCTTAGATGGACTTTGATGGACTTTCTTAGTCAGGCTTAATAGAGCTCCAAAGGTGAAAATAATTGATTGAACAACACCTTTTCTCTTCCTCTTCTACATGGAGTGGGTACATTCATTCAGTCATTCAGTCATTCACTCACTCATTCTACATGATCAGGTACCTCCTCTACCTCCTCTACCTCCTCTACCTCCTCTACCTCCTCTACCTCCTCTACCTCCTCTCCCTCTAATGTTAGTCACTTCTTGCCGCATATTTTGATTTTGGCTTGGGCAGCGGTGATGGTGGAGATACGCATCGCGTATCAGTTGAGCATCCATCGTCGAATGAACGGTGCAATAGCACCAGCGTGCTTCCTGGTTCTCATGGTCGGCATCCTCTTTTGCGGAGCTGGATGTCGCGTCATCGCTTACACTAAGGCTACATGTAGTTGACCCTTCTACTCTCGACAACTATTCTCCAGCAAATGTTTCTGCTCTCGGTCCTCTCGACTAGGACTATAATTCTCCAGCAGAGAAATGTTAGAGGTAAGTAGTTTAATAAGTTTTTCATGTCTCGCTAGGACCTCCTATGCAACACGAAGCAATCGCGTGACGTGTTGCATTTTTTTAAAAACTTTAGTATACTATTGCAAACAACAAATGTAAGTAGATGAATTATCCGTCTTGGTCCTCCCGCATCATGATCATCAATTCAAATGACGTAGCTTCCACCTACCCCTTCTACACCCAGACCTAAACCTCTACAACTTCTAATCTTCAAATGAACATACCTAGCGCGAGCCAAGGGGTGTTCGTCTGGCCTGAATATGAGAAAACTTTGCACCATTTGGCTAAGCAGGATGGCTACAAAACGGAGGACATGTTTCTCCAATGGTTGAGGCACTCTCTGACCGAATTTCAAGTGCCAACTGGTATTCTCGCCGCAACTTGTGGCTCTGGCGCTGTCTTTTGTTAAGGCTTCTTAGTACTATTTGCTGTATATAAGTAATAATTGATCTTTTTGATTCAACATCTTGAAAAGGAACCAATCACGAAGAAACAGCTTTCTTCTTGGCATGATAGATTGGTCCTCGTTTCTCTTTCTCTTTAATAAGGGACGATAGGGATAGGGACCCGGAAAACCAAAACTGTTCTAAAATGTGACTTTACAGAAGTTTCAGTTTCATAGTTGAAGACGAACATCAACTTCAGCATGAATCAACTCATATATATGGATCGATAGATGAATATTTATACAATCAACTTGAGTCAGCCTGTCAGCCCACTGCTCTCTAATTTGGTCAGTTCGGCGTCTTGTTTTTCATGCTGTTCTTTATCTTTCCAAGCGATCCGTTCTACCCTGTTGCGCTTTCCGGTTCTTCTATTAAGACAATTGGAGCAATGTGCACCCTCCTCAGCATCATTATTGTCCTCGTCCTAATGGCGTGGAGGTCTTTTTCAAGGGGAAAAAGAAGGCTGCTTGTTCTATCTCTGGATCTGTACTTCGTCGTCCCGCGGATCATGATTTTTACTTGAGACCACCACGCGAAGGAATTAAGAGCAACTTCTCCGAGGATCATTCATGTGACCCTCAAAGAGAAAGATGCGACGCGGTAGCTCTAATTCTAGCGCCGCTAGGTCCTCCACTCCAGCCGTTGGCGCAAATATGATTAAGGCCCTAAGACTCAAGCTCATAATCTTTGAGCTCTCATCTCAAAGAGTGAGAAAATCGGACATGAGGGAAATTGCATGATTAAAATTTTCCTGCCTAGATTGAATCATAGACGAGGGCGGAAAGGATGGACTTAAGTTGGTCCTCCATCTTTGTGGTGAGTTATCATCGTGACGAAACACTACGACGCCCGAAGGCAGTCTGCACTGAATTTTTGCGAGATTCGTCGTTGCTTGTAGTGAGTTCTTATATTCACTACAAGATGATCATGGCCATTGTCACTGAATCCGACCTCCTAGATAGATTGAGTCAAGTACAAATTGCATGTTCCTGGAACACACTTCTTCTAATATTTTGAGTGTTAAACTTTCGGTGTCTGGCTTCGACAAGTTTGAGAAAGAAGGAGGAGGTGCAGACTTGTTGGGAGAGGGCGAGGCTTCTCCTGATACTGAGGTATTAGCCACTGGGGATGGTGTGGTGTTATGGCCAGGAACTCTCACACTTTTTCTCACATTTAAACGAGCAAACTTGACATAGCAAGAGTGGAGTATTCCATTTAAAGAAACGAGTAAACTTGACATAAGAGAGTATTCTCGAATATAGGGTAGGGGTTTAGGTCCGGCGACGCTGAGAGCACATATTGAAGAAAAATAACCGGGGGTTAGCTTTCCATCATGTAGTCCTAGGCGCCTTATCCCACCACGCAAAAGCAATTCCGAAAATTTGAGACTAGATAGAAATTCTATTCTTTCTGGAGGTCACTGCTCTCTAATCTGAATTCGTTCGGGAGAGGATGAGCCTTCTACCGCAGTCGGTGGAGGAAAGGTCAAGAGGGTGCGCGCTGGTGCTGAGGGCGAAGCTGACGAAGACGATCTCGATGGTGCGGATGAGGAGTTGCAGCTGAATTATGCTCAGATGAAGATTCTCTTTAAATTGTACTCTTTTAATCCGCAGTATGATTTTTCACTAGAAGGTTTCTGAGTCATTGTTGAAGTTCACTCTGTTGCCTCAAGGACTAGTCAGTGCATACTGATACTGTGTGTTATTATTTGTATCCATTATTTAGAGAAATCTTCAAATAAGTCACTGCTTAGTTTTTCCCTCGTAGCTCCTCCTCTCACCCTTCATGATTTAATATTTGAGATACTTCTGTTATCTAAGTACTTGAAATATAACCTTTTTTTCTTGTCTTTGTTGTAGTTAGGTGCAGCATGCCCCACCTCCAGATCTGTCATTCTCATTGTTGTTCGCTTCTCTTCAAGTGTAAGGGACTAGTTAATTCGTATCCATCATTCTCATGAGCAGGTACTTTTTCGATGGTTTATTGCCCTCTTGTTCTTTCCATATTAGAAATAACTTCTACTAGAAGATGCGATCTTCTCTCTCAGCACCTCTCACTCTCAGCACTTCTCTCTGCACATCAACCTATGATCTCTAACATGATTCTGCGACTTTTTTGGCTGGCGATCAATCTGCCTATATGAAGTCTACCTCTACTTCGGCTGGAGGAGGCGCAAGTCCGCAAGTGCTACAGATCGTCTACATTGTGATTCACTCGATTGGCGGGTTGCTTCTGCCGTTGTTCTTAAGGCTGAAATGTTGTGAATTGATTTATTGCCTTTGATATTCTACTTCTTTGGCGCCGATGGGTTGACTTTGGTATTCTACTCTCACCTCTTTCTCACTTATTGAGTTGTAGTTGTTTTGATGGATATACTAGCTAGAACTGAACGGACGACTCGCTGTTCTACTCATTTTCCTCACTTCTTCTTACCTCGTCCTCACTTCCTCGTCTCACCTCTTACCCCAACCCCATCCTCTAATGTCCCTCGACTTGGTAATGTTTTTGGTGAGTTTCAGCGGGATTACGGCTAGTCCTTCCAGCAACATCTTCATCAGCCAGACGATCAGCGTTGCCTTCGGCTTCATTTGGGCAGGTCTTCTCTTCGTACTAGTCAAGTTCGTCTTACCCAGCAACGCGAAAGAACACGTGCGGTAGAAGGATACTAGTAGTGCTTAGAAATGGGCACACGAAGACGAAGGGTGCGTTACTTAGAGGGATACTAGTAGTGCCCAAAAAAGGTTAGTAAAAGATGGCTCTAGTTCAGAGAGGGATACTAGTAGTGCCCAAAAAAGGGTAGTAAAAGATGGCTCTAGTCTAGAGATGAGCAATAGTGCCTAAAAAAGGGTACACTAAGACGACGGATACTACTAGATAGTCGTGCCTAGTAAACATAAACAAGGGTGCTTACACTACAAAGACGACAGGGAGGAACAAAGATGATTGAGAAGTCACTTACTAAGATGTTGTACAAGATGAAAGGACTTCAACTTGAAGTTGAAAAAATCAAGGATCATATGATCTTTTCGCACGAAGGACATGGAGTGAGCTTGTGCATACAACTCACTCCACGTAGTAGTTAGAAGTACCTGTAAGAAATTCTGGGAGTAATCATAAGCAAAAAAAGATGAACATGAACAGTACAACGTATCATCCAAGTATTATCACAACTGATAGCTAGTATCAGATTTCGATTTACATACTGATTTACAACGAAGACAAATCATGAAAACTACGACCACTATCTAAAAAAACAATTAACTACATCATGCCTCTTATTCTTATCAATAGTTGGAGGTTTAAACCATTCGGATTCACTGAGAAATTGAAAATATTAAGCTTAATATGCTTACAGGTCTCGTAGTATTGCTAAATGCTGCCGCTGCTACCTTCTCTCGTTTTTGTTGTTACTGACCGAAGTACATCGTGTGTGACCTTGTCTAACTTGCTAGATGTCAGAAAGTAAAATTAAGGGTAGGCTAAAGGTGCTTTTCTTACCGCTTTTTATGCCTCTCTCCCTTAGGATGAGAAAGGCATAACAAGCGGGGTAAGCGAGCACCAAAAACCTACCTCTAATAAAAGTAAAAATGGGGTGCTACGATACTTTGGATACAAGAACGCTGCGGGACTAGAGGCGGGACATTGTAGTTGTACAATCAGTCAGTCTTCCTACCTCCTCTTAGACGTTGAGACGAAGCCCAATCCCTATCCGGTTTCGGCAGCTAATGAGCGCTATGCGCCGTCCAGTGCGAGCACCGAGCAGTCAGTTTGCGTCGGAGCCCACAATGGTCGGAAGTGATTGCAGTATCAAATGAAGAAGAAGAATTTTTCGATAATCACACCAGAACTTTGGAAGGGCTTGGGCCTCTCACATAGCTGAGAAAGGCTTAGGTTCAAACGTATTAAGAGAACTCAGTACAACGACCAGCACCGTTGGTTGAGTAGTTGTAGAGGTAGCTGCAGCGGTCTTGAGACATAGTAGAAGGAATATGAAGCATGTGGTTGTAGAAGTCTCAATAAAGAATGTATACTATATGTTTTTCAATATTGATGTCCGTATACTGACAACGCTAAATAACTAATTGAACTAAGACACTCGATTATTATCATCCGTTTACATCTTCTTGCATTACCATTACAGAATTCACAGGACACCAGATATTACGAAATTTTACTCATGCAACAATATAGAAATGAGGTAAAAATTTGCTTTCGCTACAGCCTAATATTTCTAGCATAGGAAAATGAATTCATGAATCACATTCATAATAGAAGAAGATCGAAGATCAACGCAACGCTGTAGAGAAAAAATCATGCAGAACAAGTAGAAGCTGCATTGGAGGCGGAGGCTAAAACCTTTAGAAGATGCAACTTGAAAATATTGATGGGATAAGGATAAAAACAATAGAAAAGACGAACATCAATGAACATATTCATATTACTTGTACATACTTATGGATCTTGAGCATGATTTATGAAATTGGTCATCATACTACGACCGCCACGCCCGTGTTGCCATACAGATAGGGAGTGAGAAAAAGGTGTTCCGAACTTGAGGACGATACTGCGATTGACTTCTAACGTACGCGTCTGTCTGTGAGTGTTCGGTCCTGTCTTTCGTCACGTATTTCAGGAGCAATATGCCATCCTGCTGCGCTCTTTCCTCTGCCTCTACTAAATGGCATTTTCTCCTACCACTCAGAAGCTGTCACTGCGTGATGTTGTGAAACTGCTGCGAACATTGTTACAATCTATTATTTCTACATCTTCCTCTGTTGAAAAAAATAGCGTTTGTCGCCTAGAACTAGAAGTAGCCTTGCCCTTGTCTCACAGAGCCTATTTCTTCTGTGAAGATACGCTTCTTCTTCAGCCAGGAACTACAAAGTACAAAAAATCGAACCTTTTGTCTCTTAAAAAAAGTCAAATTCCAAAAGAATTTCAGACTTTTACGGTGTAAGATCTCTTCGATCCACCTAAATAAGACGAAAAGAGTCAATTGTTGTCTTCTACATCTAGAACTCGTCGAAATCGAATAAGCTAAAAGATGAGGTCTCGCGAAATCAAACGGTGCCTGGCACTGTCTGTTCTTTTGATCTACCAGGGAACGACTGGCGCTTTTGCTCTGGCTAGCGGACGTGCCAGTGCCAGCGGAAGTGCCAGTGCCAGCGGGGGTGCCAGTGCCAGCGGAAGTGCCAGTGCCAGCGGAAGTGCCAGTGCCAGCGGAAGTGCCAGTGCCGCTATCACGACTTCAAGTAGTTCGACGAGCGGTCGCGGCAGTATTGTCCACGAGGAAGCAACCTCTACTAGCACTAGCTCTACTACTATTTCGAGAACTGCAAGCACTAGGCGTGGTAATGCAAATTTTTTGACTTCTGTACGTGAACGCGGATATCATGAAGAACCTCCATTGTGCAGATCTGGAGAGGGAGACTATGCGCAAGAACAGCAAGAACCCAAGAAGCACATACTTCTGTCAGCAGTCCCAGATGAAGTTATTTTTCATCGAATTGCTGTTGGGGAAGACGAGCGGTCGAGGATGGGGGCTGCCGCGCCAGTCCCAGCAGGACAGGAGAGTGTAGTAACGAGCGGAGAGATTGCAGAGGCGCTTTTCAATTCGTTGGGACATCTATTAAGGGTAGTTTTTCAGTATCCCATGTGGACTACGCTGAGTGGGCTCATCCTGAATTTGGAGGGGAAGCTAAGGGGCAAAGAGGGCAACCGACTCGACTCGGGACAGTGAAAAACTACCTTTAAACCTAGCGTGTGTGCCTGACGTCAACCTGTTTCCGAACAGAGGAGCTCGAGCCCCCGAGCCATCTACGACAATGCTACACGATGTCCTGAGGCATTATCACACCGAGCAGGCGGAGAAACACCAAAACAAGGTTTTATGATGAGGATGAAATTGAAAGTACGGCTTAGTTATTTTTATAGTTTTTTAGTCATGTTGTTCATCGTCGTTTTTCGTTTAAAGACTTGTAAGTACAGCTTAGGCTACAATTTTTGATAGTCTATCATTCGGTCTTCTTGCTATTCTTAATAGAGTAGTCAATCTCGTCATTAATCCTCACATTTTAAGAAGGTACAAGTCGAGTGAAAAAACCTCAATACTATTTGATAAATTGGGCCATGAGGTAACATGACATGGCATTACTTGTGATTTTCTTTCAAATTGCAGCTCTAGTTCTTACATATACATAGGAGGTTACCTCCTACTAGCTATGTTGGCTTCACCACTATGACTATACAGGAGGTTACCTCCTAGCTACTTATGTTGCCTTCACCACTATACATAGGAGGTTGAGGTTCCTGGAAGATCCGTTGCAACGATTATCTTACCTGAACAAGATGAAGATGGTCATACATCCTCATGATCTTACCTTTCATTTAGACGGCGTGGTGGCATTGTGAGCTTTCTTGGTTCTCGTGATGCGGGCCGGGTGATGACCTTGCTTCAGAGGCGTGAAGTTGCAAAGTCTTCAGCTGGCTATCTTTATGGCCCCACAAAACACACTTCTCCATGTGAGAGAGTCCCGAGCCCTATACAGACTACTTACTTTGGTCCATCGCGTCTTGTATAATAGGTGTAATGGTCTTCAGACAACTGTCTTTACGTCGGATCCCGTTAATGTTAAATTACTGCGCTGGTAGTTGTCCCTGGGGGATTCTCAGGCTGTACTGAGGCAAGTAGCGGGATCTATTCACGGGATGGGTTGCGGGTAGCTCTAATATCCACATCTAGTGAATGAAGCCGTTGTCTCCACGCTTCGGGCATTGATCAAAGAGTGCGAAGATGGCCGTCCCCTTTACACATCCCAACGTCCTGTGTGGCCCGCTCCTATTCAGCCGGAGGGACGTTTTTTAAGGTTTCAACAGAAGCAGAACTCAAATAAAGGTCACTGTGTTCATGATAGAGTAGTTTTCTTCCTTCACTTATGCTGTGTAAGATTCACTTCAGACCTGACCAGGGAGGGTTAGACATGAAGCACATGATCATGACCATTATGCATTCACTGCGAAAAATATTGTCGTGGTTCTTCAGCTTTTAGAACTGCTGTCTAGGTAAAATGGCCTCAGGAGGCACTACTTGACTGGGTGGCCTCATGAGTAGACACAAGTTGCTACTACAGAGGAGGCGCCATCACATGACAAGGACCGCTATTATATTTAAGTACTACAACCTAAAGTTTAAGGTTACATATACTAATATATAAAGATAAGTAAATTAGTATTAGTCCTCTGCCTGAGATCGTATACTAATTAAATGAGTCTAATTCTACACTCTTCTGCCTTAGATCGTCATGATTTTGTGTTTCAGTTGGCTCATTGTGCTGCGAAGGGCTCGGAGTCACGATGTCATCCTTTGATCGTTGAGACGCTTGCCGGAACCTTGACCAAGGCCAGAAATTTTGTTGAACTAGCGTTATGAGGAAAGTTGTAGGTTGTTTATTCTAAAGAACCTTTTTGTTGAAGTAGAGTTAATTATGAGGAAAGTAGTAGCTGTAGCTTGTTTCTTCTAAAGAACTTTTTTTTATGAGGAAAGTTCAAATTGTACTAGGTTGTTCATCCTCAATAACCGAATCAAAAGCCTCCTCGTGAGTAGAAGAATATTAAGTACAATAATCTTCAAAGTAGAAACACAAGCCAAGTTTGAATTGTATGAATGAAAGAAGCAGATGATGAAGGACAAGGATTCGAAATCTTAAAAGAAGCTTTTCGAATCCTTCATCATCTGCTTCTTTCATTCAACGATAGCACTTCTTTGGTGGAGTAGCACTCTTAGACGCGCAGTGTACACGGTTAGTACTTCACTTTTTCGAAGATGTACAACTACTGCATCTAGTTGTAGAAATCCTGCTTCGCCGTGTACAACTTTTGTACAAGAGCGGCATCTCCTAGAACTGCTAATGTTGGATCAGGTGACATTGTTGCGGTATGTCTGCACTGGTGAGAACATTCCCGAGCGATTGCCACATGAAGAATCGAGGCAGCGCAGCGACATTATACCGTACCTGACGACAACACGCACACGACGACCAGAAGGAGATGAACCCGACCAGAATCATGCACAATTAAGGCTCGTCTTGGATTTTGTTTGAGGCAGAAGGGTAAGTAACTAAGAGAACAGACCTCTACTAGGATGTTGTTTGATACCTGGACTTTTATTCGATACCTTGCATCCACAAGCTGGAGTGCGCTACAAGGAGGAAAACTATTCTTAATCAAATATGACCTCACGGAAGATTAAGTGTAGTCCTCTCAGTTGTTTGCTTCTTGGACTCTCGTCTTTGTCAGATCTTCATTGACAAGATGAATTAGGTATTCGAAAACTCAAAATAACCGAGTTACTGACTGAAATAAGGGAGGTAGCTTCACGCCAAGGCTAGTACGCTTCCTTCTCATCAGTATCTCGGTTATTCTGATCCGTTACTTGCTTATTTCAGTTTTTCGAATAAGCCACTTTGAGGAGCAGCGCTAATATTACTAGAACAACAGGGTGGACCGAATACTGGCCTCACGAAGATCGCATCCTCATCTTGTCATTGCAGTGCGAGAAGTAAGAAAAAAGCCCTGGAGGCCTTGTTCAATACGTTGCGTCTGACAGAGCCAGAGCCGAAAAAATGGAATGAGGAGGAGCGGGGTGAGGAGTTATATGTAAGAATAATAAACGCGCAGAAAGCTGTGCTATACGCAATTCTTCATATTGCCAAGGGTCCGCCAGGTACGAGGGACGACCATTATGTCCGAGGTACGAGGGAAGATGAAGATCCGAGTCCGACGGAAGATCATGCTGCAGATTACGGCCTCCTCCAATCCATCTTCGGAATCATCATGGAGAAGCTTTCCAAGTGGAAAAGCGCTCCAGGATGCGTCTCAAGATGGATTTGGGCGAGCTCTAGTCTAAGCAGCATCCCAAAAAACCCAAAAAGGCCAAGGCCAAGCATCTCCTGCGGAAACAGATCTGCTCGCTGACGGGCGTTCCATGCGACAGTTTGCTGTGACCGAGTTGCTCAAGTGGGTCGCTGAGGTTAACGCGATGGTTGAAGATGAAGAAAACCTTGAGATTCGCCATATACCGGTCAGCGTCCATGAAGTAATGCGTAAGATCTTGCCGGAACTGGTCGAGCATGAGTCCGGAGATGAGAATGTGATGGACGCAGTGTGGCAGTTTAAGGCCAGACTTTCACTAACGTCCCATGTGGAATACGTATGCTGAGTGGAGTGGTCCCCTCCTTTGATATTGATGTCTTGATCGTGAAGGGGAAAGAAACCATCTAAGGGGGACAAATATCTAAGGGGGAAAAAGGGGAATTCAATCCATCCGGCATAGTGAAAAACTAGCGTTAAGAAGTACGCGAGACATCGTCAGGGTTATGAACCCGTTCCGCCGTCGTTTTCTCACCCTGAAGACTCTTCGTCTCTCCATGCTTACCTGAAGGTAATCCCCGGTCCTGTTTTCCCGAACAAGATTAGGAAACTAGCAGAGATTTTGCAGCCAAGCAGCCGTGCCACTAGAAGAGGAGAAGAAGGTGCTGACGGAGGTGAAGTCAACCTTAATAAAGAAAAAACGGAGCCACTACAGAACCAAGAATCATTTGAGCAAGATAATAACAAGTTGTTCTTCGTGCAAAATATATTTCGTGGCTTTGTATTGACTATTCTAGAGCAGTACTTCGCAACCTATTTCTATCCTCGATATCTATCGACGACCACTTGTGCTTCATCTTCGTCTTCCGCTGGTCAGCAGCAGTCCACGTTGGAAGAGATGCAGCACGTAGCTCTTGCTACCACCGACGAGGTAGCCCCGGAAAGACAAGAAACTACAGATGACCGAGATCAGGATGACAAGGATCCTTGCTTGACTACTAATTTCAACCTTTGGTATGGTCAGCTTTTATCCATCTGTCTCGGCATCTTGGTACCCTTTATTTCCCTTGTATTTCATGGGAAAGGGACCGGGATGAGGTGGCCAAGACGAATAAAAGCCGTCTCTAACTTTGGTTAGCGACGAATGGGAAGAAGTGGCTCTGGTCGGACTCAACATATGAGCCGGCCGAGAGTCGCATAGTCAAAGCGTTGATTCAGATGGACACGGAGGGTAATGCAGTAAAAAAACGTCTATTAGGTGGAGCATTACCCGAGCAAGATTCTACTCGTAACGAGGGTAATAAGATGAAACGAAAGAGGATACACGAACAAGACGAGACAATGGAGATTGAAGGAGACGATGAAAATAGCAGCGAGCAGGTAGAAGTTGGACTTGTCCCAGAGGCAAAAGCGAGTCAAAATCATCTTGATATTCAAGAAAGAATCGTTATCGATTCGTTTTGGAAGCTTCTTTTTCTAGATAATTTACGTCCAGCATGCTGGGGACTATTTCGAACGGCTATGAAAGGCCTCAAGCTTGCTGTCGGATTTGGGGACCCAGACGTGGCTATAGCAGTAGCAAATGTTGTCATGGGAGAGGAAAGAACAAGCGATGGTAGAAAGATTTCCTTAAGGCCGCTCACTGTATAACTACTCATCTACTTTTTATCTATATGAATCAGGGCTGCACGGTACCCCCCCTGTGGATCATATTTATAAATATATTTATATGATTGAATATATAAGAAGATAGAACAAGAAAAGAAGCATGAGCGTCTTTGACCCCCTTTCATGAAATTTCACTTGTTAAAAACTTTTACTTCGTGCTGGAAACTACCGAGCGTGTGGGGTGGTTGAATGCTGCCCATTCGCTCAGCGCGTGGCGTATTCTTCGTCATTATAGTTGAGATTTGGCTAGTACGTAGAGGAGCCCTCAATGCATAAGCTCTGGAATCTTCAGCACATGCTTCACAGTCATTATGGGGACGGCTGTGCACCAGAAAAAATTTCCTGTCTGATCGAGGAGGGCGCCGCCGCGACCGCCCGCCGCAATTCTCAGAAGCGCAAAGGTTACCGGTCTGGGGATGTTTGAGCGATTTCCTCTGCCTTTTTGAGAGACCCGAGTGCGCCGCGCATTTCAGACAGATGATGCCTGGCCTTAGTGTAGTAGAGGGGCCCACTGAAAAGGGGGGAGCGTCTTATCGCTCTCCCTTGCTGAGAGAGTGATCCTTTTCACTTCTCTCCCGTCCGCTGTTAGCATAATGGTGGCTAACAGGCATAAGCTAGCCCCTTTTGCAGGAGTAGGCGCTCCGGTTCCTGTTTTTCTTTTTGGTTTTTTTTTGGCGATTGCATTTGCGGAAGGCGGTCGAGGAAGATGGAGCGAAGCCGGAAGGCCCTGGTTTAGAGTAGCGCCACCAGTGTGGGCGTATAGCTGAACGAAGAAGCCCCAGCGATTCTACGTGGGCTGACTCGCCCTAAAGTCAGTGGATCTCTGTAGTGGCGCCGCCCTTTGCGCCGTGTCTCCGCCGCTTGCAGCGTCAGGCCCCAGGTAGCATATGGCCACGCAGAAGCTCTAGCTTTAGCCGTGTTCGATCCGCAGGGGCTAAGTCGTTGTCGCTCGGGGTGCGTCGGGTGTGCGGTGCCATCATCGTTCTGCTTATGCGCCGTCGACTAAAATGGATGCCCGTGGGGCTTAGGCTCTAGCTTTTCTACAGCGGTTGCCGTCGTGCTTAGTCGTTTGCGTAGTTGTAGTGCCTGGCTTCAGGCTTCCCACGGGGTAAGTCAGTGGAACTATTGCGGGAAACTGTAGACCCAGGCAACAAAAGAAAAGGCCTGGGTGGAGCACGTGGGTGGATGGGCTATACGAATATGATAGGTAAGAAGCATGATCGTCTTTGACCCCTTTTTTTAAAATTTCACTTGTTAAAATGTAAAGGCAAAGACGGTTTCTTGCATCAAAATAGAAGACACCAGCTATTGCGGGTCAGGACGGAGAGGCCCGCCTCCTCTAATTATATTTGAGGAACGAACGGCGGACGACTGCTTCATCCCTCCGCTTGGTCTTGCACAATTGCGTGAGGAACTACTGGCAAGTATCAACTTTCTGGGACAAGAGGCACTACCAAGATTGACTCAGAATCTTCGATCCTTTGGAGGTATTTTTGTACATAGGTGGCAGACAGTCTAAAGCTTGGTTTTCAAGATCCTAGCTCTTTCTTTCTTAACAGGACTAGGTGTAAATAACGAAAGCTCATCTCAATGAAATAAATTGTCGAATAGCCACCAGTTTGTTTAGACGCGACCGCACTGCATGGAAAAAACCACCGTTGCAACTTCTCCCGAATATGCCCCTGCACTTGAGTCCCCATACTCAGAGCAATACCTCGCGGGGTAATTAAGTGGAACTATTGCGGGAAATTGTAGACCCAGGCACCAAAATGATAAACCTCGCGAACAGATACATGAGAGAAGGAATGTGCATAGATGTCAATCTAGAACTTAGCTTTCAGGAACTTTCCAACTTGTTTTCATTAAAACAGGAACTGCTGTGGAGCTTTCATCTGCTGCGTTTTCATCGTGCGCTACTTTTCGTGCGCCTGCTTCTACCTTGGATGAAGATGAATCCAAAGAGAAATTAAGTGTAGAGTTTAGGAGTTTCCGTCCCTGTTACTGTTTGTTTTGCCTCTCCTAAAAGGGAGAACGGCAGAACAAACGGGAAACAGAAACACCAAAATCTTACGTCTAAAGAAAGCTGCGAAGACTTTCGCGGCTCGTGAGCGTGTAGTTGAGGCTCTTTTTTTCGCGTTGCGTGGTGACATCCCGGATATTCACTTTCAGTTGTTGCGCCTGGCAAGGCGTTATAAAGATGGATCCCTGTGCAGAATCTACGACACAGTTGCAGCGGCGCACAGCTTGTGGGCACCCGATCTTCGTGAAAGGGCTTTAAAGGGTCTGGCCATGAACGCTATACACCACTTATTGGCGGAAGATGAGATCGCGCGACTGCGTGAGGAAGTTGAGAAAATTCTTCTGCGAGCTGCGGAAGTTCCTACTGCACATGCCATTTATGGACAGACTGCTCAATTAAAAGTGTTGTATAACTCGAAGGTGTAAAATACCAGGTTGGATGCGGGATCATCATCGTACTATCTGTACCTTGAAGGTGCTGTAAGTGTATATGACAATGAAAATGAAAATAGTATTCTTTGATGTTGTTGAAGATGGTCTGCCTCTGGCTGCTCTACTAGAGGGTAGACAAAACTACACTTCTTATATCTATGAAATGCCGAAGTCTTTAGTGGATGAAGCACATCGAGTTCGGGAGCAGATTCTTAGCCGAGTTGAGACGAGTGGATGAACATGAAGCACGTGAGGATGATGCGCCAGCAGATCGAGTTTTTATTAAGGCATTCATAGAGATCATTTCTCCTGCAAATCATTTCTTGCTGTTTCCTTCTTGATAGGATCGCAAGAAATGAATTGTTTTGAGCTCTAATTTTAGGCATCTGCGAATGTGTTGTAATAGTGACGATGTGGTGGCCTGGTCTGGGAACTATTACTATCAATTGTTAGCAAAAATGAAAGCGTGTACGGGGTCGGGGTGAAGCTCTTCTAGTGAAAGGAGGCTTATAACACAGCGAGGCGGTGGCGGAATAGAAGAAGGAGCACCACCTCCCTTGTGTCAACTCAGAAGTACAACTTAGATGAACAAGATGATGAACAAGCTGGACCACGTCTTTGAATGATCATGAGGACAATTCATTTCTGAGGTGTATATGGCTCGTTTTTTTACTTTCTGCATTGTAGTCACATAGGTAAGAAATAAAGACACGCATGATTGAAAAAAGATTTGTAGTCCGAGGAGTGACCTGACTATATGTGGAAATATTTTGAACGCATATCGTTGCCGCATTTCATGAGATTCTCTGGTTCTAGGTCCTACGTGAGAGCCTGTGTAGCTCCCTAGATGTTGTCGTGGACCAACGACTATACAAACCTTCAAGCGTGCAAACTCGAAATAAGTTCTTGATATGACAACGCCCATGCAGCTCATTCTTGATGCGATTACCAGAGGATAATGCGCTGTACGATGCCATTTCGTTCTCTTTTACGACTTTGCGTTTCGACGGAGTGCTGCCTCCAACAGCGTTAGAAGGATCGACTAGACTTCAGCGCCCTATAGCTCTCCCTCCGCGTCCACTAGAGTCTTCCACCTTCTTCAAACATTTCCTCCGCCGGGGCGCGCCTCCCCCGCTCCTCTTCCGCCAGATCGCGACGCCTTCCGGGCGGAGTTGATCCGCGGAAGAGGATTCGGGGCAGAGACGCCGCGAAGTTTGACAGAGGAAGGCCCGCCCCCCCATGTTTTTGAGATGTTTCAAAGCTTGGCTACTTTTGAATAGAGTGCAACTTTTTGGATGGTTAGCCCTGAGCGCAACGCTTTACCCCTGAGGATTTTTAGTGGATAATTTGGTCGAGTTTGGCGCTTTTAGGTTGCAGCTTTTAGTTTGCAGCTCCCTTAAAGTTCGTGACTTTCAGAGTGAAGCTCTGAGCTTGAGTGAATCTCTTGGCGTAAAGCTTCGGGCTCGGCGCTTTGGTTTGGAAGCTTTGGGCGTGCAGGCTAAAGCGTTGAGCTTGAAGCCTTGGGCTTGACGTCTTAGGTTTCAAGTCTTGGGCCTAGCGCTTTGGCTCTGAAATTTATTTTGGATGTGAGATTTTGGATTTGAAGGTTTAGGCTCGAAGTTTTGAAATTGAAACTTTGGATTTGGAAACTTTGGACCTAATTTTTGGACTTTAGATTTTGGACCTTGGGTTTTGGATTTACACTTTTGGATTTTGAGTTTTTGATTTGAGATTTTCGGTTTGAAGTCTTAGGCTTGAGGGTTTGGGTTTGCCGCCTTGGATTTAAAATTTTTAGCTCGGAATCGAATTTTGGTTGATATTAAAGTCAAAAATTTCTCGCCTAGACTTCGAATGGAGCCGCCTGCGGTCGCGTCAGTTCGTAAGCTTATTGTAAGTTCATCGTAAGTGTGCTGCAAATCTAGATTGGTTCTTTCCTTTTTAAAAGGCTAGGGCTGAGGTATAGGCCCAGCGGCGCTCAGAGCACTTAGCAAAGCAGCCGGCTAGCTTTCCCTCTATCTCGTAGATTTATCCTTTCAAGCAATCGCATGAGCCCGACGTAGGTTCATAAGTGCACAAATTCACAAGTTCGCAAGTTCCTAAGTGCGTAGGCGCCTAGGTTCTTTGTTTTGCTGTGTGAGTGTCTTCGGCTCAGGTGTTTTTGGTTCAAGTGTTTTGGGTTCAAGTGCTTTTGGTTCGGGTGTGTTTGGTTCGGAGGTTGGCAGGGGCGTTGTTGATTTTTTATTTAGCCCTTTAGTATTTCTATACATTGGAGCGAGTAGGCATCTCTTATCCAAGTGCACCCGGCCTCCGCTGCAGTTATTTTCCTCCTAGTGACGTGAGTGTTCTGATTTTCACTCGCAGGCGAGACGAAGAGGTTGGATCGAAATGCTGCTGCAGTCCATGGGTAGTAATTTCCAACAAGAAAGATCCAATTAGGATGGATGCAAAGTAGAGGATCGATGTAATATCAATACTTTCTACTTCAAAGTATGACTTTCGAAGAAGTCTGAGGCTGTACTTTTAACAGGAAATTATAAATGTAGTACTAGAGGTTGTAGCTGAAGTTGAGCCTTTCTCTCTCTGTCTATCTATATGTACATCTATCTACATATCGGTATATTTATAAATATATGACTCAGGGCCAGACGGTCCTCCTCCTGTGGTCTGGTCTGTGGTGGCGCGCGCGCGCGCTTTTCCGCGCGGAATTTTCGCAGATTCTAGTGGTGGAAGGCGTCAAAACTTGGCGCGGGCCTCCCCTTGGGCCTCTCAGTGTGTTCCTCGGGGACCTCCTGGCCTCTGCTGACCCTCGCAGGCGGGAGGCTTCTCGGGTAAAAGGCCGCCGGAGGCGGCCGCGGTCGCAAGGGCAAGCAAGCCGATGACCAAAGGCCCGGAGGGTACAGGCGGCACGGCTCAGGGGGTCCAGCCCCTCGCCTTTTGCTGCCTTCGGAGGCCCTCCGCTGCCGGCGCACTGCTGCGGCGGCGAAGTCTAACGGATGCACAGGCAGGCACCTGGACGGGGGCGCCGGCGGTCCCTTGGGCGCCTTTTGAAGCCTCCCGCCACCATCGGAACAGCCAGGCAGCTGGAAGGGAGCGGAGGGGGGAGGTCCCTGGGCCCCCCTTTTGAGGCCTTCCACCCCCGGCAGACGCCTTAAAAAGGGGCCCAGGGCGCACGGGGGGGGGCGACCTGGAACATAGATCTGTCTATCTAGCTACATACCTCGCGATTGGATACACTAGACTACAACTCAATCTTGCTAAGGCATCTGTTCGCTGGTCGTAAGTGATGACACCCTGATAACAAGCCGTATCTTTTTGACTATCGACTTACATTAAATTTATTTGGTATTATTAACGTAGCACTAGCAGAACAACGCCTACTCCCGGTACTTGTCTTTTCTCTCGTCCTCGTCCAAACAAGGAACAAAAAATGAAGCATTTTCCCATGAGTGGCGTTGGTGCACGCGCCTGGTCGTCTCAGTCAACGCGTTTAACCCCCGTTCCTGTACTAGACCAGCTTCTACTCAGCTGTAGAAGAAGGATCAGCTGTTCCTACGGCTGTAGAAGACGAGAGGACTCCACCTGCTGCGCGACTTCGTGTTCTTGCACGTTTTCCTGCTTATCTGATGTTTGAGCAGGTCCTTCCCCGATGCTATCCTCTCCGTACAACGGGCCAGAACTTGACGAAGACTTCGACCCGGCGACCTTTCAGGTGCACGCTGATGCATGACGGGGCGTGGCCCTTCATGAGCTGCACCCAGAGCTGTGCTTCCTTGGAAGCACGTGCTGCGATTGGCGCCACCAGAGAGCGAATGGGCCTCGGACAGTTATTAAGTGCCTCGACGATGGGAGTAGAAATATGTGGCCTCTACACAGAGCACAGAGCCGAATACCTTAAATATATAACCTTCTACGAAGAGAATGAGAAAACAACGACAAGGCTCTTCAGATCAAAGTGTTGGAAAATGCGTCCAAAAATGCGGAGTACATAAAGATATCGAGAACGCGACTCTTGCTAGCTTTTAGAACGAGGTGGAAGAGATCGGACAGGCGAGGAAAGCTTGTCGCAGAAGATGTGCGGCAATTTTTTCAAAATGACGAATTAGTGGGGGGACTCACACGAGGACAGGATATCGATGACCCCCGTACTCTGCTGGAGAGCAAATTGCAAACAGTGGAGACGTTTTTTGATTTGAAGCGTGGTGGTGACCAGTTCGACATGGTGGCCGATAATTATGAGGAGGGGGACAGGCCAGATCATGACTTTGTTCCGGACGAATTCAGAGAGACCGCTACTCAGGTGCCCATTGATTGTCTGGTGCCGCAACTCCGTACCAGTGGAAATGTTGCCCTTGCCGCTTGGCTCGGCGGCTCTAGGCAATGGACGAGACGTCACTACTAGATGAAGACCTTTTTTTGTGAAGAACTGATTATAGAGGATGGGCACGACAGTGGACATCATGAACGTCTGCTGGAAGAACTAAATAAAGGCGTATCAGAAGAAGATCATGAGCACGACGCACAGCAGGATCGAGGAAAGCTGCAGTCAGGTGGGCGTCATCAAGCTTCAAGGATAATGCAACAAGACGTAGTAGAGCAGATCGGCAACCTGATTTGCCCTGATGTTACTTTGTAGCACAGCTAGAGACAAGAGCTAACAGGGTTGAGGGTCTTGAAGATAAGCAGAGAAGACGACCAGCATTTTGGGATACAGAGGAGGGCTTGGCGATGCGCGCAGATTTGGTAAGGTGGCAGGCTAAAGTTAGTTGAGCCTGACTGAATAAGTTGTCACATGATAGATTACTAGCAAGAGGCGGCATCGACTTCGACGAGTACTAGAACTTTGAGTATGTTGTAGTTGATAAAAAGTTATCAATGACCGAAGGGGAAGTTGTGGATAAAGACGTCGTCATCGTTTTCTAATGAGACGCTTCCAGAACATGGAGTCGCAAAAGATCGCTACTTTATCCAGGATCTAGACCACGTTTGTTCTTGTCTCATGATTCTTCGTTACCTTCCGCAGATACCCGAACTCTTTCCTTCGTTTTCTTCCTCCGCCACAACTTCGACTTCGAAAGCGCAAAGACCTGGCGCTGACTTCTCAACCTCAAGTAGCACGTCTACTTGTACTTCTGCTAAGGAAGAGGATATTACAAGAACACCTGCTCCAGCTCCAGCAAAAACCTACATCAGCATTGCTTGTTGGGAAGAAGACTGCACTGCTTCGCGATTGCTTTCCTACCAGTTTTTCCGACGAAGTACTTTCTCTGAATCCCCATCCAGCCTGTCTCTATGGCTTATCACTGAAGCATCGAAAAGGTGAGTGCGGCAGGCATGGGGAGTGCGCTCTAGATGGCCTCGATTGGGTAAAACTCGGGATGACGAAACACCTCTACCGCAATCGAGGTTTTTTACATGGTCAACAAGAAGTGCAAGGCAGCACCGTGGAAGGCAATAAAGTTGAGGCTTGAGGAAATACATCTTCACAGGCCCATCTTGGTCCCGTTTTTCAAGGGAAAAGGGCACGAAAGACGTGGTTGAAGATGTTATTCTGGAAGTTCTAAGAAAGACAGCACCTTCAATCGAGACAATAAATATCTATATCATGCAGGCCACCCTCACCCTCACGAGGACGCGCAACCTGTGAAGACTAATCAATGCAGCAACTTCATCTAGGGGCAATAGCAACCAAAACTACCAACCAGCAAGCTTCTATTGTCAATATTGCCGTGCGAAGGTACACGGTAAAGGGATGCGAGTTCATGCATATTGGCGGCAGGATAATCCAATAAGTTGGCCACGAATTTTTTTCTTCTACCGAGAATTGCGATCTGAGATGGAAGCATGTATTTTTGTTATGCCAAGGAAAGATGTAATTGATACATATATTTGTTGTAAGTATGTGGTTTATGAAGCTGAAGCTTTTCGACTCTTTCTAGAGACTCCCTATACTATACTATCATAGAAATGAGGTAAAAATTTGCTCTCGCTACAGCCTAATATTCCTAGTATAGTAAAATATATTCTTCACGAATCACATTCAGATTTATAGTCGAAGAAGATCGAAGATCAACGCAACGCTGTAGAGAAAAAAATCATGCAGAACAAATAGAAGATAAAAACAATAAACAAAAAACGAACATCAATGAACATCTGCATATTATTTTCACTTGTACATACTTATGAATCTTGATGATTTATGAAATTGGTTTATACGGCCGCCACGCCCGTGTTGCCATACAGATACGGAGTGAGAAAAAGGCTTTCCGAACTTGAGGACGATACTACGATTGATTTCTAATGTACGCGTCTGTCTGTGAGTATTCGGTCCTGTCTTTCGTCACGTATTTCAGGAGCAATATTCCATCCTGGTACAAGATCAAGATCCTGCTGTGCCTCAATATCCTCTGCTCTGCTGTGAACATCCAGCATCTGTCCTGTGTTGTTTTTGGCTTAAAAAATCACTGTCTTGTAGCAAGCGATGCGCATCATGTATATGCCCTAATTTTTGTGCGTTTCTCACCAGACAGAGCACAGAAAAGAAACTGCTGCGCTCTTTCTTCTGCCTCTACTAAATGGCGTTTTTTCCTACCACTCAGAAGCTGTCACTGCGTGATGTCGTGAAATTGCTGCGAACATTCTTGTTGCAATCTATTATTCCTACATCTTCCTCTGTTGAAAAAAGTAGCGCTTGTCCACTAGAACTAGAAGTTGTAGTCTTGCCCTCGTCTCACAGAACTTACGTCTGCTGTGAAGATACGCTACTTCTTCAGCCATGGACTAAAAAGTACAGAGAAGTCGAAACTTTTGTCTCTTAAAAAGAGTCAAGTTCCAAAAGAATTTTAGACTTTTACTGTGTAAGATCTTCTCGATCCACCTAAATAAGACGAAAAGAGTCAATTGTTGTCTTCTACATCTAGAACTCGTCGAAATCGAATAAGCTAAAAGATGAGGTCTCGCGAAATCAAACGGTGCCTGGCACTGTCTGTTCTTTTGATCTACCAGGGAACGACTGGCGCTTTTGCTCTGGCTAGCGGACGTGCCAGTGCCAGCGGAAGTGCCAGTGCCAGCGGGGGTGCCAGTGCCAGCGGAAGTGCCAGTGCCAGCGGAAGTGCCAGTGCCAGCGGAAGTGCCAGTGCCGCTATCACGACTTCAAGTAGTTCGACGAGCGGTCGCGGCAGTATTGTCCACGAGGAAGCAACCTCTACTAGCACTAGCTCTACTACTATTTCGAGAACTGCAAGCACTAGGCGTGGTAATGCAAATTTTTTGACTTCTGTACGTGAACGCGGATATCATGAAGAACCTCCATTGTGCAGATCTGGAGAGGGAGACTATGCGCAAGAACAGCAAGAACCCAAGAAGCACATACTTCTGTCAGCAGTCCCAGATGAAGTTATTTTTCATCGAATTGCTGTTGGGGAAGACGAGCGGTCGAGGATGGGGGCTGCCGCGCCAGTCCCAGCAGGACAGGAGAGTGTAGTAACGAGCGGAGAGATTGCAGAGGCGCTTTTCAATTCGTTGGGACATCTATTAAGGGTAGTTTTTCAGTATCCCATGTGGACTACGCTGAGTGGGCTCATCCTGAATTTGGAGGGGAAGCTAAGGGGCAAAGAGGGCAACCGACTCGACTCGGGACAGTGAAAAACTACCTTTAAACCTAGCGTGTGTGCCTGACGTCAACCTGTTTCCAAACAGAGGAGCTCGAGCCCCCGAGCCATCTACGACAATGCTACACGATGTCCTGAGGCATTATCACACCGAGCAGGCGGAGAAACACCAAAACAAGGTTTTATGATGAGGATGAAATTGAAAGTACGGCTTAGTTATTTTTATAGTTTTTTAGTCATGTTGTTCATCGTCGTTTTTCGTTTAAAGACTTGTAAGTACAGCTTAGGCTACAATTTTTGATAGTCTATCATTCGGTCTTCTTGCTATTCTTAATAGAGTAGTCAATCTCGTCATTAATCCTCACATTTTAAGAAGGTACAAGTCGAGTGAAAAAACCTCAATACTATTTGATAAATTGGGCCATGAGGTAACATGACATGGCATTACTTGTGATTTTCTTTCAAATTGCAGCTCTAGTTCTTACATATACATAGGAGGTTACCTCCTACTAGCTATGTTGGCTTCACCACTATGACTATACAGGAGGTTACCTCCTAGCTACTTATGTTGCCTTCACCACTATACATAGGAGGTTGAGGTTCCTGGAAGATCCGTTGCAACGATTATCTTACCTGAACAAGATGAAGATGGTCATACATCCTCATGATCTTACCTTTCATTTAGACGGCGTGGTGGCATTGTGAGCTTTCTTGGTTCTCGGTATGCGAGGCGGGTGATGACCTTGCTTCAGAGGCGTGAAGTTGCAAAGTCTTCAGCGTATCTTTAAGGCTCCACAAAACCCCACTTCTCCATGTGAGAGAGTCCCGAGCCCTATACAGACTACTTACTTTGGTCCATCACGCCTTGTAGAATAGGTGTAATGGTCTTCAGCCAAACAACTTTACGTCGGATCCCGTTAATGTTAAAGTACTGCGCTGGTAGTTGTCCCTGGGGGATTCTCATGCTGTACTGAGGCAAGTAGCGGGATCTATTCACGGGATGGGTTGCGGGTAGCTCTAATATCCACATCTAGTGAATGAAGCCGTTGGCTCCACGCTTCGGGCATTGATCAAAGAGTGCGAAGATGGCCGTCCCCTTTACACATCCCAACGTCCCGTATGGCGCGCTCCTATTCCGCTGAAGGGATCTTTTTTACGGTTTCAACAGAAGCAGAACTCGAATAAAAGTCACTGTGTTGATAGAGTAGTTTCCTTTCTCCACTTATGCTGTGTAAGATTCACTTCAGACCTGATCAGGGAGGGTTAGACATGTAGCACGTGATCACCACCATCTGTCATGCATTCACTGTGAAAAATATTGCCGTGGCTCTTCAGCTTTTAGAAGTGCTGTCTACGTAAAATGGCCTCAGGAGGCACTACTTGACTGGGTGACCTCATAAGTAGACACAAGTTGCTACTACAGAGGAGGCGCCATCACATGACAAGGACCGTTATTATATTTAAGTACTACACGACCCTAAAGTTTAAGTTTATACTAATAGCAATAAGTAAACTAGTCTTAGTCCTCTGCCTTAGATCGTAGACTAATTAAATGAGTCATCTAATTCTATCCTTATCTTCCGTCTTAGATCGTCCTGATTTTGTATGGCAGTTGGCTCGTTGTGCTGCGAACGGCTCGGAGTCACGAGGTCATCCTTTGATCGTTGAGACGCTTGCCGGAACCTTGACCAAGGCCAGAAATTTTTTTGAACTAGAGTTATGAGGAAATTTGTAGGTTGTTTATTCTAAAGTTAAAGAACCTTCTTTACGAACTAGTAGAGTTGATTATGAGGAAAGTTGTAGCTGTAAGTTGTTTATTCTAAAGAACTTTTTTTGAACTAGAGGTATGAGAAAAGCAATTGTAAATCTAGAGAACTAGTAGTAGAGTTTAATTATTTTATGAGGAAAGTTCAGATTGTAGGTTGTTTATCCTCAACCTTATAGAAAACCTCCTCATAGAAAGATTTAAGTACAATGATCTTCAAAGTTTGAATTCATTGTATAGAGTAGCACTCTTAGACGCGCAGTGTACACGGTTAGTACTTCAGTTTTTCGAACATGTGCAACTGCATCTAGTAGAAATCATCCGTCGTGTACAACTGTACGAAAGCGGCATCTTCTAGAACTGCTAATGTTTGATCAGGTGACATTGTTGCGGTATGTCTGCACTGGTGAGAACATTCCCGAGCGATTGCCACATCAAGAATCGACGCAGCGCAGCGACATTATACCGTACCTGACGACAACACGCACACGACGACTAGAAGGAGATGAACCCGACCAGAGTCATGCACAATTAAGGCTCGTCTTGGATTTTGTTTGAGGCAGAAGGGTAAGTAACTAAGAGAACAGACCTCTACTAGGATAGAAGAACGACCATGAGTATCGGTGAGTGTGTGCAGCATTGGGCTATTGAATTGAGTCAAGATGATCTTTCTGCTCCGATGCCTGTGCTCTATACCTTGCATCGACAAGCTGCTCTACAAGGAAGAAAACTATTCTTAATCAAATAAGACTTCACGGAAGATTAAGTGTAGTCCTCTCTTCAGTTGTTTGCTTCTTGGAATCTCGTCATTGAGCAGAGCTTCTTGGAATCTTTTGAGCAGCGCTAATATTAGAACAACAGGGTGGACCGATTACTGGCCTCACGAAGATCGCATCCTCATCTTGTCATTGCAGTGCGAGAAGTTTACAAACGGCCATCCAGCATTGAATTCCACTGTTGAGAATGTTGAAAGTTTGTTGGAAGTTTGTTGTTCTGGGTATTCTCAACCATTTCCCAATGGTTGTTTTGGTACAGGCTGCATACTGTTGTGGCCATTTAAGCCATCTCATCGATTTTTTTTGAACCACAAGTTCCATAAGGAACTACACTTTTTTGCTTTGGTCATTAAAAAAGATAGGTGTGGAAAATATTTCGCGATGCAGCAGTCGAACACAATATCACCCGGAGCGGTTGCACTTAGAGTGCAGCTATTTGCAGAACGATTCACTCATCAGCGGGCTTTTTGCTGTTGGGTGGTCTGAAAATGTTATGATATGGTTATGTCTGTTCGCTTTGTACTGGTGCTTGAAGCCCATATGATGAGTCATTTTTTCTTTGTGACCTTTACGTATTCAATCAGGGGAAGATGCTTGAAGGATAGAGACGCTAAGCTCTAAAAAATGCGAGACATGATGATCCGAGCCATGGACAAGCATGGGCAGGTGGAGCAGTAACGAAGGGTGGGCTTGCGAGCAATGAAGGAGCAGGAAAGTTTCTTGGCAACTTGGTAGCGTCTCGCTTTTTACAACGAGTTAAACACACATTGACACTAGGCACGGCAATCAGGCTGGCCTAGGGAGTCAAAGACTTTTAAAGGGTCAGGATGGCCTTCTTTTCTTTGCGCGGTCGACCAGATAAATAGTTTAAGTAGCTAGTTAAATTTTTTGGTTTTGCATTGTTGAGGAAGACGGGGCTGCAGCTCTCCTTCTGCTTAAATTTTTTGATTTTTTTTGGACCGCTGGCGATGGAAACCATGGCGCGACGGATTGGTGTGGAGCTCTTCTGGAGAAGTTGCAGAGAAAGCTGACTGGCGCAGGACGTCGAGCCAATCAATGCAGCGAAAGGCTTTGCCAATACGATAATGAGATCACATGCTCCAGCGAGGCTATGGGTTCAATGAGCGATCGCTTTTTTTCGGTTGAAGCAGCTGCTGAGATTGTTCGTAGATCGCCTCGGGCGTCACACCGTGTGACGCACGGTATGCCACGGTCTAAATTTTTAGACTGCAGCTAGCCGAAAGTGCTCGAGACGCGAGACGCTTTTGCCAGAATGTCGCCGAAAGTATTATGGTCTGGAACTAATTAGTAGTGATGTTGTGAGTGAAGCATATTAGGCACGAGCTAATGCTACGACTGCAACTTCTTTTACGAAAAGAAGAGTAGAGATTTCACAGGGAAACAGTTTTTAGCGTTAGCAGGTGGCTATATAAATGAGTGGACCATAAGTTTTTTCTTTTGAATCAAGAAGCACGGAGCTCGATTGTATCTTAAAAAAGGTGGAGGTAGTATAATAAGAAAGACATACTAATATAGGCAAGTGACTCTAATCCTGCCATGGTGCGCCCAGAACGCAGCAGCCGACATGTGGAGCGGGTTGCGTGGCGCCATGATAAAGAAGCGCTCTCAACTAGACGAAGCTTTGACATCGTTTGGTGGGAGGCTCGAATAGCGATCGTGCCGAGCTGGATGGGGCCGCGTGTTGGTGTGCTAGGCTGTTCTTCTATGCATTTCTTGAGATCATTGGATGGGAATGCGTGTGGCCTTTAATTAATATGCTAGACCCTCTAGGCCTTTCAGCATCAGCTCGGCAGTAGAAGTGATAACTTAACGAAAAAATAATTATGCTATGACTCTGATACTAATTCGAAGTATTCGTCTACATTATCGACGACCTCTAAAGACAAATGAAGTCTGACTCTGGTGGCGCTGACCTTGTTCCCACAAGGAATATTGTTTGTAGTCTGTTTTTCATTTTGGCAGGAATAAACAAGGCAGACGACAAATGACGCCAGTATGTAGCGCGATAAGTCGGCTCTACATGATACACATCGCTTAGTTGATAGGGGTGTGGCTTTCTCCTATACGGCGTCGAAGGTGTAGCCCAACTTAAGACTTAGCAGGCTTTCGCGGGAGTCTGGTCTAGGTGAGTCTGCAACTCTAAATAGTGGCATGAAGAAGGCACGAATAGCCATACTAGATTGCAAATCGGTAGTATGAAGGCTTCAATGTCGTGCATGAGGAAGATTATTTTTTGAGTGTCGCTTTCGTGAGTAAAAGAGTCGTCCTCTTGTGGCAAGAAGAAAACTACAAGAGCAACGCGCGATGAGAGTCAAGTATTAGTCTATGCACCACGCGAAAAGTGCGAGCTCATGCAAGAGGGAAGAAGCCTGATCTTTGAGCGACAAGCAGGAGAGACCCACGAGTAAACAAGCACCTCCAAAAACGTTATCCCGAAAAAGAGGCTGAAAGACGAGCAAGATGTATCAACGTTGTAGAAGTCCCTTGCTTGGTCTTTCTCGTAAAAAAAGTGGCGACGTAGTACTAGCTGTAGTACTAGCAGTTCCGTGGTCATGAAGATGGTGTGCGTTTTTGCGTTTGAATTTTGCTACGGCTTGATGTGAGTATGTTGCTTCATCTCGAGAGTATTTGACACGCGACATTCGTAATTCTCTTGTTCCAGATGAGAAGCTCTGCTTCTATAAAGTCACTCTCTACCAATGGCACTCCTCAAGGATTATACGACTATCCTTGTATTATTTGAAAATCAAAAATGGAGAAATGTCGGGTCTTGGTTTGTTAATTTTTGAGGCGCGCGAGACACTGCAGCGGCTTTTTTCAGCTGTGTCTCGAATCGACGTGGGACTTGGACGTATCCGCCGGGCAGATTCCAGAATGAGCCGCGACAAATTTCAGCCGGGGAAGAGGCAGCTCAATACTGCTTTGCGCACTAATGCAGGAATGCGGTAAAAAATACGCGAAGATGGTAGCTACGGATGATGAGTCCCCGAGGGTGAAAGCCTCTTGCTTCAGTGGAGTTTTCGCTGTGATGAAGGGCCTCTTACCATGTGACTCGATTGCGCTTCTGGTCTTTGGTGTCGGTTCGATATCTTCATTTGGAAAACGCCGATAACTAGTGGGAAACTGCGCTGAGGTGGGACAGTGCCTTCGTATAAATATAAAGGGTTTGGGAAAGTGGTTTCCGGAAAGCTTTTCAGCATAATATCTCACCGCGGTGCTTTTACGTATATTATGAAGGCTTAACTTGGAACGTGACTCACGATGGATTTGACTGTGCTGGATGATCGACGCTTTTGGTTGGAAAAAAAATTTGTTTTGACGCAACAGCTTTAGGCGCGACGAGTGGGGGGAAAAGGACAACACGCGTTGTTCTTATTGTTCGACCTGAGGTGGGCTTCTGGTTCTAGTACTAGTAGTAGTAGTACTGAAGGACTTGCTCTTAGTAGAAGTGCGGCTAGTCTCTGCAGCATCGTCGCTCTATGGGCCACGTACTGGAAGCCATCGCTCGCCGCTGCTGGAATGGCTGAACTTTAATCGCACTTAGGGACGATTACGGTCGTCGGATACGAAAGAGGAATGATGTTTATGTCTTCAGCATGATGAAGGATTCATGATAGTTTCGCAACTGTTTTGATGAGGTTCGGTAGCTTATTTTTCACAAGAGCAACTGGGAGGGATGAGAGGCGCCGGCAAAATTTGTGCTATAGTTGTAGCGATCATGTTACTATTATATAGATTGATGCTTCGCAGGGCTGACGCCATCAAAGGAGTGCTGCCACCTTCCTAATTGACGGCAATAAAGTCGTGCCTCTAATTTGTGGACAGCAGGACGAGACTTCGCTGCGGTCCAAATATTGCGACGCATGGAGTTGCCATTCGGAAATCAGTCATGTGCTCGCACGTAGTGTCTTCTTTGGTCGTGATAAAGATGTGATGGCCGGGCCGAGATGAACAAGTAAGACCCTGTAGCACCACTGCAACCTGTTCACCAAGGAGCGCGAAGTAAGAGACGAAAGTAGAGAACGCTACTGCGGGGAGATCGGGGAGTAATATTTGAACCGCTTTTCCGGTTCTCACGATGTCATGGCGCCGCCTGTGCAAAATCAGCCCGGCAAGATACAGGAGCCCAACAAGAGCGACGAACACCCAAGCGCCTGCTCAGATGAAAGTCTTTATGTCAATTTCTACCCTCGTGCTCCTAAAAGTAGAGTTCACCAAAAAAGCTAGGCCAAGTAGGTTTTCTAATTTTTTTAGCGCTATTTATCTATTTCCAAACTCATGTGTTAGTTTTGAGAACTACGAGGGAAATGCGGATGCCTCATCGTAGAAAGGGAAGGCGAGCGTCGCTTTATATTACGAACTTCTTCTAATGTTTCTGCACACGACGCTGGCACTCGTCCGCAGGTGGACGCCTTTACCACAACACGCAAGGAGCACTATTATATGCATACTGAAGCATCTTCATAGAAGGACACAGCTATTCCGGATAGAATTTGGGCGAGGCGCTTGGCGCTTGGAGAGCACGACTCTGCCACTAGTAGTTCATCTTCAGTTTGATGTAGCTGCTCTTGCTAATGTTGTAGTGATCATCGATTTTATGGCGGCGTAAGAGTACAAGAACTACCGGCAATTCGGCAGCAGCTGTCTGTACCTCTGCCTTCGCGGCTCGGAAAACTACGCAACGAAAGAAGTGGGAGTGTAGGACCATCATCACAGAGAGTACTACCTGCCTCTGCGCTACGTTGAAAATTGGGACTCTCCAGGTTCGTTCTCGCATACAACACATAGCGAGACGTGCTCCATCTAGAAAGCTGCGTCGTGGTGGTGCGCTACAGTACCAGACGTGTCGTAACACACCAGAACCAGTTCGACGTAAAGTAGGCTTCCGCCAGCGGCTCCCGACTCATGATGCATATCTGGAATGGGGGCTCTAACACATCATGGCGCGCTTCTAGGTGACTACTTCTGCTTGACTTGCTGCTGTATTGGTACTATGCAAGCCTCGGTATTGGTGTCTCATCCTCGAGGTCGGTTGCGATGCACGGTTGAGACGAAAGCGAGAGGATGCAATCTGGCTTCCAGGTGGTTCTCGTCATGGTATGAGCGGTTGCCGTTTTATCTGCAAATCGTCAGAAATTTCTCTGTGCCTCCACATCATAGCTCCCGCTCCTCTTCATCTTGAATGAGAAAGTAGACACAGGAAATCAACGAGCTTTCTTTTCTTGCTGCTGCTACCGGCAGGTGGGCGCAAAGATGAAACATCTTTCAAAGTTCTTGTCGTACGCTGGCAGCTGCAAAGATGGCCAATCGTGCAGTCTCATAGTACAGCAGGAAGAGAGTATGTCTTTGGAAGAGTCCCAAAGGGATGAAGCGAGAGCTCCTAGAGAGAAGAGCCCGCAACATTCCAAGAGAAAAGCTGTACCAGAGCGAGGCCTAGAGAGATACGACATGGCGAGAGAACCTGGCACTTAGTGTGCATATTATTAGCGCTTCATCTGTGCCTTTTCATGCTCATGCAAAAAAATGGGTACAGTTGATAAAGAAGCTTTCCCCTGTGCGAGTCATGACTTTCACTGAGCAAAAATCATTGGAGCAGTCGACCCTAGAAAAAAGATATAATCTAAAAAATCTAAATTTTGTAGATTCCAAATAGATCACAGATAAGCTTCCAGTCGTCTTCGCCATATCCCTTCTTCGTCGCGTCGAGGCATCTCTGGTCCGTTCTCCCACGCAAACAACATGTCGAATTCCACCTCGAAGGAGAGCATTGCGGAGGAGGTGAAGGCGGGTCCATCCACGGACCTATCTCCTATCAAAGAGGAGCAGTCGGGTGCTCCGGTCGAGGATTCGATGATGCTGCGTGCACCGGAGGTGCGTAATGCCTCGAAGGACAGCGTGGAGCTGATGGCGGAAGTGTCCAACATTCGTGACCGCAAAAGCGGAGACGCGATGATGCGTGGCTTATTCAGTGCCGCGGTAATTTGATATATTCTTCTAGTTGTAAAGTTCATTTAGATTTTTTAGATTATCACGCAGTCTTGATAGGAAATTATGGAAATTAGGAATCTAGTAGTAGCTTCCGAAAGATTTTAGCTGGTCGATTGTCTTCTGTATTTATTTTTGTACGTTTATCCAAATCTTCAGTAGAGCCTTCAGCTGATTTCTAGCGACGTTTTCATTTCAGATGATATCCCCTTGCATTTTAAGTTATTTCAGCCAGTTGATGATATAGCTATACTCTCCATATCAAAGAAAGAACTCCTTTTCCATCCCCACTACCACACCATCTTCCTTATTGAAAATATCCATGATGAACTTCGTTTTCATTCACAGGACCTTCGCGCGCGCGCAGTATCTGATGCTTCGCACGCCATGCAGACCAATACCCATCGCGCGAGCGATAAGATGAAGGCTGTCTTTAATAAGCCTGTTTTTGACGCGGATTCTGTGCACAAGATTTTCGAGGCCTGCCATCAGAACCTGGATGGTGCCCGCCAGTTCATGATGGTAGTTTCCGACGGATTCAAACATCCGGAGCTGAATCACATCACTGCGTCGATTGGGGAGCACTACGACATTTTGAAGCAAAGTCAGGAGAAGACCAAACAAATGGTAACGTCCTTACTTTTTTTAGATTTTTTAGATTTTTTTGAAAAATTAACTTTTGGCATGTTTCTAGTAAAATTAAAGACGCAGTCAGATTGGGTTGCGCACAATATCGATGGCCTTAGAGTATACTTAGAGGTAGAAGCACATCGTACCACACCGTTCTCCTTCTAGTACTATTTCAAAAATGAAACTAGCTACTTCAAAAAATGGATCTCATTACTAAGCATTTTACAGAAAGAGATGATGGAACTCATGAAGGAGAAGACGAAGGACTGGGAAGAATGTTTTTTGACCATGCGACAGGAGCAGATCAATCTCAAGTCTGCGATCAACAAGTACACGTCGCAGCGCATGAACTTCCGCAGTAATTTTAGTTTGCACCCTCGTACTATCCTTCTCTGTTCAACATATTACTGTGCTACGTGACGTTATGACTTTCAATATAGACGTTTGGGAGATCTTGGTCCGAGTTTAGATAAGAAATCTGTACTGTTTGACTTGGTTTGGATATTCATACTGTAGGGCGGACGCACTCCCAAACGTCGACTGTCAATCTGGTAGTAATTGCAAAAAGTCATCCGCTCCCCATAACTCTAAATCGTAGCATCATGGTGAAGATGATCTTCCACCGGACACTTCTCACTTCTCACTTCCTATTAGGTGACTTGAAGGGCGCTTTGGAGGCCATCAGTACTTCGCGTTCTGTCATGGAGGAGGTCCTTGACCAGTTCCGTGGACTGATTTCGGCAGAGAAAGCACCGAGTACTGCTTCGCTGTTTCAGGGCAAGAACAAGAAGACCAGCACTCTCTCCAAGAAGTCGAGCTCCTGCACTTCATTCGGCTTGTCTGCATCTTCTTCGAGCAGCAGCAGAATCAACAAGTCCTCCGAAGAGGAAGTCATGGAACCGAAGCGCCGCCGACTCTTTTCGGCTAATCCGCACGACCGTTCGGATTCGGAGGACGCCTAAACGAACGAAACAAGTGTTAACTCTAAACGAAACAAAAGTGAGGGGTTGACACTTGTTGGGGACAAAGGGAAGAAAGGTAGTAATAAGATAACGTCGTGAAAGGTAGGAACTAAATTTTGATCTTTATTTGGGTCAACTTCTTGTCGAGCAGATGCATAGCGCTCCTATTCCACCTCCAATACAAATTCTCTAACTGTTGCATCAGGAAGGAATCTGGTACGTGATCAAAATTTTATATTTGGAATCCATGACTTCCCAAAACGAAAACTCCTAAACAACCATCTCCTTTCATCGCCATCCAGTATCTTCGTCTCCCATTTCCAGGCAGTCGCCTACGGAAGTTCTACTCCAGCTGCAGATGGGTCTTTCCTTGGTTTCGTTTTCCCTTATCCATGGTGAGCGAGGTTACGTCGGGTCAGTGCTTAGTATCATTTTCCACCCGGAGCTTGTTGCGATGTGGACGGCCCCTGCGTATGGATGAAGATGGGAAGAAGAAGCTGGCTGTTGGGATTGTAGAAGGAAGCATCGCGTTATAGTCGATGTTTCAAGATGAGCATTTGTGTGTGCTGGTAAATAGAAGGATTTGAAAAGTTAGAGCAGCAGCGGCAGGAGGTATGCTAGATTATTTACAACAGGAGGATCACGTAATAATATTAGCACGAGGACCATTCTAGAAGCTCTTACCGATGAAGTAAGCACGTTGTTCTTTTGATGAATTTTTGAATTTGATTCTTGAAAAAATATCTTCGTGTAGTTCTTATGAATGAATTACGCGATCGGTTAGTAAATCATTATTGAAGATCGTTAATGTTGTTGAATTTTATACTTACAACTCATGAAATTATGATTGAAAAAGAAGTTCGTCGTGTTGTAATTTGAGGTATTCAGCTCCAAATTATTTCCCTTTGTTCTTCTTTAGATTTTTTAGAATTTATCTTCTTGATTTTGATGTCTTGAGTGAACAAGGTATCAGAAGTACTATCGAAAAGATGTGATTTACATGAATAATTATGCTGATATCTATAATACATTATCATGCTGTTAGAGAATTTCTAATATAACGAAGTCATCACTTGCTAGACGTCAAATATACTAGGGTAGAGCCATTTGCTTGGTGCCACGATTATGATAACGTAGAGCTAGAGAGGTTCCAAACTATAGAATGTTTGCGAAATGCTAGGGCTAAAAATTCCAAGGGTTTGCAAATTATACTAGTAACGGGTTGTGTTTGGGATTCATCGAGAAGGGTTGTTCTATGTAGAATCTGGCTCGGTGTTGGACGTACGTAAACAGATGCATGCACAAGTCAGGCGCTGTCTTTTCTTAGGAGTATGCTGATCAAGGACCAGAAAGATTCTTCTATAGTAGCAACGTACTTGGAAAACGTCGTCTCGTGGGGAGGTAAGTACATCCTAGATGCATGAGGTAGACGCAGAAAGACGCTAGCTCCGACTTTTGTTGTACTTGACTGTCTTCCTAGAAGATGGCCGTTTCGGTTTCACTCCATGAAAATGAATAAAGCGATCCTGACTTCACGCCGCGACGACCTATGGGTGATGAAGTTTAGACAGATCGCTCGTCCATATTGACGGTTCTAGTTGTTCTCGCGTGAAAGAAGCATCCATGACGCAAACACGTCGATGCGAACTGTGGGGCCAGTCCTCTTCATTTACTAGTATTGTAGGAGAGTCAACCTAGGGAAGCAGTTACCTGTTGTCGGTGGTGGAGATCAGCATCGTACTAGTCTGTTGTCATACTTGTCGGTTAGTACTATGGCAGAAGGATGACGCCTGTAATCGGTACGGCTCGGCTATCCTGTCGGTGTTACATTCGTGGTAGGAGCTGAGTTTCCCGTTCCCACAGACTTTTAGTCCCCTATGCGTGATATTCGTAGATGATGATGTACAATGCGTGGACTTTTGCAGAGTGAAAATATGTGTATGCGTAAGTTTATACATCTGCTTCGTCTGCTGGGACCTGAAGGCGTGGATGATGTGCGGCGCCAGCAGAAATGAACGTAGTAGATAAACCACAAGTGGTAATCTTAGGCCGACCTATGTTTTCATGAAGTCCGAGTGCTTCTATAGAATGATCTATTGACTCAAAAATCATGACGATAGTAGTACGATGTCGCTAGTACAGCTGCGGCGCTCCGACGAGAAGAGGCGTCGGAAGAAACGCGTTTCCGGTGCACTTCCGGCGCTCCTAGGTCCCAAGCAGGACGACATACGCGACTTCTTTTCCGGTAGAGGAGAGAGCAGTGCCCATCTTCTATCAGACATCTCCACGTCGCTAAATGCGCATGCGCGATTCGACGAGAACATTCCTGCGTTGGATGAACTACAAGAGTCCGCTTGTCAAGATGCTCGCATGGACGTTGGTGCGGATCCCAGCAAGCTTACTAATTCGGGAAAGCTACGAGGTGTCGCTGATCATTGTAGTGCGCGCGACCAGTTCATCAACGATGTCTCCAGAGATGAGGCTCCGATAGGCAGTGGCAGTTGTATACTAGGACGCGACGCAGTGTATGAAAGGAGCGCGTCTCAGCACGATAATCATCTCAGTGGTGGTTTCTGCGACGATCCGGATCAGATTTGTTGGTGGGCAAAGCAGGAGTCTAGGCTTATTACCTCTGCACCTTCCAGGCTGATACGCGATATCGAACTGAACGACACTATGCTCGTTCCGTTGGCTCAGGAGCTGCCGATATTGAAATTGCTGCAGCGACGATTTAGACCGGAGGTAGTTGCTTCTGAGGGCGTTGACGTTGCTGGGAGGGCCAGTACAACTGATCCTGAAGTATCAGACAAAAAAGGATCTGCAGCATCGTCGTCTGTGGGGAGCGGCGTGCTGAAGTCAGCGCCTGCTGTAGAAGCAAAATGTCTTGGTCGCTTAGCCAAGAAGCGAAAAGCATTTGAGGAGCAGTATGAGATTATTGATTGGGACGATTGCGATTTGGAAGCAGATCCGGAGGCAGAGTGTAGCAGCGTGCTGTCATCGCTGCAGACCAAGGCTCCCGGTGCTATCAAAAAATGCAAGAGCAGAGATGCGCGCGGGCATCTTGCAAGGAAAGAGGCTAGCGTAGTGGCTTCTGCCGGGAGTGTCAGCTCGCCTCTGTCGTTCAAGGAGGCGCCACGAAAGGCAGGCCTCATTCGAACTCGAGGGACTACCGCTTTGTTATCCTTTCGCGCTGCGGGAAAAGCTTTTACGAAATGGGCGAAGAAGACGAATTTTGATCCAGATTTAGATATAGACAAAGACGATTCGAAAGATGTTGCAGGTCATGTTTTAGAAGACTCGCTAGTAGATGAAGAGGACGAAGAAATCGCAGAATGGTGCCCAGATATTTCGGCGGGCAATCTGCTCTTTCCCGGTGCAACAGATGCGCGCCACTCGACTTCTGCTTCGTCTCTGGGAGACAGTCTTTTTGACGACATTATGGAAGATCGCCAGCTTCCGACTATAGATGAACTGCGGGCGTCGGATAAGGCCGACTTGGTAGATGCTGTCTCACGGAGTGTGGACTCATATTTCAGTGGAGAAAGTCCTCAGGGGCAAGGAGAACGCACCGATCTGCAAAGGAATGGAATTGCGTGTCAGATTGCTTTAGACGAGGAGCAGGAAACGCTTGTCAAGCGGAGTCGCGTCGTGGGGCATTCGTCTGAAATAGATGCTACGGACCTGGGATCGCGAACAGCAAGCAGCACTGTGAGTACTATTTTCTTCTCATCTACTCGCATTTGGATTAGTATGTCGTAGTCTTTGCACATGGAGAGAGTCGATCATGGCACTCAACGTGTAGACTTATGACTAGTACCAGTATAATTCCATAAAAATTTGTTTCATCATTGTCAAGCAGTGATCTTCTTCCCCGTTGGTACTTGCTTCCAAGAACTGCGTCATATTTTGATTTCTTTTTCACAGCAAAAGCGTTTGTGACGGACTCGCAACTCCCGCAGCAAACAAGCAAGGCCGGGCCAAGAAGTGGCAACTCACAGAGAATAACTTCCGACAACGGGACTGCAATGGGGGAAGACCGTCAATCTGTAGCTGGGAAAACGATCGAGGGGGCCACGTCTGCAAATGGGATGGCAGCAACCCAGACCGGGGCTGCAGCTGGGTGTGGAAAAGAAACAGCTAGACCAGCAGATTCCTCAACCGGCGGCGGCTTTGCTGCTGTCACTACCAGAATGCCTGGCGTTATCGACCGCAAGAACAAGTACATCGCGATTATAACACGTCTGCAGGCTCTAGAGCGGTATGGGGTAAAGTCCGTGCATGAAGACGAGACCGCCAGAGGATCTAGTAATAGGTATGCGAAAGCAAAATCATCGAAGTCGGCGAGTACCAAGCTCATAGCGACTTCGGGCCACAAACACAGCAATGCGGCTAGTGCGGTTCATCCAAAGGTGCACAGCGTAGACTCCTTGTCGGCGCACTACGAGGACTGGCTGAGTCGTTATGATATAACGCATGGGATCAAAAGAGCGCATTCGCTTTTCTCGCTTACGCCAGCAGTCGTGCATCATCATGCGCCTGCCATGGGAAAAAAAGCGAGCTTGCAGCTGCTTAGAGCTTCAACTTCTATAAAGGAAAAATCGGCGTCCACAGGTGGAGACTCTACTTCCTTTCCAGTTGATCATATGAAGAGTGATAAGCCAGCTGTAGTAGAAGTCGACCACTCATCAAAAAAGGGGACTTGCGATGTATCGTCGTCCTCTGCAGCACTGGGAAAGGAGCAGGAGGGACAAGGAGATGAGCAGGAAAAGACCGAGGAAGAACATGACAAAGCGCGGAATGGTGGAGATGGTAGCGGAGACGCAGACTCTAAGCCCTATTCTAGTGCCGACCTAAAATCCATGTCAGTGCCGGTTGTCCAGCAGCAAGGCAGTGGAGCAAATATGAAAGGACGAAACGCAAAGGCAAAGCCGAAGGCCGTGTCGAAAAAGGCATGCGTAGTGGGAACAGGCAAAGCGGGCAGTTCTGCTTGTACAACTATAACCAAATCAGCAGCCGGAGCTAAGGTGCGAGGCAATGGCGCGGACGCGGTAAACAGTGGCATCAACGCTCGGGCTTTGCAGTTCGCTGCACCTGAAACGGATGAATCAGTCTCCTTGAAGACAGCGATTGCACACATCGGTGTACTAGCTGAACTGCTGCGCTGCGCTACTGCAGAAGACAGCATCACGGAAGAGATTCACTTTCGTCTAGCGTGTGATCGCGGAGCACTATCATCGTTATTCTTTGTCGTGGCTTGGCTTCGGCATTTTCAAGAATACTCATTGAGCACAGGGAGTCCTCTGCTGATAAGCATAACTGTGTCGTGGTGCCGGCAGCATGCTTTGGCTACTGGTCTTGCGGAATCCGTGACAGAGGGAGGACAACGACTGGGATTCTCCTCTCGTGGAATACAAGATGGTCTGCGGTTGTTCGTTGGCGCCATTCGGAACCGCTTGTATTTCTTTATTTTGATAATTTCACACTCTTCATGGATTGACAATCTAGATCTAGAGTTTAGTAGATGTAGGATTAGTAGAAGCTTTTCATGTCTGAGACGAGACTTGTTGCTACTTTCTTCTTGTTCCGTCAAAGTGCTTCCCGCGTCACACCGTGTGACGCCCGGTATGCTTATCAATCTCAGAAGAGCATCTTCGGGCTGTCATCTTTTTACACAGTGTTTATTCTAGTATTAGTAATAATATCTTGTTTCTAGTACAATTCAAGACTCCGCTGAACGTCGAGAATTTTAGACTGTTTTTGTTGCATATTAAGCTAATCCGGGACTCATATTATAGGGCAAGTTGCTTTCTCTTTAGAAAGAGTGAACTTTTGGCGCGAAAGCATTCCGGGCGTCACATCTTGTGACGCCCGGCATGATAGTAGGCTTTTTTACGTTGGTTGGTTGAAAGAGAAGACGTTTTTTCCTTCGCCTGAGCTACTGCTGGTAATTGAAATGCAAACTCTGGAATTCATACTTTTGCTAAGTTTCCTTGTTCCGCATCTTGCTAGAACCTTCACAAACAGAGGCTTTTCATATTTTTGGGAGTGATATGCTCGATCTACGCATCACCCCAGGTTCGAGGTTCTCGGGCAGATCATTACCGATACTGAGATTGCGTGCGGGCCAGTAGTCGAGTCATTTTGTACGAGTGGCAGCTTTGAGTGGGACGAGGACTTTCACCGGTTCTATCAAACTATTTGGGATTCAGCAACTTTTAGTTTCTCTGTCATGGAGAAAGCGAAGAAACAAGAAATGGACCGCTTCTTAGCGAAGCAGGCGGAAACGTCGCCAAAGAAGAAGCGATGCAAGGCAGCCATGGATAGCTCTCGAGGATCTAGTGCACCAACAGCCGACGCAACGACGCGCGTTGAGACTATTGCTGCTTTGGCGTTTGCAAGGGAGCAGCAGCAAAAAGCAGATCGAAGTCGCGCGGCGCAGGAGGCTGCTTTGAAACGTCAGCATGCAGAGCAGCAAAATTTGCTGCAACAAGGTTTGGCAGCCGGGCCGAGAGGTAGTGGAGCCTCAACTGATGCTGAAGCTACTGGAGTGCAGCTTACGCGCAATGAAAGTGCTGGCTTCAAGCAGCAGAAAGGGGAGACAACTTCGTCCATTCTAGGAAAGAGCAATAAGACTGCGCGCTCGGAGGACTTCGCCGCTACCTCTACCAACGCGATCGACAGGCGGTCTTCATCTTCTAGCTCTAGTAGCTCTTCCAGTGCACCGGACTTGGCACATGCTGGCGCAGTGGGAAACCCCAGTGGCACAGTACCAGCATCGGCAGCTGCGAGCGCATCCGGTACGTGCAACAGTGGATCGAAGAATCCTTTTCCCTCTAACCTCCAGCAGGGAAAAGCTGGACGGGTTCTAGCTAGAACACAGCGGTGCACTGACGGGAGATGCATAGTCGTCCATGGTAAGCCACAGCACTCTACTTTCGTTTGTGTTTTTAGATTTATTGATATCATTCGTTATGGAGATGACTTCGAATTTTTGAAAATATAGCCGCTTCCCTCAGAAGGAGTCGTCAGCAGATAGAAATCGTTGAAAATTATGTTGGAGCTACGCCTCCCACTATGAAGAACTCAAGCTAATTTCTGACCTGATGATGCAAAACCGGCTGAAAGTAGTTGTGGCTTCCAAATTTTACTGCAGGTCCTGAAATTCAGGAGGATTGGGTTGATCTGGCAGTTGAGGAGCAAGTGCGCATTGTGTCAAGCGCAACACGGTCAAAGCATTGGCAAAAACCGACGCCAACAAGGTGGCTGCGATATACAGACACCTTTCGCGCCATCATATCGCTAATGCTTCTATGCTCAGTCGTTTTCGAACCAGGTTCCGAGCTTCACGTCGGACAGGGCGAGTTCGTTCTCATCGGCCCAAACGATATGTCCCGGATGGGGGTGCTGTCTGTGCTCGGCTATGTCGCAGGATTCTGTCTGATGACTACGCAGGGGCACTCCCTGACGACGCTTCGAGTCGCGGCGGAAGGGGACTTTGTGAGCCGTCTCCTCTCTGCATGGAGACAGGCTGTGGCACGGCTGTGTTTATTGGAGCTTGACCTGATTTTGGGAGCAAGCGTTGATATCACAACTGTCGATGTGAATCGGGTCCGTATCGCAACGATGATGGCGCTACTTTCGGCGTACGGATGCACCTATCGAATGCGATGCGTCGATAGTGGTCAGAAGTTCCTTGCAGCATTCTCAAACGCAAATTGTAAGCGGCAGTTCGCAAAACATGCAATGCTTGGAGGCTTGAAAAAATACCGCGAGACGATGAAGCAGTACGTCTCGCAGGATGACTCCCGGGCCAGCATAGTTGCTATGGATCACACTCTCAATGTCTTGCAGAACGGGCTACCGCGGACACGAGACGGCGTAGAGCGTGCTGCCACCTTTTTAGCGAATCAGACGGCGTTCCAGAATCTGTGGCCTGACACAACCACGTCGGTGGAGCGCTTTTTCAGGATTCCGAAATGGCTGCAGAGACGTTTCCGTGAGGGACAGTGGAGAGGAACTCCTGCATTAAGTGCCAATAGTGTGGGGGTATTTGTGTCAAGGGAGGCTGCAGCAGCAGGAACGGTTTTGAAGGAGATGCGGAACCGCGAAAAAACTTTACAGCGGCTTGCCCGAAAAGGGGACGTCTCTGGAAATGGGTACTACCAGTATCTGCGAGATGAAGGATGGATTCGTGCTGACAAATGGAAGCTCCTTCCAAAAGCTTCAAAGCTCAAGTGGCGGGCTAAAGCGCGAGAGCATGCGAGTAAAATGCGGACAGAGCGGCATGGACTTCTATCAATGCTGGCGTGTGACAGACAGGACAAGCAAGTCGAGGTTGAGCAGGCAGCGCGATCCCTAGTGCGTTTGGAAAAGTTGCGGCTTCGTACGTGCGAAATCCGACGAAAGCTACACATGAGTCGCGCAGCAGTTCGAAATTTGTCTGCGGCATCAGTCGATATTTTTGCGGGCTATGAGCTTGATGATTGGATGTGGATGGAGTTCGAAAAGTGTGCTGATATTTGCCATAAGAGCGAGATACAGGAAGCGCCAATTATAGCTCAGATGACAGGCATTGCTCTCGAGATGGCAGGCGAATATGTTAGGAGGCGAAAGAAGGAAGAGGCTGCTGCCGGAGCATCTACACGAGCTTCGCAAGCAGTCGCGCCTGCAACTGCAGCAGGCGAGCGCGCACTGGCTCAAAGCGGATCAGCAGATGCATCTAGAACTGAGGGTCCACAGCACGGCGGGGTAGACCAACGTCGCGCGGCAGCAGCCAAATCAGACGCAAAAAAACCTGTTGCAAAATCTCGCCCCATGGGCTCCCAGGTGCATCAATTAGGGAGCGTTCTGCTGATGAATGAAGCGGAGGACTTGTTCTTCGACCCGCCAGCTGCAGATCCTGCTCCTGTGGGAAAAGAGCAGGACTCTATTGGTCATCCAGCAGATGCTGCCTCAGTGCCTTCTGTATTTTTTAAACCTTCCTTAAAGTAGTTTGTAGTCTAGTACAAGTATATCACCCATATTTTTGCGTTTTTATTTATAAAGAACTCATGATGTGGTCGTCATTTTATCTTCGTGACCAATGTCCTTTCAGAAGTTATTAAGGCGTAGATTTTTTCAATATGGGCATGCGTCTCATTTCATTAACAGGACTCTCGCGTATGCGCAGCGTCTAAATCTGCAGTCGTAACGCAGGCGAACACAATCCGCGCGAGTGACGCAGGTGGCGCTGCCGTAGTCGCGGTCGAACTGACTGAAGAAGAGCTAGCACTGCAAGAGGCAGAAAGACTTCATAGAAAGCGCTTGGAGGTCTTCCGCAACTTCAAGGACAAAGTCTTGCTCGTGAAATGTCAGAAAATGCCCGGACCGATCAAACCAACCGGCAGAGGCAAAAGCAAGCAGAAGCATGCACTCCAAGAGCAGGATCCGAGATGTGAACGCGAAGCACAGGCGCGCACCTTTCTTCTTACGTGGCACAAAAACAGACCCGACCGATCCATGTTTTTGGAGCTCACGGAATTTCATTGCGTGATAGACGCAGACCCAGTAGAAGATGGGCAGGAAAAAGCTGGAGAGCTTGAAGGGATGCCCAGAGACATCACGATGAGCATGCAAGCCTCAGGAGATGACGTAGTAGCTTGCAGCACACTAAAGGGCGCTTCTTTAATAGATGAAGAAGCCCATCTTCCAGCATGCGGGAAAGAAAGCGTCAAACCAACCAGCCGGGCAGGAAAGACTCATGCTCCTTCCGTAGACGCAGCATACCGTGCGAATAGCCAGCCGAATGAAAGTGCACGTCCTCAGTCAACGAAGGGTACGGGCCAGAAACTGGAGGAGACGGAGATCCTTCAGTGCCGAGGCAATCCAAGAGCACCACATGCTTTTGCAACTTCTGACGATAGAGCACTATCGGCGTTTGGAACAGATAAGGGGATTGACGACGTTGTGCAGAAGAGCACGCAGCTGCACGGGGTTTTTTCTAAGAGTCTACTAGATGTAACGGACGACGATTGGTATCGATCAATCGACCTTGCGGAATACGACACCAGTGAGATAACCTTATTTGTGGCGGAGCCGCTAGTGGGGATGCCTCCGCTGTCGCAGTGTTTGCGATATGCAAGCACAAGTAGTCCATCCTTCGTGGCGCACAAACTAGAGGAAGTTGAGCTCAGCCGGATGACGCGTGCTAAGGCAAAGAACAAGGTAGGGCAGCATGCTGCTCAGAAGAAAACAATGACCAACGAGTTTCTTTTCAGAAAAAGTCGAAAGGGCAGATCCGCAAAGGTGAAGCGGATGATAAGCGTTTTGGATCATGCGCGCAGATTCATAAATGCGACGAGCACTTCCTTTGTAGTTAGGGAACGTGACAAACCTGCGAAGGCCGGCAGAAATCAAGGCAAGAACAAGCAAGGAGGATTGTTGTGCGGGTCCAATGGTACAGCGCGAGGCGATAGCCTGAGTGGTAATCTCGTAGAGAATGCGACGTCTCATGAAGGGCTGGATGGGCTTCTACTTGGCCGTGAGTCAGAACTTGACCCCTGTCAAGGGGAAGATGGTCTCGATGACGACGATGCAAACATCGCTGCAGAAGCGGATGAGCGCCGCCAGCAGGCTCTTGCTGATAACGGAGGATCTGACGTTTTTTGCATATTGGAAGGGCCGGAGACAAAGATACTGACGGCGGCGGCGTCTGCTAGAGAAAGGCGACGGTCTGAGATGGGAGCGCTTCCTGCGTCGGGGGCGCAGCGTCTCTTGCTGCAGCATGCACTCGACCGGCCAAGTTGTTCAACTGTATCTCTAGCACTTTCGGCTGCCCTGGAAGCTGGTGGAGGAAAAATCAAAAATCAATTTCCAGACGAAGAAGAGAAATACGGCAAGGACGCCTCTAATGTCGACCTCACACACATTATGAAGTGTGCCATCCTGGCAGGAAGTGGCTCTGCTGAGGAGTCATTGCAATCGGCTGTACTAGGTCTTCATGGAGTAGCCAAGCGACAGTCGAAGAAATCAATGAGAGGAGAAGAAAGCCCACTGCAGTTCCACGAAGGCGGCGGCGTCATGCATGCGGAGAGTGACGACAACGAGGATAAGAACGCAGTTTCAGCTGCGTCAGGCAGAAGGATGTCGCGAGCCAGCGATGAAGATGGCCAGCTCTTGCGGAACGCGGCAGGTCAATTTGTGGCATCATCCTCTTCCACCGGAAAACGCGCACTGTCCTCTTTCTTTCCAGAAAGTACTCCTTGCCAGGGTGACAGCAAGAACCTCCAGTCATCGAAGTTACTGCAAGAGATCGCAGAGGAAGATACTCATCAAGCGAGTGGGAAAAGCGGCAATCCACCTACAGCACACACTAGTAGAGGCAAAGCAATAAGTAGTTGCGTGAGCAGCGCTGCGCCATTTCTGGAGCCGACTGCTAAACAAAAGCAATCTGCAGGTACAGGCGTAGCTCTCGTTGAAGTTGCAAAGCGTGCTAAAAGTGCAGCAGCTTTAGGTTTGGACGGTCGAGCAGCGTCAGCCTATGTCGAGTGTTACGAGGGTCGCATGCGTACCGAAAATGGCCGCCGGAAGCGCCAGCAGAAACATGAGGTGAATTTGAATCCAGAACAGAGAGCAGAGTTTAATAGGTTGATCGTCAGATTCAATACGACGCTACCACGTCCAGACCATCCCGAATGGTACATCGGGCCCGATCACTGGGGTGAGAAGCAGATGGAGAGGCGATTTCTGAAGACCAACGGCAAGGTCATCCACGATTGCCTCATCGCGCATCCAGTGTCGCAAGTTTCTCCGGAGGGAAAACGGTATCAAGAAATAGCATCCAATTGGGGTCCGCTTGGTGTTCAGTTATTACGCGTAGCCGCTCACTACAAGCAGAAAACACGGAACTTCACGAAAGGAAGATATGTCCAGGCGAAGTACTATAGATTCTATCTGAGTTTTATGATCTTTGTCGTGTAAAAATAAATACGTATCTTAGTTTCGTTTAGATGATTGTAGAAGCATGCGATGCTTAGGAGTCGGAGCAGCTGGTAAGAGACCGAGAAGTCGTTGCCTTGGAAAAGCTGTTGTGTCATGGCTGCTTCTGACACGGTCCGGGCCGCCGGTTTGGACCTAAATATGTCTTTCAACGTAGTGACGCGCGACATTTTTTGGGCTAGCCATAGGGGCATGCCCATTGCGCGCGCAACGGGCAGCGGGAAACTGGGACTGGTTACTACATCTGCGTCTCCTGTGCTTCTAGCCGTGGTTGAGTCGTGGCTTAGTGACTGCGAGCTTCAAGCGCGGAAGCAGCTGCAGGGCAGCAAATTGGCCACCGTTTTTGGCCAAGATGTCCCCAGCGTCTCTCGAATCTATGGTCGCAAATGGGTAAGTCAAAAGTCAGCCACGGCTGGACTCGCAGGTTCTTCATTTCCGTCATGGACATGAAGAGCCGTTTTGTAGTCGAGTTTGAATGAAAGTAGCTTCTTTGGATGCAGTTACCTCATAGAGCATTAAGGATGCTAATTCAGAGTCGTTAATAGTAGAAATGCAGTCGGGTGGAGCAGCAGTGAAATTGCAGTGCTTGCATTAGTTACCAATATCACGTAATACATACCTTTCGATCTATCAGGCTTCTGCTGGAGCTGTGGGTTGCTCGAGTCCGATTCATTCTAGCGCGGTGGCACTCCCATAAGATCGAGCTGATGGAAGCTACGAAGAGATGCATTATTACGGAATTTTCCAAATGGATCGAGCCAATCAAATCTGTCTGCGAGCGATTATGTACGACTGAAGGCGAGCAAAAGTTTTTGCACAGCGTCGACAATTTGAGCAACTTCGATCTCTTGTACTTGCGACCGAAGATAATGTTTCAGCTTTCAGACGGTAGACCAGACACTTCGGCATCGGCGCAATTGATCCCTGATGATTTACCTGCGAGTGACTGGGATTGGGAAGAAGAGAAGACGCGAAGGAAAAACGCAGCTCCGAAGAAGATGAATCAGAAGAAGCCTGCTGCTAAGAAGCAAACGGCCAAGGCAAAGGCACAGTCGAAATCCAAGAGTCAAGTGGGCGCTAGTAGTGATTCTGCATTGGCGGTCGGAGCACAGGGAGCAGTTGGCCTTACTGTTGATGCGGACGACGATGAGGATGATTCATCAGCTGCGCTCGATGCTTTTTTCTATGCGGGTCACGACGAGAAGAGCGACGATTAATCCGGTGTGCCGAAAGGGTTGATGGATGCAAGCGCAAGATCATTCAAGATCAACAGATAGACTTTCAAGGTTGCTATATTAGGGAATAGAAATAGAAGCAAAAGAAACACTTTTTTTTTCGTGTTGTTATGATTGACGTCTCAAACTCTTAATGGAGTCAGAATCTGTAGTGGTTGTAGATTAAATGTTTAGAATTGATTGTACACATCTCGAACCCATCGTGCTGCGATTAATTTCATTCAGACATGACCAGGCTACGATAGGCGCAGCTCGTATCTTCCTTTCTTGTAGACCATGGCTTCGTGTGCTAAGATATACTTTGTTTTTTCGTTGAATGGGCTACCATTTCCACCAAGAGCTACGACCGCTAGTTTGTTATTCTCGATTTGCAGACCGCAGGTGACTCTTTGAATCAGTTAGATGCATGTATCCTACAGAATTTGCCCATGCATGTCCCCTACAGATCCTGCAAAGCAGAGACCCTCTTTCAGACACCCATAGAATTCCTTTTATCTTCCCTAACTACCGAGTGTGGGCCTCGAATCAGATTGAGGCAACGAAAGATAAGAGAGTAGGGATGTCACCGACTGAAATTGGCGATGCTTTAAGGTGTTGGGAAGATGTAAAACTGGGAGCATAGTACTCTTATATTGTAGCGGAGATTACCCCTCTGACACGCTTCAAAGATTATGACCAGGAGAGTGCTCCTTCCCAGTGATCTTCACCCATGAGAGTTGAGATGCATGAGAGGAAACTGGGGCAAGCATATACTAAAAACATGCGGCTGCAAGGGTTGGGTGTGCTCATAGGAAGAGTTGAAATATTTTGTTCATAATTTTATCAATTTCAGTTTTTGGATCATCAAAACGTGAGTTTCTACTTGATTCTAACTTTTTTTATGAAGCATCTTTCTTCGAATGATTTTCAAGTTTCTACTAGTGTTTAGCTCCCAAGAAATTTTGTTGAAAGTTTGTAAAAAGTTTGTAAAAAGTTTGTAAAAAGTTTGTAAAAAGAATGTTGAAAACCATCTAGTATCCAATCAGCTTAGCACAAACTTGAACCAGAAGAAATACAGGATTTTGATAAAAAAACAATAAGATTATTCTTGTTGTTTTCTTGAATTTATCATCATCTTCTGTTGCAACAAAATTCATGGAAGACCAGCATAAGCTGGCTGACGCCAGTCCTGGGCGTAAGGCGGAATCGCTGCTGCCGTCTGCAGCGGTTGACCCACCGCCTAGACAGTATCCGGCAGACCTTCCGAATGCAAAGAGGGTGTTGGACGTACCCCAGGCAGTTAGCAACAGTTCCATCGTGCCGAGTCTCCACCGATTCCGCAAGAAGGATCATCAAGTAGAACAGCCCATCTGGTATGACAGAAGTAGTTCTTCTACTAGTGTAGCGCCACTGCGCGAATCGGATAAGTCCGGATACTGCGACAGGTATGACATGCTGTGCGAGGAAACTACCATTCATCTCCATCATAAAAGCAACAACTTATCCGTGGACCGGCAGGGACCGCCGAGCGTGGAGCGGTTGGCTGCGGAGCCTCATCGCTGTTTCTGCTACAGCTCAGAATCTGCGGACGGCCTTCTCAACCAGTCGTTCGAAGGTCCAGCTACCGCGCGCTTTACTTCGACGCACCTCTGTCCTATTCCGGGCATGCAAGACCGATTGCCAAACGATCCATCAGCGATAGCTCATCGTCATCACTTCGAGCAGGGGGATAGTTTTGTTCTCGATCCAGTTGCACATGGTTTTCCTGCAACGTTTTTCGCGGACAATGAGGATTTGCACGGCAGCGGCGAGTCGCGCAAAGCAGACTGGCGTCAATGCAATGTTCCCACATGGGCTGAAAAGTGGGCGCATCCAGAAGTAAAGAAGCTTGTCCAGGAAAGCGCTCGTGAACGTTTTGGCTGGGTCGACAAAGAAGATCATGTCTTGTGCTGGAAGATCTTCGTGGGAGGTGAATGGAGACAGTACCCCACTAGCAGCTATCCCCGCGACCCTCTCTTCCCAAGCAATTCTTTTAGCACTAACGTAGATCAGGTATGGAACTACCCGATCATCGATAGATATGCTATCTGTGACATCATTCCATACCCACGCATCTGCTTAACCCAGAAAGGCCCTTACCCCGGACCGGGGAATACTGGCGAGCGCGGTGAGTACCTTTGGTGGGAGGAAGACCTTGATCCGCTTTTACAGCCAGACTTCAACTGGAATCAATTCGAAACATGGGGACCGATGTATCACCTCTTCAATCGAGAAAGGACTGTTTTACATCCACAAGACGAAGACGAAGACTCAAAAGTAATTCCAGCCCACAAGGTGCTGCACATGTGGGGTCAAACAGTAGCTCGACGAACGTGGATCAAGTACTTTCGCAACTGGCGGCGAGCTACAATTTGCAATAGGAGGCTGCGTGCCGCAATCCAGGCGCTGCACAATGAGAAGATCGTAGAGCAGCGACTTGCGACTAACTCCGGTATGAGGAGCGGCTTTTTCCAGCGGTGGCGCGACCAGTACCACTTTGTCGGCAACGTTTCTAGAAATCAGCTGGAGTTGCACACCAGCGACCAGGTAGTAGATCTTCAACGTCTTCACTTCTTTGCGCAGCAGTTTGATTCCACGAACTTCACTGGCGTAGCTGCAGTTGAGAGCTGTGAACCACCGCGAGGCGAGTCTGAACTGCAAAAAGGGCCTCGGGTTTATGGATGTCCCTTTGCGATCAGAATCAACGACGAGTACTACTACAGAATCTACACCGTGCACAGAAGTGCGGGCTGCTCCGACGTCCAGTGGTCGATTAAAATCGCACAACAGATGATGCACGATTGGCATCCTGCGATAAAGTTTCGGCTTTTTCCAAATAGTCCATTTCGCACAAGTCAACTGCGAGGGCCTCGTCGTACTGGCGGCGACGAAGAAGAGAAGACCAGGCTTGCGCTGGTCAACTCTGACGAACAACGCCATCCGGTTTCAGAGTCTAGCTCATCACAGAGTAACAATCTAGCAGTCACCGTCTTCAAAGAAAAGTACGCGGCCCCGAGGCGTGCTATTGATAGGCAACCACCTCAGTCAACGTCTACACCTACTACACCAAGAAAACATCAGCAACAATCTAGTTCTAGTGGGAGTAGAGAAACAGTCGTCCAGACGCAAGCACTTTCTCGGCCACAATATGACGACGGTGCTGCTTACCCATACAAGGTTCTTCGCGCGCGACCTCTTTGGGCCACTCGTTGTTACGCCGCTCCCATGCTGTACACAAAGACAGGCGTGAAGCTCTTCGATGCGAATGGAGTAGTGGCGAATCCTTGGTGGGCCATCAAGCGTTGGACTTCCTATGACGACTTTGACTGCTCCGACAACTTTTCTTCTAACCGGCTGAGAAAACCAAACAGCGCGTCTAGCCGGCCCTCGCTGTACTATGATGGTCGTCTAGCTCCACAAGAGCCTATCGATCGCCATGGCGGCAGCATAGGATGCTTCAACAGATATCATCCGCCAGGTAACTATCCCGACTGGACGCACATGTGGCACTGGTTGGACAAGCAGAGAAGCATCGACCGCATCAGGAACAATCCTGGCCCTCCTTCGCCACAGCGTAGTATGAGCCACACCTTGACTCCGCCGTACGGCTCGGTGGCATTCCATGCGAAGCAGATCGCTAAGGCGCAGAATAATGCGGATGGTGGCGTATCACGCAAGCGTATGCGAGATTCAGGTGACAGCGCAGTTGGCGACTCATCGGGCACAGAGTCGGATCGTTCTCGACCGATTCGGCTTGAGTCCTTGCCGCGTGCCAAACGTCCGAGGCATGGTTTGTCTGCCGAGGATGAGGAAGATGATATGGGTGGTCTTGAGTCGTTGTAGCTGTAAGATCATACGTGCTCCAGTGCTTCATATTTATTGCTTGTGAGCTAGTGTGGTTGTAGAACGTTCTCCTGTGCGTGAAAGCTTGGGAGAACTCGTTCTAGCTTAATTTCTGCGTAATGTGTGTCTCTATCGAGAGCGATTGCTTATGCTTCTGAATAATGACTGTCATAGAAAGAGTGCATATTTAGACATTAATGCCTTCTAGAAAATGCTTCCTTTTACGTATCACGCGATAAGATAATGCTCTCGTGTTTATGGTTTCTGAGTTAATGAATCTACGCTGTTTTTTCTATTCATCTAATCGCCTATACACCACATCTTGCTTTTTGGTCAATGTATTACTGCGTGTCTGCGTAAGGTGGATGACTGTGCTAGCCTACTTGTACCTTATTCGCCATCCAACTTTTTCACCATGAATCACATTTATGCACGATACGCATCAACTGCAGCTGATCATCATTTAACCTTGTACAGAAAAATTGCCCTAATCTTTTTCGCGTTACCCACACTAAATCCCCACTCAAATTACGACCACAGACCTCCTAATATCCAAAGGCTGCCCGATGTCTATAACCTGTACAGAAATATGCTTTGGCCAGTAAATGAAAACTATCTACTCGATGAAGAAGACAGGATGGTCTTCCCCAGCTGGGTCCTTCTCGTGTCTTTCTACTTTGATGTCGTTCTCACGTAACCTCAAGTGCTCTACTAAGCACTTAAATTGGGGCCTGGGTTATAAGTTCTATCTACTACCTCATAATTGTCACTGCCACGGGTAGAGAGAGAGAACGAAGAAGGGGAGTTAGCTCTCACAGCGTGGCGCTCAGGCTAACAGCAGTAAGTCAGTAAGTCTTGTTATCTATGTTATTTGATATAGCCCTTGTTGTTTGTTTTGTTCTCAGTAAGGCAGTTTTCTTCTCAAATGTCTTTTCTTCCAATAGGACAAAAGGCTAAGTAAGAGAGGCAGTGTGTGAGAGGTTATAACATTGGGATCTTTAGCTTCGAGGTGTCTGCAACTCATCTTCTTGGAAAAATAAGATGTCAGCTGTGTTAGAAGCATCTCCGGACGCATCCACAGTTTCTGCTTTGCTCGACGACGTCTTCAGCAAGGATGAGCTGCAATCATCTATCAGCGCACAGAAAGCAGCGCCAAACGAGGAGGACACGGCGGCAAGTGAGAGCCTCACAGAACTAATCTATCGTCTACCCCGTCCTCTGAAGCGTGGCGAGGTTATGCTCGAGAAGTCGTCTCCGGTTGTAGTGTCGCCGATTCAACCATGGAAATTGGTTTTCAACGACGACGACGCACTATCATCTGCCGAGAAGAAAGGCTGGCAGAAAGCTGCTACGCAGGTTCTGTGCAAAGGGCGCAAACGTGATCTGCACATGCCTGAACTTGGTGGGTCCGCGAATGCTGGCTCGATTCACCCGACCGAAAGGCGCCGTGATCCCCGTGCTTTCAGTCAGGCGCTCGCGAATCTTACTGCAGCAGCTGGGCTAAAGAATCAGGTACTTTTTCTTAGTTGTAAGAAAAGTTCAGACACAACACAAAGTCGAGCGTTGACTTTCGATAACGCCAAGGCATCTATGCATATTTATATCAGTCTCCTGCAACTCCAACTGCTGCCATCTAGATAGTTTAGCACTCTTTTCAGAGATCCAAACTCTATCAACTTCTCCCATCATATCACTCCTTATTCATCAAGTATACTCTTCAGGTTCCACAACTGCGACACCAAGAAAAGCGAACTCATGCTAGCAATCGTAGTCGCGTTGCGTCGTGCCGATATTTCAATATGCAGCCACAAGCAATCTTGAAGCGGCAGGCATGGCAAGCCGCAGAGAAAAGACGCCAATGCCACGTGGATTTGTCTGAGCACAGTGGGTTTTGCGGCGAAGCAGATATTCTTCGCAGGTCTCAGAGTCCTGCCCTGAGGCAGCGCGGCAGTCCGGTGCATAACTGCAGCTCGCCGGTTGCCGATAATCTAGTGGTGTGCGGCGAAGACAATTTGAACGAGGATCACTTGTTCCGTCCTGAGCTTTTCAAGCAGCCGCATGACGAGCAGGAAACTCTATCCACGCTGGTAGGCCAGCTTTGTCGTGACGATCTGGAAGGCAAAACGACTCCGAGAACCGGCGCGTCGTCCGGCAGCGAAGGTGCGTTTTGATATTAGACCTTTCATTCTTGAACCCTTCTGTTACCTTCCGATGTAGATTTTCTAGCTCAAGTAATACAAGTAAATCGCGCTTTCCTTGTATTTACCGATGTGCATTCTTGTGGTCATTATAGACATTTCTGCGCCTCTTATAATTCTCCAGGGAGGCTCCCAATCAAACATCTCCTTCAACAACACAGCAGACCCATCCCAACCTAGAACTCCAAAAATTTACAACAGCTTTGATTTGAGAAGTCGCACATTACCCAATCCTTTGATAGGTGCCCTTTCTTACATCTCACAGATATGTTTTTCGGTCCTCATATGGCAATACGAGAACAGTATCTCCTCGAATTGGCTCCTCTCACACACTCGCCGACTTTGCTTACCCCAACCTCCAGGATCCGCAGATGCCGGTCTCCCACCATCATGCAAAAAAAGCGAAATTCTGGAAATAGCTTCAGTCCTATCCGAAAATTCATCGGCTACGATGGTTGCGCGACCAGAGTTTCAGGATAAACTGGTCCCGTTCGATGATGAGTGTGGCTGTGTTATCATAGGTGATCTTGCTGAAGATCCATACAGATTTGACCTAGAATTCATAGATATAGGTTGTACAGAAACAGCTGCCAGATTTGCACAAGATAGACAAAAAGCTCGAGACTGTATAGATGGCTCTCCAGTACGGAAACAACTTGAACAGAGCGCAAAAAAATGGGAAACAAGTTCAGCTATGTGGCGCAAGCGGCGCCAGCGAGCCCGTTGGCATCATGACTCTGCTGGGTCTGAAGCTACATCGGATGACTTCGCATCGTTTGGCCCTTTTTTAGCATGAGTATCCTAACATTCGTCACATTACACACTACACGGCATTCATGAGTATGGACCCTTGGGCACCCATATCAATTCTGACACGCGTGCTGTATTAGAATACGCCTTGACACCTCGTCTGCATACATTCACGTAAGAAAGGGATCCCAAGCATCTTCTTAGCCTCCGCACACATAAGGAAGCTTTTGCTTAATTATTACTATCATGCTTTTCAGTTTCGTTCTCTTTCCACGTCAACACTTCTTACTCAACGATAGCGGTTCTAGTCTCGTGTTCTGTTGTGCAATAAAACTAGGTCAACTATGAATTTACGTAGATCGAAGTACTTAGATTTTAGCAATGCCTCCACATGTTGTAGGAGGTTTTCTTTTACCAATCTCGAAGAGAAAGTAGGCGATAGCCTGTCGGCGGAAGTCTTGTTGTATAAATATTCTAGGTGCTAAGCAAGATTACAGATTACCATGACACTGAAGCTCTCCGTGGTAAGGGATGATGGGTAATTTTGAAAATAATTCACATCAAGATAGAAGGCTGTGGCTTTTCAGGTAACCCTCTTTGTTAGAATTGTGCATAGTCTGCTCTCGAAATGATCTGCCATGGTTATTCAGTTCTCACATTGCCATGTTCTCTGACATGTTGAGCTCCATCTCCTACTGCTGTGTGCAAAACGTACCAACTGAACCTCATAAAAGTTATCTCCTATATTCAGTAGAGAACCCAAATACAGTCATTACATGCATTCCGTATCCCGGATAGCTATGCCACTGTCTACAGCCATAAGAGTAGCTCACTCCCGGAACAGATCAACGAGCCTCCATCTTCCCTTTCCCCTTGTTATGACGCAGCAGGCAAGACTAAATACTTTCTGACGCATGTGCGTGTGTGTTCTTTGTCTTTTACGATAGAATTCGCTCAAGGGCTCGTTCACCCATGTTGTAGTTGTAGCTTCTCTTGTTCGGCACTCGTCTCTTAGGATTGGTAATTCTATCGATGTCGTGTCCGTGGCATGCTTATTCGAGATTAGAAAATGACTTGGCTCGCGGAATCGTGATCGAGTAGGTTTATTAGCAGCTCGGAAAGTATACACTTGGACTAGGCACGCAGATGCTCCATGTTTCATTCATGACAAGTCTCCCTCTCCAGGTAGTCGCTAATTCTTTACTGCCATCGCCGGTTGCTTGTAATGAGGATTCTTATGCAGTAGCCTTTGATGTCATTTGTCTGTCGTCAATCGCTTTTTTTAGGAGCACCCAGCTCATTCCGTATTACATAGACACTCGGGCTGCGTATAGATTTTCGAACAGGTTGGAGAATAGACTGAGTTCATAACAACGTCAAAAGAATAGTAGTTGGAAACAAGACACAAAAAAACCATGCCGACGATTTTGGGCGGCGGGTTCAACCCCGTCGCGCCTGAGAGTCTTGATCATAAGGAAGATGAAGACTTTGACATTGAAGACGATGGTGGACAAATTGTCGATGCCGGTAACGTGTCCTCCGAGGAGGAGGTGGACCAGGACGGATTCATCAACATCCCAAAGGCCAAAGAAGCCGATATTACCATCGAGATAATCACACAGGCGGCAGCTCCGGTCTTCAGAGCCTGCTCCATCACGAACGACGACTCCCCTCTACGCAACGTCACTAAGGCAGACAAGCTGAAACGTTTGCGAGATCTTGCGGTTAAGCGCAAACATGTGATGGTTAGCCGACTAGTAAACGATATTGCGTATGGACGTACACCAGCGGGGAAGTGGTTGTTGCAGCAGAGAAAGGACGCAAATCGTACTTCAGCATCTAGTTCTGTTTTGAGTAGTTTGCTTCTGCTGCGATGGCTACGCCATTACGCTTTTACAGACCAGGCGCTTGGTCAGGACTGCAGCACCCAGAATGTCCCCCTTGCACATCAGACAGGTATCCCCTCGTCAAGTCAAAGGAGAGACTACAACTGCGAGCACGGTGAAGCAATAGGGCGAAGCAATAGCAGAAGCATGAAGCTACCATACCGCGCGTCACAGTTTGTGACGCCCGACAATATTTATGATCCGTTCCCCAACGGACATTCTTCCCCATTCACCACTAGAAAGCTGCAGCATTCTTTGTGTCTCTGGTTTCTTGCTTTGCATTGGAGATCAGTATCATCACATAGCTCAGACCTTCTTGATTACAACACGTAATGTAGTAACTTCATGTCGAGTAGAACAAATCTTGTTCAGGTAATTTGGCTTACGTTTTATCAAACTCAACGAAACCCATTTCCGATAGGTAAGTATCACCTATATGGCGAAGACGAAGCTCCGGGGAACGAGTTTTTTGAAGTATGTGGATGAAAATTGCGACAGCGTGGGCAAAACAGAAGAAGAGTGGGCAAAACTTCGGGTACTACTGAAAATTATTGGCGTTCTTGTTTCCATCCCGTACACATGTCTGTTTCTCTTTTTATTTGGATTATGTACTTTTTGATGATGTGCTTTTGTATATTCACTATATGAATTCCTCCTCCTGATTGAACTCATCTTCCTTTTCCGCTGCGCTCGCACTTTCGAGCAGCGTTCTATTCGCTTGCGAAAGAAGATACGCAGCTGCCACTGGGTTAGACCTGAACCTAGGTGAAGCCCACAGTGGATGGCAAAGTCCTGGGCCCTTACCTGGAGGCTGAAGCCGACCTTGTCACTCTGCCTCGAATCTTACGGCTATGCTGTTGTTTGACGTAGGACGTTTTAAGGAAATACAGTCCAAAAAATGTCATCTAGAAGTAGAATTGACGTTCGTTCCCCCATTAAAAAGCTCCAGGATCGGTCGCGAGATCAATGAATCGCGACCCATCGATAACCCTCAGGACATAGCTACTAGCGTGTATCTTTATCGTTCGTATTTCTTTCAACTTCAGGGGCCGGGGAATAAGATGATCAAGTCGCTGACTACGGTTGTGGATACTTTGCCGACATTGCAAAAGGTTGTTGAACGCGCTCCGCCGCACGCGAGCAACGTTTTGTCGAATTGGGTGAATTTTTTTTTCGCAGTTCAGCTGCGCCGTTTGAAGAATCCCTCGTGGCGAAAATACCAACAGGTGCGAACTTTTGGATCAGTTAAGACTTTAAGCTACATTCAAGTGCATGATATGGTCCATTCATTTGTTTCTTCCAAGAAGTCAAGAACTCCTAGCTACATCTCCTAGCTTTTCTCCATTGTGAAAAACTATCTTTCAAGCCTCTTTTTGTCACAGCCCTCCGGTCTCTCTTTACCCGAGTCACCTCTTCTTCTCAACGCTGAGCATTCTTAATCTCCACCTTACAGCTTTTCCGACAGCAGGAGTGGATGGGCCGCTGCTCTTCGGTCTTTTCGTTTTACAGAAAGGAATTTATTGCCCTTGACAGCGATATGGATGCAGCTGAGTGGTATTGTCGCCTAACTTGCGATCCGCGAGCGATTTTTCCGAATCTGCAGGACGATTTCCCCATTCTGACGTACGACACGGAGCTCGTTGGCATCATCAACAAAAAGCGACAGGAGTACAACATCAAAATCACTGCATACAACGACAAGATAACTGTATCGCAGCAGGGCAGTATTCTCGCTTCTACTACTCTCCTTCCGGAGCAGCAAGCCGAGCACGCGAAGCAGCTTTCGATGATTGATGCCCCAACAACTGAAAACGTCAAACTATACAGCTACTTCAAGCAGATCGTGCCGGCCGTGGTGATTCGCAACTTGATGGCGCGCGTGATTGCAATGGATCGCCACGTCTGTTTTGCACAGCACAAGAGCATCCTGAAGCCCAGAAAGATGATGAAGAAGAAGAAGGCTCCTAGTGGCTCTGGCAACGGAAGCACCAGCAACGCGAACAATCAGAATAACAATACTTCAGCTTCATCCGGAACCGCCATCGGACATGTCGTTGCTCCACCAGCCTCAACATCCGGAAACCCTGGCGTCCAGTCGGAGCAGTTGCCTGCTCCAGGTGGATCGGTCAATGGCAACAGCGGGTCCGTTAGTGGTAGTAGCAGTAGTGATTCATCTTCTTCGTCTTCTTCTTCGGGCAATAATCAAGGTGCTGATGATGGCGAGAGCGCCAATCCTGATCAGGAGATGGATGTCGATCAAGCCGGAGATGAAATGATCGTCGATGGAGAAGTTGTAGTAGACGAAGCTGAAGGCATGCCGCAGATGGTTGGCGAAGCTCATCCGGGTCTGAATGACATGGAACAGGAAATCGACGGCGAGGTTGTTGAGGTGCACGACGTCTTGCATTCTACGCATCATGGTGATGGCGAGCATCTGCTGAACTCGCAAATTTCGCAGCCAGGTGTCAACGAACAATTTCAGCAAGGTGCTTTTGAAACGACTACTATCATCAATCACGGAACTACGAGTCACGGACAAGGCCTTCTTCAGTCTGCAGCTGGAGGTGGAATGGTCGGCGGGACATCTGCATCTGGGATGGCAGCAGATCAGGCCGGGCCCGCAACTGGCGGAAACGCGCAAGGTGCCACTGGTGGAATCGGAGATGCAGAACAAACGGCAGGAGCCACTGGCAACAGTAATGCCTTTCAGCAACCGACAACGAGCAAGCGCTCCAGTCTCAATCGTGGTGTGGTGCCTTCTCCAAGCCCGAACGCAGACCAGAAGAAAAAGTGCTACCTCTTCACTCATTAGCTAGACCATTTGGGTTTGATCGCTATCATGTGCATACTGAATAACCCGCAGGATTTAACAGCACAAGTATCGTTGAAGGTTTCATCTTCGAATCTACTGACTTATAATCATGGTGACCCCTCCTAGTTTCTTTATGTAGCTGCTGGCTTCACAGTCACAGCCTCAGCATAACGTTGTATCATGGTCACAGCATCAACATTCAGAATAGAATGTAAATCTTTTCTTCCCTAGGTCCAAAGATTCGCAAGGGAACCCGTTGCCCAAGATTCCGGAGTCGAAAGATACTCCAAAAACGTGGAAGGAGGCTGCACAAGGAACAGCTGCGGGGAGAATCTTTGGAAAAATGGAGGCGGTATTATATTTAAGATTTGCAACTGGGAGCATCGCATATTAGTAAGTGATGCTCTGCTCGGTTGCTACTGAATCATCAAAAGGCTCTTGCAAGAGCTTGCGTGTGGCGCTGGACAGGAAGGGGGGCAGGGCTTCTTCCTTTGTGCCAGCGCTGCACACATTTCGTGATGTTTTGTGAGCTAGTATTAATATGAAGATTATTCTAAAATGAAAACTTCTTGTTCTCGACAACGATCCTTCGTTACAATTGTACGACTCGAAATCTTTTTGTTGAGCTACTTGCTTACTACATGAGACTACAACAAAATATAACATCTACGCGTCATCTCCTCCAGACCTTACGACTGAATGCGATGGCTTCGATACGCAAAAAGATGGAGGCCTTGTTGGGTTTCTGCTTATCCACCGATCTACCGCTATCGCGCGTTCTATGCGAAGACGATGTTCGCAAGTACATCAAATTCGAGACGATTGTTGGCAACCTCAAATCGATGGCCGGACAGCGCGACTTCGCTCTCTTCATGTGGAAGGACCTCAACTTGGCGACTTTCAACACGGTCGTGGACGACAAGTTCATCGAGAAGCAATTTGGAATAGCAACGGTTGTCCAAGATTTGCGAACTCGATGTGAGAACATCCGCAGCAAGTTTGGAGTCGAGGGCCTGATGGCCTTGTGGATCTTGTCAAAGACCAAGGCTGGTAAGGAGCTCGGCGTTCTGGGTTACACGCCTCAGCAGCCGAAAGCGACGCTTTTGGACTACGTGCGAACCTTGACGGTTTTGGTGAAAGAAGTACTATTCGTTCGTAAAACTTCTCTTGCTGTGTGTGCGTCTCTTATACTTCATCCACCTACTGCGCGCTACTTTTCGATTATATTTGAGCTATGTGCTACTTACAATTCAAAACTGCAGCGCGATGCCATACTTGATTCCAAAAAGATTCATTCAGTGCAAGCTTTTCATGTTCTTATCCAAAATTAGAGCTGCGACGCTTCTTTTTTCATATGTACTAATCTCGACTGAACCACACAGTTACCTACGCTTTATGAGAAGAAGTTGGCGTTTGATTTGACCGCGCTGCGCGCTGTCGCTCTTGTTGCAAAGTCGACCGTTCGACAGAAAGTGACAAACGAGATTGCCTCATACATTTCGCTTTGCAAGGCGCTCACTACATGGGTTGGGCTGGCTTTGAATACCGTGCAAAATGGCAACAGTCATGAGGCTGCAGTGAAAGAAATGGCGAAGGTGCTCACTTCTATTTGTTTTAGACGACATTGCTACTCTATGACAGTTCCACTCTCTTCAATTGTCCTACTGACGATTGGAAAGCTTAGAACTCAAATCCTGCTAAACTATGATCAGGCTATGCTCTCGCTCGTCGGGTTACTTTCGTTGTCGTAGATTTCCATCTAAGGTATAAAGATCATCCTCGGAACGAATCCTCACAATCTTTCAGGCACAGGCACTAGTATTAATTTCCGCCAATTCTCATCTGTGAGTTTCATACTGAGTCACTTTACATCATTTTTGTCAAGTCTCTAGGTCAAACCGGAGGGCTTGTTGAAGGACGCCCAGCAATATGTCAGTGGATACACAATTCACCGCCTGAACAGAGACGAAGATAGCCAAGAAATTTTCGACATCTTCAAGAAGCAGTTTGTCGAGTACTGGTGGCTAAACATCTTCTACGACCACATGAACACGGTGGTCCTGAATGCGCTGATGAAAGTTGCTGCGACCAACAACCAGCTCAACAAGAAGCGCGCGGATGCAAAGAAAGAAGTGACTTCTAATACCATCTACCAGTACCTCGACTTCAGTGAAACTGGAAAAGAGCAGAAAATCAAGATCACCAACATTTTGACGCAGATCACCACGCAGCAGCTGAAAGACCTGCTTAGCAACAAGACCGAAGATGAGAAGTGCCTCACGATCTTAGACCTAACTGGCTCCGCGACGGCCATCGCGGCTTATGAGCTCAAGACGAAAATGGAAAAAGAAGCAGAGGATGGCGACAAGGGTGACGAAGGAAATTCTTTTGTTCAGGTTGCGGTTGAGCAACTTGTTTCTGCAGGAGCTTGTCCGGGAATGGTCGAGGACACGCGTAGCAAGGCTGGCTCTCTCCTCTTCTTGTTGGATCCGACGGCAAAGCGTGGTGAACAACTAGATCTGGAACAGTACTCCCAAGATGACAGCTTTTGGACCAACATGGCGAAAGCCGACTTGGCTACACTTACCGGAGCAGGAGCCAATGCTAACGAAGATGACAATGATGTAGGTCGCGATACAGCAGCAGCTCTCTTCGAGGAGCAGCAGGCTGAGCAGAACAATCTGAACGTTCTGGAGCGTGTGCTGCAGCGCCAGGAGCAGGACGCAGCAGAAGAGGACCTCATGGCACAAGCTGATCACATCATCTTTGGCGATCTCACTGATGACGACGACGACGACGAGGAGGAGGACGACGACGAAACAGAAGGTGACGAGGAGGAGTGACAGGAGTAGAGAAACTAAAGAAGGTTAGTAGTGAAGAGATTAAGCGAATCTCTTCATATTGGAAAATGAGAATGAAAAAGATAGCAACGATTGTAGTAGAAGGAGAAAAGAGTAGAAATTTGCATCATCTTCTTCGGCAAGGAATAACGAAGCAGGAGGATACTGATGCACAGTCTGGAGATATACGAGTCATGGAGGCAGCACTACGGTGATCATTTTCCAGCATCTATCCCCTCAAGTCATAGAAACTCAACAAGTTCGCTGATCAGTCGACATCCATCTGTTCCAAGAACCACTATCATCGACAAGACCAGTCTTCTTTACAAGAGAGCGCGCGGCCTTTCCCTGGAGGGTACATTACTTATAGTAGTCTTCTCCTCAAATATTTTATTCTTGTGGTTGCCAAAGATCTTCTAGACAAATCACAATTACGAACGCTTTTCATACCGTGCGTCACACCGTGTGACGCACGGAAATCTAAACCATTGCTTTACCTCCTTCTCGCTAGTGATTCAAACTCACAGTAACTTCTGTTTCTGTCCGATGGTCAGTGCTTCCACTCTTCTGAAGGTTGGTTTGAATCATCAAAAAGCCACTCTATGTTACACCCACAGCTACAAGAACAACGCTAAATATTCACCCTGCGCCCCGCTATCAAACGACGAATAACACAAAAACCACCCACCTCCAGGCCCGCAATGGCGATTGAGCTGAGTATTTTGCATTTTTTGTGGAGTTGCAGTAGAGGTAGCATAGCCCTCGTATGGTTCTGGAAGCGAGGTGACGCGCTTCATTATTGCGGACTTATTTGTTGCTGATGGAGTTTGCTTTGAGGTGCTAGCAAATCGATGCTGTCCGGTATCGAGCAGGCTTTATTCTCTCTGGAGATGGAGATGTGCGGCCTGTCTGTAGATTTCTGGCCATGCAGTGGGAAAAGAGAAGGTATTTTCTTTAGATGTTAAGAATCTCGATAGATGTTCTTGTGGTGGAAAACATGCTGGGCACTACGACTAAGAGCACAGCCATAGCTACAAGGTGGCGTGATCTTTCTAGACCTCCTTGGATAAATGATTAAACGACGAATCCAAAAGTGTGGCCCTATGTTGTAGCTGTAAAAGATTGAAGCTCAGCGTCTGTTACAGCTGGAGCTTCTCGCTCAGTTATAATATGCTGGATTAGCTACCTGTCAGCTGTTCACACCATTGAGAACTAGCTTCAGCGAGTTGCCTTTTTTTTGGCTAGTATAAGCATCATGATTCAATCTCAAACTGCGTGGGAAACTCAGTTGATCCAGCATACTTCTCAGTGCTCCACCAGACCCAACTGAATCGCGTCATCTGCCAGGTTCCAGCTGCTCTACGGGTGCTGTTGCAAAATATCAAAATCACAAGCAAGCAAATAATTGCGACGACTGGAGGAGGCGTTCATTGTTAGCGGATACCTATTTGATTTCCAAGCTGTTTCAAGGTCGCAGTAGCAGAAGCACGGCTTCTTGCACTATGCCGAGAGGTGGGCTATTATGACTGGGGAGCACTTTCCATTATGTTACTTCAATGCGTAAGAGTATCTTGATACTCGTTCACTTTTGGCATTCAGATAGGTATCTGCTCTAGATTAACCGGTCCTCGAAGTTCTCGCTTATTGGCATCTCCACGCACTGACGTTCCTTCTTGTTAAAGAATATGACTTGTTGGGGTCAGAATGGAGGTTAATAGTACTCGCAGGCTGGGACCTACTATAACAATCAAGAAAGAAGATAGCAAATTTGGCAGAAGCCTAAAGAAGGCCTTCGCTGATATGCCTGGAGATGTCATAGAGACGGCTTCTTTCTAATCATCCGGCAACGTCTTCGATTTCATGGGCATCCGGTCTACAGTGAGCAGATTACTGTCGCAATTTTTGAAGGCGCAGGCTTTTGGGCAGGCTCGTTATATGCAGAGGAAGCTGAGAACCTAGGTAGTCTTGTTGTTATCTTGTGAAATTTAGTTCTTGGTTGAAAAAGCATTGTTCTTCGACGACGTGACTTAAAAGTATACAGTCGCCTATAATTCAACTATGACGAATATTCGTGAGTACACCTACGCCATGAAATTACTAAATTGATATCTGTTTTTAGACTGTAGTATGCAGTTCTCAGTAGTACACTAGATTAGTCGTGAGAAAGAAGTACATAGCTGGCGTTCTAGCATGAAAGTGGTGCCTAATAATAAAAAGCCACTCGCCATTTATTGGGTTTTAAATAACTACCTGACACTGATCCAAGTGCTGCTCGGTATGGATAGAATCCCCATCATGTAGTAAAAACTTATGTCTACGTATTTCGAGTAGGTTCTATTCTGAGAAACAGAGCGCCTGAAAAATGGTTGACTCATTTCGACAAAGGCTGCAGGTGCGCAGCCATCTTACTGATTATGGCATGTTCTTGATGGAAATCATCTACTTCACACGAAGATATACTGACGTCGTCAATTATTCTGTGCTCATCTCTTCACTTATAACTATTTTACTTCTGGAAGTGTTAGTTTATTTAATGAGTATCGTTGTTAAACGTTCAAGACAGCTGGCACGCTCCTCTTACTTAAACTCAATAAGATTGTGAAACTCAGCGTGACCCTTAGGCCCATGGCTGCCCAGATTTAGGACCTTCACTGATGCAGACTTCCGTTGTCCTACAACTTCACTAGGCACGTCTCGAGCTATCTTCGCCATCGGCTATCGTTCATATGAACCACTATAACCCCTTCTCCTCCCTTCTGATTTATATACGGACACTGCTCTACTACAATAAATGGCTACACTTGACGCAGAGTCATTGTTTTTCACCAGATGGCGACATTATTAGCAAGAACTCGTGCACTCATTCCTTTCACATAATACATCCTCCGCTTTGAAAATAATACCAGAATCCACTCGGTGGAACCAGGAGAGGCTGGAAGCTTGCGCTTTGAAGTTTATTACCATCGTTGTGATCGATACCGGGTTCGGATAGAGGACAGGGCCTCGCGTGTTTCCATCTTTACATCCAGAATCGCAGTCCCAACAGGTCGTGAGCACGTGAGAGGAGGAGCCTGCTGAGAATACCAAGCGAGAAAAATGAAAAGTGGATGAAAATGTGTACAAGAATTTTCTTAGTTTCAATGAATTGCTCATGACGAATAATTACGACCGACGAGCGTCACTTCTATCACGATCGACAGAATCGGCTCCATCTTCGCTTTAAATTTGATAGATAAGACAATACTCATTCTTTTGTGGTCATTCGGCCATGAAATATATTTCATCTTCGCCAGTGTTTCCTTCCAAGGAGTTTTCCGTCGTGGGTATTATTTCATCTGCAAGACAACGGCACTCACCTACGCCATGGCATCCAGCTAGGAGACTTCTACATAAAGTCGCGGCCTACTTAAATTATGACCTGGCCACTTGGTGTTTTCTCATATATAATAGCATGATCTTCACCTGGTTCGGTATCGAAAAGGAAAGCAGCTGTTTATATTTTTAGAAGTTAATGGTAGCAATTTCAATGAGTATCGTATTGAAGTAAAAAATTAGTTGCGTTCTTTCAGTGTCTGGCCCGAATGGTTCGGCACTCATGTGCTTGTGTTTAATACGTCATGATGTTCGTTGTATTCGTCAGCCAATACTCGTAGGATAATTCATCAGAGTTCTAAATCATAGATGTGGCATAAGTAAAAAGGTGATCGTTGTCATTGACTAGCGTGAATGATGTCAATTATGCGAAGCGTTTGTAAATGAAGTAGTGGCTACTCAAAAAAAAAACTGAAAAACTAAGATGTCACCTCTCTGCTTTCTCGCGAGGGGCAGCCCTTCATCGTGTATTTCGCAGGAAGCAGCAACGATATTGAATTTACCACTACTCGACTTGATGTCTAACCACACGGATGTGCTCCCTCATGATTGTGATGCAGATGGTATCATGCCTACAGAAAACGTGGGCTGACATTGAAGCTGATGACGACATGGATGCGCAAGTAGATGGCAAATGCCTTCGAACGAGACTAGTTTCCCATATCGTGCTACCAAGTGGTGACCCCCTCATTACATGTCCTCCCATGTTGTCCCTTAAAACTGCGAACGTGAATGAGTGGAATGATTGTAAGACAAACCAGTGTGATGATTGAGCATGTTGCAACGACCACAAGGCAACGGCTTTCATGAAGCAAGAGATTTCAATATGTCGTCCGGGTCCTAATCTTCCTGATTGAAGGGCAAGGTGATTGTCAGCCTCCACGTCTTGCAGAAACCAGCTTGCTATTAAATATGTTGTAGCGTTGAAAAAAATAAGTAGCCATTCTCGAAAGTAGGACTTTGTCTTGCATTTCCTGGTATCGGGAGCGACTTTATCGTGAACTAACAGACGAGTTCGCTGCCTTCGTGTTCAGCATCAGCCTTTTTGTCCATCATAAATCTTGTACGTGCGCGTGGTTCTGTCAGTTTCGCATGCTGTCGTGATATCGTTTAGGATGAGGGTGAGTCGTGGTAAAGATGTCCTTGTGGTCGAATCGAGCAAAGAGCAAAAGCTTGCTCTGCGGCTGCAGGCGCAAGCAATATCTTTTGAAAGTAGAGTGAGAAAGCTCGCATTCGTATGGTGCAACAATCGTGGTGAGACGCGTTGATCGATGAGAATCCAGAGGCAAATGAGAAACGATAGCGCGAGACTGCACTCGAAAACGTGAGAGACAACGAGAAAATGAGTAGGAGTCTTATGGTCTTTAAAATGTGGTGAAGGGCATTGAGATTGATGTCGGTTAAGTATAGAACTCAACTAAAAGAGACAGGGAGATCAGCAAATATGAGTCGAGGTCTGGTGGGTGTGCATTATGAAGTTCTCTGTTGCTGTGATCCACTCTGTGAAATGGAAAATGTGCACTCGTTCCAATAAATTAGGCCTTCATGCTGGGACTTCTGAAGACGTCTCTAGATCGTACCCATAACCATATAGCACCTGCAGGCCATGCTTCTTTTTTTAACAAGTCACCCACTCCTGCTGTTTTGGCACTGTTGTACTGTTTTGGATCCTGCTAATGATTGATTCTTCTGTTTCTCGCTCGAGGACTCTGATAAATGGAAATGAGTAGAAGTTGATGGAATTTCTTGAATCAAAATACAGATCATGGCCTTAGGTGGTCGTCACTCCTCTCAGCCGCCTCTACGCGCCGTTGATCTTTAAACATCAAGAGGAATCCGTGCCGTGTATCTCTATACCGATCTCTGTGTGTTGTAATTTACTTACTTTGCTTTTATTCGTTATGATGTCATGCACATTGGTATGGCTTCTATAGTGTCATCTCCTCTACTAGTTTCCATTCCCTCTCCGTCTGCTTTCAAAGACCCGAAGCGTCTCGATTCGTAATCAGCTTCCTTATCTCTTCGTAGTGTTTCGAGCAAGAAAACGTTAGTAGTTGCGACGCAGGCGCCCACAGGGAAGGCTAGAGCATTACCTGCGCTAGTTTGTGGTGTGCTAGTTTTATTGTCACATGATCAAAGAGTGTGCTGCGTGCTCTCCTCGATTGAGAGTTGGCCTTTTTGTTTTCATTTTCGCGCGTGCTAGCTTTCTTTCTTGATCATTTGAAACTTTGGCATGTTAGCGGGTGCTAGTATAGAATCAGCTGCGCCACGACGCGTTAAACAAAAGGACCTCGCTGCACAACCGTGGAGACTAAGCTTCTCTAAAGATTATTTTAAGAGCATTGCCGACTGATGATAGACTCCTAGCCTCACACTGCAACTATTCTACGGATAGCGGTGCCGCCTCCTATCTTGACCATAATCGTTTGATCACAAGCGGCATCAAGTGGAGGGGCCAATATGGGGCGTGAGTTACGTTTTGGAGAAAGCGAGGCCGAAGAGTGTAACTTCATCTACTACCGGGACACACTCTGGCCTCGACTTGCCTCCTGAGTCGGTGGCTGAGACGGGGCCAGACTCAAGCCCGGGCTGCGAGTTGCCTCCGGGTCGTCCGAAGCTGCAGCTCGGTTGTAGCAGAATGCAGCGCAGGGGCCCCTGCGTTCATTATGGAGCTTATAGCTTGATGCTTCTTTGGGAGTGGTGTAGTGCGTAGCTTTGCCAAGTATACTAGTCGTGGTTCAAGACGTAGTCGAGTATAATTACCTATCTCGCTTATGCCGCTTTGGCGTCGCAGCTTCTTGTTCAGTTTTTGCCCCGTTTTCTTATTAATTGTAGCCTTCGTACTGGCTTTCGCTGTCTCTTCAGTGCGCATCTTACTAGTAGTAGACTTCACCTTCGAGTCACAGCACTGCGTCCTGCGGCTCGAGGCAGGTTCCTCGGATACAACTTTTGGCATCGTCGCCAGCTATTAGGGATGAAGGAAAGCTGTAAGTGGGGGGCTACTCACACATAGGTAGATGCGCTTGTTTGATTTCTAGTAGATTCTAGACTTTCTCTGCACGTGTCAGAATCGTTTTAAGTAAATCGAGTCTAGTTTGTTGGACTAATTCACTCTGGGAGTTGCTCTCTACAAGTCCTACCTGACTTGAACAGGATGGACCCGCTTTCATCTTCTTGCGCTCTAATTTCAATTGCGGCTGACGCGGCGACTTCCAGAGGATGTGGAGAGCCAGGCTTTCCAGTACTTATTTCCGATTGTGAAGAAAAGGAGAATGCCTGCTGCTGCGATTAGAGTGGAAAAGGAGCACTCCGAGGCGTATGGCGAAGTATCTGCAAATAGCACTAGAGAAGAGGAAGCTCGTTAGAAGCCGCGCTGCCGTTCTTCGAGCTGCGTGGGCTTCTATGCTGTAAACGACTGCCGGCACGTCGAATCGAGACGGTCGAGAATCATACAGACCGACCCGCTGCGCCTGGTGTCTCCCTTCTAGTTGAGGAAGGACGAAGGTTTTCACATTGAGGCAGTAGAGGGATTGAGTATTAGATAAAAATAAGCAACCCCTGGCTTTGGGGTTATATAATGCATTCGGGGCTGGGGGTATCTGCACGTAAACAAGTACGGAATGAAGGGAAACATTTAAGGCAAGTCACCTTGTTGCGGCATCAAGAACTTGCTGAAACATGACCACGAGAAGATGAGGAAGAGGCATTTTTTCTATCAGCGTCGCATCAGGCTACTGGTGTTTGCCTAATAAGAGTCCCGAAGACAAAGGGGCCGCGCATTCAGTTCACAGAAAGCAACTGGTCAGCAGCTGCGAGCTATATTTTGTTAGTTGTGCCTGTGAGCTTGTGTTGTAGTTACTCAATTTTTTATGAGAGCCGCATGCGAACAGTACAGGCATCAGTATGGGCGTAACCATTTCGCGAGCGATGTTAGGACTGGGAGCGTAGCTACCTCGACAAGGACTAGAGTGGCTTGTCAGCCATCTTCGACCTTCGTCTGAAAACATGCGCGTACTTGTTGTTGCTTTGCGTAGATGCGCAACTGTGTTGGCGGGCTTTCAGTCTGATGTCTGCACTTCGTGTTGCTATCGGGCTGCGTTGGAACTGTCTGAACGCAGCGAGCTTTTGCCTGCAATCCCATTCGGCTCTTGATAGCGGACGACGCGCCTGGTAGTCTCGCTTTGCATGCGCACTTTCCATTTTTTCTAGCGATTGAGCGCGGTGTCATTCGTCAGCCCTTGTGGGCAAATGCCTTTGGCAGTTTGTTCCCAGCACCATTGACAAGGCAGCTCCAAGCCTAAAGCGCTTGGTGTAGTTAATGTGAATGGTCGTCAAATCTATGCTGCTGCCTCCTCGTGCGTTAAACCTGGCGACGCAGTGACTACCGAAAGTATTCACTGAGACAGTGCCCCTGGTGAGCACTGAAAAGATGTTCAATCATGTGAATCGTTCTGAATAGTCACCTTTTGAAGTCACCAAATTCGCTCGAGATATACAGATGCCACGTTAGTGCTGTATAGACTTTTTTCTTCATCTGAGAAAACTCATCTTGCGATCCTGGTGGCGGAAGGCCATCGTTGTGAAGTAAAGAGTTTCTCTTCCGCTCACTAGTGTTCTCTC